AATACATATAACAATACTTATGTTATTAGTGAAATAAAGAATGTGATGAATATAAAAATAACAATTATAAATTAGGAAAATGACACCTGAATATAACTATGATGCTCAGGTCATTTTTGTTTTGAAATGTGTAATGCTGTTAGCCCTGTGGCTGTTACAACGTCACCAGGAGAGAAAAAGAAACGCCCGAACAGGGACTTGAACCCTGGACCCTTGGATTAAAAGTCCAATGCTCTACCGACTGAGCTATCCGGGCGATGCTCAGGTCAGTTAAGTGTCATTGATGTTTTTAATGTTAAAAGGAAAATACACTTTTGTTCCAAAACCAAATCTTACCATACGACCGCAGTGGTCACCACAGTACTTCTAACTTTCTCGTTTAACAATGTTTTACCTGTATACAATAACATAAAATTTTTAATAGTGCCCGTACGTCAATATGGTATTGCAAAATGCATTTGATTTTGTGCTTTACATCTTTTCGTTAAAGACTAAAATATATTGTTCCTAGCAGTCCATAAACAACACGTTTACTCTCACATTAATGAAACACGAAAAGTAATGATATACGCTCATTATTTAAAATATTTTAATGTCGGTAAAGTTTTATTATTTAATGTGACACATTGATCTCTTTTAAAATGTCCACTGATGTTTTGTATACGAACTTAAAAATATATTAGTCATTGTACATACTGCGTTATATAGTTGTAGATATTGAAGTATGTGATTAACTACATATGTATATAGATATTATGATAATTAAATTTGCTTTCAATTATTTTGTAAATGGCTTTAATGGTAACTTCAGGATCTTTTATTATGTATCTTTAAATCGTTGGTTAAGAACTGGAACTTGTCAATAACACATCACAAAATAAAAGACAAAGTCTAATCTACTTTCGATGTGTCTAAACAATCTTCAATCGGACATCATTTAGGATTATACTAGTACAAGAATTTCATCTGATATAATATTGTAAATACGATAGAATCATACATTTAAATTTGTATCATTCGGATTAAAAAATAAACTATTTTATGATGATCATTAAAGCGAATGTATCCTGTCCTAAACACAACTTCACTAGTCATAATTCTTACCGTGATTATATCAACTAAATTGGACATAAGCTTGTGAGTTATTACGTAATAGGCTTCCGCTGTACCTTTTATATAGTTATTTGGTTTTAATATGATGTGAGTTTTATATCGGCTGCGTACACCCGGCTTCATCGCGTCTTTAGAATGCGGACCAAAGAGTAAGTTACGCTAGAAGCTCCTGTGTAACTTACGTACCGATATGAATTTTGAATGAACTGAATCTGATATTTTTATTATCTTTGTAATTTAGTATTAAAAGGTAGTGGATGAATCTCTTTTATATATTTAAACAAGTCATGTCTCTTAAAGTCGTCAGGAGTTTAGGTATAAACTAATTTTATCTAAGGTACTTTATCTTCTATGGATTGTGAGCTGATCTCCGATTTCAACACCACTTCAAGAAACAGGTTGCAGGCGAACACTGGGTACGATAGCAATCTGATTGATATCTCACTGTAACCGTAACTAATGTATATATGCGAAAATAATGGGTTTTACTAACACGTCTAGTACTATGAACTATTAGTAATTTCCATAATTATCACAAGTCCTAAAAAATGGAGGGAATAAAAATGTATTGGACAAAAACGAATGACCCACAACCCTAAGTCTGTTTACATGCAGCGCTTATCCCATTTAATAGCTTTTTTATTTGTTTTTTGTCTGTACCAATCAAATGAATGGCTGTAGTCGCATGGCTTTTATATTTAAAAGATTGTGTGGACTGAATGGGGTCGACTTGTTTCAAGCCATTAGGGGCGGGATGTCTGTCAATTGCTTTCATACCGAATAAAACTGCCATTGATACGACAAACGTTTGAGGGGCAGTTTGAGTTTAGTTTTATGAGCACTGGAAACCATTAAAACCTTGTTTTCATAAAGGCAATTGAACCCTTATTGATATGACGGGGATGTTTTGTATTTGTCTTGAAAGTATTTACCTAATTGGATAGAGAAATGTACCTCACAATAGGATCCCAAGTTGGATTGATCTACCAAATTGGTGGTTGAGGTTAGCTGGTCGCTTTCATGGTTATGGTGCGATGTTTGTCGATTGTGACGCCGAGTATGGCGAAGTGTGTTCCTCGTTATCGAACCCATATTAGGCACCGGCGCTTGTGCTTACGATTTCCATTTCACAGACAATTTGGATAATTAGGAACTTTCAACTATAAAATTTATTATCCGTTATTATAAAGTATACAATAGAATTGTTTTAAAGAATTGTAATGAGATTAATTAATTCAATATATGTTGGCTGAAAAAACTTTGAATTTATATCCAATTGTTTTCTTCAATTGCTTGGTTCTGGACTTTGGCAATAGTCATTATAGATCATGAATTGTGTTTTGCTATTTTTGATACAAATTCAGTGACTATGGACTATATATATTCATTTTCTTTAAGTAACATACAAATATTTCGTTTAAAACATAATTGTATATTATAATATACTGACAATTTTACTACTAACGTATATTTTTTATTGTAAAGAATATTACGATAATGGTTCTGACAATTTTGACAGCAACATGTGACTCACGCCAGCTATTAAAACTCTCATGGGAATCGTTCAAAGTTATCTTAGGTGTACTTTTTAATATCAAATATGACTTGTGATACTTGATATATATTCAATGATTCGTTGTTCTTAATTTAATAATAAACATAATGATAAAAATACACTCATATATGTATAAGTGTAGTAAAGTGCATGTAAAAGTTATTAAATTCATTACTTTTTTGTATTATTTCAAACAATATCACAAAAATGTTTTAAGCAAGTAACTTTACGTGACTCACGCGTTATCTTAGGCAAAAAACATGTATGTAGTACAGTGAGTTGTGATATATGTACATAAAGTTTAACAATAACTAACACAGAAATCTGGTCAATAGCAAAATTATCTAGGTAGCATGAAATCAAAACTAATAAATATATATTCGTGTTATACCATTAAACCAAATTCAAAGGAGTTATCTAAGGAGTCGGCTGGCGTCCCAAAAATTAGGGTCCAGAACTATTAAACAGTGATTTAAGGAGCACTGCCATTTGTCACGGTGATGGCGGTGGGACAAAGGAAGCGATAGGTAATGAAGTGTCCGTTTAATGGTCAAGCCTCCCACCGAGCTTCTATAGACGTGAAAAAAATATTTTCAACTGACATCAGTTCTTGCCAATGTAGAAAAAAGTATGTACTACACAAAAATATGGCACAAGATAGCATTAATGATTCATTATGATATGTAATTACTAAATAATTGAGTCTTTACATGTTACCTTTGAATGATGGTAGGTCAAGAGCTAATCCCGTCTGTCATTAACCTGCACACAACATGGATGAACGACGTGTAGCATTTGTTTGGTCAATTATAATTTTAATGGTCTGTACGCTGTGTATTGAGACATTGCTGACAGTAGAGCAGCCATGCATCAGATGATAAACGCCGTCGGCGCCGGCGCCCGTGGCGAACCCTCGACACTGGGCCTCGACACGTCTGTTACACACTCTCATTACTCACGGCTATCCTTTGAGTTTATCACAATCACATTGGTTTCTTTATATATCACTAGCTTTTGCCCGGGACTTTGTCTGTGTAACGTTCAAAATTAGTAATGTATAACCGGGCAAATTCTATTCCTTCTTAAAGTGAATATGAATAAGAACATTTTGTATTTTGCCAATTTGTCCTAAATCTTTTTCTTGTTCTAAGCTATCTCTAAGCTGTTCTAAGTAAAGCTGTTCTTGAGTTATAAATATGTAGTGTAACTAACACGACTTTCTTCTACATATATACAATAAAGATTGATAAGAAATTAATATTTATTTATTAAATTCCTGACGATCACAAATTGCATTTTTTAAGTTGTTTTAATTAATGATAAATTATATAGATTACCTTTTTTCAAGAAGTCAAAAGCATGTCTTAGTAGTAGACATATAATAAGAAAGGTGCTACCATATATCCGTAATCTTCTATATTTATAAAAATGGATTGCTGTTCCTTAGTCTCGCTAAACCTCGGGAACGGCTGAACCGATTTGGCCAATTTTAGTCTTGAAATACTCCTGGAAGTCCAGGGAAGGTTTAAAACGTGAGAAAAATTGGAATAATTGCCGGGAAAACCCTAAAAACAGCCCTTTTCTATTTCCCATACAAACGTTTTTTTTGACATTAGATTTGACAACTAACCAATATGTCAATCATTCTGTTTGATTGAAATAGGAAAAACCTGATTATTTATGGCCTCTAAGACGGAATAGAGTTCGCCTGGTCAGCTATACCTACATATATGTATTACTCTTGACCAAACTAACGCGAACGAAGTCGCGGGCAAAAACTAGTAACATTATATAAAAACACATTCTGAAATTGATTTCAAGTTTTTTTTTTAATAAGAAGTCAAGTTCTAAACACAGCCTTGTTTGCTTTATTTTAAGTTCACTTCTTGAAAATAACAGTAAATAGAATGAATAAAACATTAAACTCATTGGATTACATTCTGATATGAAACAAAAGGGACATACAAGGACAAAGAAGTCTTTTGCTAAGATTTATGTCCCATAACCCTGTAAGATAAAATTTAGAAGGCTTTATAGTAGAATATCAAATAGAATATACATAAACCCTTAATTTAACTTATTACTTGCCAAACACCAAAAATTTACTATAAAAGGCTTTAAAAAATAATCTAAAATTACTGGAAAAGTAAAAAAGAATATTCATTAAAACCAAATTACATTTATTTGTTTCAGAAACAAATATTTTTAAATATAAAAACATTTCATTATTACAATGTATTTCCAATCACCAAAAAATGTTGATCAAAAATACTTGAACGTCGTTACAGAATATACAGCTGACTAGAAGAGTCGCGGAAACAGTCCACTTTTTATGCGCATAATTGAATCGTCCTTACTCATCGTTATAGAATGGCTGCGACACATCGCTTGTTCCCCCATAAAAACCTCCTCACCATATTTGGAGTTCACTAATGAACCTAATGGTCTCGTATGGGCCTGGCCTGCTCCCACGAACCTGGCAGTGTTCAGTTTTTATCCGACCCCCTTTCGGACGGCCATCCTTTTCAAGGCTGTTGTAAATAACTGTTTGTTCGTCTCCAACAGTATCACAAGTTTCATTTATATTTGGTTTCATTAACGTATTTCACATAACACTCTCCTAGGCTCATAATGTTTTGATAGATTTACAAATAATTATGACCTTTATACTTATTTATAATGGTTATAATACCAATTATTTGTCATCTATGTAATACATAATCCATTTTGTATCTGTCACTCGAAGTATTATTATAGGAGAAGCAAAAATTCTTTACATATTACCGGAATAAAATTATTTATTTACTAAATTACTCCATGTCTTGATCAAGGTTGAAAACTCCCGTTAATAATAATTATCCCTGTACGTCTAGCAATTTGATACGTGCTCTTGAATTTCGGCTTTATTCTTGAAAGTTATTTCAGCGATATAATATTACAGGGCAGATGTTTTAAAACAATACATAGTTTGAAAGGTCGGTATATAAAGTCGAACCCTAAGTGTCGGTGGAGTGTGAGCAAACATTCCTTGCTTAATGTAAGTAGTGTTTACAGTAGCCACCAGCCACCGCTTCCTTCATTCAAGACTATGTTTCTTGTTTTAAGTCGTGTTTACGTTCTGCGCCACACGTCTCCGGTAAGGGCGGCTTTTAACTATTTTTACACCCACCGTTTCATTAACTGTACATAATTGGATGTGTAAACTAGACTTGTTGTTTTCATATCGTCTTCTATATGTACTTTTGGAAATACTAACGGATATTGATCACGTATTAACATGTGTTTGACTGAGCGTGGCTGTACTAATGTATAAAATAATGATATATTAAATAAATAACTCCAAAGCCTTTTAGTGATATGGAGGATTAACTTTTTGTAACCTTCGTCATCTTGTCTTCGTTGCATCTCAAGAATGTAGTACATATTTTGATTTAGATATCTCTGAAGTAACACATGTCACTAAAAAATGTCAGATTAAAAAGATTTCCCTGCATGTGGTCGTCAGTGTTCCCGCACCTTGACCGCGGGCCGTCTATTGTCAAGCAAAACTGCATTCTGCATAACTCCGTGGCCTTTGACCTTTGTTAAGATATCACTAAATATAAGAAAGGCGTAGTAATTGATAAGTAGAATCTATTTATTATGTAACATTTTAATTGTTTTTTTTTTCTCATTTTTGATTTTTGCTCGTCCCATTTACTGTCATCCAATTAAGAACACAAGTCTAATTTTATTTCTATCGCATGAGTTACTACCTATATGGTGATTGCTGACAATAATTCTCCCATACAATGTAACATGCGTTTGAATTCAAATCAAGCATCGACAAGTCATAAAGTGATGTTCGTATAAAATGAAAATTGCAATTTGAACGCATGGCCTGGCATTCACCGTGATAGTGATTTATAGAGGTGTTGGATATTCTGCGGTTAATTCCTCCGATTACTTGTCACGTACCTGGTCTCTGATGAATAGCCATACTGCACATGCATAATATTTAAATATATATAATGTTCTTTTATACCACATGGAAGAGTTCGCTCGGACCACCTGTAAGAGATTCTGTGTCTCTACTAATTGGTCATATAAATATCGCAAATAAAAGTTAATAACTGATCTATAATAAACATTTACTTAGAGTGTTTTTGTATGAACATAATCCGTTCTAGTAGTAAGATAGTGAGGAGTTGGTACCGTAATTAAATAGCCGAGTGAACATCAGTCACGATCAAACCATAATGGGACGGGCTCTGTGACAGGAACCAGGCTGGTGGAACCAGGAAGCTTGTACCACTCACACAGATTGATTCCCCGCTAATTTTACAGACGTTTTAATGACGATTGATTTCTTTAATACTAACCACCAGAGAACATGCTCAGCATCACATTTAAATGATATTTCTGGTTCATTTGATTACACTTTAATTTGACGTTCAAAGAGGTGTTGAGATGTAAGATTTTCACGTGTATTCATTTAAATGAAACTAATATTTTCGGATTTACTACGCGATATTAGATATAAACTATACTCCCGACGTTTCGGTTACTTTACATTAACCGTGATCACGGGCAGACTAGATGTCTGGAGTTTATAGGCAAAAATAAAAAATCGCGTATATAATCCGAAAATATTAGTTTTGTTCAAAGAGGTGGCTTTGTTTGTATTTTGTCATATGACCCGCGTTTACTAGTACTTTAGTTTAAAAATCAAAGACCCGATTGTGTTACTATATTTATTTTTGTAATATACAAAAAAATACAAACACAATGTACTTGAGTTTATCAGTGAACTGTTTTGTTTTCGTCGTCGTCGATTTGTCGGTCGACATTAAGTGGTAATGTATGCGCCTGTGGCTCTCTCGTGAAACACGCCTCACCCTGACACACGAGTTCATCGAATAATTTAATTCATTTTCACATTATATTCAGACCATCATTACAATTATGTCATACATGTTATATTACACAATGTTGGTAGTATTTAAAGTTCATTTTATAATTGCTGGTGTTTAAATTTCATAATGAACTTCCATAACCACAATTTGGTTGAAAAATGTTATAATATCCAGTGGTTATAAACAGTTCAGAGGCATTGTCCGCAAAAAATGTTGTCATTCGAGGACATTTTTTCTTAATTAAGTATTCCATTAAGCGTTTTTCTCAGAAGTTGCGTTAGTTGTTTAGGGCCGCTATTCGAGTTTCGTAAGATTTAAGTAAAGGTTACATAACTCTGAACTTTATTATTTCCTATAAATTTTGTTAGATATTTAAGAGTTTGTATGTATTTGCAATAAACTGGACGCTTTAGGTATATGGCTGTTATGATTGTAACAGTATGGGATTGAAGCGATAAAAGCCAGGTAGTATCCTGGTATAAAAGCTACCGTTTTCAGCATGTTGTGAACGAATTCCAAGTATATTAGTGTTGTGGATGTAATAACATCATCTGTTTTACATCAAGCCTCATACCACCATAAAAGCATTACCTTCTATGAAAGTAATAAACACTGAACACTTCCGTTATCTTTCAGAAATAAGTATATAACTTCTAACTATTCCCTGTTTAGTGTCCACAATTATAATTCCTGTTACTTTACAATATGTATATAATTCTTTAATTGATGGAGATAAAAAATAGTGCTTTAGAAAACATAGAATTTCTCCTTACCTGATTTTAAATTCAAGCTCTTCTGTGAACTATTTCTGATAGACTATTTTAAAGATTTGTTTAATATTATTAGATTTTGAACAAAAAAATTAATTTAATTTCTAAGCTTTTTTAAACTTCTATAAACCTTAAAAAATCATATTACTATTATATGACTGGTACAAAATCATTAAAATATACCTTGTACATATTTCTGTATTTGTAAAAATAAATACGACATCACGTAACTCTTTAGATTTTATCCAATTCCTCAATGACAGAGGACGTGTATAAAAAATAAATTCCCAAGAAATGGTAATGAAGTGTGAGCAAATGAAGATATCAACGTGAGACGCGGCTATAAAGTGGTGCCAGATGGGTTCATGGGACGCGGCGCGGATGTTACACTTATATTACTATCATATTAATATTTATTACTTACTTATAATATGACTATATTTAAATGACTTCAATGAATTCTTGAAAAAATACGAATATGAAATTTGATATTTCGGCATTCACACCTCAGCGTAATGATATTTTGAAAAGAATAATTAAAAGTTTATGTCCAATAATGTATGTATGTATGGATAAATGGCGATCATGTGTGGCTCGCAATATTCACTTACTTCTCAGCTGTTTTCTTGACACCTTATTTTACAGCTATCATAATGAAACAAATAAACTTTCAACGTGTCCCAAAATTTAAATGAATGTTAATTATGTTACCTTCTTAAATTTCACTGAGATTTTTATGTATTTAGCATATTCAATACAAACATATAAGTTCAATAATAAAACACGACTTAGATCGTAACTGCTTAAAATGATACGACACTATCTTTTATCAAGTGAAATTATTGAAAAGATATTAAATACTCGACAAATGTGTACCTATAGGAATTATATGTTATTTTTGACTTAAATATTATCTTATTTTTAACTTTCCAGGCCGAGCTGTTCTTGATCGCTTGAGTAGCACTACTATAAGCGAGGTACCTGTCACCAGTGACCAACCAGGGTTGCTGCCGGCTCCTCTGGATGTAGCGACTTTCGCAGTCATTAGCGCTAACGCAACCTGTGGAGGTAATGGTGCTGAGGAATTCTGCAGGGAGACCGCTGGAAAGTAAGTGGACTTTTCTGGACAAAACGATTTACACCATACCGAAAATCTGATTAATAACTACCCCCTGAGGTTTTCCTTTTTCAGGTCCACGATACAAATCAAATTCTCGAGTCAATTGTACCATTCAATGTGAAAATTTCGTTTATGACTTTGATTTTTGTAGTAGAAATGATATTTCTTTTCTGCTAACATTACTTTTTTTATTTGTTTCAGACGGGTTGTAGTATGTGATGTGTGTGAGGGTCCTGAGGGCTCGTCATCTCGTCGTCACCCCGCGGGTCTGGCCGTGGACGGTGACCCATCCACTTGGTGGCAGAGTCCTATCATCACTGATGGGGATTACCAGCATGTGGAACTAGTAGCTGTTTTACCCGGGGTAAGTAGAGGGTTTTAAGCTATAACTAGACACAATATATATGTTTTATTATTAAGATTACGTATGGCAGTGTGAATATTGTAATCAGTGTAAGTTGTAGTGTTAGATGGCTTACAACGACTTTCTTAAAGAAGTAAAGCAGGATTTGAGTTGTATAACGGGTACAATGATACTTACGGTTACTTACGGTGTACAGTCACAGTAATTGTTGTTTGTTCCTACCAAACAATTAGCAAACTAAACATAAAATGTTCAACTCATTCAAGAACGTCATTGAGAAGGAAATGTTTCTTCATTCTACAGATATTTTTTCTTTCGAAGCAACAGATACATTACACTTTGCTAGGGACGCAACTTCCTCATATTTGAATAGCATTCTAGTAGTGGACTTGCCAACTTGCACGACAGTCTCACGACTGGTGTAAATGACCCCAGAGCATTTTGTATCAAGTCGGCAGTGAGATGAAACGTATAAAGATAGATAGTTCAGTAAAAATTGTATTCAATGGTTTTAAAAACGATTAAATAGTAAAAGTTTTTGAATCGAGTGTCTATCTTTTATTAAAATTGAAATTCGCTGTGCTTCACGCCTAAACGAAAAATATCCCTTTTATCGGGCCTGCGTTTTGACGGATCTATTTATGAGGCGCTATTGAAAAGCCGTCAATAGCATGTATCGACTACCGTGCCGGTATTATTATTCGTCGGTGACTTTGTCTGGGGAAGATTTATGATCCGTTCTGTAGGTATCAGGTTTTTAATGACTCATTCCATAGTTTTATGACGCTTATGAGAGTGTAATGTTATGAGAATGATGTTACGAACCGATACTTTCGTTGCTATCATAACTTTTGTTCTGATGTAGTGCTATTTGGTTTATATTTTTATCAAGAAATGACTAATTTGTTTTATATTATTCAAATTTAAAATATGTTGAATGACTTTAAAGATATTTTTTATGGAATTGTCTATAGTTACATGAAAAAGATCAGCTCAGGTTGTTACTACAACACAACTAAAGAACATCGAGTTGTCTAGGACATGCTTAAAAAAGTCGTTTAAATTTAGCTATTGAAGTAATGTCCTTTAATATCTTTAATAAAAATGCACAAACACAAACTATATATTATTTTTTAGGGAAAATAACGTTTTGACACAGTTTACAATTACTGGGAAATCTTATTATTTATATTGATATCTACATTTAAATTAGTTTTGTTATTATTAAAACATTGAACAATCCATATGAATAAATCCATATGAATAAATGTTGCAACAAGCGTACAAAAATGTTATTTCGTTGTTTATAATTATTTCAATACCTTTTATTCTTGTTAACCCATTTATTCTATCACATATTGTTTACTTAAGATATATTCAGTTAACCCTTACTCTATAACAGCCAGTAGGGGATGATCAATAAAAAGTATCAGGGACCACCCGTCCCGAGAGATATGGCCCAATAAATTGTAATAACACGCGGCTTACATGCGATTCTGGACAAACAACCAATAAAGGAGTTGATTATTTTGATACACTAAAGTGGATTTGTGTTATTTGTCAATAAAAGGCACACCATGTTTATCTGACAAGGAATATATATGTTCTACTAAATACGTCGACTACTAAATGGATAGAATTTTTATAGATAAGTGAATTCTTGTGAACAATAGAGTTTGTGTACAATGGCGGCAAATGGAAGCCGATACGCATCGCTATTACGGAGCGACGCGGGACGTCTAGTAAATCATTGTACTATCGAGAGGACGCCACGCTTATTTTTTTGTGTCCCTTTTAATTTGGAATTATAACCTATTAAGGAATGTAGTTTGTTTTGGAATAGATAATCTATCAAAAACAAATATGGAATGCTAAAGAGAAGTGTAGGACTTATTCTGAACCAAAAAATAAAAAAGTATATTTATTTACAGTTTGAATAAGAATTAATGATTATATAAAAATATACCACTACAATCACTATCATCATCATCAACATCATCATCATCAGCCTATCCGATCCTACTGCTGATCAAAGACCTCTTCTCACATGGAGAAGGTAAAGCATTTATCACTACGCATCCTCAAGACGGGTTGACGATTTCAAATTTATAATCATTATAGATTATAAGTCCAGGTTTCTTCACGATGTTTCCCTTCACTATCCAGTCACTATTGTCAGTCAATTTTTTTTAACGTTTTAGTTAGATTAACAAATCGTTCACATTACGTAACCAGCAAATCTCCTGTTATCTCATTAATTTATCTCAAATCGATAGTGAGTCTGTATTCTGGTGCGGTACTCCTCCTAACGAAGGCCTTGGCGCCGCCAGATCACTCTGATAAGCTGACGGATGGCTCTTATCAGCTGTTATTTATTACTCAGATACTTTTACATTGCTTTTTAATTATTTTTATCATTCTATATGAATTAGATCTTGTTAACTATTTCATGATTCATATGTTTTTTAATTAAAAACAATCATGTCATATTAATGACCTAAGTATACGTACACGATAGATCCAATTATAAGAGCAGCTACACTTTTATTTTTGAATAATTTATAAAACAACAGGGTTCTGAACATAATTCTACGTTTTTTTTTGTTTGTGTATTATTTACAAATCTATTGTGGTAATATCATTTTGTATTAAGAACTATTAACGATAAGAAAAAAGTAAAAAAAATATTCTTTCGAAAAATGTTCCGACAAAACTTTACATAAAAGGAAGATACATTTTTTTTAATCTATAAATTCTGTTGTTTTTTGTGGCACTGAACATTTTTGGATTAAAGGAATTTAAATTTTCTTTTAAAAAAATACATATACTTTATTTTTTTTATATACTCGTTAATTATAAAACGTTGGTTTATTAATATTCATGACACAAAATAGAAAGTAAAGCACACAGGTTAAAACTTATACAATAAAGTTTAAACACATGAAAATAAATCAACACTTAACAAACAGAAACTCTTAATTAAGAAACTGTAAATATTCTAAAATATAATAAAGATACTTATTAAGGAAATACAACATGATATAGTTATATGGAGATAATACAATAACAAATATAAAATACTTTGATTAATTAGGATTAAAATTATCAAATTGATATTTAGGAGATAGGCTAAAGATATTATATGTTTCATAATTGTTGACTAGAAAAGTTATAAAAGTTGGTATTGTTACGTACAAGCTGATTGAATTGTAAAGGACTCAATGGAAATAAAAATAATTAAATATTATTGACAAATTGAAGTTATATTAGCTTTAGTTCTAGATTTTATAGTTATAAATAAACTTGGCTTACTCGACAGATTCAAAATCCGAAACATTATATGATTGATTTATACAACGAAAATGTATTAAAGAATAATCTAAAAAGTAATAATATCTAGGAAGAAACGTTTCAGATTTTAGTAACTTTTGACTCCTTATGTAAATGTAAAGTCAACAGTAGCTCGTCTTAGATCAAACACAAAAATATGAAGCAGCAATATTAGTGTGTTAACCTGATAAGACAGTTTTATTGATGACTTAGCGTAGATATGATTTTGATACATCAGTTATATAATCTTTGTTTTAAATTTTAATCACAGCCGCTTATAAAATTTACATAACACATGCCACAAAACAGTCAGGACTGAATACTAATCAGGAACGAGTGGCGTCCTAAATAATCCATTGATATCTTCTTCAGTACCACGCCTGAAGAATAGGATCATGACGAGTCCAACCACAGCTCCCAAGAGTACACCCACGGCGATCGCCAGCACACGCTGAGCCAGAGGCCATTTAGAGCATGCCCAGTACTGCTCTCGAATAACGCTGGAAACAAAACACAATAGAGTTATTCATATACAATATATTATAATGATATAACTTTAATAACAAATGATTTGAGATATTTCATCAATGGTCACGACTAATGGAAAGTGAAATAAAATAGCTGAAGAACTGAAAAAAACTTAGTAAACAATTTGGATTTTTTTTGATTGCGGTTCCTCCCCGAAGTTGTCATCATTCTGATAATTTCTGATAAAAGAGCTATCTAGCTATCTTCCTTTTGTTTTAAAGTAAAAAAAACAACATTTTTTAGATTCTCAAAAGTGTTATGAAAGGAAGTCCCATTTTATTCATTAAATATAGGTCTTTATTCTTTTACAGATACTTTTATGAAGATTTCTAATAATTTTTCATAATGAAGTCTAACGAAATAAATAATGTATAGAATTACTGACATGTTACGTATATTATGCAAAATTTTTAAATTTTCTGATATATATAACATTATTTATATAAACACGATTGATTTTTTTAAAGGGGCCTAGGAAAGAGACATTTTAAAATATTAAAAGAAGTGAAAAGGGAGAATCAAAGAAATACAACTTTTAGATTTATAGTTAAAATTTTAAATATTCGAAAAGAATTAAGGAACAGATACGTTTTTATTACATTTGATATTATACTGCATATTTTATAAAGCGTTTCATAATTATAGTAATTCTTATTTATGTAGGACCATATAAAATGTATATATATATACATATATTGTAACTCCTTCAATATGTTCGCAAGTTTTCATTGTTGTGTTAGTTATCTAATCTATTTGGATCATTCAATGTTTTTACTGATGTATGATATCGATGATAATCCCTATCATAGATTAGAGCTCCTCTTTCCTTTTCGTTATAAATTTGTAACATAAATATATATAAGTAGTTTACATTACATTTTATAAAATAAACAATTATATTTTCATACATATTTTTTTCATATAATTAGGATTAAGAGCTAGAAATAAAAATACGATAATATTTGTATGAATCATAACTGTTATGCTAAGTCATATAGAATGTTATCTAAAGGGAAGTAAAAAATATAATCAAAAATTAAATAGATATGCGCAAAAATTATCAACTCGATATTTTGACACCAACAACCTCTACAAGTGACGGAATAGTTAAATGAACTATAATTTTTAAAGTAAATTAATAATAAATTTTTAGCATATTTAGTGGCAAAGTTAGTAGCAATATTGTATAAAATAGTTTACCTGGTCGGTGGTTCCGGTAAAGTCTGCTGGCTGACGTTGTTATTCAAGCTACTAACACTTCCAACATAAGCCGTGTTCACATACACAAAGTCACTTTTGGTCGATAGTTTCGGGGTTCCCCGACCAGATCTTTGATAGTCCATATATCCAGCACGCGACACGTTCGGGATCTGATGTTGTACGGGACCATAGGTGTGACGCCGCGGTGCATTCTGAATATTAACTCGTTCACTGTTTGATTCATTATTTTTGTTGGACATTTTTTTATTAACACAAACACCTCATGTCCGTAGCGCGCCGTGCTTTGCGAATCACTAAGATGTGATACCACCTGATAACGATGATAAGCCGAATCTGATATGGCCATCCGTATAGGTTTTATAAAATAATAAATATTCAGGCTTTACTTAAATAAATTTTAAAATCGAGAAAATTCTTAATATTCAGGGTGACTGGTGAATTACTATCGATATTTGAGGACGTGATATTTGACGATCATATATGACAGAATAAAAATTAATATAACATAAATATTAATAAACTTCTAAGTAAAGTTGACCAAAAGTTATGTATATAATTACGCATCGTATGAACACCCTACAGATTAGGTATACACACACACTCACACATACGCGCGCGGCGGCGTGTTGTTGTATCAGCACGCCGCCGCGCGCGTCCACACTTGGAACACTTGGAACGTGTCAACACTTTATTTATGTATACGGAAATTTGGTCAAAAATTAAGTACCTATTTTTTTTACATAATTCGAATGAGAATCATGTACCGAGTATGCTCCTTAAATATTGATAGTACTTCACCAGTCACCCTGTATTTTACCGTTTGTAGGCATTTTTATTTGGATCTATCTATTAATAATCATTATTTTAGAACTACACAACATTTTCCGCATCAAAATATTGCGTACAAATTTTATAACACTATAAAAAACAATTCCATCGAATAACAAGGAAGATAAATTTCTTGATAGATAATTAATAATTAAAATATATACTTGTACATGAGAGGAGCCGAACAGGATTGTTGCTCGTAACCTAAATCAAGCTACTAAAAAGGTTCAATAAGAAAAACAGATGAGAAGATGGCTCCTCACACGTTCATTAGTCCCGCCATACATGGCGTTGATTCCATCTCTTCCAAGTATCGCAACGAGCTGAGTATAAAGGTTTTTTGGTGTTTATTAGTTATTGGCTCCAGATACGGTCGGAGTAATTGGATAGTATTGACGTTTGAAGAGTACGTAATTAGCAGTACTCGTGATGTCGCTTTAAAAATCGTTTGCATGGAACAAATTCTACCGGAACATTAATTCAATGATTATATCTGGTGAAGGTGTGAATTAATAAGGTTCTTCTTAAAACAGACATTCATTTTATTAATCTTCATACTGGTCTTGAAAATGATTTCAAATAAAATATAATTTCAATTTAATGTTAAAGATTTAAATCACTCGTTTCAATTCGAAATCGTTTTAAATTAACCACATAGCTACCTTAATTGGCAATCTGTAACATTCGCATCGCCACCAACGGCGCGACAATTTGATTGCCTCTTGCATCCATTATTTAAATTCCAGTTTAGTAACAAAGCAAAGGAACTATTATTACACATGCCACCAACCAACAAGCCTGTAATTTCTGATACACTATACCAGATTGCAAGGTTTATTTAAATTGCAGCACAGATTCAAGCAGGAATTTATTCTGTTCTTCTAGTTAATTAATACATATATACAAAGATTACACGCGTAAATAAAACTACTCAGATGATAAATATATAACTATTTTATGTTGACTGGGGTCAGAATTTTTAATACAAATAAATACATAATCCTTCATCATCAAAAGTACTTCAGAGAGCTCTTAAGTTTTTTATCCACCCGTTCCCACAGAACACACATCGGTATGTTCCAGTGTTAATAGAGGGAGCACGACCCGACCACTAATTGCATTCAAAGTGTGAGCTACTGTTGTCCGACTACTTTTGTTTATTTTCTTAATAGCCCAGACGTAACTCATATATACCTTAAATAGCGTTATGCATGTTAGCCATTTAGAATACAGTTTACAATTAACGAAGGAATACCATAATATTTGAAGTATATCACCACATAGAAACGTATGCGGGTGTTTCAAATTTAAGTTTGGTTGGTCGGTTGGGATGGTTATAAATGTTTGTAAAATGTATTACCTTCCTTATTATACAAAGACGTTTTATCTACCATTGTTCGTGTAAGGTAATCGGAATATTAGATGTGTAATATATTTAAATATAATGCTAGCTCGGTTTCCGAGTTAAAATTATTGATATTTAACAGGTTACGTGTAAAGAAATACTGAGGATTTTAAATGCGAATTTTCTATTAAGAATATTTTAAATTGAGCGGAAGCATTTGCTTAAGTAGTAGTTATACTAGTACGGAACTTTTTTATTGATTTTGACACATAACTTTTCAGAAAATGGAGCTTCTTCACGTCATTATCAAAGCGGGTCCGTCGCCCCGTCCCTTGGCTTGGTCTTTAGAAGTCTCAACAACAGAGACTGGTGATGATTGGTCGTTGATCCGAGCGTTTGGAGATCGGGATCACTGTCGGAAGCTGTGGGACCTTCGACCTGAACGAAGACGGAGAAAAGCTCGGGCTGCGAAAAGAACTGGTCGGGCCGAGAAGCCTTCTTGCTCGACACAGTTCACTAGTCCACGTCCTTTGGAAAACGGAGAGGTATTAACACAAATATGAAATATTTATCTTTATTTTTTATAATCAATATTATGAACTATTTTTGTTTTTATGTGTCATACTCGTACCTTATCAGTAATATCTTGAAGATGATCACATTGGACACTGAAACCGGAACTCTTCGAATACCTAACGTAATGTCATATATCATATTCTATAAATACAACTAAAGAGATTTTATTAATAATTGCGTGTTAATTATTAAGTACTTGAATACCCTATGATTGGACTCAACCATTAAATTCCTATACATTGAGTCATATAAATAAAATGGAGTTGTTCATCACGTTTTTTAAGTACTGGCTTTCGTTTAGTTTGGTATATGCTAAATAAAATACTTCATTTAAAATGCAGTGCTTCTGCAAATAGGGAGTTTTTTATAACTTTAAACAGCTTATCATTAATTAGGTCTGTATATTTTTGTTAATAACTAAATGTCTAATAAATAAACTTAGAAAATATTGTTACCTACCCACTAGTTTAATTGTGATATGCGTACAAGTGCAGATCTCTATCGTTCTATTTGTAATAGTAAAAATCGGTGGTAGCAATATTACAACAAAAATTTAATTAGACAATTCAGTTTAACGAACTTAAGCTTGTGTTCCTCATAACTTTTTTTATTTCTTCTTAAGTCCAAAGTGCATCTTTGCCTGCTGTAAACCACGAAGTGCACATTAATATTTTTGTATTCCAGGATGATTAATTATGGTAAAAGTAGCGTGTGTTCATTTTTTTTAACAGAAAATATTTAGCAATAATTTTCTAAAATTTAAAAATTATTAAGTTATAGAAAACAATGAGTTTAATATTATGTTATCCTCAAACGAGCCTAATAAATAACTATTTAATTTTTATATTTTGTTTTCTATCCATAAGTATATATTAATAAATAACTGTGGATATCACGACCAATGCATCATCAAAGCATAATGATTATATTGACAAGGAGGTTTCGATGGTTATTTACAACAAATTACCGTCTACTATAAGAAATGCAAGCTCAATTAACGAATTTAAGTCTCAACTTTCACAACATATTTTAGAAAATAATTGATATACCAACGATGTAACACACTTGTAATAATATCTTACTATCTTTAATTTTAATTTAATTTTCACTTTTGTATGTATGTTCTCATGTAAGTGACTATGTCTCTTTGATAATAAATTCTTTAAACCTTATTCCAGATGCATGTGGGTATGGGTGAAGGTGTACCAGCTCGTCGTGTGCGGATCTCGTTCCGCGCAGCTCACTCTCCTTCCAGACACCAGTATTATACAGTCAGAGAGCTCACCCTAGCGGCCAGGTGTCTGTGCCACGGACACGCTGACCATTGCATTGTGGACAATAAGGTGTGCAAAACCTGTCATCATGATGTTCATTATACACTAATCGTTTGTTTGACAAATATCTTATCTGGTATAAAGTATATTCGTTATTTTATTCTTCTTCTCATACAAAAGTGTTTATTGTAAAATCTCACTGTAATAAATTTAATTTAATTTTACAAAATTTAATTTAAGTTTACAAAATTTAATTTAAGTTTACAAAATTTAATTTAAGTTTACAAAATTTAATTTAATTTTACAAGAGTTCTAAAAGAAATTAGGTCTCAAAAAACTTTCATTTCGTCAATCGTCATTGTTATTTGTCATTGATGTCACGGTTGTTGCAAAATAATCGAAATTTCTGTAAAATGTAAAACTAAAATAATAGAATCGCGTATTAACTTTACCAAAATCTCATTTTATATCTTATGTGTAGTTTAGAAAACATAATTCTCTCCAGAGTGCAAAGTGTTCGTGTCTGCATGGCACATGTGGTGCCCACTGTCAACGTTGCTGTTCTGGAGCACCCTGGCACGATGGTCAATCCTGTGACATAACACAGGAGAAGAACGAGTGTTCCTGTGGAGAAAGGGGGGCGTGCTCATATGATGACACCGGCGCTATATTGTGCGTTAACTGTACAGTAAGTCCATAATTCGTTACAATATTTTTATATTGCCAATCTTTTATATAATTCTCATGGTTTTTCATTACAGGATAACAGAGCCGGACCACTGTGTAATCGTTGTCTCTTCGGTTACTACAATGTATTCCCTGACGACCCTTGCCAACCTTGCGATTGCGATCCCGAAGGCTCAGATGGTAAAATATTTCCGTTACTTCTTCTTTTTAATATCATCAATTATAAACATATTTGAAAACTACAACTTAAAATAAATAGAATAAATAGTACGTCACCTTATAAGACGTAATTTAATAAACGTATTAAGAAACTTTTGTCATTTAAGATTCTCTTACTGTACGAGTAGGTAATGTTCGAGTAGTTCTGTCATTTAAATTTATTTTCATAGTTAAATCGAAACTTTTGTCTACAGGTACCTGTAAGTGGAACAAGAAACTTCATCAAGTTGTCTGCACCTGTAATCCAGGTTTCACTGGCCTTCAGTGTGAAAAGTGTGAAAATCCAAATGCAGTATTCCCAAATTGTTTAATAGAAGTGACTACAGCCACATGTAAATGTGATCCTCGAGGTATTGTTGACCCTGGCAGGGTGTGTGACGACATTTGCGAGTGCAAGGTACCCAACGATTCAAAATAAAATTTGAATTTATCAGTACTTAGTGTTTATAAGAAAATGCATGTTACAGGTCAATGTGATCGGAGAAAAATGTGATACTTGTGCCCCGGGACACTTCGGCTTGAGTTCATCTCTTCCGGGAGGCTGTCGGGCTTGCTACTGCTCGCACGTCGCCTCTCATTGCGAAGCAGATCCAAGACCCGGCCCGGATGTAAGTAGTATGCATATCTATCTGTAAGATGACATATTTAATATAATAATATTAACTTGTCAATAATATTTTCATTAAAATAAACTTTGACTTGGAGGGTAGATCGCGTTTCCTCTGGGTAATGAGTGGATGATCAGTGACAACAACAGTTCAGAGACGTTAGAGCCTTCCGTAGACGACAAAGGAAAACCTTACCTTATAAGCTATGAAGTAAGTATCTGATTCAAGTTTGTGAAATTTTCTTTCCCTCAATAATTTACTATCTCCATGAAAATATAACGCTAAATTATCAAATATCTCTATTAGGTGGAGGGTTGGGAGTCATATTACTTCGTCACTTCCTACCTTACTGGACAGCAACTGTCTTTGTACGGCGGAACGCTTCTGTCTCAGTTAGCTTGGGGTATCGCTCGAGGAGACTCTGGGGGAAGCGCAAGTCGAGCTCCTGATTTTATACTCGTTGGGAACGGTAAGTTATTTTTCATATTTGTAATTGGGCATGCAGTTAAACTTTGACGAAACAAAAAGATATAAATTGTAATTTTAATGGATTAATTCAGAATATTTATGACGGGTCTAAAAGTTTTTATAATATTGAACCAGATATTTAAATAATCAATGTCTTACTATGGGCACCTTACAGAAATATATTTTTCATTTACATATAACCTATACTTTTATTTAGAAATTATTAATGGCAAATACTCTGATATTAAAACTTGACTCTTTTGAATTCCAGATGGAAGTAAGCTGACTTACGGCAACACGAGCTATGAAATGCCTGGTCTGATAGAATTAGTGGCTCCTCTTGAAGAAGGAGGATGGTATTTAAACTCGGAGGTAGCTTCAAGGTCGCAGCTCATGGACGTAATGAGCAACTTGAAGTCAGTCATGATTCGAGCACACTTTCATTTTGATCAGGATGAGGTAATAAATCCATCGACTTTATCCAAAAACTCGTCTTTCTGAGACTGTCATATTATTTAATTAAATTAAACCTACAACTCCATCCACGAAAACGTATATCTTAACCTCACAATATTCTTATAGCATACATATATACAAGGCACAAAGGAAGGCATGATTTTCTGTTTTTTTTTTAATTCTATGCAACATAAACTTTTATCATATTTAATATAATCCATCAGGTTCGTCTGGAGTGGGCTCATATCCGAGGTTCCGAGGGCGGTGTAAGAGAACTCTGTACGTGTGGTCCACAACACGCGGGGACACAGTGTGAGACATGCGCGGCGGGACATGTGCGGCTGCAGCGAGCTCCTGGGGCTTCCCCCGCCTTTGAATGCGTGCCCTGTGACTGCAACATGCACGCTGATTGTGAATCTGGTTTGTTTCATTACACAATCCTATACTATCTAGTAATAAATATTGACAGTATTATATAGTTTAATACCGACTATGAAAAATATATGTATGTTATAACTTACAACATTTAAAACGTGTCTTCAGTAAATGGTCCTTGTGGCCCCTGTCAACATAATACCACCGGGCCTCATTGCGAGCGATGTCTTCCAGGACATTACGGCAACCCTGTCCAAGTAAGTCTCTAACAGTAACATCCAAATCAATGTACTAATTATTACCAGTTCATTATATTTATCTCTTTCCTAGGGTGCATGTAAGCCATGCGCGTGTCCTCTATATGAGCCGTCTAATAACTTCAGTCCTAACTGCGCCTTGGCGGCTGCTGTTGGTGATGATTACGTGTGCACGCAATGCCCGGATGGTTACGCTGGAGATCACTGCGAGATGTAAGAGAAGTTTGAAATAAGAGCAACTAGATTTTAAATATGATTTGGTGAAGTATAAGGATTATATATTAATTTCTTATAGATGCGACTCGGGCTATTGGGGTTCACCAGCTACAGTGGGAGGCTCGTGTCAGCCCTGTGACTGCGGTGGAGGTCCGTGTCACCCGCAGACGGGCGCCTGCCTCGTGTGTCCGCCACATACAGAGGGAGAGCGCTGTGATCAGTGTCAGGTCTGTAATTATAGTATACATTTATATAAAGATTGAAGTGTTCCATTTATAGGGTTATTGGGGATAAAAATCTAATCTGTTTATAAGGCTAGTAAGGTTTCAATTTGAAACATTTATTAAAAAAGTTAATTGAATGAGATCTATGATTTTCGAGAGTACTTATTTAAATGAAACTAATATTTTCGGATCACGGGCAGACGAGATGTGATCACGGTTGCTGAAAAGTAGCCGAAACGTCAGGAGTTTGTAGGTTATAGTCAAAAATAAAAACGCGAAGTAAAATCCGAAAATATTAGTTTCATTTAATTGAATGAGATTTATTTTATATTATTACTGAGTCTAAATTCATCTGTATTTATCAGGAAGGATACTGGTCCGGTGGAGACAATGGCTCGTGTATTGCATGTGGTTGTGGTTCGGGAGCGCTGTCACCGGCGTGTGACCCTCGCGCTGGGCACTGCGCCTGCGCACCTGGCTGGACGGGACGAGCCTGTGATGTCTGCGCCCCAGGACACGGCAGTAAGATCATTAACATTAAAATTTACAAGAGTATAAAGTAATATTATATGTAATGTGTTATTTATTCTGATGGTGATATGAGTTATCCTTTTACCAACACTTAGTGACGGCATCACGTCCACTTCACACCGCGATAATATATGGGTACTTACCATTACACTCATATTACTAAAGTTTAAATATTATGTGAAGTATTTTAAGTGTTTATACTATGTTATGGCACGCACATAGGAAACAGAAATGTATCATGACATAATCATTAATGGTTACATAGTTTGGCAGAAAGATCAAAAGTTATAAAAATTTTAAAGATAATTTATATTAAATATTTGTTCTTGTCAAAACAAATGTCTGAAAATAAGTAAATATATATAAATTTTGGAATTATATAGAACAAAACAGACAAAGAACGACCGATATTATAGGTTTCAGATTACTTAGGCTCACAAACATTTAATTAATTATTGCTTAAAGGAGTTATGAAGTTTTATTTAAATTAAATTTGTGTATATATGTATAATCTAAAAATTATGAAGTTTTATAAAGAACAATTTTGCAATAAAGTCATGTACTGTTCTTAATTGGAAATATAAAAAGATGATTCAGTGCACTTAAATTACAATATAAACGTTAGATCTAAAAAAGAAAAAGATTCGAAACTTCTGTATGTAGATTTTTTGTAACCTATGGACTACTAATATCTTTACTCTGAAATAACACAAACTTTTGTCCACCAAAGTATATCGCAATCAATTGTAATAATGTTACTTAATAGTGGGAACTAGTAAAGTATTGTACGTATACAACCTTAGATTTTAGAAAGATATTGTGGATCAAGTGGGTTCATTCAACTTGGCATCGTCACACCACGAGTACAAACGAAAAATTTTACGTTCCTCATTTAATAACTTATGCGAGTACGAAAATGTGGATATGAATGAATAAGTGTTAATACACCGTATCTAGTAATGCAAACTTAAAGAAAAATACTATTCAACTGATTTGTCAGTGTCATTAGCGATTATTTATTTATTTATTATTAACCAAGATCATAATCATAATTTTACTGAGATATTGTCCTGGAAATCAAACTGCGTTATACACTAAGCGTCCTTATAAATCATACAAATAGAATGACTACATTTCCCTTGTGTTTTTATCGCTATTCTAACTTTTCGTAACCACAGACGTGTCGGCGGGGTGCCCCATGTGTGCATGCGGCGCGGGCTCGTCGAGTGTAGTGTGCGGGACGGAGCACGGGGACTGTCCCTGTATGTCCGGAGCTGCCCCACCTCGATGCGACACATGTCTTGAACAACACTACAACCTGTCCACTACTGGCTGTTTGAGTGAGTACAGACATATTTATATTTTCAGCATTGTTGCAGGAATGAATTATAAAACAGATTTCCCTTTTTTTTTTTAATATATGGGTTTGTAGTTAACCCATAAACTAATTATGTAGTATTATATTTTTGATGCTGTACAAAAAGGCATCAAATTAGATGTCATTGAAGTTGTCTTTCTATTATTTTAAAAGGTAAGTACAAGTATATGGTAACATTATTTACTGAAATCTCATTATGTATCACGAAATATGAGGACAAGAAAGTTTATAGAGATTTTATTAATACACAAAACATACTTATAAAATAACGATTATTTTTTTCGGGCATTGTAATGGAAACCAAACAAGTTTATGCTACCTTCAATACCAGGTTTATAGTTGCAAGTGGATTTAGCAATATGAAAGTCTCATTCATATGGCGCCACATATTTGATCTTTTCAATTCGCATAAAATTTTTGTATAAGTCTATTAAAATAACTATTGATAATATATTAACTGTTTCGCATACTACGTGGTTTTTATTATTTTATATCTACATAATCGCGAAATTTCAACCGAGCGCTTAATCCGAGTGTTGTTCAACTTGTCAATACTTTACGTAATGAATGAAAACATTCCCTTTCTTTAATTCAATCGACATAGAATATGTTTTGACCTCGAATAAAACGCAATTCTATTATCTTAATTATTGTCAAGGGATAGTGTTAATTAATAAGTGGAACGGACTGAACAAATTAAATGTCAGTATTTGTGTTATCGCTGCGAAGAATAAACTTTTACAAAATCGTAACAAACTCTGTATGACCAATAGAGTAGGTGCTAATTCATTTATTAACTTATTCATTAATGACTTTAACTCAATCTTTGTGAAAGTGGCTAAATATTATTTGTGCATTAAATATATTATGTGCAATATTTTAACACGAATCTTTTCTTACTTCTTCTCAATTTGTGTGCTTGGTCCTCAATCTTCAATTATTTGTAATAAAAATTTATTATATGCATTATTTTTGAAAGAAACTTTTATTAATTCATCTCAATTTGTGTCTGTATAATTAACTAAGAATCTCAGCCTGAACGTTCTCTGGAGGTATTAGTACTAACGAAAAATCATTGTCAGTAAACATGAATTCGTTATCTGAGTTATTTTATTTATTATGTATTCAATGTCTAATTTAGATATCTTGTTTACTTTAGATAGCCTTTTATAATTCTTATTTTTAAATTATTAAATTTAATAATTTTCTCAAATTGTTCAGCTCATTTAGAAAGACATAAGAAAAGTTTGAAGTAAATTGTACTTTCATAAATCCACACTAACCTTTTTACCCTACCATGTATAATTTTATAAATTGTTTTAGTAGTGAGTGTACTGAAGAAATTATTTATTACCGAAGGATAATATCAAAGAGTTTCTCACATTTACCACCACTTATATATTTTAGTTCAGACTGCAGAGTTCAATTACAAACTAATAATTCACATATTTTGCCGAACACCGTCTCAAGAATATGATAATTGCTTTTAATTGCAATAAAATTCTACGCACTAGCCATTCATTATTCTTAGCGTATGTTTAAAAATAATACTTGAGTTTTACAGTCCCAGTTACTTTTACAGTCAAATAAATAAGAGGTAATCAATCATTGAATATCTAAAATTCTGTTCATACTTTAGGAATATGCAGTCGTAGTATAATAATTTGTTAGATTTTATTGAAATATGTACATACATTTAATCTACACAGGCAACTATTGATCTTGGCCAAGTAACAAATAGAATGCCTTCAGCAACTTACATCGCATGTTTCTCTGTAGTAGATTGAAAAGTTAAGTTTGTAAACATAGTTATTACTTCGAAGACCCGATTGCTTTCAAACGTCCTTATTATGTTTAGGATAATGACGCCTACATATCTAGACGCAGTTCTTTAATAATCATATTTAATATACGTTAATCTATATAAATTTATATTTACGTATATTTTTATATAAGAAACATATATTTTTCTCGCTTGCTTCTCACAGTGATGTTTGGAATATTTATCACCTTTTGATGTAATACGGTTTACGTCGTAAGCTACAGTTCGCCAGATGGCGGGCGGTTCTTTGATGAAATATTAACCACATATAGGAAACGCGTATCGTTTAGTATGGTGTGGTTTGTTAAATCTCTTTAGCGTTTATACATTAAATCATTTCACCAATGAGAGCGCCGTGTATTGCTATTCATATTTGGAACAAAAGCGTACATCTAACAGTGCAACTAAAATAGCCATCGTAATTTACATTGAAGTTGTAATATTAAATCATGTTTCATTGAATCATAACATTTCGTGTTATGTTGTTATCAAATAATACAATAATAAATGTTGTAAGCGCAATCTTCAATCCTATAATTAGCGTCGGACGTGCGCAGGCGCAGGCGTCGCTCCGTCTCTCACGTGCGGATTGTTTACTGCCTGCAGTCCGACTGTATTGACTGAGATTAATTACGAGAGGATAACTGTTTACCGTATCTTAACGTACTTTAGAGTCACACCTACTTTATGTACTACGTATAAATTTATATCGGTATGTGTGTTTGAATCTTTTTCATTTTAAAACGACAAGGCCTTTTTACTATAAGAATATCATCGTGCAACTTATCTGTATTTAAATATAAGTATATTCTGATTGATCATTAGGTGAAATTTAATATTTGCACTACTTTTTTTGAAAAGAATGTTAATGATGGTAGAGCCCAGCTGTGGTCAAGTTACTACAGCTCTAACATGGACTGGCTCGACCTGGGTAGTACCACAGTATAGGATGCATTTTGACCGATAAGTGCGACAGCCGGTTTCTTTTCCCTTTTCCCACCATTTCCTCCCCCTCTTCCACAGTCAGGGTTGGAATAGCATTCGCAACATCTTTTAAGTTGCAGATGTCCACGGGTAACGGTGACTACCTTCCATTAAATAGGCCGTTTGCTCATTTGCCATCTTTGACAAAAAAAAATATGTGTCGGTCAGATCAAAATTTATTAAAACCCTGTGGGTTATACTCGTACAATAATATCTTAAATCCCAGGACATGGATTGACTCGTACAATGTTATAAGTAAACAAGTGCATAAGATATAGAGCTCAAACCGGTTAGCAATCTGCACGCATCTCTTAACAATCGCCATTGAGTTGCACCGGATATCCTGAACTGTCTCGTTACTGACTCAGCTTTTCAATCCACCCAATAAGGTATGATGGAGGACTTCAAAGACAATTACCGAAACTGTTTACTTATCGAAGTTTCCATCTCAATAGCCATTGACGTTAATATAATTAAATTAAAAAAAGCACTATAAAATGTTTTATTACCTATTTGATATTCCGATACTAGTTTTCTAACCGAGTTCGAGTCACGAGTTCTGGCTTTAAATTTATGACTGCACTTACGGTCTGAAACTTACAAGTAAATCTCTTCATTTAGTGATATTCTTGCAAAACTTTAGTATGGATTTTTGGACATAGAAACAAAGAGACGAGTATACTGTTGTCTGTAATGAATGTAGAACATTGTCAATCAAAAATCAATAAACAGTTGCAGCGGCCTTCGTCAAACGGGCCAGTTAGCGAGAACACTGACTGAAACACATATGTTTCTCAGTTGGCAGGCAATTAATTTTCTTATTAGTACCAAGGCTGTGCGTAGGAAATAATTGTACCGTAACGACCACGACCACTAGATGAAGTAGAAGCATTCAAACACAACTGTAATTAGAATTAACACGATATTAAAATAAGTTGCTAATATGAATATCATATTAAAAGGTTTCAGCCTTCAGTATGGTGCATATCAAATTAAATGTACTATCTTTATCTCCTGATTATGGTTTAATTTTAATTCTAAAATGAATTTTAAATATAAAGTAATTTAAAAGTTTACTATTTTATATCAACAATATTTTTTATCATGTATAAGCATCTTAAATTCCGGTGTGACGAAGCCGTATATTTTTTTCGAGCGCAAATTTAAAAATATATATGCAGAAATTCTTAATAATCTGTATTTTTAGTTAATTTATTAGACTAAAAAAATGATGACTTAATGAAAACTTTTCAAACCTGTATGACTTAATAGACTGCTGACTATTATAAGATTTTTTGCTATCTCTTAATTAAAGAGCCTCAATAAAATCTATTGAATTTTTTTTTGATGTTATATTATTTCCATTCTTTTGTTGTTACGTGGAATTTTAAAAACAGGTTTTTAAGAATTCTCAAGAATTTTCGTAAATCCAATTTTAATGCGTGAAGTAGGCAATCGATTCCATGAACTAACTAATATTTTATGTCAATTTTATATAAAACATTACTAAGATTCTTTTATAGGAAATCCATGAAATGCAGAAGATTTAAAGATTTTTGTTTTTATTTAAGGAAATCTTATGTGAAACTATGAACAGTTGCAATATTAAAATGTAACGATTTCGTAACTTTTCTTCTCAAGAGTTCAGTAGTTGTCCCTTTGTCTTACTAAAATAAAATTTTATAATATATTTCATTAAACTACTTAGTTAAGTGAAGCCGTTAAAAACATACTCGTATGTCTATTATCTTTATTTTGAATAAATCTTCGGAACTAAATACTTATACATAAGTATGTACTTAGATTTATAATTTTTTTTCATGTGTATACACAATTTTTCGGTATACTTTTGATAGTTCATTAACTTTGAATACAATAAAGCTGTTCTGAATTTGATCCTTTAAAATGTTTGTTATTTTTTAAGGTCGTAAGTCTGATGGAATGTGAATCTTGTTACCTTAAGGTTATCTAGTTCAAATATCTTCTCGTAAATATACGATCGACTTTTGTTTCATTTGTATTTTGTGATTGTCTTTATCGTTAATAAAATCCATAGTAATAACTAGTTGGTCAAACTGAAACTAAAGCAGTTCATATAACATCGTATTTTTAAGTTATATTTTTATCATAATTATGTCATTGAGACTCGCGTATGAAGAACCTAAGGCATTAAGTCTTAAAATTTTAATTTATGAGTATGTTTAAAGATAAAGTTGGCCTTGGACACCGATTATATATAACTTCGATGTCTGTCAAATACAAAGTAGACAACAATACGGTCGTTGATCATCCGAAAATACTTATCTGTGACTGAAGTCATCAGGTTTCATTGATCTCAGTGACGTAACTCGAATCCAGCATCCGCAACAGTTTACACTTACAGCGACAGTATTTTTATTTCAATGATCAAATATAAGATAAGATTTGAACGTTTCCATACTATTGCGTCTCGTTTTGTTTTATTTTCTCGAGATAAAATATTTAAGAGAATTATGACAACATTCAACAAACTAAATCACCATAGAACGGTTGCAACACTGGAAGGACCTTAACGAGTGTCACGCGAATATATGCCTTATCTTCTACATTATAAGAGCTACAGGTGTCGCCGACCACCCGCAAGCCTTATCACACGTTATCAGAGCAATCTTGTAAATTAGTGGACACATACCGTTGTACTGCCCGTTAAGATGAGCCTATAAATGTTCTCCATTAGAATGTATCATGCTAAATAAATAGAATAAAGACATTTACTCTACTATCATCTAAAAGAACATTAACTATTTATTAATTCAAACAAAATTTAACAATTATGAAACAGGCATTGATGTTATAACACATTTCTAAGATAACGTAAATTCTTTTAATGTAATCTGTGGTATTTCGTGTAATGTTTAATATTTAGAGCTCTTATTAAGTTTCAACGTTCATTTACTGAGTCGAGTACTTTAATATAAATATATATTGTTAATAAACATTTGAATATCTATTTCAATAAGTAAATACAATTCTATAAATCAACCAATCGTTTAATTAAACGCTTTGTGTATACAAATTATAAACAAGAAATTAATATTGAGAAACTACAATTCAATGTATTTCATTAATTCTTAACTTCGATGTTCCTGATCATTTAGAGCGCACTGTAATTATATATTTTATTAAAACGCGTAATTTCGCACACTCTCGTTGCTCCAAATAAGGTTGCATAACGGTTCCCAGGATATAACTCGCATATAAAACAAGTTTGTCACATAATCGTCAACGGAAGCATGTTGAAAAAGCGCATTTTTAGCATCCCAGAAGCGAACCCCGACGAAGAAATAAGATCGCGGCAGCCGGCAAGCATAGCGGCTAGGCTGGCAGTTACCACGGTATAGTCGGCGTGCACGCACGCGGTGTGGTGAGGCACGCGTTACGAATATTACGTTCATGGTGACCCGTACGAGCGACTGAAGACATACATACATACTTCATATAGATAATTATATACTCTAAATCGGATACCCTCTTACACAACAATCAATTCAATCTCGTTGTGTTAATTGTCAGCAATGATGTGAGATCAATCATCACATCAAGTTACCAATTTATGGATGCACATCAATCAGAGTGAGTCCAGTGCGGGAGATGGTGGGATGATGCGGTGGATTGTGGTGGTGTTGGCCTTAGTGCTGGTTGTGGAAGCTGCTGGTCCGCGTCGGTGCGCTGGTCGCCTCGCTCGGGAGAGATTGAAAGCGGCTGAAAAGATCAGGGATAAAAGGTTCTACCTATTCTGCTGCACTTCCCCGTGCGCCAGTCCTCAGCGACGCAGCCGACCTCCGCCCACCACCAGACGCTACCAACCCTTCCACAAAACGTGGTACGGTCTCAAACACGGTACGGAACATTTTAGTACTCAAAATCTAACACTTTATTAACTCAAGATTTCGTTTGACCTGATTCTTACTTGTGCTGTACTTAGTATCTATATGATTTATTCAAATTTATTATAATTTTAAATGTTTATGCAGGGCCGTACGATTTTATTATTATTAGCGACACTTTAAATGATATCACCTGTAACAGCATAACGAGTTATGTTTTGATCTCGGTTCGTCACCCGAAATATACTTTTGTAAATTGATTTTTTAATGTCAGATGGCGAGAACACTTCTAATGATAATATCAGCTGTCGTTCATAAAACTTAGTGTTTTACTGTTTGTATAACTCTTGATATTTGTATGATACACAAAGTTTAATAATAGTAATGTTTATATTACTTTCGTTAAAAATGTAACGTTTTTCTAAATAATCGTCAAATAATAAATAAAATTTTGTGATTTAAAAAATCAATCAAAAAAACAACGAACGAAATTTTATAAGATTTGAGGAATGTACATACATCTAATATGTGAATAATAGAACGCTGATAAAAAATAATTAAAGGTCTACCGGACAAGTTTATTACGAAAGCACAAAGCAAACTATTAAATTTGGACTATTAATTTAATGAACGCATATATTTTTCTGGTCTTTGCCATCAGTGCTCCAAAACGATACAATTTCTCCACGTGCTTATACTGGCAAAATAAGAAGAAAAAAAATAACTTTAGACATTTATATAAAAATTAATTACATCCACTAGCAAATTAATTTTAAATCAATAAAATGTTATCACAAGAATAAATTACATCGAACGGAACTCCAAAAATCAAGAGCGTGATCTTTACAAGCAGACCCAGGTTATCTAAATAACAGGTCAATGAACCTTAGATATTTGAATCGGTGCCAAAACTCATTCATGAATCGAGCTGATAGTCCAATCGGGTTATTGGAACGGATTGGAGATAAGCTGACCTCATCGGCCGAAATAGAAACCGCCTTATTTGGATGCGCAAAAAGCGTTCGCCATATTTAGTACCACAGTAATGAGGCTTTGTAGTGTCCGCCTCATGCCTCCTTGATGGATTCAAGTTGGATTAATTTAGGTTTAAGAGCCTCTCCTTAAACAGGTCTATCTCCAGCTAAAAGATGTTCTCAAATTATATTAACAGCGGGAAAGTATTTAAATTTATACAAAAATACAAACTTAAACGTATAATATTCAGTCGATTGGATCGTTGAAGGCGTACGAAATGATTTAATAGCCTTAAATTATAGCAAAAAAACGTAACACACACATCGACGGAAAAAATCTCAACAGCCTTCAACTTTTGACATGTAACATGAACTTATAATAAGGTTTTTTATAATGATGGCTCAATACTAGTATGGAATTATAGAAATTTTATTTGAGATTAAATATAATAATTCTATACATTTATATCCAAATTATATACAATATATATTACATTGCCAACACTATGTTCTAAATTTTCGAAAGACCCTGTTTATTAAAATGAATTCTCATTAAAATTTAACCTTTAATTTTATAGTAATAAACAAGTTTCAATTACTCTGCACGAATTAATTCTAATATCTCTAGGCTGTACTTTGCCACCGCGTGGTACGTATGACCAAATAAAACATTATCAGATATGTAATAGACTTATTGTTATAAAATACTTACAAAAAATATTATTATTATCATTACATAACAATGAAAGCTCTTTAAAGTACTGAACTGTACATGAGAACTGAGTGACATCTTGCATTAAAATTAAAATTTAAATACTAATGAGCCTCTAAATGTTATAAGACCAGCTTGTGACGTACTGTGATCGATCACTCATCAATCAGGCAACAGGAACACGCGAATCCCAACAATGAAGCTATAAATATTCTATTAGAAGGGAATAATAAACCCCAAGTGGAAATAAACGCAGAGTGGAAATCGCGGACAACTTTTCGGGTCATTACAGTATTCAAAAAAAAATAACAAAACCAAATAAAATGTTTTATTTGTGTAACATATTGGTATAGTTACTGAAAGGATTTGTGTTTTAAACTTTCAACAAAGACTACGTAGGAAGAAATTGACAACAAACATTTCTTATAACAGTTTAGCTAAAATATTTTTATTTCAAATGTACCCAAAATATGTGCTTCAGATTTGTTCACATATCAACTATCTGTCATCGTTAGTAGATTAACTGATTTTAGATAATCCTTTAAGAGAACTCCATTCTTATATTTACATAATAATCAAAAAATGTCTTTATCACGACATAATTAGACCTCAAGGGCTGATAAAAAGTAATCTTGATGGAATTAGTGTTCTCAATCAAGTGGTCGCGTTTATCAATCGCCTGCTCTGTGTTTACGGAAATTGTATGCCAACATCTAGGGTTGATACTGCATTTTTTTTTTTCTTAAAATCACTCTTACTATCATATTTCTAATATAGAACAAAAACATACTTCGTCTTTTCAGTTATATATTTAAAATGTGAGGAAAATAATTTCTAAATTTTGTTTTTTTTTAGTATTGACACATCTTAAAATTTAAAAAAAAAATTAGAAACATAACCGATTGACGGGATTTTCAATAAACTCTTAACTCATTTTATCATAATGCATACTTATTTCACTTAATATTAAAAGAGAAATATTGTTTGAGTAACAAAATGGTTATGTCTCCTTATAACAGCCCTAGATCCAATTCCACCTCAGAACCGGTGCGACCAGGCATGCATGCTGTCAGAATCTGACCCGAGTAAAATATTCAACGGGAAGTATTTATCGATACGCCACATCACTATTGATGCATTGTTTCAATCCGCACATCACTAGGCCCGACTCAGCCCTTTGTCGATAAATCAAACCGTCGTGGTGTCGCCGTCAGCTGCTTTCATTGACAACATAGTTTATGCTCTATCTTGTACAAATATAATTAAGTTTACTTCTATGTACATTCATTTTTATATTAATATTTCATTTAATATATTCTATAAGCTTATTGGTTTCTATTAAAAAAATACCTAGGTTTTACAACAAAGAAAACTACAGGACTTATAGTAAAACCTTATTAGTAATTGAAAGGCCAATAATAGCTGATTATCATAATGTATGCACGCTAATTACCCAACGTGCTCTCTGCATTTCTGTGAAAAGGTCAGTGGCAGCGGAAAACCTTTCAGTGAGATAATTCTCACTGAGTTACCCTTACTTCCTTCGCGCAACAACTAAATACAATATTGGCAAACTTCTCACATATGTATGTTAATTCTAAACATATATGTAAGGTTTTTCTTTGTGAGTAGAAGAACTTTAAACTTTATACTTTACTTTATAATTTTTTTGTAACTTAAAGTACCCTTAGTGATTTATAACAAATTGTTTTCAATGATAAATATTGATTCACGAACAAAGAGTTCGTTGGATATTAATATAATCGTTCCGTCTCTCATTCAATGAATGTAACATTCGTGATAAAACTACAATAAACGTTTAAGACCGAGATGCGCACATTGTTCCAGACGACTATCGTATAGAGAAAGTAGGTTGAAACAAAGAGTTGGGATGGCACGCCCAGCTCACGTAGCTTGGTACATCACAATGAATACCATTGCGTATTTGTCGAGAATAGAAAGATAATAGCTTACACTCTAAAAAGAATAAAGAGACACACATCACATGTTATAATAATAGAGACACGTCCGGAACGAATCCCGAGCTGTTTTCACCATCACGCCTTATGTATAAAGCGAAGTTCCCGTCTAACATAGATCATGGTTAATTGTTTAATTCAATACATTCACCCTCTTGCACGCATACAATGCGTCGTTGTGGGAGTTATATCTCAATCGAAGTAACAACTGTTGCCTCCCAAAGGACTCATTCAGCTCGTCATTTGAACCGCGACCCGTGGGTCAGATGTAACCCCGGGTTTTTGGTCAATAGTCAGTTGTACAACAAAGCGCTCGTTCCGACGGATAAGCGGGAAAAGATGAAGCCTCTGACAGGACCTCCTGACGTGAGGTCGTTGTACCAAAATGAGATTTAAATTTGTTACAGCTTGTTTAAACATAGTCATGTTAGTGCTCTGATAATTGTTATAGAAACTTTCGATGTACATATATTTCATAACATAATTAAATTGGAAATAATTTCTTTAAAAGGTAGAACGGTGTTCATACTTATACTAATAAGATTGTATTATGCGTTGGTGGAACAGGATTTATTAAATTTAACAGACTATTTAAGTGCCAGCAACTAGTTTTATAGAATTCATTACCCGTTATTTAATGTATGTATGACAAAACGTAACGTTGTCCATTTCACTCATATAATCAATCATCAAAAACCGATAAAGCAACAATACTTCTGTGATAAATTAATTTAATTAAAAAAGCCCACGCGTTAGTTCTCATATAACGATCGTACTGGTTTGAGTGAGCATTTAATCCGGTAACAACTAATACGCCAAAAACGCCTACGAACATTTTTGGAATGGGCTGAAACTCTTAGTCTGACCACAAAAACCACAGGAAAACTGATTTTGAAAGAAAACACATATAATACCTCTATTTTTGCGTCGCAAATTAAAAATATTATTTCACAACATTTTTAATAGGTATAATCTAATTACTTTTTCACTCTACGAAATTTTATTTTTCATTAGGTGTAAACGTGTAATTCAAAACATATAAAAAAATAATAAATGATCTAAGTGTACATGTACCACGTATTTCAAAAGTTATTTAATAAAACTATCATAACATTGCAATTTGAATAATATTTAATGTACCTACAATGTCTAAGTGATCAAGTCGTATTTATTCCGAGCGCGTATTATTCTAGTTACGAAGTGGCTCAGTGCTAGTAACATGCATGAGTAGGAACCTCCTGAGAAAACATTCCGCAGTCATTCACATGACCACACCAGCCCTCCTAAAGATATGATCTACATCTACGCTACATCTTATCCACAGACGCCACTCATACTGAATCGTACTTCGAAATTCCATTTCTATATTAAATTCTATATACGCATCTATCTGTCTCAATAGTTCACAGTAGCCTCATAGTAAAATTTGCCTCATTCTCATTCCACCAAACTCGGAACGACTCAGACGTTCAATGTGGGTCACTCATTGAATAAAAACATCCTGGGTTATATCAAATTTGTTGCACAAAACTGTCAGACACATATTGCTCTCAATTCTTAGAATAAATTGAAGCATACATTTATGTATCTGTATGTATAGACGAATTGTGCAAGAGCATTAATAGTAAACGGGCGGCTTAATGCGATAAATTGGTGTGATTTGGAGTTTAATCTTGTAAGAATAGACACATTTATAACGAGAGTTTTTATGAAATCTAAGACTTTCGCGAGTATTCATTTTAATGAAACTAACATTTTCGGACAACGAGATCTCATTTTTCCGTGATCACGGTTGCTGCAAAGTAACCGAAACGTTCGGAGTATGTAGTGTTTAAATATAATAAAATACGCGAATATGAGCTTCATTTACTAGAAGAGTTTGTCGAAAAGGAAATGTTAATCTTTGACATGTTAATCATCGCCAGAGAAAGAGAAAGTTAGAAATTAAAAAATTAAGAAGTTTTTAATTGTTATTAAATTATCTTAATGTAGGGTGAATCACCTTAAAAAGATATAACAGAGATTTCATGAAGACGATACGAGAGATATTGTTTGTCCTTTTATGATAAAAGTACGTGTTTAAAATTCTTTTCATGGAAATTGATTTAAAAACTTTTAAGGCTTGTTGTCGATTATACTTTTTAACTTTTTTCGTGGTTTAATTCCATTCGTTTGTTTTGTTAAATATTTTCGACGAATGTGGCATATGAAATGTAATTTATTGTTTTTCTGTTTTGTCATTAAATTAATAACTGAATGGAATGGATGGGACATGGTGATAAGAAAATATAAGGAGAAATGAAAAGTCTTTCTGACAATATTTAGGTTGCGATTTACAAATGTTTGTAAATAATCAATACCCCGCTATATAATAGTTTGTTTTTCTTGGGCTTTTACGAACAAAAAACAAAGCTGCTTCCACTGTTTTGTCTCTAAAAGGACTTAAGTAATTCAGATTCATCAATTGCCATCAAATGCTTAAATATTCAATTAATTTATATCTGTCGCCGTTCCAATAACGTGTTTTAGCACTTTACTTCTTAACAGTTTTGTTTTATGCGTACTAGTTTCGCCCGCGGCGCGCCCTGATTGCCAGCGTACCAATAACACGGAATAATTCTCGTTATTAATTCAGCTTGATAATAAATAATCCATCTAATACTACCCCTTACGTATTTATAAACGTTTATGCATTTATTTTGCTATTTTAACACTTACTATTTCAAAAATTGAAGTTTTTAATTAAGTCTACAATGAGAAAGTTGTTAAAGAAGTCCCTGTAATAACCATATTAATAGCTTTTATCCGATTTTATGTATAAATCTACGAGTATAACAGCCTTTATTCTCATTTATGTTATTTGGTGTTAAATGTTGTGTTTGTAAAGTACTTCAAGGATTACTTGGAAAAACATTAATATCCAAAAGTAACCTCTCACCATTCAACAAGTTTCACAATCTTTAATGACATATATCGAAATAATTATAATTGCGTTCCACAAAAATTGTTCAGAGCCAATAGAAAGGTTCAGCTGCTTTTTATTCTTTTGTTTCTTGACATATAACCCTAAATAGTATTTTAATTATTTAAATATGTATTGCACTAGGAAGGATCCATATGGATTGATTTGACGTCTCATATGTAGAAAAGTCATTTATTATGGAATAACTGCTAAAATAAAATCTTCTCTTTAAAGACAGGATTCACTAATACTCGTATATGTAATTATTTTCGGAATCTTATTAAACAAATTTTAATTTTATTTATATTGTCGGAACATTGTTGCCTTATTTACTTTGTTCAAAATAATTACAAATAGATCATTATAGTTTGCACTTTAATTAAGAACTTTTAATACTATAACTAATCAAATATTTGTTAAGATCGAGATATTTGTACAGGTTTACACAGATACGAAAATAAAATTCGCTTTTGAGGAATTTTTCTTCAATAAGGACACTTTTATTAAGGAGAATCGATTAGTCTAATTTATGCTTAATTTTCGGCAAACAATATTTCATTGGTAATATAGTTATAATAACATCCTTCAAGTATACAAGCCAGACCACACAAACGAACAATACAACTAAAGTGTTTTGTGGTATTTATTACACTCATTTGAATAGGGAATGCATCTAATGAATTCCAAATGCACGAAGAATTTACTAACAGTCACCAGGTTGGATGTACAATATAAGGATGGCTATACACTACGCTTTCAAGAAAAAATATAGACAATTATCTTTTAAATAAAATCAAATTTCTTATATAATTAAAAGACACAATTGGGCAAGTTTTTTTGTTCTATAACTTGTCCACCCACGTTTGTAGACCTACCTTTAATTTCGTTTCAAAGTTGTACATATCCATCGTTTCATAACAAGATGTTTCATTACAAAATGTTTGTTAAATATGTACAAATCAAATGTAATGTAGTAATAACGTCAACAAAAACGTTATCATCTGTCCATAAATCATACTTTATTTAAAATACAAGAAATCTCATTGAGTGCGATTATGACCTCATAGTGCTAAGTTGATGGAAATCTTGTTTGAAATATCTTAAAACAAATCATTTAATTCTCATCATAAATACTTTGATACGTTTATCAAAGAAAAAACATCTGACGTTATTTATGAAAAGTAATTAATACTATAAAAGACTTTACAATAGAATTCTGAACAATGATTAAATGAGAAATCTTTGTTCCGTTGCTTGCGAATTGCCACAAGCTGAATTTGAATTCTCTGCCTCCTTCATACACTGTACACTTGATTGATTGTACACCCAGCTCCTCGCCTCCAGATCAAGCAGCGATTATGCAAACTAATGTCTTCATATAAATATGAATACTACACAGCTATCTATATAATGGTCTGATCAAATGATTAAGTGCCACCAACGGCACTTATTCCTATTGCCGTCGGCGATTGTTATTATTTGTTACTAATAGGAACAAAAGTAAACAGAAAGTTTTGTTTGGACACGTATTATAAGTGAGAAGTATTAGTTTTATTATTCAGATGTTAAGTGAAAGTTATCAGTATTTATAAAAAAAAACATATCTCCTGGCTACCAAGATGGTCCTAGCGACATAAGTCTATGACAAAATTGTCATTTAATGTACTTTAAGCAAAAAGTAACGTCGTAGTTAGTTGAGGAGTACTGTTATTAGCAACTTTATAGTTGGCTGTATCTCGAATGAAATCGTCGTGAATTCTAACAAGATGTTTATGTGCACGCAACATCGGTATTAACTAATAGTAGACTATCAAATCAATAATTATATATTTCTCATTATTTCTTTATGTGAATAAAATACGTTGAAACCCAACGGTTTATTAATGGAAACATAATATTACTGTTTTACGATATGTCGACGACTATGAAATAGTTTACGAAATTTATGTGTATCAAAAATGTAGAAGAAATGTTTGTCTTAATCAGAATACCGAAAAGTTTAAACTAATATATTAACTTTGTTAGTTCCAATGTAAAATTGTCATTAATTCACATTAACTTTATAGTTATTTTTCTCTTAATGAATAAACAACTCCGAGCTTAATTTATATTAATAGATATGTTTAAATCCACTTGGAAAGTATTCCTAAATCAGTAGCGATTCTATAAATCTCGGATGACTGTGAAGTAAATTAAGTGGCCATTAAATTAAAGGTAAGCGTAAGTCGATAACGAGAAAGGTTGGAGTGCAGTGAACACGTCACGTTACTTGGATACTTGTGGAAGATATAAATTAAAACAAAGACCCTTTGATGAATATACGAGAAAGAGAGATATAAGAAGAAAAACAGACTTGAATATGATCCGTCCATTATAATTTTAAGTTGTCTAACGTTCAGAACAGCGTCTAATTTATTTCAACTAATTTGATTAGTGGCAGACATTCTTCAGTGGTATCGAATGAACTTTTTGTTTTATTTATAACGGCTATTAGACTCCGTGCGTGATGGATGCGGCAATCAGCTCGGATCATTTTATTTTTATATCTACAACATGAATACCAGATAGTATAGGGCGCGAGTGTTTGAATTGTCCTGCTTACAACATTCATAACAGAAATCTGTATGGACATGAACGACCTTTGAATTTTCTAGTCGTGTTATGCAATGTACCGGAATATAGGACAAACTTGTTTTTGTATTAATAATTCTGAATATTATCATACTTCTTTGTTCGTGCCGTGTATCCCTTCACTCATTACACACGCACCATTATCTTATCGCTGGACATTTCTCAAATTCAAATTCCGTCAACGGTCAAACTAATTATGTATGGTGTCAAATTGGTTGGAGCATAACAATAATGAGATAAAATGAATTGCATCATCGATGTCCCCAATCTAGGAGACGCTGGACTGATCGATTCGACGGGCCTCGCTCTGACGCCCCGACAAGGTAAACCAAACAAGACATCACCTTCATTGATCTAATGTCTTAAAACAACCACATAGAGCTCAATTTTAATTGATATCCAATTGACGACTGTAAAATATTTGGCAAAACAAGTATGGTGTGACAAATTGATCGTGTAATTAATTGGATTTGAAAAAAAAAACTGATTGCGCTGGACAAATCTATCGGCTGGAGGAATAAGCGTTGAAGGAAAATTAATCGTAATTTTATGTACTCGTGGAGATTTATTGGTTAGTACTAAATCAATGGAGCCTTGTACACGGTACTTGTAGTTTTTTATAGAAGCAGCTATCTTGTTCTGGGCGCGCCTACAAGGCTTACAAAGTTTTTGTACTTACGTCAGCGAGCTCGCACGAACTCTTCTGGGAGCGGCTGTTTAGAATAAGACTTTATAAAACTAATAAGATGTTAATCCTGACTCCAACAATTTATTCACACTGATTGGATGTACCGTTAATCTGTTGTTGTTCCATTTAAGTTGAATCGTTTCTGGTTCATGATGTACGAGAATATTTATTGTGTTTCAGATGCATGTAAGTGCCCAATTTTGATATCTTTACAACCGATACATCAATTTTGAATGAAACAACATAATTTTAAACAAATATCACCTCTCGATTGATGCGTTCAGACTGAGTCTAACATATTACATTACTATCGTATAAAATTACTTCACAAGCTGAAATTCTCCGTTACTTTTCTATAATTATATATATTTTTCCAATGTTCTGCCAATTGACTGGCTATAGTGGGTCAGATGGTATGATGGCGGCCGCCGGCCGGTGGTACCGTCACTTTAGGCTGGCGAGTTTCGTGCTCGATGTTAGAGATAAAGGGAATTGTGAAATTACAAGTATAGGCGTGACTTAGAACGCTTCTAATTGACGGCTCTGCTTGTTCCGAATCTTAATCGTTGCTTTAAGACCGTGTACACCTGACAACTGGATCTGTTATTGAAATATTACATAAGAACCAGGCAAAATACTTACCAATTTAATATCAATTAATCAATTTAATTTCATTTATAATAATGATGCTATTAATACCAAGTAAATAAATATATAGTTAATTTCTGAATTCTCAAGAGCATAGTTAGAATTCTTTTCGCAGTGGTATGCTATGTTAATAGTTGAACTCTGAGAAGCCATTTATAATCCAGCATTCATTTGTAAGATATTTATAGTGACTTTAAAGACCTTCATTACAAATATATTTTAATGGATCCATTATATATATTTGTTATAAATTTTATCGCCTCTATGAAACTACCAGGTGGATACTACATAAAATTTAATTTACATTTTACTCTTGTTACCCCAGTTTTGTCTCGACTGGTTTCCGTAAACATTTATATAATAAACTAAATACAATACAAGTTTCCTTTATTGAAACATTCATATATATCTATATACATAGTATAAGATACACTCAAAACTTTTACACTAAAGCCCGTTAACTTTGTATAACTGTAGCCTTAGAAATCTATTTAGAATCAAATAACTCTTAAGAGATTAAAAATAGTTTATCTCCATGTTTGTTGTGGAGATGCTATTGTGGTATTTCTATAGTGATTCATATTTCATTTATTGTTCTTACAACGAAAACTTGGTGTAATTTTTTAAGTTATATAATTCTTTTAGATGAATTAGCAATGAATTGGAATTGAACTAAAGTTTTAATAATGTTTTATTTGATATATTTTATACGAGTGGAAAAAAACTAGTATTCAATTGAAAAAAAGTATTTGATACACTGATTTTATCTAATATTTCTGTAGTTAATACTATATTACAAATAAAGATATATCTTACCAATATTCGTGGGTGGCCGCTGACACTCTGCGAAACCTTACACGGTAGGTCACTAAGCTCCTGTATTCACTATCACCACTATACTACTAATTGTTATTTTAATCCATATTTGGTAATGTTTTGTTGTATCATTGGACGGCTAAGCGTTAAACACTTTTGAATATTATGAATAATAAATTAGTCTTATGAATAATAACAGATTCTGGACGCAGTTACGGAATACATTTTTTTCAAACTTTTTCTACTAAATAAATTTACATAAATATTTTCATATAAATAAAACCATAAATAAATACTAGGTTTTCGTTGAGACTTTATAAACGTATCTAAGTATGACAGCTCAGTGAAGCGTATGTCAATAGGATTCTCATGATCTCAGTATAAACGTGCGCAGATCGACTAGTGGGCACACGCCCACGCTCGCCCACGTTCTTCTCAATGAAGCTGCACTGAATCGAGCTTCAGCGCTAGATGACTGTTCCCAAGTACTTTCTACTATCATTCATACTGCTATTAATAACTGGATTATCGCCGACGGCCCCGCACTGGTACGGCTGGATCCTAACTCAGCGTTATGATAGGCATATTTATGAAGAGGCAATCCTAAGCAGGTTCCGCCCACGAGACCTTCGAATGTGATCTAAGGAACTCATTGAAGTAAATATCAAAGTTTAAGCTGACACCTAACTTAACATTTTCGACGTCGAGCAGCGTCTATCTGTGGTACTTTAATGATGTCGCGCTAAGCCCCGCTAGCCGTTCAGACTTTTAATACATATTGATACAAGAAAGTCTCGTAAATCTTCCGAGACAGGTGTGTATCATCATTTCCTGTCAATTGTGACAAGAAATAAATTGTAGCCAATGAAAATGCATTAGAAAACTATAATTTTTATTAAAAGAAACAGCAAGAACTTACTACATAATGCAGGAGGCTTTGAAATCAATGTGGAAGTGGAGTCGTAGAAACGGTCCCGTTGGACTCATTCCAATGTTATGCCCAATATTGTTTCATATAATAACGACTTAGGGCTGCGGATGACATTATCGATATTTTATAATAATTATTATTAACATATATATTTTCAATAAGCAACTTATCGAACTCAATCTGCACACAAAACGCACTTGTTATACAAACTAATATATATACATACACATACATATATACATATCTTATAGTCTAAACGTAACGATTTCGAATTTTTTTTAAAGAAGTCTCAAAATTCTTATAAATAACATTATTTTCTAAGTGTAATACATATCGCGTGAACCCTATCTCGTATAAGCGTGCCAGTATAAGTTTATAATAAGCCAACAATGTCCATTGAGTGGACGGTCGATATCATCGCTCACGACTTTATCCGGCTGTGTGTTATCATCTTTATTTACAATCACAGATTCGCTCCGCACTATCACTAAACAAGGAACTACGTATTATATTATGAGTATATAATAATTTAATTTAATAAACCGCAGTGTGAACCCTGCCTTGTTAGCTGTGTTCATTTATTAAGACACGAGATCGTTCTGACCGCACGAGCCGCTTTTTGTAGACAGTCCTCGATAACACCGTCTTACAAGTTTACACGTTGATGGGATACTTTGATATGCTCCTTTCGAAATGATTATATATATATATACAATATATATGTATACATAACTGTAACATAGGGATGCTATCAAGATTACAATGAATTAACAATCTTATTCTGTTCTATAATAAAGTCTAGTTTTATTGTTATAAGGAATAGAAATAGACCAAAATATAATTAAGATATTACTATTAGAGGTAAAAGAAAAAGAAATTGATATACCTAAGTGTTTATAAAGATACGAATATAGGAATACATACTCGTAAACTAACCTTCAAACCATAGAGTGCAATGAAATTGAACAAAGAAAACAAATCCGCTACAAATAGCTCGTCAAAGTCTGCAAATGCTAAAATAGTGCGGCGCGATCACGACTACTCGGTTAGCATAAAGTAAGCTGGAGCTTGTATGGACCTCAGCCATTACCGGAGACTGTTACATGCAAATTGAACAATAAACATGATGATGTGGAACAGAAGATATTTGATAGCTTGATCGCCATAAAATATATACAAATAAATAACTATTACTTATCACATATAAGCATTTTATTTATGATAATTCTTAATATTATTGAGACATATCTAAGTAATGAACGCAATTATATGCTACACTTAAAATCAGTACATGAGATGTAGCAATAAAAATAATATTTATTACAAATACATACATATATTTCTAAGACTATAATTGTTTTCGGTTTATTTGTATTATATTGTAATTACTTTCTAATGTAACATAAGCTTCGCCTGTAAGCTGTGGCCACTCAATCAGTAATGTTACCATAACGTCGTTCAGTTCATGGAATATTTGTTTTCGTCAACAATTGATGGTGGTGTTTATAAAACAATGGGAGGTGAACGACTCCCATGGCTCATACTCAGCAAATACAGCCAGGGCGATTTATAAATGTTAAATTTCTCTCAAAATATGAAGGCTTATTTTAAGAGGTAAATAATATGTCTGTATTATGAACAAAAGTAACGTTTTCTCTATAGCAAAACAAATACATGTTTGTGAATAAAATATGTTTATATAAATTTAGTTCAATGAAAGCTACAATAAAATATTTATCTTCAATAATTAAATCACAATAAAAAATATGTTTCTTTGGTCTCTTATACAAAGAGTTCTAACGTCAAACTTTATACATTTTTTTTACAATTACGGAACTTTCTTAAGAGTTTAATTAACACTAGATATCTTAAAACATTATTTTAATCCGGTTAAAATTTAAACCTTTATATAACCAGGTTTGCCTTTTGTTGACATTTACTGTGAGAACTTCGTGAAAACTGCTATTACTGGGCTGGTAAAGGAATAAGCTTTTACAATAATCTATCTTCTACATATTCCACTTATGATCGCGCTCTTTACCGATGATGTGAGAACTAACAGCATATGTTCCACAGAAATACCAATTCCAATAAAGGTCTAACAGTCATGTCACCGCGTGTCTCATTGTCAGTCAAAATATCAATATTGGCCATGAGTTTTGACGAACAAACAAACTATACTAGGTTGTATATCATTGCATTTCAATGTGTTAACGTTGTGTACATTTGAAATAGACGTTGCTAAATGACATGGAACATTATTATCTATAAATCAGCACATTCCAGCGTCCGTCTGACGCCGATCTATAATACATCTATTCATAACATCGCGAATAAATTACTTGAACATTTAATTGTACTCTTGAAAACCTATATATAAGAATATTAAACAATCTCGAAGTTATAAAGATGGCATTTGATTCAGTCAACATCATCTGCATTCAAATTACCTTTATAATATGTAATCACGATCTCAAAATTGCTATAAGCTCTTACTCATACCGATCGATTAAAGGTGTGTTAAAAGTATATCCAATATAAAGGTTTCTCAACCGTCGCTCATTTCACAGTTTAGCGATGTATATCTAATCTGAACTATTTTAATTACTAATATAGCATGATATTAATACAGTCATTATAAATCCCTGGACTGTTAACTGCAAAATAAATTAAACGCGAGAACAGCGGTGTAATACACTAGTCGACCAACATTCCGCACTTTATAATTAAATGATAAGAATCCGTATTCGTTTCACTCGTTAAATTCGTTTGTGTCGTTTATTAAATTTGATATGAAATAAATATAAACATTCCTTGCTGTCATATAAATTATAAACTCTATCGACTTAAATCCTTTCTCAAACATTCGCTCTTTATGCGACAACAAATACCCAGAAACAACTGTAATATTCATATTCTTGATAAAACAAATATATATTATCGGGAAAAACGAAATACTGCTTAAATCTTTCCATTGAACAGTATTTATTATAGATACAGGTATAAGGCATGGTTGAGTTTCAGTATAAAGCAGACGTTGGTATCTTTGCTGGACGGAGGTGAACGTAACTGAACGGCCACTTAGCGCTTCAACGCTCCCTCATTGATAATTCCGACTACCGTTCATGCTATGAATGAAAATTATTTTAATTCAGTGAACATTTAAAAGATTTTGTTATGGAATCGGCTCTAATTATTTAGTTATTATTTTATGTATCTTTTCTAGGCTGGGAAAGTGACGTTTCAATGTTTTTTTAGTAAATAAAGAACCATTTATTTTCTGATTTCTATATAATAAAACATATAAACCAATATAATGGAAAGATATAACTTCAATATGTAATTATAGGAGCATATTAGTGTGCAATGATAGCTGTCGTGATTTTTATGTTGCGTATTGTCATAATGTCATTTAAGTGTCATTTTCAAAACATCGCAACCGTTACTAATATAAAATGATTATTGGAATGGACATCATTAGAAATGTAGAAATCGTGAGCATTCTATATTAAATGTTCATAAATGTATATAAATATAAATAAATGTGTAATCATACACTTTATTTATTTTATACTACGCTACAATATTATATGTATTTCTGTAGAGATATTATTTTGTTTTCACAATTGTATTTCATGAATCAAATTTATATTAACGAAAATATTTAATTAGTAACATAACTATAGTAACATAAATTTTGTTGTACATACATGTTCTCCTTAACAAATTTCCTACCCATAACTAGTAAGATTACCCCAAGTTAGTTACCACGAAACTAAACGCTCATTACTCATTACTCATACAATAATCTAAGTTTATAATATAATATAAGATTTACGAATGAAATACTGTTAACGCTACGTATGTAGTGTGGCGATGCCAACTTGTAATGCAAGTACAGAACCCCTTTGTTGACAGAATAAAAAAAATCGTCTAGTAAAGAGTAGAATTAGAATAATAATTACAACATGAAATTAATATACTATCATCATCTGAGAATTTTGTATAAATTGAAGAAAATAATGTTGACAATATTTCTTACTTAATATACATGTATTTGTTTATAGATAACAAAATCATTTATTAAAAAAAGTATGAAAATTGTCATCGTCATTTATGTAATTTAATATACATATTATTAATATACTTTTTATACGTACATGAAAAACTGTAAATTCTAAAGAACGTTTTAATAAAATTAATTCTACCTATAATATAGAGTCATTGTTAGTTGTAGATATTATCAGTTCTATAGTAGCCAGTTGGCTGTTTGTGAATCGCGGTCACAACGTATTTGTAAGTCAATGTTTCAGAGCGAGGATCCCGGCAGGAGATACTGAGATTATTTCACACTTAAACTTATTTATAACAAAGTATTACCAAAATACTTTTATATTGTTATTGTATTGTTTATAAATAATTCATTTTTTGATGGAATTCAATCCGCATTCCAGAAAACTCCTCATTCCAGAAAACTAAATTTCGTCTTTAAATTCCCTTGCGTGTTGTGTACCTGATATTTTACTTCGACAAGTCTGACTGCGTTTATTTTAAAGTAGGTCTGGTGATCTGTTTTAAAATCCCTCGGAACAAACAATTTCTTGGCTGACATACATATAACATTTTACTTACCATACATGATGATAAAATCATTATTCTCTATTATTATTAAATTGTAACACTTGAGTTACGTAAATGAAAACAAATACAGCGATTTCAACTGCTTTCGATATTTACATTCACCCCGGGGTCATGGAGCGGCTTCAATTAACACTTGGATATTCACCGTCACTGATTAAGCTGCGTTTACATTAGAAGAACTAGCGTCTAGACAAAAACGACTCCTTGAAAATGTATAAGATAGTTCAACGTTCTTAATAAAATTGATTTGTTAAAACATCAACATTGATATTATCTTTAACTTTTATGATTTATTAATATATGGTTAAGGGTACTTTATTTTTCTCAAAAAGAAATTATATATGAATTAGTTTAGTGTACAAACTCCTTTATAACGAATCTGAAGTCAATGGACTTGTAGTAATCACATTCTATTCGTATATGGTTTCTTTCTGAATTGTTTCTCGTCGATTTTACTAAATATGCTTTGAAATACGTTCAAGTAAAAAACAGAAGTCCTCTTTTAAACAATTATCACAAATGCCAACACTAAATGGCATAAATAATAATAATTGTATATATGTTCTAATTTATTCCCGTTGCACTCTTCGTTACTAGATGATCACGAAACAGTCTCACTAGTGTTAAAAACTCGCTAACAATTTTTTAAGTAAAAAGTAAGATCAATAAATTCTGAATGCTATAATATATAATTTATTTACATAAATATTACTTGAAACTATTTAATTGTAAGACTTCTAATATAACGAAAGAAAGACATATTTTAACAAATATAGTTTTATTATGGTTATCTTAATTTGGCCTATTAATACATTTACATTATCAATAAAAACTCTCAGCTTACATCACGTGTTACGATCAATTGAAGTTGATGAATAATTTTAACTAATATTTTTATGAAACATCAAGCCGTTAAAACTCAAATGACCATTTTCTTGAACTACATCGAATGATTCTGTTTCTAACCGCTGTGACGACTGTTTCTCTTTGATTTGAGAGTAAGCATTTAAAACAGAATCTATGTAACGGTACAATTTTATAGGAGATAAAATGCCAAACTTTCTTAGCTATATTTAATGGAAGTGATTCATTAGAAGTTCCAGTTGATTGTAGTTGCTCGTTTCAACTGCAATGAAACTGATAATTGCTCTAACTTGACCCGATTACATTTCGTAAAACATCAAGAATCAAACGTTTAAAAGGTTACATCATTGTAGTGTTAATTGAGGCCTTAATTATAGTTACGAATTTCCCTCAATTACGTACTAACAGACTGTTTATATTGAACCAAGGACCTGACATGGAAAGAGAATACTCCAATAAATACTCGTAAATAGTTTTCCAGTTCAATAAATTTGTGTTTTGTATTCCACTAACCTATATTGTATTTCCTGTGTAGTAACTTCAACGTTTCATGTGTCGTTAATCTAGGCTGGGCAACGCGGCCTTGGTGTCAACCTATTGTCAAACGTACTTTTATCAAAGAAGTTAACTAGGTAACTTATTGTGTTGTAATTAACTCGTTTTTAGAATGAAAGTTCAATCAACACTTAAATATTTTTACAAGACAAATCTTAAATTGAAGGCAATTATTGTGATAAAAATTCTTGACTTTCTCGATCAAAAGTTACTAGGTTGTTAAAGGTAATAGGTATTTAAGGAAATAAAATTATTTAAATTATTGCCTACTTAGTCAAATATCATTCCCTATTTAGTAAATAGGGTTGGGCCATTTTGTCTGTGACTAACAAGAACTTTGATAAGGCCGTATACTTAACTCTGAGGTTGAATTTGAATTATTTCATTTCTAAAATCCGATGTAGACATGAGATTAATGCTTACTGTTGGCGGCCGATAAGTTACTTAACACCTACTTAAAAGCTAGATGCAATTAATAATTAATAATAATAAATAATCAGGTTACATTTACCTTGCATATGTTACTTATTTGTTACATTGTTAGATTCTGCACTTTATTTTTTTTTATATCTTTAGTTAATTTTATTAATCTATTTTGTCATACTCGTATCATTATATTATTGGCTTGATGTCTTTTATTGCTTAATACATTAAGTACAAAATATAAATGTATTGAGATGTCAATGTAATTGTGAGTTAACGATGATGAATTCCAGTGTACGGAAAAACCAATATTGGTTTTAAGACACTGAAAACTTAGATATAAATGTAAAAAAAAATACCAACATAATTGTAATAAATAAATAAATTATAATTATAACATATTTTATATATATATATATATATATATATATATATATATATATATATATATATATATATATATATATATATATATATATATATATATATATATATATATATATATATATATAAGAGAGAGTTAAAATAAAAATCTTTCCAAAAAGGGGACAAAGAATAGACATATGACAGAGGATGCTTTCATCTTGTCTGCGTTTAGTTTTAAAGGGATCAAAACGTCAGGATTATCTAGTTATATATAAAATAATACAAAACGCGTAGTATCCAAAAAACTAAGTTTAATTTAAACAACACTTAATAAAAGAAGAATATTTGAAGTCATGTATAATTCTTTCTACTACATCTAGAGTGAGATACACCTGTGCTCATACACCACGAGTGTATCTAACGGCTTGTATTTATTAATATTATATTATTCCGTGAAGCATTTCATATCTTTAGATATAATATTAACGAGTTGCAATAACAAAACGAACACGCGCATCTCAAATTCGTAACGTATCGTGTGCGTTGATCAAAGTGACATTTATTTTCAAACCTCATAGCCTCATTGAACGTCCTGCCAAGAATATATTAACGTTTATTAGTCTAACGTAATTTCTCACAAAAGATGTTATTACATATATGTGAGATGCATTTGTCGCGGTATCGTTCTGTACTCTAACTAGGCCGACCGTCCGTCCGTCTGTAATAATAAAACTATCAGTGCATCTGTAACCAGAATAGAACTATATCATAACTAGAAAATGTTCTTCATATTTACAAAGCTTTGAGATATTTACATATAACAAAAAGAAATCCATAGTAACGCGATTTTTTATTAGCTTTTTGTAATTCTTTTTTGATGTTTCAGTTATTTTTAGAAGCAAGTAGTGTCAAAATACTGTTGAAACAAATAACCGAAAAAGTTGTAATACAATATGTACAAACATCAGCACCTGTTTGTATTCTTTTTGTATTCAACGCCTACGAGTAATTTCCATTGTTATAACATTCGTTTTAAATTTCATGTATTCCGTTAACTGTGAAACATAATATGAGTAAATATTTAACCATTACAATCAAACTCAGACATAATAAATAAATTATTCGCATTGAACAAGTTGACATCGATTCCTTGAGAAATATTTGGTGAACAATCTCCAACCTTGCATTCGGAGCGCCTGGTGCATTAGCCGTGAGATAAAATCCCTGTAAGTGGTTAGTTCGGCCTAAACGCTGAGATAGGACGTACGGAACCTGATGTTCCACGTCACTGTACTGATACCTTTAATTAAAACCAGCATTCCTAAATAACAGGCTGATTGTTCGCGATTTCTTGTTTCGTGATTTGTTACAAGATATGCCTGATGATTGCAGCCGCTTGATAATGTTGTCTGCATTCATGCTCCTTCAATGGGTTTCGGATAAGGTATCAGGTCCACAGAATTATACCATCATATTCACGGTTTGCATAATGTTAGATAAATTTCCATATAAATGATTTTCTTTCGTTTATACTTGATGCAATGTACTTCTACTTATATTGTAGAATAAAAATACACTTTATTTGTAGATATAAAGAACGTTTTCTTGTTTCAGGTTGCAACTGTTCGTCGTTGGGTTCTGAGAGTAACGTGTGTGACATACGCTCGGGACAGTGTCGTTGCAGACCGCACGTCACCGGCCGAGCCTGTGACACCTGCGAGGTACGAACTGAATATATTTATAAGATATTACACTTAACAACCTGTATATGAGTAAAGGAAAACTTGAATCAATGTAAATACACGTATTAAATAGGAGTTTATGGGCAGGCAGTCCGATAAGTATTGGACAACATGGCGACTTTACATAAATTAGCAGGTTAAAGGCTAATATGATAATAAATATATTTCATAAAGCAAATAGAAGCACCAGCGAACCCTCACATAAAAGACCACCTCGTTGCATTTATTACGAAGCTACAAATCCTTCACTACAAATTGCGGCCCACTCACAAATCACTACTGACCGAATGCCATTTAATTGAATAAACGACTTGCAGTTCCAGGCCGAGTGCCAATTACTGGCATTAGAGCCACTTTGCTCGAGCACCTGCTTGTGAAATGTGGGAATAAAATACACAAATTTTATCCATTACTACATAGACTTCCGAGATTCCTCCCTTTGTGTTTAACAATCACCATTTACTTGTCAAATAAAAAAGATTTTTATTTCAAATACAAGACATCTTTCTTGTAAAATAAAGCTAACCTTATGTTCATGATTCATAATACGAAAATTACGTATAACTAATTATTGAGATACAAGATGCTAACATTTGAGACCATACCTTCCTTTCCTCATAAATTTTCTAAACGTTGCAATATTTCAAATCAACTTTATTACCTTATGTATATTTTGATATTAAAACAGCTAATACTTTAATTAGCATAATTAATCTTCGGCACTGAAAGTCGTAATAGTTATAAGACTTCATGGGAAGTAAATCGCAAATTTATAACCCGTATAGCTGGACTTGTACTAAATGTGTCTCTAGTAATTTATCTATGTTTGTAATGTCAATAATGTTAGAACATAAAACCTTATAAGGTTTAGTAATTCACCTCACTTTAATATCTTGCTAGAATATTTTGCACAATTTAATGGTATTAAATGTCGCTCTTTATTTTGTTAACTTTAAGTACTTCTTGTTTATGACTTCATCAAATCAAAATATTATAGAGTAATATACTTTCACAAACATAAATATATACTGCTCATTATCGAAGCCTGTTTTGTTTAATGACATAATATTTTATCTTAAACATTATGTTCGAAACTAATAATGCATTTACAATAATTTCTCTTTTGTCATATTTGCAATAATAATAAATACAACTTATCGAGCGGTGATTGTGGAACTATTAAAAGTCTAGACTCCAATGATATCATATAATTCTCATGACATAGTGAGGAAAACGTCTTGAAGAAAGAACTTCTGGATATAGAAGACATCAAACTTTCAGCTAGTTTTTAAAACTATATAAATCGAAAATTCATATCACGAAATCATTAATCTCAGTACAGAATTTCTATTCGTTCATTCATAAATTACCAAGTGTCATAATTATTATTGAAGGTATTTAAATAACAAAATGAAACTGTCATTGTGTAAATAAGACTCGTGATACGGGAGCTGTTCAAATCTTACCAGCTCAGGAATATTTTGTAGTCCTTCATCAGGATCGAGAAACTGTAGTTGACGTCTCCATATTATCTTAGTTCAGTTCACTATCAAAAACATGCAATTCATTTATCATCGAGACGAGATACTATAGGCGAAGACCAAACCACGTGTAAAATTTGCAAATAAGCTATTGCTTGTTAGAACACATAGGCAGTATTTATTGGATAACATGAAATAAAAGGATATCTAATAATGTCGTTCAGGAAGGCTACTGGGGTCTCCACCATGGAGGTTGTCGTCGCTGTGAGTGTGGTGCGGGGGCTGCGGCCTGTGACCCAGTCAGCGGTCTGTGCGCCTGTTCACTTGGTGTAGGAGGGGCGAGGTGTGACCGATGTCTCAGCGGATACTACGGCTTTGGACCCACTGGATGTTTACGTGAGTCGAACACTTTGTATGTTTTATTCAGTTCACGATAACAATAGAAAAATTACTATTTGTGTTCTGCTATATCACAATTTTAAACTATACAGGGTGACTGGTGAATTACTATCGATACTTGAGGACGTGATATTTGACGATCATATATGACAAAATAAAAAATAATATAACATAAATATTGATAAACTTCTAAGTAAAGTTAACCAAAAGTTATGTAATTAATTACGCATCGTGCGAACACCCTACAGATTAGGTATACACACACACTCACACATACGCGTGGTGTTGTATCAGCACGCCGCCGCACGCGTCCACACTTGGAACACTTGGCACGTGTCAACACTTTATTTATTTATATGGAAATTTTGTCAAAAATTAAGTACCTATTTTTTTTACATTCGAATTGAATGAGAATCATGTACCGAGTATTCTCCTTAAATATTGATAGTAATTCACCAGTCACCCTGTATATGTATGTACATATGTATATAAAGTTTAATAAAACCAAAAATTATATTGTAAATTTATTCTCTCATCTGAATTTGAAAATGTTTGCCAAGCTCTAACTGAGATGCAAAGTGAAAAAATCAATAAAAACCATATACCACAAACCAATTGTACTGAATAACATACATAATACTCATGAAACTTATAACTCGGGTATTGGCCACAATGAATATATATGCTTCAAAGACTATGTTTATATTTCAGCATGTCCTACATGTACGGAGGGTCGCGTGTGTTCTCCCGTGTCCGGTCGCTGCGTGTGTCCAGCTCGGACCCGCGGCCCGGGCTGTGGCCAGTGCACGCCGGGCTACTGGGGACGAGCTGCCGGCTGCCACACGTGTGACTGTGGACCTGGGGCCATAGGAGGTGAGGAACGATGACACACAAACACATAAAGAATATCAATTATATGACAATAACAAAACTACAAAATACCACTCGACTTTTTTATTTTTGAGCATTATTACTTTCATGTTATTGTTATGGTAATGATTGGGAATGTTCAAGAATTATTAAACCGTCATTAGGATCTGTCACTAATTGTTTTATTCCCATGTTCCAGGTCACTGTGACCCCGTGTCGGGCCAGTGTAGTTGTCGCCCGGGCTGGACGGGTCGCGCGTGTGATCGCTGCGCCCGCGCACACTACGGGCCGCGCTGCAGACCGTGCGGCTGTCACCGAGCGGGCACGCGGTGTGACGACGGACTGTGTCCTTGTGATAGCAATGGACAGTGTCCCTGTAAGGTAGGCGACTGACGAATATGTGAATTTCTATACAGATTTAATGGTGTGAAGATTCGAACAGTATTTATTAAATACTGTTCTACATTTTTGTTCAAAATTGTAAATAAAGATATAGACAGCCCGCAATTACTTTCAAATCTATACGTTGATGCACCAGTTAAACTCCCAAGAAGGCTCGTGTATACTCCATTCAATACAAAAAATGCAAAAGTATCTCGCTCATTATTCACCTTTGAATAGAATGACATTAAACTTTAACTCTCTTTTTAAAAATACTAATATTGATATATTCTCGGGAAGACCTCTTGAATTCAAAAAAACAATTAAAAAATGTTAATTAATTAAGCTTAGATTTTACTTTTGTAGTTGTTTGTTCTTCATGCACTGTATTTAAACTAAAATGTATTTGAACCAAAATGTTAACTCTGTGATTACATGCACTCTGTTACTATTTCAGCATGAAGTGGTTGCCTGTAACTGAGGTAGCACATAGCATCTTAATTGTATTAATTTAAATGGTTGTATTTGTGTGTACTTTGTTGGCGATCCAATAAATAAATAAATATGACGTTCATTTTGGTCGTCCTACAGGATAATGTAGTGGGTGAGAAGTGTGATCGATGCTTGGAAGGTACGTTCGGTCTATCGGAGTCCAACCCCGTGGGGTGCACGGCTTGTTTCTGTTTCGGTCGCAGTGCTCAGTGTACTCAGGCCGCCGTCTCCCGCGCCGCGCTTCACAACGCCGTGCCTCTTCACCTCAGGTTGATGAGGGGCCACATCATTACTACTGTTAGTATTGAATACCTTAATTTCAATCCAATTTCTAATTCAATAGTAACCATTAGTATGTTGTATGTTAAAGATGGATCGCCACTCCCCGCTGGCCATCCACACGAGTGTTCAGGACGCCCACATCACTCTCCCGGACCCCCCCGTGCCAGTGTACGCGGAGCTCCCGTCATTGTTCCTGGGTGACCGCGTGCTCTCTTACGGAGGTGCGTTAAGGTTCCGCGTGGAACAGGAGGGCGGCACACCCATACCTCGAGACGTACTGATCGACTTCCCACTCGTCAGCATATATGGATACAACATCGTGCTGGATTATTATGAGGTACTTACGAGCAATCGTTATGCTTCTTTTTGCAACTTCATTCCATACTACTATTATATTAATTGTAAAATAAGCAAAAACGTAACATGTGCATACTGTTTGGATTTTGTGACTATCGCTGGTTGTCCTTTTAAATGGAAAGGACAATGTCCATTTTTGGCCTAGCGTGAACAAGCTGCTATCAAAAAAACAAATTTATGAAAAAAAAGAAAATTTTTTTTGCTAGCCATTCTATTGTTGTTTGAGTGTACATTTGTATTTTATTGAAAAAATATTTTTAAAGTATCTTCATTGATTTGCTATATTGATCCACGTTTTGTGTTACCAGCAAGATCAATTAACGATTGCGTCAAATGGAATCATCTCGCAGTACTTAATACAACTATAAGTATTTAATACAAAAAAAATATTTGTTTTTAATTAGTTTCGTCAATTAAAACGTTTAATAAATTGAAATATCTCTTTCGATCGATTTTTTAATGATTTTTTTCTATTGCAACACTAATAAAACAAAAAAATACAAATTGACATTGATATGTCACAGACTGATTGTTTACATTCGCTCTGTTTACCGACATTGAGAGTGTTGATTTATTGTTGATTTTCTTTCAACGATTGTCTACACATCTACGGACCCCGAATTTCGCTCAAACGATGACCCTGGCTTTTGTATTATGGACTCCGATCATAGCATAAACGATGACCAACACTCACGTAATATGGACCCCGAAACTAGCTCCATCGCTAACCACGGCTTGAATATGGACTTTCAACAAAACCAAAGTGTGTCTCATGATAGTCTGCACACAGAAGAAGTGACTTCTTACCAATCCGTATCTCTGAGATGAATAAACTGTGTAACTGATTTGATAGAGCGAAGGCGACATAGTCTAGATCTCAATCAGGTTCAGTCTATTATAAGACAGTGGATAGCTCCTCGACGAGTAAGTGTCAATTCAATTAATTATTTAAATCACTCGTTTTTAATAGATATGTCAATACATATGCTATTCCTATAATGCAATATGAGATTTTATTGTTTTATATAATTATAATCCGTATATACTGTTGTATTATAATAAATCAAAAGATGTTTACTCCTAACACATTAGCTGACTTTGTTATCGAAAATAATTTAGATAGAAGGCGGGCAGATTTTCAACCTATAAATGTAAACATGGACAGTTTCATATTTCCGAGAATAGAATATAATGATCTTATAAAAATTGCATGTGGAACATACCAACTAAAACAAGCTTGTTCGTATTATGGGCAGCACATAAGAGGTGATGGTTCCTATACTATAGAAGTATGTAGAAATATAGCCAGCGACCTATTGGTTGACTACCCGATTCCTTTGGCCAACTGCAGATTATTGCGAGGAAAAATACAAAGCAGGCATGTAAGTAGAAAAATATATTTTATATATATATTATATGAAAATAATCACAATGGTAAGGAAGCTATAAAAGAATATTATTGTTATTGCATGGTTGGCCAAAGGACAGTGGGTTGCTGTGCTCATATAATGACTATTTTATGGTTTTTAAGTTGGGCAAGGTATCAGGAACACATTTCACTACCTGTCCAATTTCTTGAACACATATTAATAACATATAATGTCTCAGAATTAAAAAAAATCATAATAAATGTTGTTTTATTTCACTTTAACCTGTTTTTCCTCACATGACAAAAATCTCTTTTTAAACATTTTGATACAAAATTAAGTTCATATTCTGATTATTACTAGTTAGTGCTTTTAAACTAACTACAAAAAATATGATAAAATGTCTATTCATGTCAGGCCAAAGTCCCCATACTAATTGGACAATCTCGTTTAGGCGTTATACAGTATAATATGTCACAGATTATATTCTTATATTCGTTTACAATAAAAAAAACCTTTTTTATTGTCACTAAATTTCTTAAGTCATGTATCTATGTATAACAGAGACATGTTTTTTTTTTGGTTTGTTGATAGCGCGCGCCTCCAATAAACAATACGTATGCTGTATATCTGCACGAGTCTCTGTGGGAAGTGAGGGGCGCGGGTCCTGGAGGAACAGGGGCTGTCGCTTCTCGTGGAGCGCTCATGTTGACTCTGAGGGACGTGCGACGTCTCCTGCTTCGAGTGTCAACCCGAGAACCGACCGATGAACCGTTACATGTTTTGTATGTAATTAAATATAGTTTTATATATAACAAATGGTTATCAAAGAAGAACTTATTGGTTCAACTTCTCACATGTATTGTCTGAATATGCGATATATATATACTTAGACATCAACCAATTACAAACTATGATCATAGCTCTTTCATTCCTTGGGAAAAGTTCTTACGTTATTCAGACATTTTATTTAATCACGTAGTGGATAGTTATTTGAAACCTTGTAACACATGGTCATCTTATATAATTCTTATACATACATTTACTCGTTTGAATAACGTAAATGTAATACAATCAGATAAGTTTGTTTTAACTAAAAAAATATATAATAGATTTTAAACCTGTAATACGTTTAGATTCGATGAAGATCCTACATAAACGATAATACTATCCCAAGTTATTATTTTTTGTATACAGTTTCTATGAGATTTCTTTGCAAAGTAAACGTCTTTAAAAGTGTATTTATTTTTTTGTTAGATCCCTGCAATATTCAACTTTCAGGTTGTTGAACGTGACTCTCGAGACAGCCATTCCGGGCCTGTCCCGTGGAGCGCCGGCCCCGGGTGTGGAGCGCTGTTCGTGTCCCCGGGGCTACTCCTCCGGCTCGTGTCAGAAGCCAGCGGCCGGGTTCTGGTCTCCACCCTCCCCGCCGCTCGTGACGCATGTGGCTGGCACCATCGTCATCCACGTAGAGCCTGTCAGACCCTGCGAATGTAACGGCAGGGCTGCAACTTGTGATCCTGCTACAGGACATTGCTTGGTAAAGTGAAATTGCTTTTTATTTAACTTAATAAGTAACAAATTTTTTCAAAACAATATTTTTTAAATCGGAAAAAGAACTTAGGCGTGAAGAAAGAAAGGAGCTCCTAATAACTCGATACTTCCCACGTAAGTTGTTGTATCTCCAAAAATGTAATTTTACAGTAGAGCGTTTCAAAGATTCAAATTAAAACAAAATTTGCATTTATTGATGAATCTTTTTAAAATTTCGTATTTAAATAAAACATAATAGTCTTCTTAACAACATTAAAAGATATTTTCATACGACATTTTACTCCGGAGTAGAAGCTAAAAAACGTGTTGTATATGATTATTTACAACATTATACCGCGGCGCCTAGGTAGCATCACTTGTGGTATATGATAGTTACAACTGTATACGTTGAAAAACATAAGTCTTACTCTGTTGTATGTAAGAAATACACGTCGTGATTTTACCCACCTCGCGCCCTGCGTAAACTATTGTATAGGCATATACAACAGTGTAATCCGTTCGCGTTTGAAAATTACAACATTATGCGTCTCACAAATCCTTTAAAAATAGTGTTTTTGTGTTTTTTTTAATTGGAATGGATGTAATGATCCACTATAGGATATTTTTCAGAATAAAAGCAAAATATCATTTTTGTGGCATACAACAACTTACGTGGGAGGTATCGAACTATTTGAACACATCATATATCTTAAGCTCTTTAAACATTTCTTTGTTTCTCTCAAAACTATCGGGTGTCGGTGATAACCTGCGTTTCAACTGCTCGCTTCGAACCTTTGTTATGAACTCCTGACACTACACAGAACTGCACCGCCAACACTTCAGGGCCGCACTGCGACCACTGCGCCGAGGGTTACTACGGCTCGCCTGACCGAGGCTGCGAGCCCTGCCCGTGTCCAGCTCACGGCCCGGTGAGAGCCACCGGCTGCGCAGCCTCGCACGGGAGACTGCACTGCTACTGTCACCTCGGTAAAAATATATTACCGACCCTATTACACACTTGGGATATTAGTATATTCACTTCAGTCGCAAATATTATAATTTATTATTATGTGTTTATGTTTTTATTCCATTTATACCAATTTCGGATGTATCATAAATCAGAATGATAAATAAATTTAAGGTACAGAAATTACTTGGTATTTTCCGAGTATATCACTCATTTTGAAAAATTTTCGCAACATCATAACTTCCATTACTTTCCATCCATTTTATATAGAGTGTACATCGTAAAACACGATATTTACAACAAATTCACTGTCAGGGTACACGGGTTCTCGTTGTGAGTCATGTTCTCCTGGCTGGCGGCGGGATGGGGGTGCCTGTGTCCCGTGTTCCTGCGACCCCCGCGGCGCGCTGTCTCAGCGTTGTGAGGGTGGACGCTGCCATTGTCGGCCGTACGCCACGGGTACACGATGCCAGCTGTGTGCACAACCAGGCTTCTATATGGATGAGGATGGTTGCAAACGTTAGTGTTACTATATGTTTAAAAATAATGTAAATCATGATTTAATTGAATTCAAACGTTAAATTTAAATTATTCACATTTCCAGCTTGTGACAACTGCACACAAACTCTACTCCTGTCAATGAAAGACCTTATGAGAGATCTACACTTACGGGCAGATCTGTCGGAGCTCAGTAGAATACCACAACCTTTTCCGGCACTTAGAGAATTTGCAAATAATGCATCAGTTCTAGAAGCATCGCTTAACCAATGGCGTATAAACAAAGAGAAAGCTATGTTAATCGAATCAGCATTGTTAAAGTTAGAATCTACCGAACATGAACTTTTTACATCTTCCAATAAACTTAAAACAAGAGCATCTAGAAGAGAGAAAGAGGCGCAGTATTTAAGCTTAGAAAGTATGAGTGGACTGGAAGAGGTATTCAAGAAAAAGAGGATATTGGCAGAGCACGTTGCTGATTTAGATGACTTTGCTAGAGGAGAAAAGCATCTAAGCGCTCACAGAGCTTTAAAAGAAGCGAGACATTTGCTTAAAATGATAAAAGAATTAAATTTGGTAGATTTTATGACCGGAGCTAACGATGTCTCTGATTCGGTGAGTATTGTTGGCCTTAGTAAATATGTACTACATTTAAAATTATATAAATAACTAATTATCTACTAACTTTAAGGCCAACCTCCAATCAACTTCTGTACATGAATACAAATACCGTATCGACGACAGTTTCCAAAAAATTTCTAAACTGCATTCAAGTTTAGAAGATTGGGAACGTAAGGCAGAAGACTTGCCACGTCTAGCAGGTATTGTGTGGAGCGCGGGTGACACGGTGGTAGAAGGCAGTAAGAAAATAAAACCGAGACTTGCTAGAGTCCGGGATATTGGGTTGCAATGTAGACTTGTATTAGAGGTAAGGCTCTGAAAGAAATTCATATTTTAGAAAGAATATCTCTTATAGTACTATATCGAAACAAGACAGCAGACTTCTTAGATACATTTTTTAATTACAGGACATTTCTAATTTATCCATTAACAACCTAACTGAAGAAACACGGGCAGCTTTACTACATACCCAAAATCTTGCAGTTGGCTTCCCAACTTTACTATCTACCCTTCGAAACCTCACAACACAAGCCGAGGAAAAAGAAGGCATTCTTTACAATCTCACTCCTAAATACAAAGAAAAATATTTAGACGTAGTAAAAGAACACGTGGAGAACCTTACGAAAAAAGCCAAGGAATACAAAAAGTAAGTAATTAATTGGAAAGTTGTCTATTTTAAATTACTTAAAAATGTATAGCAACTGACCCGTTTCAGTTTGTTTGCGGGAACACGATCGGTTGCATCAGCCGGAGTCCAAGCAGCTCGCGCGTGGTCCGAAGTGGCCGCTGGAGTTCGGGACGCTGTTGCGGCCGCTGATGCAGCCACTATTGCTGCTACTACAGCTTCTAAACTAGCTAGAGGACCACAGCCGCTTATAGCGACAGCTGATGAGGAGAAGATGTCTTCAGAGATACTAAAGAGGAAGGGCAATGAATTGATGTCTAGAGCCAGTGGTAAGATATAAAACAGTATATACTACACAATATACTGCATTTAACTATACTTAACAAGAATATGTTCTTATATTAGATTTACACCGAGAACTAGAAGTTGCCCAACGCGGAATCGATGTGGTTAGCGTCGGTCTTCGTGGTTTAGGATGGCGAGAGCGTGCTCTGGCCAGTGGCGCCGAGGGAGGTATGATGAATGGCGGTGCAGCTGCAGTAGCGACACTGAAACAAGCCAGTACACAAGCGGAGAGGGTTTTTGCAAGTAGCCGAGTACTATACGACGAGGCGGCGGATCTTAGAAGAAAAGTACGATACCAACTGCGCCGAAATCTTGCCGCACTTCAACGTATGGGAGATACCGCGCTGGGAGCTGCGGAGGAACATGGTAAGTAAAAACACAGAAAGAATCACATTTGACATTAGAATGAAAACTAATACTTCGTGTCGAAAACAGTGTCTCAGATTCGCGGAAACACAGAGCGGGGACGCGAGGTAGCAGCTGCACTAGCAGCGGCAGGGGCAGCGCGCGCTCGGGAACATGCTGCGGCCGCCGCTACACTGTCTCCTGCACTGAAACGTCTTCACAGCGGCATCCTGCAAGCACAGCATGCAGCTGCCACTGTAAGTTCACACTTTTAATGTAAACTATTTTTGCATCACTAATTAAGTACATTTAACCAGTTAATTCGATATCCATCTGTTCTTAGATTTTATATATAACATTTGGTTACCGAGCTTTGCTCGGTATTTAAGAATTATTAGTATTTATTTTGTGTTTTTTTTTTATTTCGTTTAGGCATTTTTAAGTGAACACGTTAAGAAGACAAAACAATATAAGGGTGAATATACGCTATTTGGTTTTTTCGTGTCCCAGAAGGAAATGTTATCGGTTCCATTCAATATTTGTAATATATTTATTTGACACTATTTTAAAATTAGTAATCAGAGGGGCCAGACGATTATTAATTTTTTTTCAGTTGCACCAGAGGGAAATGTGTTACCAGAAGAGTGACACTGTTGCCAGAGTATAGTAACAAATCAAAGCAGGATATTTTCATACCATTGATTATTAGCTAAGAAAGTTGATTCATATTAAATTAAACGTCTATTTACTTCTATTTATTTATTTAAAAAAAATTGGCACTCCTCTGGCTATCACATATCTAATATGCCAGAGGAGTGACGCTAGAAAAGTGACAAAATCACACATAATGTATTAAGATTAACATCACTCGCTTTTCTTACATCAGTTTAAGTTAATATTTGACATCTACGGACAATAAACATTGATTAATTTTAGAAATTAACAATTTCGTAACGATAAAATACAAATATATATGCTTACCAACGGAAATACTCCAACGACTGGCACAAAATTACTTTCCGAAAGTTGCGCAAATTATTTAGGATTTATTCTTTAAGATCAAAAGCACAAAGTTGTGATTTTTAATAAATGTTTAAATCTTTGATTTCCGCCAGATGAAGTGACAGAATGGTAACATGACTCGAAAATAAGTTATATATATTATTGTATATTAATAAATATTTTTACTCTTAATTTTGGTAAAATATGTTTCGATGTTTATTAAAGCGTATGTGCACTTTAAATAAAGAACATAATTGTGTACTTTTTGAAAGTATTCAGCCGTAAGTTCATTTTAATTCATAAGTGGGAAGGCCAGAGGAGTATACCTTTAAAATATTATTAAAAATATAAATTAAATAATAATTATCGTGAATAGTCTTTGTGGGCCAGATAAAATGCCATATTCTTTATTGTTGAAGCATGGAGAGACAATGATATAATAAGTTTCACATAAAATTTTTCTATACACCAATGGAATTCAAGTAGCGTATATTCACCCATAAATCAATAATTAATTTCTTAGTGTAACCTCAAAACAAACACTCGTTGACTTCCTGGTATTCGACAACGCCATCTGCTGTTGTGTAAAAGCAATTAGCAAAAAGTAGTATTACTATTCGCCAATAGATGTCAGGAAGAGTCATATTTTAAACGACTCCTTTTAGTATTTTTTTGAATAAAATAACAGTAATAAAATATCATTTTCTAAAAGTGATTCCTAGCTAGATCGATTTATCACCCCCGAAATCCGATTCCGAGATTCCAATAAATATGTATGTGTGTATATATATACGAGAATTGCTCATTTAAAGATATAAGATAAAGAAATTTGTTACCTTATGATTTTATTATTTGATTATATTTATTTGAGACCTTATATATAAAGAAATTTGACGTTAAACTTTTTTAGATATCAGTGTCAGTCACTTCACCCGCCGGTGGTGTTGGATGTGCGCGCGCGTACTCCTCATGGACTGCTCCATCAGCTACGCGCGCTACTCTCTCTCTGAGTTTTGATTCAGCTTTAAGAGATGGAACGCTGCTGTATATACCTGATCAGGTAGTTTTTTTTATATTTATATAGTCTTTGACCATATCACTCTTGTCTTTATTAAACTATTTTTTTAACTAGGACTCCGAACGCTATCTTCGTCTCTCCGTATTATCTGGGAAACTGGTTGTGAGGTGGGACGTAGGTGGAGGCGTCGGCTACTTGGAGCACCCTGAGCCACTCACACCCACTCTTGACGACGCTGACCACACTGTATATCGGCTTCAGATTGAAAGGTAATTTAGCTATAGATATCGATAGAAATAGAAATTATAAACTCTGAAAAATCACGTGATTTTACAAATATTAGTCATAAAATATGCAATGTCATGTTGATATAATATAATAAAAATGTCCTAGAGTGTGGAACACAGTTCGGCTTCGTATTGAACGATCTGGAAGCGCCGTCAGCACGTCTACTAATAGTACGACGTCATCACCAAGCTCGGGTCTACTGCGTCCACAGTACTGGTGGCTGGGAGAACCCGATTCTCCTTTGCCGGCCTGTGTGCATTCCTTGCACGCTGATCACTTGGCTTTAGGACTCTGGGCTTTTTCAAAACAACAAACGAATTCCAAATGCACAGGTTGTACCCAAAGGTAAATATATAAAACAATCTAATCGCTACAACAATAAATAGTGTTTTATGTTAACAGTGATTTACAGTATTGATTATAATGCGGTTCCGTATAATTTAAGCTAGATTTTATTTGTTGTGTTTAGATGGACGAGCCAACGTGGTGAGAGCCTAGCACGTCTGAGCGGTACAGGCTACGTCACCTTGCGCCGCTCGCGACCTGCCGACCGCCGACGATTCAGTCTCGCTTTGTCCTTTCGCACCACTGACCACCACGCTCTGCTATTTATGGCACACGATCATGTTAATGTATTTATAATCCCTTATTAATTAATTGTACAAAAATACAAAAAAATAAGCTGTCTATATTTTGGCAGAATCGCTCGGTGTCAGTGTGGGTGCGAGACTGCCGCGTAGTATTTAAGGTGCAGTACGCGAGTTCTCGACTTGAGATCACAGCTGGGGGAGACCACTGTGATGGTAAACCGACTCATGTTCAGGCCACCAGAGTGTTTAATGGACTAGAGAGAGGTACTGTGTCTGGAAGGAAAATTATACTTTTTATATACAGTATATAACATGTGGTAACCCGGTCCAGGCAGCCTGCGCGTAAACGGTGAAGAGACTCTAGGCTCACCGTCCCCGCCGGTGCAGGCCGCGGCTGACCTGCCAGAGCTGGAAGGAGCCTACTGGGTGGGAGGGTTGCCGCCCGACGCGCAAGGTCTTTATGAGGCTCCCTCACTACTTGGCTGCATCGGAGGCCTCGTAGTGGACAGAGAGGGCTACGATCTGCTGGATACTCCCACACGGTATGGGTTGGAGCCAGGATGTTCAGCTAGGGTGAGGCATATTATAATATATCGGCCCACTAAAACATGATAAAAATATACAGTTATAAATAATTTACCATAAAAATAATGTGAAGTGAATATCAATTGTAAAAATACAAAACATGCATACTTATAAGAAAAATTCTCTCAGGATCTATACACACACAAACTGCTTTTAAGACTAAATCACATAAATACTATACACGAAATATACAATATAAACTACAAATACCTAAGACTAGAACTAAACATTATGGTAACAAAACTATACAATTTGAGGGAGCGCTAATGTACAATAATGTACCGAAAGAAATATTTAACGAAAAATCTTTTATGAAATTTAAGGCTAAATTAAAAACATACTGTCAAACTTTATAATATTTGAATTTTTGTATAAATAAGGTCACCATTAACTTTATAAATGTTATTAGTTTAAGTTTCCTAGGTAAGTGAACTTTGTTCTTAATGGGAAATAAATCATCTCTAAACCTAAACCTAATGACTCATGTGTTATCATTCAGGCTCTTCGGTCTGCAGTACTAGACGGTGACGGCTACATCGAGCTGTCCTCGCCCGCCATCCGTCGCAAAACGTCTATCGGTATATCATTCAGAACCCGATCTCCGTCCGGCCTCCTGATGTACAGAGCGCCATCAATATCCGTCCAAGATAATGAGGTGGACGACGAAGAAGATGATAACCATTGCATCGTCCTCGCTCTCGTAAATGGTAATTAAATCATATTTAAATAGTGATGATATCTGAGACTTTCTCACGTATTAATTTAAATAAAACCAATATTTTCGGATTTACTACGCAATTTTTTACTAAGGCAGACATTTTCATATTGGTACGAGAGCTGGCAACGTCAAAAAAACAAGCATTTCAGGTAGGCTAGTTTTTAGATATGCTATCTCTCACACTCCCCTGGACGTCCTACGGGCTATCTGGCTGCCGGTAGTGGTTGCGTTCATCAGTGCGCATCGTACTTGTGGAGGTAAAAAATTAATATATCAAATCATTTTAAGAAGGTTTTTTTTATTATTATTATTATTATTGAACTATTCACAACATAAATTGATTATTGCCAGGTAGTTTTATTGTTGTTTAAACGGTGCCAAGCGGCAATTTTGAATTAAAAATTTATTTTTTTTCAAACTATTTTAGTATAGCTGAAATTTTAATAGCATGATATTTAACTATCTAAAAGCTCAGAATTAATTTGCCAGGAAAAAAATCGGTTGTAAACTTTTGCCAGATCGAAATAAAGTGTAAAGAGATGTAGTATCATTTAGCTTGGTCTAGAAAATTAATCGTCTAATAAATGATGGAAGAAGGATTAACAACTATTGAATTTATTTATAGATGAATACGGTATAAAAATAATACTTTATTGTTGTACAAAATTGAGATAATGATCAATGTTAATTTTGGAAAAAGCGCTCTGGCTACCGAAAGACTAACCGCTTCACGTATGATTTCTAAAACCCTATCGTATAATTTTGAAAAAAAGTTCCGTAATTTTGATCCATCAAGTCTACCACCGAGTAAAGCTGAGTTATATCAACACTTACTACGAGTTCGTTATGTCACAACGTTTTGGAGAAATGCTTATTTAAAATACCCAACATCTCTATCACCTCAAGCTTCTGGCTGGACCATTAATGATGATAAATATGATTTTATCTGGTTTGTTGGGGAGCAATTACCAACATTAGTTGCCGATATTATTATTAAAGGTAAAAATTTGAACTAAAATACAAAAAAAAATATTTCTCGAAAGATATTAAAATTTTTGATTCTATTACAGATAACAGCTTATTACAAAATGATAATAATTTTAAGGACGATGATGACAATGGAAATGACAGCAGTGATGAAGATCAAACTTAGCATTGATCATTATCTCAATTTTGTACAACAATAAAGTATTATTTTTATACCGTATTCATCTATAAATAAATTCAATAGTTGTTAATCCTTCTTCCATCATTTATTAGACGATTAATTTTCTAGACCAAGCTTAAATGATACTACATCTCTTTACACTTTATTTCGATCTGGCAAAAGTTTACAACCGATTTTTTTCCTGGCAAATTAATTCTGAGCTTTTAGATAGTTAAATATCATGCTATTAAAATTTCAGCTATACTAAAATAGTTTGAAAAAAAATAAATTTTTAATTCAAAATTGCCGCTTGGCACCGTTTAAAAAACAATAAAACTACCTGGCAATAATCAATTTATGTTGTGAATAGTTCAATAATAATAATAATAATAAAAAAAACCTTCTTAAAATGATTTGATATATTAATTTTTTACCTCCACAAGTACGATGCGCACTGATGAACGCAACCACTACCGGCAGCCAGATAGCCCGTAGGACGTCCAGGGGAGTGTGAGAGATAGCATATCTAAAAACTAGCCTACCTGAAATGCTTGTTCAAAAACGTTGCCAGCTCTTAGAATATATTGTCTGCCCGTGATAACAGTTCCTGCAAATAAGCGAAACGTCGGTATGTGATTTTGAAAAAAAAAAATGCGTCGTACATCCGAAAATATTACTTTTATTTAAATTTAAACAGTGTTGATATCAAATCTAAAAGTTTTTATTTGGAATAGGAGAAGATAAGATTTTAAAACAAGATTAAAATTTTGCTTTTAGGTGAATTAGAAGTGATCGCAAACGCCGGCAAAGGTGAATTAAGACTGCGGATAAATGGGACTAAATACGATGATGGTGGACTTTATACTGTACGACTGGTCCGGGTTCATAAACAGGTATAGTTGAAGTTAATGTTAAATTCATAACATGTAACACGTTTTATATAGAAATAAATGTCTTTACAAAATTGTACTCTCCCAAAAATATTGTAAATTTTTGATATAAAAGATTATACATATTTATTTGTAATAGCTGGAAGTATGGGTAGACGAAAAACGTATGGCCGCCGGCAATCTTCCGGGAGGTGCTATTGCAGCGAGGGCACGTGGCTTGTACTTGGGAGGGTCACCTTCTCCAGTCACATACATCACCGTGCCATCCTTCACGGGGACTATTGCTGACCTTATAGTGGATTCTACGTGAGTGTAATATTGGACTATAATATTTGTTCAGGATTTTTGGAACACTAAATACAAATTGTTTATAAGATCAAGCCGTTATTGATGTATTGCATGTGTCAGGTGGATAGGTCTGGAGTCCAGTGTCTCCCATTTCCGAGCTCGTCTCGGTCGAGCCCAGACCGCAGCTCCAAGACCAACGCCCACCACTGTCAACACACGAACTGACCTCACCAATTGTGCTAAGGTATGATTGTATTAAATATAACACTAAAATCCATGAGTATCGCCATAGAATAGCGTTTATTCCTAGATGTTGAATTTCGTGATATTAAGGATGCTGTTGAATGTTTTTGGTATCCTCATATTAATGCTACCAACAATGTTACAATACGATATTTTAGGCCATGAAAATTTTATTTTATTACAAGTGAAGTGATTTCAATTTTATTATTGTATGAAGAGATACATGACAATAATGGCTTATAGTTAAGTTATCGTGGCTTATAATTATGGTTAAAAACCAGTCTAATCGGTTTTGTTTGTTCGCTGATTCAGTATTTAATTTCGTATGTCATTGTTTCCAGTTATCATCATATGCAGTGGAAGCAGGTGCTGTAAAGTTCGGTGACGCGGTCCCGAGTTACGCAGCTCTAAGGGCAGCTCGCGCCGCTTTGTTTAGTTTCAGTCTTCAATTGCGAACTTTCGCAAAAGACGGAATCGTCATGCTCTTGCCGGTACACTTACGTTCATGTATTCAATTTCAAATGTTTAAAAGGTTTTATAACCTTAGAAGTCTTTATCATTGTCGTAATAATAGATAGTGTTGGATAGTAGTATTAGTATTTAAATCATTATTCTGATCACTACCTCTAATTCAAGTTTACATCGCTAATGTAGTGCAGAAAGTACACTTTAAATGTAATAAAAATTCAAAGATTTATATATTTTTTAAGGGCTCCAAGCAGAAACCTCGTCACTTTGTCACTTTGTTGTTGCGTGAGGGTCGGGCTCGACTCATGGTTCGTGGAAGGAGGCGCAAAGAGTTGGTGCTACCAGGAAATGTCAGCGACGGCGAATGGCATGAGGTACGGTATAATATATATGAATAGAATATGAACATTTTCTTGAAAAGCCTGAGCAAAGAGAGGCCAAAAGCAACTGAAGATCTAGTTATAATACAACTGTGCGTATATATGTATATGACTGCTGATGTTTGAACAGTAGGTACAGTAATAGTCCTAACCTTACCAATATTATTTTTTAGTTTTAACATTTTCCACTCTTTGTCCGTAGTTGTCAGTACGTATCTCCCGTAGTCGGCTCGTGTTATCTTCGGGCTCCTCGGCGGTGACAGGCCGGGCCCCGCCACACGCTCGCGCCGCGCGGATGTACCTGGGAGGACCGCCGCCCGCCGCTGCTATACCACACGTACCTAACTCAGTAAGAAACTGAACGCCGATGATCTAAACGATTCTTTATTGTATTTTTGTATGTCGCATCTATTTTCTACGGAAATAGTAGATAGGGACTAAATTCTAGTGTGTGTGGTGATGGAAAATATCATAGTTTCAGTGTAAGTGTAATCTATTTCAGTTGTTGAAGCTGGGAGGTCTGGTAGGTTGTGTTCGTCGTGTGGCGGTCGGAGGTCGAGCCGAGGACCCGGTGAGGGACGCGCGAGCTCACGTCGCCGTCTCACAATGCTTCCCTCGTGTCGAACGAGGAGCGTATTTTGGAGGTTTGAGAAAATATGTCTTGTATTTACTTTAAAAGTTGTGGATGTGTACTTTAATTTTGCATAATTACGTGTACTTATATAATAATATGATGCATCAACACTTTGTAGAAGATCATGCCCAACAAAATATTTCAATTAATGAATATGTTTTAGTCCATGTTAAATACAAACTCCAAGATGTGATGACCACTAAAACTAAATTGAGATTATTCACGTTAAATGTTCGCATTCCCAAATAACAAGTGATGTATGATGATGTGTATTACGAGTATAATAATAATGAATGTTGTAGGGGACGCGTACGCCGAGTGGTCGGAGACAGGGTTCGCAGGCTTGGGGGCTGAGGAGGGTGAGGGGGACAGCGTGGAGCTGCGGCTGGAGTTCCGCGCCACCAGCGGGGCCGGGCTGCTGGCGGCGTTTGGTGGAGCCTTGCTGGAACTGAAGGACGGCATGGTGAGGACGAGCTGTCATCGAAATTAAGTTTATAAAAAGAAAACAGTTAAAGTACCCATAAATTTCAAAAAAAAAATTACAACCACATGTAGCCAAGCCTAAACAATTTAAATACGCCCACGTGCGTGTGATGTAATCCTATTTCTATCATATTATTTAAACTTGATTATAGCTAAAACGTAAGCTATAATTCCGCGCTCAAATACGCAGTGTCGATAACAATAATTGGACACAAGATGTTAATCTTATCAGCATATATCCACCATCATCACCACTCATGTACTTATATACTGATACTAAAGAACTATATCCTCAAAACCTCAACTATTTTATCCTCGTGTTATGTTTTCCAGGTGGTGTTAAGTCGTGGAGGAACGTCAGTGGAGAGCGGTGGTCGTGTGTGTGACGGCAGGTGGCACACGGCCGCGGCCCGCGTGTGGCGCGCCGGGCTCAGCCTGTCCCTGGACGGAGCGCCTCCTGAACGAGCAGCCCCTGCTCTGATAGCACCTGCCGCTCCGCCGACGGGGAACTCATTATATGTAGCCGGACTACCTGGTTAGTTTATCTTAATAAATTTTCTTTAACAGATAGACGTTAATCAACATTCTTAATGAAAGTAACTTTGTATTTCCAAATTTCATGGCTAAACAACCTGAACGATAAAAGTACTATAATTATGTAATTTTATCTGGTAAAGATAAAGGTATATTTTTTATCTTTAGATTTTCTGCTTTTATCCAAAGTTAGTTTCTTATATTAAATATCAATTATAGAAACAAAACTGCATTTGTCAACTATTTGTCTACCAGAAGGCGCCCGCGACATGGGTGATGGACGAGAGAACTTCAAAGGTTGTGTTCGTGACGTCACTTACCGAGGTTCTACTCGGACCTGGAGGGCGGCCAGTCTACATCACGTGCTGCTTGACTCTTGTCCTGTGTCACAATGATATAGGACCCTAGGAAACTTAACCATCAAACCTCTCCAAGGTCTATTTTGGAACGAAAATGTAATCGAATCCTTTGGTCTCGGAGACACTACGTCTTCTACTGAGTACCACTAATATTGACCTACCAAATGTGTTCATGGCTTATTGTAATGTTCTGTTGTAGCTTTCAATTAGTTACTATATTTATAAAGAAATGGTAATACAGCCGTGATAAAGGAAGTTTTAACAGAGGAACAACTAAGAATATTCTCATCATCACATACTTCTGGAGTAACCCTGATGGGTCGTATTGTATCGTATAAGCTAACGAGGCTCACTATGTAAATAGTACATATTCATTGTAGTGAAAGAAACAGTCTCTACCGATACTTTGAGTCACATCTCAATGTATTTAAACATTCAATATTCCTGTACATAGATATAGTTAACGAGCAGTATTCATATTATTAATGTATATAATAAGTTCTGTCACAATTAATTTAATATTCATTAATTAAAGAAATCTCGAACAAATTGTCAAATGAATTAATAATTCGTTTGAAATGTCATGTACTTACAAATTATTTAATAAGTTCAGTTAAGATACGCATTTATTTAAATGTAGTCATTTAGTTTCCATACTGTTTAAGTAAACCTTGGTCCACACTAGTTTGTAATCAGAAGTCTCGCTCCAGCAGAATTCTTTAATCTTTTACAGAAAATACTTTAAACTTATTTCTCACCTTCTCTTGTACGTCATTTTGTTATTATTGTTATTTCAACGGGATGTTAGTGTGGATGAGGCCTTATTTTTTCTATGTATAAAAATCAGCTTTAATAGAAGACATTAATAGATTTAGGATGAAACTATTTAAATACGTCACTAGAGTTACATATATCGTACTTGGTTTAAAATGTTTCCAAGTTCCACTCATACATACTTGATGGTTCTACATACAGTTCAAAGCCCCCGACTTGTCTCACGATACAAACTTCACCTACGTGGTTAAGTAAACAAGTGTTCAGTATAATAAATGTAAATATATCATACATGTACATAATGTAATATTTATTGTATGAGATTCTTAAATAAAAGTCGTGTTGGCAATAAAAAATATTTATTATAACGTGACACATCACACTGTCCGCTGGATGCCCTCGCCTTACTGAGAGGAGGACCCCCACTCCTACCCCCTTCCCAACAGATATATAAATGAAACGATCACAAACAATGTTACATTTGATTGAGATTGGTACAGATTATTGGACGAGTTCTATACATGTACTAAGTTAAGACGGCGAGCACGACGCGCGGAGAATATCCATCATATGTTGAATAACATCAGCATTAACACTAAATCACATCTATATATAGATTTCATATACCTCTTCGAATCTACCGGCTTCAAGCGATAATATACAAATAAAAATTAAATAAATCATCATTACACTTATTGAAATAAATCATGGATAGAAAGAATTTAATTACAATTTTGTCAAACAAAACCATTATATTATTTATAGGGAGAGTTGAGCGACTATAATCGAGTATAGCCACTCGGTGTCCATAGAAGAGGTGTGTATTTATTGATATACTGAACTATACTAAACACTACGTGGCGATGAGATGACCTGCACCTGGAAACGATCATAATAACATATAAACAAATATTCAGTTTCTATACACACATACATACATTTTCAGTATCCAACACGAGGTTTGACTTATGGGCCAGTTCAGATGCCTTTAAAAACAATGAAAAATGAAAAAATTATAGTAGAATAAAACTCATGAGAAAAGGAGGGGAATATTATTATAAAAATAAAAAGAAAAATAATTTACGGGCGATATGAGATCGGAAAGGGTATGGGGATGGATATTTAAGGGTAAAAAATGGGTTTTCTCGATTTCCGGCAAAACTAAAACTTTTACGGAAAAATGTTATATCGCAAAGTTGTAGGTAATAAAAAGATCTAAAACTTTTGTACTAATATTTTTTTCATACATAAAACCTCAAATTTTATGTGAAAAATTCGAAAAAACAAGTTTTTGGTTTTTTAATTTTTATCTCTTACTAAAAGAAATAGTTGTGTACTCTGAAAGTTCTCCAGATAGTCCCTCTATTAGGTAATTTACAGAAAATTGACATTAAGCTGCTAAAACTATTAAAAATAAATTGAAAGAGCATTTTCCAAACGATATCGAGTGTCATTTCATTAATAGCGACATGATTATTTTATCCAAAATTGGTACTGCAAGTAAAAAACTTTTTTTTTCTTCACCATCGGAAGATAGAGATTTCAACAAATAGAAAACATACCAATTTTTTTAAAAAAGCTGATATTTTGACGGGTGATTTTTCGATTGAAAATAAGGCTGATTTTTCGGTATTTATTGAAAATAAGCTGAAAAAATAATTATTTCTCATCAAATACAGTGCATTTGGAACATCAAAAGGAAAGTTTTCACCAAATTTCGTTACAAAAAATTGTTTATTGGAAGAGATAAAAATAAAAAACGAAAAAATTGGTTTTTCGAATTTTCCACATAAAATTTGAGGTTATATGAAAAATATGTTAGTAGAAAAGTTTTAGATCCTTTTATTATCTACAACTTTGCCATATAATTTTTTTCTGTAGGACTTTTAGATTTGCCGAAAATCGAGAAAACCTATTTTTTACCCTTAAATACCCATCCCCATACCCTTCCCGACCTCAGATCGCCCATAAATTATTTTTCCTTTAATTTTTATAATATTCCCCTCTTTTTGTAATGAGTTTCATTCTACTATAATTTAATTATGTTTTAAAAGCTATCGGCACTGGTCTATTAATTGTACGGTAAAAGAACAGCGAGTAGTTCTGATTAAGGCCACACTGGCTAAAAGGCGACGCTGATAGCGAGCGGTTGACAGTTTGTGTATACTTTTGATAGATGGCGCTTTTAACAAATTTACTTAAACCTAATATGTGAGAAAATATGAAAGTAATATCCGTTAGGTGCTTTATATATCTATGGAGTGCACGCCACTGTATTTACTTGTATAATGCTGATTAAGTTACGTATTACTTCCACTTGTACTAACAAGTGGTTACAACAAATAACAAATTATATTTATAATCCGATGACTCAATCGTAATAGATGTGTGTGACGTATTAGTTATAAAGAAATTGAGAATTCATATTCATTTTTTACATTTGTTTTACTTTTCGATAATCATTTCACTCCTAACACACGTACAATGAGTGTGGTCGGTCAGCAATGATTCATGATATTTCATTATCACTTGTTCTGAACTAAAAATATTTACTATCATATTTCTTTTAAAGGTCGTGTTGGGAGGGGATGATTATTCTTTGTGTGTATGTGTGTTTATATGTGAGTGTGTGTGTGTGTGTGTGTGTGTACTCACCTCTACATAGAGAGGTACCCCCTAGCAGGTGAGCGGCGTCGCCCCACGAGGTAGGCCACAAGCACCACCAGCACCAGCCCTCCCAGAGCACAGCCCACAGCGATAGGAACAGCGTCAGGGACGTCCCCGCCGCCGCAATCACGAGCTGAAGACACACGAATAATATAATTATTACATTTATAATATTATTGATTATAGGAACACAAGTTACTAGAGAAGATAATTAAAGAGCCGTGGAGTATTAAAATTATATAATCCATATCAAGCAACGTAACAGTATCACACTGGTATACAAATCTAGTTCATTGACACGCATGTCTATACTTGAACATATAGCTTAAAAATATATTTGCTTGTGTATCTCATGTATCTTTTAATGAGATCTATGACTTTCGCGAGTATCCATTTAAATGAAACTAGTTTATTTTTCGGATTATACTACTCGTAGTTTAGTAATTTAAAAACTGTATCATTCCAACGTTACACGAGCAGGCGAAATGTGAATCTTACTTTTTCCCATAATACAAGTAATTAACATTATTTAACGAGACCCATAATGAATTTCATATATGTGAGAAAAGTGATAAGTAATTATGTACTTGTATGTAGATGTATTATCCTTTTACAAGGTCACTTTGGAATCCCTTAACCTTGTGGTAATATTAGTATGTATCATACTATATTATTTACATGACTTTGTTTGCATTACACTTTATATAGCTCTTTAGTTTTTATGAATATATTTTTTCTGTTGGATGAGGAAATGAAACGTCAACTGTTTAAATAAATAAATAAATAATATTTGTGTTTGTTAGATTAAACTTACTTAAGGTCACTTTTTATTAAATTCATATACAGGGTGACTGGTGAATTACTATCAATATTTAAGGAGCATACTCGGTACATGATTCTCATTCGAATTATGTAAAAAAAATAGGTACCTAATTTTTGACCAAATTTCCGTATAAATAAATAAAGTGTGTACACGTTCCAAGTGTTCCATGTGTGGACGCGTGCGGCGGCGTACTGATACAACAACACGCCGCCGCGCGCGTGTGTGTGAGTGTGTGTGTATACCTAATCTGTAGGGTGTTCATACGATACGTAATTAATTACATAACTTTTGGTTAACTTTACTCAGAAGTTTATTAATATTTATGTTATATTCATTTTTATTTTGTCATATATGATCGTCAAATATCACGTCCTCAAATATCGATAGTAATTCACCAGTCACCCTGTATATATATCTGTATATAGTGTTTTGGTATCTGAAGTCTCAGAAGAGGGCCAATCTAATATTACTTATTTTTATATTTTTATTTTATATATAAAATAACTTTCAAATATTTTAAGTGTTAATTTTAAAGTTTTCCATACATATGTATATATTAATAACACATATATTTTATAACATGCTACAAATTATATGGAAATAGTAGATGATTTGTAATTCTATACTGTTTACTTAATTACCATAAAATTTAATCTAATTATACGGAGATAATAATAAAGTGTATTAACACATCGACATGTAAATTACCTTGAATATAATGTCAAGTTAAGGCTGATAATAATTTGAGTTTTCAACAAACTGAAGCGAAAATCATTTAAAATTTATATATAAATAAGGTATGGTTTGTATATAGAGTATATAGAAAAATGGTGTTTCATAAAATTGAGATATATTTTTTAAACCTAATTTTTAATGAAATATAGGTACCCTACTTTTGAGAAAAACAAGTTATGCTTTTTTGATTTTTCATTTGCCGTATATATGTTTATTGTTTTTAAATTAAAATCGGATATATCCCAGTACACAGATTTATCACATATAATATTTAGTCTCTATTATTAGCTTTGTATTATTTAACAAATACATATATTAATATATAGTGTATGTCGGTCCGTTGGTTTCGTTTATTAACATAAATAAATGATTATTATAACACGCGATAACTTATCTCTTCCCGATAACCGCCGCCTACAGCCTGGACTCACGCCAATTAATAACTTTCACGTTAAACTGACGGTATTCTCGTATTTTATAACGAGCAAACTGTCCGTCATGTAAACGGTGAAACGAGAAATCATAACACGTAGATATATATATACACACATATATGTGTTTGTGTGTGTGTGCATTTATTTAAAAAAGTTCATTTTATGGTAAATTGTCTAATATTGTGTATTGAAAGTAAAAAATCCATTTCACAGTAAAAGTATTTGCTAATTTTATCTTTAACTAAACTTAACATATAAATATATTATCTCTGTCCGTTCGTCGTTCGGCTAATCGATAAGTTCACACACAGCAAATATTAAAACGACTACAACTGAATCATAAATAAATAAGAGAAAATAATTTAAAAATTTGAAATTTTAAAATGTTTTCAATACCTATGAAAGCAGTAAGATTCATCTGATCTTTACATAAAAAAAATTAATAGGTCAATGTAATTTAAACAAGTCGTGATTGAATGTTAATATAATGAAAGAAAGAAAGAAAAGACATTTATTGACATACACACAAAAAAAAGTTATACAAAAAAGGATATAAAAACAACATTACAAAAATAAAGAAAATAAATATAATTCATATGAAACTTGTGTGCAGTCAAAAAGAGACAGCTCAGGCTATGAGGGTTTTTTATCCCTATACTGATTTTCAGCTATCTCCCTTTTCAAATATCTTGAACTAAGTAACAGTAATAACTAATAAGTGTATACTCACGAGCACTGAATTCGCTGCTGTTACCACTTGTCCGGAAGGCTTCCTCTTGGAGCTGTGTGAGGGTCAGGGTTGCGACCTGGTTGACGGCGTCTGCGGTCAGGTTCAGTTGAGTGGGGGGCGAGCAGCGGTATGAGGTCGCCTGGGGGGTGCGCCACGTGGAGCCCTGCCAGTGAACGAACAACTGGGACGCTGGAAACACGAAGAAGAAAGTTCTAGACTCACATACTACTATAGGACCATACATAGAATACTTTACTAAACTCACATGCGTTAGGGAAGACTTCTGGCATGAGCGTCAAGTTGAGGTGTTCCAGAGAATACAGCTTAGTGGTGGCGTTGTTTGCAAACACCATCAGCATACTGTTCATGGGTGATTCAGGCTTGTCCCACACAGGCCACGTGATGTTTACCCACTGCTGGGACCCATTACAGTTGCCGTTCACCACCACGGCAGTGGAAGGGATGTTCATTACCAGGTGACCCAGTGGAGATGCTACATAAAACAATACACATTGAAAACTCTCGCTCACAATATTTGTTCCAAAGCAATACATATCATCCTACATTATTAAATTTCCTCTTTTGTAGCTTATACATATGTTATATTTATCGTAATTAACAGTGACTGTGAAAACATGTTCTGATAGCGAGTGTGTTCGTGTATTATCTGTTACATTGAAATAAATATAGCGACGGATATGTTATAGGTATGTGACAAGGGAATGAATTAATGTTTATGAAATAGAAACACGTGGACCAGCGTCCGAATAGACAAATGAGAAAGAAATATCTACCACATCACACGGATCAATTGATAAAACAAAATAGCAGTTGTCAACAATGTAAAGACTCGGAAATGTATTCTCAAGTCTTACAAGCAGTAATATATGTCATTTTAGTCGCAAATTCATTAGGATCTAGCATAATAAATAATAGAATTTTCGGGATCATTTACTAGTAGTCAATAGTCTAGTCAAATTAATTCAAATATAAGTACCTGTACATATTTGCATCTTTAGCATATATAGTCTTTTTTATAGTTTATCTTAATATTTAAAGAACATTATTTTTTGCAGTAATATGAAAATAAAATATCACATTGATATGTTTTTTTTTTTTTGTTTCCTTTCTAATACAATCCCGAGACTATCGCGGGATCTCGAGATTAACTGTAGATAATCCCGAAATCCCGGGATTAGAAACATCGATCGAAATTGAATTCTCTATATAACGATGACAAATATTCTTAGTAATATATAATAACTTCTCTAAACTGATTATGTAACAGATAGCTAACAGTCAATGAACGTCGTGGTAGACTAGTCTCCAACAAGTCAGATGCTCATCTCGTATATCTAAGTCGGTACAAATCGATGTTTTTGTATCGTTTCTATTTTCGGTGCAATTCCATAACTGGTTTAGACTAACTAAACCGGTCCGCTTTAAATATTTCAAACATTTATTAATAAACCATTCGAAATGCGACCTAATACTATTTGAATACACATATTTTCCATGGCTTTTTTCCTTGATATTCATATAATATTGCACAAATGTTGCAGATGCTGCAATTTTAAATATAAATTTAATTTATAATTACTTCTTTTAAGTAAAAAATACCGACATTCTCTGACTAAATTTTCATTCTCATCTCTGACAAATTCATTTCAATTTAATCTCAACGGAAAATATTATAAGAAAAGTCATAATAAATGCTTCAGAAAATAGAATACCAAGTCATAATCTTGAGTATTTACGTAACAAGTAAAACCATTACTATAGATATAACACGTACATTGAATAGATATTTTAACAGGAGTATTAAAGTTGCAATTTAACGATGCTCTTACGAGCGTTGGAAAATATACAATGTTATTTTATACATATGTTCAGTTCGGTAGTAAATATGTACATAAGAAGCCCGGTACGAGCGACTGTGACTCAACCACTTATTGGTTTAACTGTGTTTAATACTATTTACATTAAAATTATCACTGACATATTCATTAAATAAAACTACCATCATATTTATGACGTAAATTTACAATTTTCTAGATTTTTTATATCACAGAGTTTTGGAATTCGATGACGCTTACAGTATGTACCTAGTATATTTTTATTTAATACTTCTACCGGGTTTTTAGAAAGGCCAAACTATGTTTGTTTTCATTTTGAAAGCAAGGACTTTATCAGATATTTGTAAAATGAGAAGATATTTTAAGTAATAAATGTTATAGCGATCTTTTAACACATAATTCGCTTGTTATATAACAGTAGTGTCTATGTAACTCATTCGCACAAACACTAGTTCTACAACCCATCTCTCTCTCCATCCTCCTGGCGACCCACACCCTCATCGTCACAAACTAAAACCGTCAAGTTTCTAAATTCACGTTACAAGTAGTTTTCTTCAGTGACGTCTCATTACGGCGACCTACATTCAAGATACTGGCAAGACAACTATTGCGATACTAAAATTGACAAACAACATTTAGTTAGGTTTCAGTGAATTTACAGATCGAAAATATCAGAACAGTTGCTTGAACTTACGTAATCTACTCTTGTTAAGGCAGCTAAGTTTTTTTACAGCAATCATTGCATCCAAAAAGAAACTAGGAATGTCGCAACGGATTTATAAATACCACTCGTTGCTTAATCACGTGTTAAATTTCACTCCTATTAATATGAAAGATCGCGTGGATGATGGCAATAGACCACCAGAAACAATCTTTACAGAATTAGGTTCAGACATGCAAGTGTAATGCCAAGCGAAGCCGGGAGAATAGCTAGCGAAAAATGAAATAAGAAGTTTAGCTAAGTCAAAATATTACGGTTGAATATTAAAAACCCCAAACAATTAACATTTAACAGCAGGAAATATCAGAATATTTATAAGAGAACAAAATATCCAAGTAGGTACCCAAGACCATGATCTCTTCAATCGGCTTTATATTTATGTAACAACGAAGACACCTCTGACTCATGAACACAACTTTCGCAGCCATACTAATATAACGATTTTCCTGTTGTGATTTATCATATTGAATCAGACAGAATCAATTATGACATTCAGGAGACGAGAACAAAGACCTGCAAAATCCTGCCAAATCTCCTTATATAACTACTAAGTCAATGACGAATCCATAGTTAAATAGATAACCTGGCAGAACGAGGGTAAATGCAAAAAAAATTTTGGCTAAAACATTTCATACAAAGATATTGTATGACGTCCCTGGCACGTCCCCAAACGGTTAGCTGAATCAATATTAAGGAATAATTCTCTGGCATCATTAACGTAACAAAAGTTTTGTATTTCTGACCTATATTATGTACCCTAAATGAATAACATTTAAAACAATGGCGTGTTTTTATCAAACAGATTCCATTCACATTACAAATGTACGTACATGTCTATCTAATGGTTTAAAACACGTACTCAGCTATAACACGAGTAAGAGAATCTCTCTATAACAATTTTATATAAACCTTTTACACACATTCCGTAACACGACGACCGAGCCAAAACTGGATTCGAGATAAAAAAAAAAACTCAATTTCTATAGATGCATAACTATATATAAAATTAAAAACGTTGTTATTCTACCTGATTCATTAATGATCTTTTTTTAGTCAAAAATATTTATACACGTATAAAATTTTATTCATACGTCTCTCTTGATTGATTGTAACAAGACTTCAACCATTATTAAATATTTACAAAGTAAAGTTAAATATTTATAAAGTAATCTTAATAATTGTAAATAATTAAATTTACAATTCAACACGTCCACTGTTTTATTCATACCTAACATACTGAACTTCTTAAAATGAATAACTTAATGTGTCGTACGTGACCTGTCATTCCTTAATTACAACCATAGACAATTTCATATTGATTGTTATTTTTTTCCGTCATTTCGTTATTATGACCTTCAATTGAACTTAAACATCCTCATTTTCTGACAGTTCAATGCGAACCTTTTTCGTGCTTAAAACAAATTATTTACAAGTACCTTTCGTACATTTCATTTGCATTTAATTATATTTATGTATCACGTAAAAAACAATGTAACCTTCAACTTTATTATCGCGAATTAATTAAATATATTTTTTAATATATTTAAATGAACCAGTTCTACATTCTAAATGGCTTGTTACATATATTTTTTAATGTATTTCCTACTTTCATTAAAATGTATACTCAATGTAATACTAAGAATAGAAACTGTAATTGATAAAGTATATGAATAACAATGTTTTGTAAATGAATGCTTTGTAACAGAACAGATTATTGTAAGTCAAAGCATTACTAACAAGACATTTACAATGACTAAACAGAAGAAAAGGTAAAAAATAATTCTGAAATGCTTAAAATCTTACATAAAAATTGTATTTTATATATCAAATTTCCTTCAATGAGATGTGTTTGATAAATGCACATGCTTCATGTGGAACGCCCCATGAATGGTTCATTGTAAGAGAAACAAACAGCATGCTTTGTGACAACAAACTGTACGAGTCACATAGGAACGATAACTTATCAATGAAAAAACACAACACCGCAAATAAAATGCACAGAGTTCGTGGAGGAAAAAAGTCGGAGAATATCTAATATAGAACACAAAAATTGCATAATTGCATGAAATAATACACCAGCATTATGCAATTTCAATTAAGATATGATGTTTAAGTAAATAACCAAATAGTAAATGTAAATTTTCTATATTCAACTTAATATATAGACAAATGATTCAGTGACTAATCCCTACTAATATTATAAATGCGAAAGTAACTCTGTCTGTCTGTCTGTCTGTCTGTCTGTCTGCTACGCTTTCACGCCTAAACCACTGAACTGATTTTAATGAAATTCGGTACAGAGATAGAGTTGACCTTGAGAAAGAACATAGGATAGTTTTTATCCCAGACTTTTGAAAGGTTCTCTTGGAAACGCGATATAACCGAACTCCACGCGGCGAAGCTGCGGGCGGAAAGCTAGTTTTATATAATCAACAATTTGCAATTAAAACTTTTATTGATAATATTTTTAATTACATTCTGAATCATGTTACTGTAGAAAACAAAGAGAATATATATATTATTTTATCATCAGATAAAAACCTGTTTTAACGAACTGGCAGTTGATTTGAAAATATAAAATAATACTGAATTATTTAATATTTTAACAAACAAAAAGAGACATTTTCTTTGAGGGCCGTCTACTTATTTATAAGAAAATAATCAAAACAAAAAGTACTAAGAAATTTGATAGACATTACTTGCTCTGTTGTGTGTAAAATATACTGTAGCAAGGATCATGTCAATCATAAGATGAGATTTGATGAAAATTTGGTTAAAATTTTACTTTCACTATAAACATTTATATATTTATCATGAAAAAATAACAAAACACATTATTTTACACATCCATAATGCATAATTTTGTAGTAATTGGTAGTGTATCAAAATATTTTGTACATACAGAGATTTCATTGTAATCAAAAATATATTTTATTATTGATAATGCAGAATCAAGGTCTAAATATGAAAAGTGAATGTTTGTTCTTTTATATTGTAATCAAAATAATCTGTTAATTTATTTATAGAAGGAATGAGAAGAAATAAAAATGGAAATCTCTAGAAAGATTGATAGTCACTGAGAAACTTCTGGCACATAAAAAGGTTCACACAATGCATGTTACCTAACAATGAAGTGTTGTAAAACTGTAAAAAAACTACAAATATATATGAAAAACTAAATCAATACTTACATGAGTTATCAATAGGGTAGGTGACATTCAGCTGAGCCGCAAACTTAATGAGGATGCAGGTCACATTGTTTTCGGTCCAGGACCAAGTTCCTTGTTGTGGAGGTGGGAGAGGGCCGGGAGCTGGTGTCGGAGCCGGAGGGGGCGTTGGGGATGGAGGTGTTATTGTTGGAGGCGTTGGAGGAGTTGTTGTTGGAGGAGTTGTCGGAGGTGTTGTTGGAGGTGTTGTTGAAGGAGTAGTAGTAGTCGGCGGAAGAGTGGTAGATGTAGTAGAAGGTTCTGGTACAGACGCCGCTTTTGCTGTCGTGGAAATCGGTTCCGTCGAAATCTTTGGTTCTTCTGACGCAGCACTGCTAACCGCAGGACTTGCCGCGAGGGACGGCAGCGGCACGGGGATTACGACTGGTTTCGGTGGTGTCAGAGGCCCTTGACCTTGATCAAATGAGGGTAATTAAAACTTGCACTTGTGCATACGACGGTATATTTTGATTTAGTAATCGAACAGCGTTGCAAGACTTTCAGTCTTCCTTATTGCGCATATGACGTAGAATAAAGACACGAGTGCGAACAAATACGTGATAAGCAACAAAGAACTATCTACATTTATTATGTGTACTACTTACAGAAAACCATTGAACTGCAGACGACTGCCCAAACCAAATAAACCCTTAACCGAATCATTTTAAAATAATTAAACTTTATAGCCTACTGATTAAATTCGCTATTTAACTTGAATGTTGCAATTGTAACTGAATTTATAAGAATCGACAATCAAGAACTCTATTGAAATGTCATATCAGACTAAATTGTAATTTGTGAAGTCGTAACTTGTTAGACAGATTTTTAGTGTTGCTAGTACAAATAATAAAATAATTGTTTATACAAGTTAAAAAACATAATATTTTAAAAATTTCAAAATAAATTAGCTAAAATAAGCCTTTTGATAACTTATTTATTAAAATAACTTTTTATATTAAATATTATAAATATGGGGAATTAATAAATTCGACATATAGTGTAGCTTGAAATTTCAAAATAGCAGAGCCGTTTAGAAATGTAATAACATTCTTCAAAAAGGTAATAAACATAAGATATTTCTAAATAATAACAATGTTTAGAAATTTTAATTATTAGGCCCAATCCATACTTAGGTACTTCGGAGTGGTATGGTTTATATTGTGGCGATCAGGGATTTTAAAACAAAGACCTAAACATGCTCTGATCACGCTTAGTTGCTTCATCCTCATCTCTCTTTTGCATAAAACATTAATTCGGGGCCTATACAGATTTACGCCAATTTTGCAAAATATTGCGATTTAACACGGTATCAGAATTGGTCTGAATTTCAGACACTGTCGTGTATGTGACCACGAACGATACTAGTGTTATGATCTGTGGTGAATATTATAATCCTAAGGGTTACATGTAACTCCATCTATTGGATTTGTATGTGAGGCTAGTGACAGCGACGTAAAAAAGTTCCTTTTCCCTTTATTTCTTGTTATAGGTACATGCTGCTCTAAAGATTTGTAAAATTTTGATAGTAACAACTATTAAATAATGGTATAAATATTAATCAGTTACAAATCTAAAATAATTCATCCTACAAAAATTAGCAATAACATTTGCGGCTTCAAGTATCAATATTGACGGGTATTATAAAGAACTTAACAAAACATAAGCAGTTAAAAATTTAAACTAATCATGATTCTTCAATATCCAGCAGACATTTATAAGAGGCTACTAAAACGACGAAGATTCTGTCTGTATTATATTATGATGTAAATAATTATGCACCAATTCAGAACTAGTAGGTGCCCTATACCCATAGCTGGGGCAAAGAAAAGCTGTTAACTGATTATTATAGGATATGCACTTAATGATTTATGACTAAATGATTGGCATAATATTAGGATAACAATTCCATTCCATAGCTTGTGTGGTATCAGGAATCTTCTGGTTAACATGGCTTGGTGTTCGTTCCGTGGAGTCAGCGGCGTCACTCGTTATATGATATTACATCTATACAACGATGTTAGCCTGCGATGTTCATTTATTTTTTAAAATGTTGCGTTCGTAACATTGCTAATAAAATATAAATATCTTAAATTTTCAATTTATTCAATCTATTTGCAATACCTTAAATATGACTCCTGTGTTGCTGACTAGTGACTAACCCGGGAATGGAAAGTAGGCAGAGATAATGGAACATATAAATGAAAGAATGGTTTCTTTATTAAATATTTTTTATTGCACAAATATTGCACACCAAGCATCCCATAGATTAAAAAATCTAACATCTACAATAAATAAATAGAATCTAACCTAACAGGTACGTGTTTATATATTAAGTAAAAAGCTTACGACTACGCAGTTTTAAAGAAGAAATTCACTGCAAATTTATATTTTTTATAGACATGAATTACAAATTTTATACTTATATATGGGCCCAATAATTTTCATCTTTTTAGCGCGCTTTTGGCAACGAATAAAGCCGAAGAAAGCAAGAAACGACTCAAAACATCAACGATATATTTATAATAAAGGAATATTATTATTAAAAAACTCCTATTACACATACTACTAACACAGAGACGAAAATACTCAATACATTGGATATCTTACACGCTTACACCTTAATAATTAATCTTAACTAAAAAGTCTTCAAAATAATTGGCATTAAGTAAATGACAAGACAATCCTCTCACCTATGGCTTAAAAATATCATCCAGATAGTGACCTCAACTTTTAATTGAATTTGATAAACAAAATTGAATAAGTGTCAGAGAATGGGCTTTAAAATGAAGATTGGTAAGTAAGAAGTTGTTTAATCAACTTGCAACTCAAAACGCACGCGACCGTACCGGCTGGAGCGGTCGTAGATGATATCCCGCGTCCAGATACGACACTCCACGTTGATGATCACTCCTCCTGAATCATTTACATGTTATAGTTTGATTAGAATCTACGAAAATAGATGAAAAAATTTGTATCTAAGTCTTCCACAAAGAATAAAGGGACTTACGGCGTGGATTTTCGAAGAAGACAGCCACCAACGGCCCAGGCGACTGGTCGGGGCGGTCTTGGGCGATTCTTGGGATACGGTCGGCGGTTTGAAGACGTTTGGTCGGGAAACCGGGGGGCAGGTTCCCGGGGATGTACTGGATGGGACCGATGTTCTCCTCGTCCGAACTGAACTCGCCGTTACACGAGACCCAAATGTAATCACCGAAATGATTCGCAGGACGTTGCCGCTGTTAATAACACAATAATTTGTATTATATACACATATGTGGAAAATATTTTATTAATATATTATGGTAATTTACCATGGCCTGTTTAATGTTGTTAGGCATTTCTTGAGGGATGCTCATAGGCTTTGAGATGTTGTACGGCTCCGGAACCCAGTAGTGAAGCTGTAACCAGAAATATCAAATCAACGGTTCACCTAAATTAGTTCCAATATTAGTTTAAAGTGACTAACGTTATTTAACCGAAGGAAGACACAAGGTTTGCCGACAGCGTAGCCATAGAAGTTATCAGCGTTACAAGGAGCCCACATGCCGAGGACCCGCTCGCAGGCAGCCGCCACCACGCGCTGGTCGTGACGCCGCACGGAGCATGGAGCACGAGGGGGGTCCTCGGGGACTGTCGTCTCGTAAGCTGGAAGGATAAGTATTAACTTCATGAGAAGGAACTGTTTTTAAATGTACATGTTAAGGCAGAAGTTTCAGTTACAGGACCGTGTCCAATTACAGTCAGAATTTTAAAGTCATATAATAAATGACACATTACAGCTTATTTCAACTAACAGTCCTAATTTAGATAACACCTCCAATTAATATTTCTTCCAAATTACGTCCTGTCTGACCAGTGTAATATCTTACCCAAGAGGAAGTCATTGATTCTTTTAAACCAAGGATGCCAGCTGCCTGGGTCGCTGGCTCTGAACTGGATGAGAGGCTGCTCGTAGTTGTATTCTTCCGATCTTGGCCATACTTCCAGCTCTGAAGGAAAATTTATTAAATAAGTTAAAGCTTCATTCGTTTTCTGTAAAGTATTTATATTAGAAACGCACCTGGGTAGCGGTAGCCGGTTGATAGCCCTATGATAATACCGCCGATTATGAAACCTGTAATTTGATAGACAATAACAATTATGAAGTAATAATTAATATTATTATAAGGCTTATATTTGTCAAGTTTAGCCTATTAGCATTAACTTTACATGAAACAATGTTGTAAGGAAACTATTGTAGCTGAAGTTAATTTTCCCATCACCAAAACTCCCACTTAAAGCCTCTTCTATTTGGTGGTCCAAATGTGCCTTCAAAAATCAATATCCTTATGAAGTACAGTTACTTTATTAAATCTTTTACAGTGTAACGAGGAACATAATTCACTTGGTTGTTAGCCTCATATGAACTCTCAAACGCCACGATAAACTACTTAAAATCATTTATTTGATTAAAAATAATATATAAACTTATTAGTAGTGCAGTAGTAATAGTTGACTTTTCAATACACGACTGAATTTTATTATCTTCTACAACACAAACGTCATTGATTGTATTAAAGAGCATCGCCCTATAAATTTCCAGGATGGTGATGAAGCCTTGCTTTAGTAATGAGCTCAAAGGATTGCTGCTGATATCTTTTATTGTAAATTACATATTTAAAACCTAGATAGCGCTCGCGTTATACACTTTCAAATTTAGGAGTTCTAAAAATAAGTTTCATAGTACCATTAGTCTGGTAGCGATATTCACTTCTACCATTTTTTCCAATATGTAGTTTAAAACGACTTCCAATTATTATGCGAATTATTTTGAATTCCAATCTTTTTGACAGTTAAGAATATATTTAGGAATTCCTTCTTTACGATCTTTTTTTTTTTGGTCACTCTGTAAACGTCAATTTTTTGAACTTCTTTCTGTAATTAAAAACATCACTTCCAACTCAACACAATCTCAACACGCTGTCTTATATGCACTGCATATTTCTTATAATTTAACAAAATGAAGAAAGTAAACAGGTGATTTATGTGTGTCTAATCTTTAACTAGAGGCAATAATAAATCAGGAAAATATCCATACACTGTACTTACATCTAAAATAATGTAAAAGCAGTTTACATATCATACATGTGTAATGTTTTTTCAACGTTAAAGTTGTTCCAGCGTTTTTGTTTTTATGATCTCTTAAATATTGTCATTGTTTATGACACATCTTGTTTAAATTATTATACTATGATTGATAATTCTTTTAATGTTTCTTACAAGGAGAGTGCTAGGGAAGGGATGAGTTTTTTTTAGTCACTTCCTAGTTAGGCAATGAAAATTTGCATCGACATTACCTACGGCTTATTGTAGTCTCAAATAATGCTGGTTTCATGTTTGTTCTAATAGGGTAATTTCAGGAACATGATGAGTTTCGGTTATTTAGCAGTGATCGTGATTTGGTCAAGATGAGAACTGAGCAAAGTATTCGCCACAGTCTCTTCAGAACAAAATAGAAATAAATGATTCTCATTCGGTGAAGTATTTCCATCGTTTTACATTTGCTAATTATGGTTTATATGTGATTTTTATTTTTAATTACGATATATCTTTATCAAAAATTCTTGAACGTGCTATTGAGAAAAAAACCACTAAAAATAGCTAATAATAATCTTTAAAAACAATCTTATACTGTTAGATTCATTTAGGCGTGACAGATTTTTTTTATTATTTAGAAACGTTAATCTCAAAACCTGTTTTTAGTATCTAGAGATAAGAATATAAATTAAAAACTATTTTTTTCACACACTTAGTAAATTTATCAAATTAAGATACCTAATTAAATTTTTTTACGCAATGATTTTAGAAAATCGAAATTGAATAATACATTAAATTTTACGACAATACGATACTCACTATTTGGTTCTTCGAAAAGAAAAAATGAGACTCAGAAACAACAAAAAAAAACTCGAATTGTTCTTTAAAACATGAAACGTTATTTTGTTATTAAACTATCGCCGGTACAGTTGTGTGACTCACCCAACACTATCAAACACAGGACGACCACGAGAGCCACCAGCTTGAGGGTTCCCTTCTGAAGAGCCATCGCGCCGAACGTCCACACCAGACTGACTCGCAACGGAGGAACTGGCGCCGGCTGCTCAACGAGGTCACGGGGTTTAACGTACATTGACACTTTACTAGCAACAGAACATCTACATAATCGACTATCATCACTTTATACATATATTGCTGTATATATTGGTAATGTTTTTGTTATATTATGTAATGTTTTGACATTATTCTTATCTCATTTTCGCATCCGGAGATGATTTTATATTTTTTTAAAGGCCAAATTTATCAAGGAATGATAGAAGCTGAATGTGTGTTTTAAGTCTTATCTACTGAACTTGGTTTATTGAATAAACTTACATACTGGGATGGTAGTTTTTTTGTGTTTTAAAATAAACTTTCTTCGAAATTTAGTTCAAGTTAAACATCAATTATTCTTACTCCTATTTCTTTACTATAGAACATACTCTCAAGATAGGCGATTTAATGTACTGAATACAATTACAATATGTATTGTATATTGTCCTTATGAAACAGTAGTTTCTGTTGTATGTTGGTATAATGTATATTATAAGGAGTAATGTACGTAATCCAACTCTCTCTACGTGTGATGCTACGCCAGACGAGCGGCGCCCGTCTCACTGGCGCCTTATACTCCCCGGACCCTTCATAACGACTCACTAAAGGTTGTGGACTTTGTCGCGAATTACTGACCCTATATTATGACATCAAAACACTGATCCAACTAGTTCATATAAACATTGATTCGAAACTTACTTAATGTTGTATATTATTGATGCTTAATTAGTTATTTATAATTAGCTCTGAAGCTTTGTACCAACTGCAAGCATCAACTATTTACATAAATACCTAAGTATATTTTTTTTAAACCGATACAGTTCTTATTGTTAATTTGTCATAATATATGTGTTACGTGTTCTTATAGTTTGATATTTCTATTTTTCTGTAAACAATATCTCAGTTAGCTGAAACATGCTACAGTGGACATTCAACCGACAGCGTGGCGCCTCGTGTACCCAGTACTTCTATAATCATAACGTAAGCTTCGTCTCCATTGTACTTGAAATATAAAAACATTGACATGAAAATAAATAATATATAAAGATAGATCTTAAGTAAGACTTATTAAATGTTAATATTTTTACTGGTTTAGAAAAAAATTCTTATTGTGTTAAAAATTTCAGATAATAAGTATCTATAGTTTATACAGTATAATTGGGATTTTGAAAAAAAAAGTATTGATTTTTTTACGTATTTTAAAACTTTTTTATTAATTATATTGATTTTTAATGCAACAAACTTGAAAAAAAATAATTTTTAATTAATTATAAACAACAATTAAAAATTGATAAAATTCAAAAAAAACATCACGTGACTGTAAACGCGCCATGATTGGTCGGCATACTTGTGACGTCATAATGTTAAAGCAATTTCATAATAGTACAGTGTTTATGGCTATTATCTTTAACTTGATAAAAATATCTCAAATTTATTAGTGAAAAACGATTTGAAAAGTTTATTTCGACTAACCATGTGTGATAAAGGATTTAGAAAAGCAAAATCGGATAATATTCCTGACGTTGATATATTTATGATAACTAATTTTTTTTAAAATGACGTTCGGTTTAATTCTGCTGAAGTTCGAGGTGCTAAGGCATCAAGGTAAGTCTGTTAAAAATACTATTCTAAATGAAAATAAGTATTTATTCTCTATTCAATATAATTAATAATTATTTCATTAATCATAAGAATTAATAAAATGTTATTATAAGATTATAAAAAACCAAAATAACATATACTTTAAAAATTTAAATATAGTCTGATACAGAACCTAGAATGTTATAAAATTATGAAAATATCTATGAATTGAATTCCAATTAATTACTGAACTATACTTATTCGATTTATACACTTAGATAAATAATAATTAATAACAATATTATTATGAATACTTACATCGAAATGATCTTCACAACAAAAAAAATTGATTTTGTTTTTGAATAATCTCGGTGCACTGCTTGAAACCATTTCTTTCGACGTTTTTCGTCTTGTGGAACATTTAAAAACATTTTTTCAGGAGTTGTTTTTGTAGTATTTGTACATAATGGTACAAAACAAGAGCGATAACTTTTGAGTTTTGACATTTTTGATTATTTAACAATGCCAACAGAATTTACTAGATAAAAACTCAAAACACTGTGCTAATGATTATTATATCTCTGTATGCTACAATGAGCAAAAACTAACATTGTGACGTCACACGCGCTCGGGTTTATTCGGGAGCTGTCGGCGGATCTTCGGTACTGAATTTAAAATTTAATTTTTATTTTGAAATAACTTTTTATTTATTGCAAAAAAAAAAAAAATAGTTTTGCTGTAAAACTTATATATGATCTTTCCATTTATCACAAAAAAAAAATTAATTCAAAAACCCAATTATAATTTTACATTAAATAATAATATACAGCTATTCATATTCCCAAAGCAGTGTATACAGAAATGTAACTTTTTGCTTCATAGTAGCTTTTATATTAAAAGGCATCCAGTTTGGTTGTTTATATCGTTCACCATCTATGTATATATTTTATACGTATGGAACTGATTCCTTCCCTGTCATCGAGAAACCATTGTTCTTAGTAACATTGCTGAAAGACAGACGGGATGAGTTCATTAAAAGTCTTATTTTTATAATAAACAGTGATAATTTCTGTGTTAAGAAATCTCATTATAAATAAGTACAACAGCTTCTATTTATTTACTTTTTAATTCACGATACAAAGAACTGAGAAAGAATCTTTACAATAAGGACGAATGTAAATACAATAAAAACATAGAATTCATATAGGTAACGTATAGTGACAAACTCATGAACCCAAACCTTATTTAAGTCATTTAAATGAAACTTATATTTTTTGGATATATGTATGAGTTTACATCTCGTCTGCCCGTGATCACGGTTGCTGAAAAGTAACCGAAACGTCGGGAGAACTTATGTAGTTTTTTACACGAATAAATTCGCATATTATAATCCAAAAAAATTAATGAAATGAATGAAACTCACGAAAGTCTTAAATCTCATTAAATATCAATCAATCAACTATATTCAAGTTTTTGTTGAATGGTTCAACTAATTAATTTTATTGATATAATGAAACAATCGGAGAAGCAACTGTTAATTTTATTTCTTACAAGCCAAAGCATAATGATCATATTTACGATTTCATTTCATTCATACGAGGGTATGAAAATTAGTCGCCATTCATATCAAAATTGTATCGTTACTACTTAATTTCTTATTTATTGCATCATCATTGTACTTAATTTTATTGCTATTCAAGATTATGATTTTTAAACTATAAACAATTTAGGAGTTTGAAAAATAAAATTTAAAAATTAATATTCATTTATTATTATTAATTTTTATTGCTCGAGTTATTTTCAAATCTCTTTAGTACGGTCGGTTTAATCAATAAATTGTTTATTCCGAATTTTTAGTTCAATTATAGGAATATAAAAAACATAATAACTATTTTTATGATTTGGACAGTTTATGAAGAGAATATTATTACATAATTATATATTAGTTACATTGCATAATATTAATACAAAAATTGTAAAAAAGTGAATTAGATAATCCTAAACCTTTTAAAGTATTAAAATGTTCGGTTACAGGTATCTTGAGCGTTTCAGACTTGCTCCCACCTCACCGTGAAATCTCACGCGAGTTAAAGCGACTGTAAGCAAGAATAGTTAAAAATAAAGCTCGTCTTTCTTATAATCGATGTCGGTATATTGTTAAGTATTTTCATTAATAATTTTCATTAAGTATCACGCAAAAGAACAACTGTGGTTAATTCATTCAAAAATAATCACGTAAAGTGACCAAAATAATCTTTTAAAAACTTTTAACGCAAAAAGTGAACTGACAAGTACTTTATTATAAATAACTTATTTTTCGTGAGCAAACTCCTAAGAATGCTACACTGTATAAAACTATAAAAACATTACCCACTTCTTCTATCCAATGTTATTGGTAGAAAACGACTGTTTTTCAGTCTAATATTTTTCAACAAATCTTAACAAACAACCCATTAAGATATAATTTTATATATTATCATTAACAAGACAAGCACTATTTAAACTTGACCACGTCTGTATCAATGTCACTAAATATTTCATTAATTTTAAATCTGTGACCCATATGTATGATAGAAAATATAAAACATTAACCAATATATTTATTAGACTTTACATTCATTAGAAGTTTTTGTCGGTCTCAATTAAACAATAAGAAGATTTCGTGATGTTACTCTCGAAGCACTTATTAAAACTCACAATTAGTGGAATTGACTTGAATCATGTCATTGAACTGGACCTACTTTATACTACAATGTTCATAGTTCTGTGTATAAAAGGATGCGTATTTGTTTACGAAATAAAAACAGGCGACTACTATATTTGTGTCAGGTTTAGCTACAAAGCATATTGTATGAAGAATTAATATAGTTTAGCTTATTATATAATAATATTTTCCTCGGTTGTTTCGTAAATAAGTAGTGTCTGGAACCATCAGGCGCTTAAAATAAAGGATTGGATATAGGATAAAATGAAAAACGATAAAAAAAGCTAAATTGGAACAAACTATTGCGTATTTATTGACTCTTCGTCCAGAAAACATTACAATAATAAATATTTCAATAATTTAAATTTTAAGTTTAATGTTAAGCGTGTAACCGAAAAACTTGATGGCGCCCGTGGGCTATTCTAAAACGAATATAAATAAACCGCCGACTATGTGGCTATTGCTAAGTGGCGCTCTTGGCAGCCGGCGCCTGGCGTGATGGAGGAGACCTTGGCAGCCTGGATGGGTTGAACCTGGCGGCCGAGGGCGGATGGCGGACAACTTGGCGGTGGACCACGACCGACTCGGCGTCTGCGCCGCTAGTAGTGGCAGTGGGAGGTCCAAACATGGCCCTGTCATTCGGTAAGTTAAGCGTTTAGTGGCCAAGCACGAGTGAATAGTGGCCGCCAAGTTATCGGTGACCGCGGCGGCTTAAGAGCGGTCCACCATGAGCTCGAAGTGCACCGAGCCCCGCCGCTCGTATCGGTCGTAGAAGATGTTCTTCGCCCACGCCTTACACTCGATGTTGATGAGCACTCCCGCTGCAAGTCACAAATTAACATCAGAATAGTATACACGACCACTATGTCTGACGATGATGATTAAACAACGATCTTCAATAAACATACTAGTAATTTACACACAAATTATAACAAACATAATCAATGTGGTATACAATATTCTACAGTCTTACTTCTGGGCCTCTCGAAGAGTACGGCAACAAGAGGGCTGAGGTAGCCGTCCTTGTTGGTGAAGGGGTAGTAGAAGGCAGGGAAGCCGCGGCGGGGGAGGTACTGCACGGGCCCTATGTTCTCTACGTCAGCTGGATTCTCACCCTCGCAGGATACCCACACCATGTTCGCTTCAGGTTTGCCAGACTGAAAGAAAATAACTCGTGATACTTTCGATACCTCCGCTGTAAAAATAAAACTTACGAACGGCCAATTACTGAGGTGACGATGGAAGATATTACATCATTAATCACGTTTTAATTTTAGCTTTTAATAAAGACGAAACAAGGAATACTGACGACTGATTTGATGTACTGTTTCAGGAACTCCGGCATAGCGTCTGGGAGGCTCTCGGTGTCATTGTACGGTTGGGGGGTCCAGTTGAAGATCTGAAAACGGTTTACGAGTTACGACAGGTTATACTACGATTCTATTTAAAATTTTAATGATGTGGTTGTATTTAGCCACCTTGTTCAGCTTGAGGAAGACGCACGGTCCGCCCTGCTCATAGTTGTACTGGCGCGAGGAGGTGCAGGGGCTGAAGTCATCGAGGGACACATCGCACACCTGGTTCTCCCCCAGGTTGTGGGAGGTCGGGGTGCACGGGACCCTGTTCTCAGCACCGCTGGGCTCCCCGCTGCCACTGCCCTTCTTACGGTATTCTGTATATGGAAACAGATTTGAAATATATAAGTCATCAGAACTCATATGTAATTCTTGGGATTTAATGTGTTATATAATTATAACTCTTTGTTCACCTTTAAGGAACTCATCGATTATAGAAGCCCATTTAAGCACAGAGCCCTTGTCATTAGCCTTGTAATAAATCAGAGTACTCTCGACCGACACCACGGAGTCGGGCATTGGCCGGAATCCAAGACCTGATAAAAAGGCATCAGTACATAAATTATATAGACGAAATCAAAAAGCCCATAAAACATGTAAAGTAGTCATAAAAAATATTGGTTTGTTTCCGACCTGGATTGCTGCCGATGAGAGAGCTATCCATTTGCCATTTTGGCATCTTAGCATCAAGAGTTTGGTAGAAGATGGTCAGCATGGCAGCGAAGAAACCGGCGAGGACAGCGTAGAAGATAAGGTAGAATAACAAGATTTTTGCTGGAACAAAAACAAGTCAATATAGCTACTTACATGAAATAAATATTAATCTGATTACTACGCGGCTTTTAATATTTTATAAAATTGCATACTCTCGACGTTTCGGTTACTTTTCAGCAACCGTGATCACGGGCAGACGAGATGTTAAATGAATACTCGCGAAACTCTTAGAACTCATTACAATTTAGTTGCTATTCTAATTTTATTTAAAATTAAAGTTCGAAAATAGAAGTTTTAAAAATCGGAATGGACATGTCAATATAATAATTATTAAAAATCATAAGTAATGTTTTTGCTCGTAAAACGTGAATAACTTAAATTATGTATTTCCAACCATCCGCAGAAAGAAAGTAGAATTTTAATGCTATTAGAAATATGATACCCGCTGAACTGCTTGCGTACTTAATTGTATGGTATGTCTACTAAGAAGTTACTGCTAATACTACTGGTCATATAATGATTTCTAAGATTTCAACGACTAGTTTATAAAATATATAATACTTTAGACTTCTAAACTACATTTTTAATACAATAATTTACAAGCATTTCTTGTGCCTACACATAAAATTATTAATCTTTAATTTATTTTATTATTTTGTACCGATCTAGTTTTATGTTAATTTAAAATTACGTAATAATATTGATAATCTGATAGCACTGAAACATGCAAACGTATGTATTCGTGACCTTATCCAATAGCAAAACAATGAATTAGATAAATTCTTATCATATAATATGTCAACTGTACTACTACACTCATAGTGACATTACTACTAATGACATACTGTTATACATGTTACAGATCTCATCTGAAACTTATTTAATTCATTAAATTTGTTGTTGTAATTTTAAACGTTGTCATATAAAGTACTTGTACAACTTAAATCGTTTTTAAATTAACTTAAACTGATTCGTCGTCAAATTGAGTGATTAAGCCGATTTATTTGATCCGAATCAAACGCCTCTCGTGCTAAACAACAGAACATCTATTTCTGTTATCGATGCCTACTATCAATATATTTACGAAGTTCTGCAAACTGTAATGGGTCAGTGATAATCGGGACGAGTCAGTTGACGTGCGGCCACTAATTAAGCCTATACTAATTATTACGAAACTGGGCCAAGTATTTGTGGATCGGTTTATCTTTTTATACTTTAGTTTGTTACTGGATGTGCATACTTTCATTAACGTGAAAGGCTAATGAAACATGAATGTAGGTATAAAGTTTTTTCAGGTGTAAACGAGCTCAGTGTTGAGTCGTTTCAATCGATAAACGCTCGCGGCAGCCAGATCGATGCACTTCGCTGCAACACAGGTGACCAGGTCAACTAGGATGCGCGGTGGAAACACGCATGCGTCCGATGAGGTGATTCACTGAGCCAGGGTATCAGAACATTGGAAATACCTGAATAGGTCATCAATTTTGAAAGGCGTATGGAATGTCCCGGTACATTACGTCACACAAATAACATAATTGTAAGTGACTGAAAAAACTGATTTGCTGGATTAGAGACAAATAAAAAATGGTTTCGAACTAGATACGTCCCAAAAAATTTTATAGTGTAAAAAAATTCCATGTATTTAGAGGACAAAGGGATATCATTGGGTGTTAGTGTCAAGACAAAAGAATATCTTTATCGGATCGTGATATAACACAGCGTGACTCGTCCTTGGATCGATCCATCGAAGGACGAAGCGCGCGCATTCGTCGTCGCAATGTCCTACTTCTTAGCCTATTTATGTTATACAATTCGCTCCCTTAGATTTCATTCCCTCCATTTTGATTTTTATCCCGATTTATACGATTATAATATTATATAACACAGGAAACATAATATATAGTTCTATGGCTTAACATCTGCTTAATAAATTTGATGATAGTTTCCATATTTACCAGTCGACTGGCTATATTTAGAGAGTATTTTGTCGCCAATATTTTTGATCATACAGATTACTTCTAAATCAAATGAAGATTTTGCAACAATTGCTCCTTTTTTATATGCTTATAATTAAAAGCAATATGTGTTTAATAATTTTACACCCTGTTATGTTTCTTATCTGTTTAAGTGATAATAATCTATATCCTTGAATCACATATGATTTTTTTTATGAGCCTTGCTACGGACTATATTTTTATTGCCTTTTTATATAGAGTTTTAATTTTTAAACCGATCAACGCGAACCTATATATATACATTTGAAACGAGTAATTGTAATTAAGGAATTAAAATCGACTGAATGAAAATCCGTTTATTTAACATCTGTAATGCAACTCTTGTGTAAAACAATACGCAACGAGATAAAACTTATAGCTTTATCTTTTATACAAAATACGTTGACACAATGAGCCTTCCTGTTAAATACATATCTGTTTTAACCAACTTCCCATTAAACGATTAACGTTGTGATAGTGGACAGTTTAATTCCGTTAAAATTTTGAAACATATGTCATATTACAAAGAGCAATCAGAAATTTCACGCTCCAAGTTAAATTTCAGAGTTACTAAGATTGAAAATAGGTTCTCAGTTCATGACCCATCCATTCCCTATCAAGGGTCAGTGTCGCTTAACCGGAAGAAATCTAACGCGCAGGCGCAGGCTACACCCCTGTCGGAAGATGAAATTTTTGAATCTTTTTGCGCATTACAAATAGCGCCTGCATAATTAATATAATATTATGACAAATGATATTAATTAGTTGCCTCGCACGGCGTCGAGAGATGACCTATGACTGAATGAACGAATCGAGAAAAATAAATTCGTTGCAAATATATAAATCTACATCTATGAAACAATATGTGTCAAGTGTCAGCAGCATGTATGAATGTTTAATTTGAATGTAATGTGGCGAGTTACGTAATGGCTTTTATAAATGTTCAGATTTAGAAATGTTCAAATGGGATCATTTGTATGAGTCGTAGATGATGTGGGCTCTGGTTTCAGGCAGGGTATGGATGAACAGCTACGGTCATTCTCTGGTCTGCCTGATGAAGAGTCAACTCACCCCAGCTGGATCCCGTGCGGCCCAGGAATTGTCCTGTCTCGGAGTTCCATAGGAACATCCTGAAGGAGTCCCATTTTCCTAGATCAGGTGGTGGAGCGTAATATTGCTCAGTAACTTTACTCTTGTCTGCCATGGTCGAACGCCTAGCCGGACTGCGGTGTGGAATCGATTGCCGGCGCTTTCGCCCCTGCGAGCCTCGTCCCGCGCTCCCCTCTCCTCGCCCCGGTACCACCAACCCCCGACCCCTTACGTAACGATTACGTAAGTCGGCGCGCGCAGTCCCCTACACTCCGACGAACGCAGCTAGTGAAACTTAACCCCTTTTCTCCCTCGATTTACTCGTACCGAGAAAAGCGCGGAAGGTCGTTCTACGCTGGTCGTGAATTGAGGCTAAACTAATGCTGATTGTGATCTCTATTGTGATGGTTTAAAGATCAATTTGAGGCCAAGTTTTTTATTTTATTATCAGTTCAGACAGCGTGTCTTAAAATAATAAGACGTCAGTCTAGTGGATTCTCAACTCTAACAGTTCTAAAAGAATGGATGAGTCCTTAAGAGAATTTAAGGAAATTAAGTTGGCTCTAAATTTACCTTTTATCTTTATATTAAAAACAAAATCGTGTTAGTTACACTATTTATAGCTCAAGAACGGCTGTACGGAATTGGTTGGAAATTTGTGGGGTGACTTGACTTTAAAGAAAAACAGTTCGCCCGACCAGCTATACATTTCTAATTCTAAACCTGACGTAGACGAAGTCGCGGGCAAAGGCTAATTATTATTATATGTTTGCCACTTTATAAGAGGTAACACCCCTTCAAATTATATAAACGAAAGGTCATCACTACGTAGAACACTTAATAAAACAGTAGTCACATTAGAATACTTTTCCCTCATTAATATTACAAATGCCTATTTTCGTGTATTGTTTTCATTAATCAATTAAACAATGTGACATGAACTTTTTAAATGAAATTTTGTTGTTATATATAAATATATTGAAAAAAAACAAATGCTAGAGGATTACATGGGCTTATTTTTTTCATCATAAAAATAAACTCCACAAATAACTTTTAATCAAACTCCTTATTAATATTTACAAGAATGCTTAATTCGTATTGAAAGGAATAATGAATTCTTTTCAAATGATTTTTCCTACTGCCACGAATATAGGTAAAAAATTAAGACGTATTTCAGAAAAACAATATTTGGTTTCTGCCTTCAAAAATTTCAGTTTGATAAATGAAAAGGCTTATTGGATTCAGTATACGCACATAGTTCTTGATAATGTACCAATCTAATCAAAGCAAGACAATTTACATGTATTATGAGAAAGACAAAATCACATTCGCGATTTTTATGTAATCACGATACAGATGTAAGAAATTTAAAAAATCTTTCTACTTATGATATTAATGTACTGTTATCTATAAAACTAAGATTATTAATCTTTAAATGGAATCTCTGTGCATTAGTTACATACATATGCGAATGACTATGTTAACGAACGAAGCAGAAAAATTAGGTCTAATTCTTTAACTGTCGTTTTCAATGCTGTGTAAAGCTGAAATATATATGTAATTTACCAATTGTATAAATTGTTCTATTAAATAATTTCGTAAACTCTGTTAGCTTCGAAAAAACCAAGGATGAATCAAATGGATATTGAGAATTTATTGAAAAAAATACTTGATACTAGTCTATTTTTATGATTTTTGTAATTTTTAAGAAATAAACATGATTAATTAAATGCTTCAACTATATTAATGAATTGATTATTATCAGCGAGTAAACGTAAGATACTCTTTTACCTTACAAGTCTTTTAATTTGACAACATTTTTAAAGTTATAAAGCCCAAACTCAAATTGATTAATTTTTCATTGTCACTTTTGTAAATAACTTTTTAATTTTTATTCATAAAAATGGGAAGGGACATAGATAAAGTTATAAACAATTTAATATAACACTATAATATCACTTTTTCTGTACAGTTGCTAGTTTAAAAGATACACGGGTAAACAACTTGAACTTAAACTTAGCACTTCAAAACCTCGACAAAATTAAATTGACTCTACAGAAAAATGTAACTACAAGAGTCACTTCAGTGTCCAATTGAAATATTCAACATAACAATTCAGTGAAACAATATTAAATTTTAAAATTCTTTATTATAATAAATTATTAATAAATATGTCAGTTAAATAATCTAGCGAGTCAAAAATACGACTTTCACATTTGTTATTTAGGCTCACAAAATATAGCAATATTAATTCAACTCCTTCGACATTTAATGAGCAATTTGGCTGTGACACAAATATACGATTTTAATCACGCCTTACTTTGATCTTATTTGAACTAAAATATACGTTATGAGAAATAAATAAATAATTTAAACGAACATGCAAAATTAAGCTAAAATATTAGATATAATTATTCAGAAGACGGGGACACTTCTTTCTTCTGAACCTTCTCCGTTACAGGGTCAGCGTAAATCTCCGGCTGAGGCTTGGTCCACGCTTGACAAACACAAGTTGGTCCCTGGCTGCCGTTACCGCTGCCTTGTTGACCACCAACCATGAAACCTTGACTCACCTGACCTTGACTGCCTTGATTTTGACCAGCTTGAGCCTGGAATTGGTTTCCTTGATACTGATTCTGGTTTGATTGGCTCGCACCGTTGTAATAGCCTTGCTGATTCTGCATCTGATTCGATTGAAATTGGTTAGTATTCTGATACACTCCTTGATACTGTCCCTGGCCTTGACTGGTTCCTTGGTTATAATTCTGTCCAGATCCGGAGGGATAGGCTTGGTTATTGAAATTTCCACCTTGAGGATAGCCAGAGCCTTGGTTAAAACTGTTTTGATAATTGTATTGTCCTTGGTTTTGGTACTGGCCTGGGTTGTTAGCAGGAAACTGGGACTGTGTCTGGAATCCTTGCCCTTGTGTTTGTTGGTTTGTTTGCCCGTTCCATTGTTGGTACTGTGGATACTGGTAGTTGGGGTAGGGCTGCTGTGTTCCCGCGACGGGCTTGTTCTTGTGACTCTGCACGATGTCAATGACCCCTCCGATTATCTTCTCTGGTATAATGGTTGATGCAACTTCTTGCACTACTACTATACCGAACACCTGGTAACATTTTATATAAATATAATATAAAACAATAACAGTAATTCAATAATTGAGATACAATTCCAGTATCGAAAAAGCAACAGGGAATTTATTATAAAAAAATCATATTATATGTAGAACCTAGTTCTATGGGAATTTTTAATTATAATTTCATAAGAAAACACTTACAATTGCAAGGATTGTTTGGCTTCCGATCATTTTGCTTGCTGAAGAATCTTCAAATGTTTGCCAAAAATTGTTGAAAGTTACCCTTATATACCATGCAAAATCCCGCACAAGACTCGCATCACAGGGCTGACAACTAATGATTTGGAAATAAACCAAACTTATTACGATAATTGTAAAATAATATTTGTAAAGCCTTATTTATTGTAATTCACGTCAGCTTTAAAGTATTCTTTTTGATCTTAATGATTTTCTCAATAAAAAAATATTTTTTTTGTTTAAATAAATTACTTATTATCGAAAAAGTATTATTTATAGCGTTTCATATTGGATTATTGATTGAATATATATTAGTAACATAAGTTATATAAAACATATTGTATTTGTATTTATAATGTGTGTCCAGATGCCAGCCCTGTAGTTACCTGTCTCCAAACGTCTTCCAGGTGATCGAGGAGCCGTGCGAGTTATCACTTGACGGATCCCGCTATAATGCACTCACCCAGTGACGTCTCTGGCCGCCTTTATCGATATCGATATCTATGAATCGATACATCGATTAAATTTGAATAAATTTTTATCATATAATAGTCATATGTTTTGATTCACTATAATCGTTTAAAAATTTAGTAATTATTATTTAGCATTTTTTACAAGAAATAAACTTTACTTAATGAAATGTAGACAAATGTTATGACTGCAAATTTTCTCAAAAGCACAATTGATTCTTTTTATGAACACCAGAAACGAAATAGCATTTATTTTAATGAACTAAAGTCTTAATATATCTATAATAACAAAATAGAAACGTTTGACTTGAAGGCCGTGCTTCATGTAGGTAACTAACTCAGTTCATTCATCATGAAGATGCTGTCTCGGAATAGTGTAGCTATTTCTTACTAATAAAGCTATATTTTTATGTTTTTATAACCATCAATACTTACCAAATATTTCGAAAATCAAAACAAAATCATTTCATTAAAAAGCCACTCTCAAAACTTATATAATCATACAATTATCGAAACATCCTTCAATCACTAGTTGGTAATGTAACACAAAGGGCGCGCGAGTATTTTGTTTTCTTTTTAATTCAATACGTATCATCGGGGATCTTGGATTTATTATGTTAACCTCCTTCCAGTACAAGGAACAGATTAAGCTTCATTACTCGAGATGAATTGATGGTAATGATTCGATTTATTAACTAACTGTAACCTATGTCTCCTCTTCGACGATGTTTTATTATGTTAGCAATAAAATACTTACATGTCTTTTTCATATATATGTATAAATACTTTAGAAATTAAATGTACTTGAAAGGAAGTACTGTAGAAATGAATTCTGAATAGAATTCGTAATAGCACCAGCTATGGAATGGCAAGAAACATCTTTATTAATTTTCCAACTTTATCAATGACTCAAACTACTTTTTAAATAATTTCAATTGAGACTGATGTGTTCAAAGAAACAAAGATCATCTCTTATCATCGAATTAAAATTTAGATCTTAATTTTTCTTTTCTTAAATCAATGACAGAATAAAGTTCCAATTGATATGTTCAAATCATTTATATTTTAACTGCAGTAGAGGTGATATTCATGAAATAACTCCCGTCTAGCAACAGGTAACCGACAGACAATCAAGAAGTCAAACAGACAATGAGACTGGACAAAGATTGTATGTTAAACAATATATATAAAAAGTATATTACATCTATAACAATTAGAGACTATGTTTCGCCTTCTGAGTGAGAGTGACAAAAAACCATTTCAGGCTTATCGCGTAATTCATTCCAATTATGTTATTGTCCTTGTGGATACGACCTTTTGAACGAACAAGCTCACACTTAGAAGCCTCAAGCTTAATTTCTAATGCCGTATTTATTGAGATATACACCTACACTCGAGTGTAACATGTCTTTTTAGTTTTTCCATATTTTCTATTCATAAAAAAAGAATTTGTATATTACATGAATGTATTACAAAACAAAAAGATTAATGGAAAAAAAGCTGACGAAAACAATGGCCAAAACAGATAGACAAAACGGTAATTTCAACCAGACACCCTTACTGAGGGCGAAAAAACATTAAGATGTTTGGTAAGCTACTGTAGTAATGATACATTTTTAAATAACAAAACTTTTACATAAACACTTACTAATATATAAATATTACAATAAGAATGACCGTATAAAAATATCACATTAGAAAAACATAAAGACCCAAAAATTAAATATATTCGAAGATTTAATTATGGATGTGAAAAAATTTACTTGCCGTTGGAATCTATTTGAGGCGAATATTTTTAAAGGATCTTTTGAAAATCCTAAATTATTTTGGAAATACCCTATATCTTAAAACTAAGCCGTTGTTAATTCCTTTTTGTTTTTTCTCTCATAAACAAATTAGCAAAAAATACGTTACAGGTCAGATGACCATGCCCAGCGTCAGTGAGGGTCATCATAAAATAAAAAGGCTTGTATAATTTCTTATCAGATAGACAGTGTACGATTAATTATAATCGGAATCGATCTTAAAACCGTCTTGTTTAAAGGGTTTCAATAAAAGATGGATCGGTGTTCATGATGGTGATAAGTTGGATGACCTATACATATATTGTGATATTATTCCTTAATATACATATATACTATATAATAAACAATTGTAATAACTGATATAAGTGTTGCTTGATGGGTAAACTTAACTATAATTGAGGTACTTAATTCTTATTTCATTCTAATATTTACATAGTAACTTCACAAAAAATGTGACGATTTTGCTTAAGTGTCATTGTGTCTTAATGTTAATTAATCAATGTTTCTTAACTTATGAGCGAAATTAACATTATAACTGTATTTTAGATTTAAATCAGCGAATTAAAGACAAGGTGACGAATTACTTTAACGTCAATTGTCATTTGTCGGTGAAGAGATGGGGACGACGTTATGCAAAAATGAGGCACCATTATTAACACATATATGTAATTTCAATTAAAATAATTTCATGTTTTATATTCTACTTACAATTTTCAGTTTTGATGCAATGTTCTAAAACTTTAATTTTCGAAAATGAGGATCTAAAAAAATCTTCCGAGAAAGTTTATGAACGATACTTTATATTAGATATAACCAAATAAGATTTAAAAAATACAATTTGTTAGCAGTACAGTAGACCTGACAAAAAAAAAAACAAAAACCTCATGCAAGTTTAAACTTCGTACATTCAGATTATAACCAGATGTATTCAGTTAATGTTTCTTCTTAGTTCTAGTCTGTATTCCCTTTTGTCATCCATCGTCCCATTATCCCACACAAGCTCGGAGGGAGTCGGGTTCAGCTGCACTCAGGCGACGATACTCCACCGGGTAAGATGCATGACTCGCCAATACATTTTTGATAAAAATGTAGGAAATCTTGAGTTATATCTTAAGCTAATCTATAGAATCCTTGGATCCGAAGTCGAATAGACTTCTACTAAATACAAAATAAAAACATAATCATGAATTTTTAGCAATTAGGAACTATAAAGTATTACCCTTTGTTCATAGTTTAAACACCTTGAATTATTTTATATTAAAAGGAATGTAACTTAATTGAGTTTATTCATTCAGTGTTCAGAAAACTATTGAATAATGACGGTGAAGAAGAGACCCTCGGACCTGACGAGCCTGGAGCGGTTCAACCTTTACTACCGAGAGAAGGAACCGCCTCTCACCACGAGGCAGCGGATGAAGAGGTTCGTGTGGAACCAGAAGACGAGGCAGTTCTGTGGCAGGACTGCATCCAGCTGGTGTGAGTATATTAACACTTTGAATCGAGTAGGTAGCTATCGTGAATACATAATGAGAAGACATTCAGGTGCTCGTGTTTATAGAAAACGAAACATGACTGATGTGGTTATATTTCGGGGTATAGGATGAAATCTTTAACTCTTAAGAGGTTTTTCTCCAGTTCTAAGTCCCTATTCACCTTGCTTATAATGGGGCTGGAAACGTAGGACCAAAAAAATATATTTTTGTAATGCTTTTGTTTTCTATATAAACATTTAAGTATTGTTTAAATTTCAATACTTTTCAGTAAATTTATAAGTCCATACTTTATTGACTTGGCAATTTTAATAGGTAGCTTGATCTATATTTTGTGAAGAAAAAAACAATTATGTTTAAAAATTATAGACTTTAGCATCATCTGTTGCTTTATGATTCCTCGTGTGCAACTTTAATATGTAAAGCAATCACTTATTATCATTAATCCATGTTGCTCATGCTCCTATTCAGATTATTATATAATCATAAAACAGATCGAAACAGACCTGAGGAACAAGTTGCTAGTAGGCTGTGATTAAAATCATTGCCATAGACTTGTACCATATATAACAATAAAAGTCATAGTTAGCGAGGACAATTCCAAATACCGGTTGTAACCCACGAGAGCCGGTGGAGCTACAGGAAGTCACAATGAGTCCATTACGGCAATTCAACAGCCGACGCTGCTTCCGGCCACGGGATATCTTACGTTCACCTTGGGACATACTTTATTTTATAACAGACATGTTTTTGGATGGCTCTCTATGAGCCTTTATGACTAATAGCGTCTTCCTAATAGATGACCAAATTATACATGGGTTCAGTCTAGAAGAGATACATGAGACTACTCCTGCAATAAGAGAAAATAAGAGGAGTAAGTTCCATATTAAATACAGACTGCTATTCATCAGCCTATCAGAGCTCACTCCTTAGCAAAGGCCTCTTGTTACATGGTGACTATTTGAGCATTTGTAGTGACGTGATATCTGTATAACTCAGAAAAAAGGAGCGCTTTTTGTGTGATATCTTTATCATTCATATTTTTGAAAATTTTTTGTTAAACTTCTAAAAATCCCTCGAGTAACTTGAGACAAAATATTAACCTACATCGGCGAGTTATGACAGAATAGAAATCTGGCTTTACTTCTAAATACTTAATAGATTTAAAACAATAATCCCAAGCGTTAAATAGTCTTAAGATAATATTACCAGAAAAAAAATGTGGATATATTTATTTGGGTGGTAATAAAAAATGGTTGTAATATTTGGTCAGAAAGGTTTAAAGTTTTATGTCGTTAACTAAATTAACTAATTTGTTCTGGATAAAACTAAATAGATTTAACAGCAATGGAATATAAATATCCTCCTTAAAATTACTGGACCTATATAAAACTGTTCTTATAAATAGCAAAAAAACTCTTACGAAAAGTTTTTATCTACTACCAGTTGTCAAATCCGTGTGCGGTTTTAATATATTTACACATTAATTAAGAGAATTACTTTGAAATACTAGTATTCTTTAAACAACGTAACTGTTAAGTCATACTTACAAATACAGAAATACACTCAATAGAATTTGAGAATCTATTTTTATTATTAATGTAGCTCATTTAAAAATGAAAGGGAAGCTTTAAGTAAAGCATTTCATACGTGCTATACTTTTATATAATCAGGTATCATAAGTATTAATCTATATTCAAGTCTTTGTGTTAGTCGAGGGCAGGATTCAGTGATGTGTTTGCACCTCATCGATTCATATTGACCTAGTTTCATGATATTTGTTATCGATTTCCACCGACGCAGTGCATTCAACACTGAATTAAAAAATACCATTGCACCTTCATGACTGATATTACTAAAGACACTTGGAAATATATCCCATAAATACTCTGAAGAAGAATCTTATTCGGCAATAAAATCACTCTTTATATATTCAAACAATTGACGCATAATTAATTAGAAATATGTCTACATACATAGAATACGTCATAAAGCGTTATGTAAGCTTTTATAACCGTACTCTATAAAACTACTAGTTCTCCTTAAAGTATCAATGCATACAATACCACCTAGACATATTGAACTTACTACAGAACTCATTAATTAAATACAGAAATGAATATAACTATTTATATTTGCAGACAAAATTTGCCTCTTCTACTTCACGTTCTACGCTGCCCTTGCTATTCTGGTGGCCATCTGCATGTGGACGTTCCTGCAGATGTTAGACGCTCGCCAGCCCAGGTGGCAGCTGGACGGGTCCATCATCGGCACCAACCCTGGCCTGGGCTTCAGACCCATGCCGCCTGAAGTCGCTAGCAGTGTCATCTGGTACAGGGGCAATGACCCCGGCAGCTATCAGTTCTGGGTCCAGGAGTTACAACAGTTTTTGAAAAGTAAGTGAAAGAAATTTATAAAAAAGGATAAACAATAAACTTGATTATATATAAAACTAATTTCATAAAAAGTAATTGATGCACTATCGGTCATATAGAGAGAAAAAAGATTTTTAAGTATATAGTTTTCATCTTGTAAAAGTGTCAATTTCAAGAAAAACTTTCAGAAGTATCAATTGCATTATTCCAAAGAAAATACTTTATAATTAATAATAAAAAGAAAACTGTGAAGTTTTTTCATATCTTCTCAAGTAGACTACTTTCCTTGTCTATGATATTTACCCCAAGGACAAAAAAGTATATTATGTTTTTCTAGAAACTTTCTCGATTGTTAAATTTAATATTATTAAAAATAATTTTAATGACTACACTATACTACTGCTTCTTGTTCCATCACAAACACGATAACCTACCCATCTAGAATTATTATCTTTAAGTGACTAAACATCAATTTATATTTAAGTATATGACTAAATATCAATAATTAGACTACATAGGTATGTTATTTAATACATAGTTAATTTTATATATTAGTTAATATTTTTTTATTTCGTCATCACTATTAATCGTATATACATATAATAGCATACAAGCGAGACGGCCACAGATCCGGCGCTGGTCAGAACATCCACAACTGTGACTTCAAGCTGCCCCCACCAGCTGGGAAGGTCTGTGACGTGGATGTGAACTCATGGGGTCCCTGCGTGGACGAGAACGGGTTCGCCTACCACAAGTCCACGCCGTGCGTGTTCCTCAAGCTCAACAAGATCTACGGATGGAAACCTGAGTTCTACAACAGTTCCGACACCCTCCCGCAGAGCATGCCTGACGATCTGAAGGAACACATACGAAACATGACCGCTTATGACAAGAATTATGTGAGTCTAAACACTCTTAATGGTTATTATTACAAAGAATCATTGAGTAATCTCATCTAATACCGCTCCTTAACTCCTTATTCTAAAGTTTCATCAATGTAAATAGGTTTTACCTCTTTAACACCGTCATCTACACTTTTGTTAACCTGAAGTGCTACTTATCGTTTAAAATCTATCTTTTAAAGTCTATCACAGCTACAGCTTGAAAAGCTTTACAAATGCAGTTTATAATGTTACATAACTGTTATTGTCTCTCGTCTAATGTCCTAATAAATATCACAGCCAAGAAGTTATGTTGTTCAATAGATGATTCCAATGATATTATTAGCAAGTTATCAATAAATCACTAAACATATGTTGTTGTTTCAAGCTGAACATGGTGTGGGTGTCCTGCCAGGGTGAAAACCCAGCAGATAGAGAAAACATCGGTCCCATCCAATACCTACCATACCGCGGCTTCCCGGGATACTACTTCCCCTACACCAACCAAGACGGATATCTCAGCCCGCTGGTGGCTGTGCATCTGCAGAGACCGAAAAGTAAGATGTCTTGTAGATAATTATATTTATCATTCCTTTTACGAGAACTTTTTAATCACACACACTGTCACACACACATACAAACATTAAGGATAATAATGGTTTATAATGGTTGTGTTTATTAAAGTTGAAGTAACCATACATATTACTGATGTATCCAACTTCCATCTTACGGAGTATATGAAGAACTATGTTGTATAAAATATGTTAATATTTCAGCTGGCATGTTGATCAACATCGAGTGTCGCGCGTGGGCTCACAACATCAAGTACGACAGACACGAGGGTATGGGTTCCGTACACATCGAGATCATGGTGGAGTGAAACAGTCAACAAACATTACATACATATTTATTAGTCGAATTATCGCCTGGAGTCTAAATAAATACGTTTTATTATTGTGTTCTCGTTAACTTATTTGTCGATAATTTAAATAAAACAACCTTCACTTGTACAACATTTATTTTATTCATACCATCAGCTGTATCTGCTGTCTGTAGCAGATCACGACATTAAATATTCCATTAAAATATGTTTCTAGTGTATAGCATTTCAAATCTTAATATATAATAAATACTAAAAAATATAATTTTTTAGGTAAAAACGATATATTGTTTTATAATTGTATATATTTTTCTATACGTCGCCAACATTGAACATGTCAGGAAGCATCTAGAAACATTGGCAGTAGAATATGTGTAAAGTTATAAGTAACCTTAATGTGATATGTTTAGTCAATCATGATTTCTAAATGCGTGGATCCCTTACGATCCTTTAGACTATCCGTCAACAATATATTCTGTGCCCACGCACGGCAACGAATGTTGATGATCTGATGTACTGGAACAAGAAATTGTTACGATAAAGAAAAAACTTTCTGTAGTTAAATGAAACTATTAAGATATATAAAACAATAATAACTGAAAAAGTTCTTGAACATCTCGTCGGCCCGTGATCACGGTTGCTGAAACGTAGCCGAAACGGCAGGAGTATGTAGTTTAAATCCGAAAAATATAAGTTTCATTTAAATGAATAAAACTCGCGTAAGTCGTAAATCTCATTAAACTCTTGTAAGTTATACTTACATGTAGGATTCATCAGCTGCACAGCAACCAGAGGGCTGAGGTAACCAGGTGTGTTGTCATATGGGAAGAAAACCTCGGACAGACCCGGATAAGGGTGATACTTTAACGGACCCAAGGCTTCCACATCAGCTGGTCTCTCCCCCTCGCACGATACCCAGACTTTGCGCCGCTGAAACAACGAATTTTATTTTAAAACCTTTCTTACAATATTAGTATAAAAAGAGGAGATTATGCGGGAGTGGGGGGATGACTTGGCGGAGCAGCCGTACGGTAGACGTATAATGGCAGCGCTTCTAGTATAAATTCGGCAAACTCTAATAACCATTAAAAATATTATAGCAGTATATATATCGGCGCTATCAGCTTTAATAACAGATGTGACATGAAAATAATTTGAGGCTGTCATCAATTCTTATTAAAACTCATTAGTATTTATGATTATTGTTAAAAGTAAAACGAAATCAAAGATTGTTTAAATGGAGAATAGAACTATTATTAAATCTTGGTATAAACATGACGTCTGAACGCACGGCGGCAGAATTCAGAGATCAGTAAGTGCGTATCATTGAAGTATGTGATTATGAAGAACCTTCGAGAAATACAGGAGCATTAAGAACAACTGAAGTTTCATTTTAAAATATCATCGAACGTACTGAAAGAAGTGACATTTAGTGACGTCAGCGAGGCTGGCGTCTCTCTCTTTTAAAACAACGAATTTGTAATAAATCCGATATCAGAAGTGGGATACATAGAAAAAACATTTCTGATTTCTCACTTCTTCCGGAGAAGCCGTTGAGTTGATGTACTGTTTTAAGTCGACAGGCATTTTGGGAGGCAGATCGTTAGGGTCGTGGTAGAAGACGGGATCCCAATCGAATATCTAAAAGTATAAAAGATGTGAATTATTGAACACTTTGAAATAACATTTTACTTGTGGTGGGTCTATCAAATTAAATGCCGTCATACCTTATTCAACTTAATAATGATGCAAGGTGTCCTGTTCGTAAAACCAAAATTATTTTCTTTAGAACACGGTCCGAGCTGCGATAAATTGAAGGAGCACACTTCGTTTCGAGGTGGCTTTGTCACACCACAATCGTGCTGGTTAACACCTTGATTGATGAGCAGACTTTTATTTTCGTACGCTGGAAATTAAATAATAATAATATATTTTGGATATCTATTCATATCATATAAACGATTATAACACACAATATTATGTATTAGTTACTATAAAAATTAATCTCAATAACTGGTCTGAGTGAAAACCTATTTGTCGTATTAAATGAGGTGAGTTGTTGCCGTTACTCTTATTAATAACTGTTAATTAATTAATTCTTACTAAAAAAAAACTAACTACCCTTTACTTCTGTGAGGATAAATTAGTTATATCGTTGTGAATACTCACGAGCCAAAAACTCGTTGATGTTATCTACGTATTTTTGTATTGTTTTGGGATCCTTCACATCGTACCATATGAGGGCTTCCTCATCTAAGATTATAGGTCTGTGTCCCATACCGGGATTATTTCCTGGAAAGTATTTAGAATCATTAAAGTAAAAATTCAAAAGGACACGGAGCCAATTCCAAAAAAGAAATATTGGTAGGTATATAAACTTTTCCTTTTACTGACCGATGATAGAATCAGCGAGGGTGAAATATGGTATTCGCTCGTCCATCACAGAAAGCATTCCGCACATACAAATGGAGAAGAAAATGATGATGCAGATGTACATCACCAGATATATTAGACCTATTACACCTGGAAACAAACACGGCATCTTTAGAATTCAATGACAATCGTATAAAAGATACACTTTAACACATCATTTCATAAGTAAATAATAATAGTCTTTGATGTTAAATTATAAAATAAATACATGTAGGTAAATGTATTGGAACATATTAGCACATACACCTTACAATATCTTGAGAAACGAATGATTTATAAGGAAAACAGCGGCCTCACTTTCAATACATTACAACATAGGTATTCAGATATAAGACTAAGGATATCTTACATAAAAATATTACATTAAATTGATCGAGTATATTAAAATACTTGTAGTGGTTTTATATATTACGTAACAAGCACTAAAGCAATAAAAGAAGAGAATTCGACTCGAATCGATTTTCCTGAAATAGCTTTCCACGGAAACCGGTCACGGACTGTTTATGTTCAGACCATAAACTATATGCACTAGCCGAAATATGTTACGGTCGACCAGAACACAGAACAACTACTTCAGTCAAAGCTTTCTCAAACAATCAACTGATTTGTCACAGAATGTACGTAAAACAGAAACTTGTTGTAATTATTTTATCGAACTAAAAAAATTCTGTACTTGGAATGCGAAATATGTCCATAGAATACAGTTTCACGGCTAAATGAAATCAATATTTTAAGAAGAATTACATAAAAGATCAAGAAACCTATAAATACAATAACATTATAGGAACTACTTGAAATGATGCAATAAAAACAGTAGTATACAAAGTTTAAAAAAGGTTTATGAAGAATAAAAGCATTAATTTAAATAAAAACTAGTAAAATGAACTACACGTCACGGTTTCACATAAGTATATACATATATAGTAGTAATATATCTTGGTCATGACATAACTAAAATTAAGAAATTAAAAATATTTTGTAACACAAATAAACTCAAGTAGAATTGTCGATATAAATTGTAATAAATAAATTGTAGATACATACATGAAATGTTGGTGACCCATGACTAATCCTGTTTAATAATTTTCATGTTTTAGTTAATTCATAGTTTGTACCTATATAAACTTTTATTATTTTTTACTTCCTTTGATAATGATTCATATTTTAAAATTGTTTAATATTTTTAAAGCAAAGAATTTTAATTTCATCGACTGAATTAAAAGCGTTCTTCAGCAACATATAATATTAAATTTGGCCAACATTCACACTTACATGGATACGTATGTTATTTCCAAGTACTCACTGTCACTACGTACAGAGAGTTTACTGTTTTTAATAATAATTCTTCTTACATTATAATATTAACAAAGATTACTGCATGGGAAACATGAAAAGCTTCGTGGTAATGTAACGATACAAACTTAGAATAAGCATACCGCTCAAAAACATGACTAAAAGATCTCCATACCGTCCTGAAAACTCCTTATTAATGAAAAAATCTATATTCAGATAGTTTTATTGTAGTGGAATAATCAATCAACATATAGAAGGGCTTCACGACACTAACAAAGCGGTAGTTGTCATGTATGAAGGGGAACATAACTGTCAGTGTTTTTCCACTCAAATAACTTAACTGTTACTTGTCAGCCCTCTCTGTAGGAGTGTTTGTTAAGTCTACAGTCCACAGTACACAACACTCGCCCCTCTGTATCAATAGCTTTCACTAACAACTAGGAATAATTTTATAGTATTTATAGTAAGATGTACCATTTACTTATTTCACTGTTTCAGTACACGATTAACTCTACCTTCAAGTTGAACTAAGACTCCAATAAATATTAAATATAAACATTAATTGGAAGTTTGACTTCGATAAATAATTGTTCCTTTTGAAATTATAATAGGTATTCTTTATAAAAGAAAAAACTGTAATCTGTACATTCTTTGACGGGTCGTCAGTAAGGATGCTTTTTAATATCTATGTCATGAATTTCATCGACACTGGCTCTTCCTTAATAAACCCATTAAATGATCAACATTTTTGCTTACAACTTTACAGACATTCAATAATGTATTTCAAAATATTAATATGTAATCTTTATGAGGGCGCCCAGAAGTATGGATGTATGTTGCTTATTGATGCGAAAACTACTTAAATTATTTGATTAAAAAAATTCAGAATCTTACATATCAGAATAAGATGTAGCTTATAATTTTGTAATATTCGTAGGATCATGGCATAGCAGTTGCAATTTAAAAAAATACCCGTGATACAGTCTATAGATATTTTTGCTATTTTGTTACTATATATTCGTTTGAACAAACGAAGATGACACGGTCAAAAACTAGTCACAAATACACAAGGGAAACACTAGCACATTTATATGTAATATGTAATTACGGTGAAAATAATAATACTTAAAAGGTACATATGTAGTTTTAGAAACAATAAAATTATGCCTAGTAATCCGAAAATCTAATGAAACTAATTTCATTTAAATGAATACTCGCGAAAGTCTTAGTCATCATAATCAAATCATTCTTTTTCCTTCCGTTAAAATGTATCTCACAAAGTCGGCGTCAATAAAGGAATATTCTCCAAACCCATATAGAAGTCTAGTTTATTGTACATTTCCCTAATTGAAAGCGCCTCTCCCATACACGTCACTACGAGGTCGGGGGAGGTGAGACCATTTATGTGTACTTATTCCTTGCCACTCTTATTAGAACCTTGTCTAACTAAAACTAAACTACCCATCAAGAACTGCCTGTAAGTCATTTCATATGTATATTTAGGTATGCTACAGTTTTTGTTTGTTTACACAAGATTTATTTTCACTGTTGCCTAGTTCGTATTATTATTTATGGTGATGACGTATTACTGAATATGAAAGAGTATGAAAGATGCCGGTCTTAAAATATGATGGCGTTTACTTAGAGTATGTTTTACAGCGAACCTTGAATTATATATAAATATTAAAAAGTACCAAGCTATAGTTTGGATGTATGGAAGTAAAAAAAAATAACTATTATGAAATATTACTGTTAGATTATTGAGGAAGTAAAGACGAAGAATAGAATGATTTTATCAAATACTTACTTGGAAATTGGATAATGTAATTCTGCTAAGATAAATAAAATATATATCTCATTGAAAAGCAAATACGATGTGAAAAATTATAATTCAAAACCGAAGTAAACTGTGTTAGTTTTGATATCGTTTGTCGAAAATAACTTTCATCTAAGATGAATCAGATCTATCACGAGCGAGATTTAGAGCTTTAGAGATTTTGGAAACTAGTTCATATTATGTACTTATCCCTTCACTGAGATTTATGAACTGAAAAAATATTAAGGTTTTATTACTCTGACTGCTATGACTTGTCTCCTGACCCAGAAGTGACTGATTAAATAATTAATATTGTAAAAGTCACTGGCATAGAAGAATAATGTAACTTTTTTTCCTGTTTTCTCAATTTGAATTCATAGGATTAATATTAATTTTATTATGATAGTAATATTCAGATGATAGTAATATATATTGATAGTAATATTCAGTACGTAATTTAAACATATAAAATAAGTCATTAAAATATTCGAATGCAGTAAGTACAATACTTAATATTATTTTGTATACAAAAAACATTTAACTGAGAGGTTTTCATTTATGTTGGAACACTAATTTATTTTACAGTAATTGAAAATCCTTCGTCTCATATGTAGACATGACATGGTTAATGGTTTAAAAAGAATATAATGTAATCATTTAAACAAATAATGAATTTTATCATTTTTATTAAAAAACAATATAATAATAATAACGTTCTAATATATATTGAAATTATTTATATCTAATTTCCAAATTTAAACAAATCTCTTCAATGAAGGTTAACGTATTAAGTATATAGTAATATCTCACCCCATCTCTTCCCTGTTCTTCCCAGGAAGGTTCTCTCCTCAGGGTTCCATATCCCGTACTGGATCCTCTTCATCAGAGGTCTCTCTGGAGGTCGTCTGTTATAAGTCACCACTCCGTTCTGCTTGTCCGCGCCCATCGTGCCTTCAACAACGAATGACTGCCGCCACTCACACAGAACCAGCTAAAGTGATACACCATTTTGTAGACCAATGTAACCTTCCTCTCAGAGGGGAGACGTGATGAGTTAGGATTCTGGACTTAGAGAATAATATAAATTATTTAATTAACTCAAAACTGTAGCAGTCTTATTGCTAACAATTAATCTCTCTTTCAACAAACAGATATTAAAGATTGTCATTTTATATTATATTGACTATTAAAAACATATACATATATTATGTTTATGCTCTACTAGTCCTAGAATTGTATTTAAATAGGAGAACACAGATTTTGATAGCGACATTATATTTCATAAATATTATTCTGTAGCAACTATTTTAAAACATAGAACCCTCTGTTCCCTTATTCTTTGTCCGCCCACAGTCCGCTCGAATCTGCCCCGAACCAGCCGCACCCGCCCTGCTTCAGCCGTCACCTCGTCACCTTGCCCAAGTGATTAGTTAAGTAAAGTACAATACGTGTCTGTTTTATTGGGTTACATGATGTTGAAGGTGAATCAAAGCGTAATTGAATCGCTGACAAAAAACTTGATTAAGTTAAAAAGAAAAATTATTAAGGGTCTTGTATGAGTAAACTCTTCCAAAATAATGAGGTATATAATAAAGAAAAAATGAATTAGCAATATAATAGAATATAATTTGAATGCTCTCAATGAAAAGCTGAAAAGGTTTATTTGTTTAATTTTCTTGTAATAATTATGATGGAACCACTCAGAAATCCTAATATTAAAATATTATAATCTTTTATTCCCATTAGATGATACTTATATTAATTACTCTTAATAATATTCTTGACTAGGTACCTTTATTTTCAGTAAGAAACTTCCTGAACATTAAGACTTAAGAGTCCAACTAAAATTAAAATTTAGCCTTCACTTCTAAGTTTTAAGTTCTTTGATGTAGATTATTTAATTATAATAAAAAACTCACAAAATATTGGAAAAAGTCTTACAGGTTAGGGCAACTTCAAATTGTTCTTTTCTCATTTATAAGTTAAAGTACGAACGAAATCTTCAGAAGAATCCTTAGCACACGTAATGTAAGAAAATTCCTGGTTTTTATATATAAGGAAATCTAAATATTAAATTTCAAATTAATACTCATATGTATTTGAATGAATATTTATTAATGAACACAAATATTAACAAATAATATTGGTTACAATTACATTTTGTACTGAATACAATCTATAAACTAAAGGTGACACTTGATATATACTTCTATATATACTGTTAAACATACGTTTTATGTCTATATTTAAATAATATTCTTAGTAAATTGATATACATAAGATGTATTATTAGTATAATATGGGAAAGGAGTATATGCGACATTGTGTAGTAAGTTAACACACGTTAAGTACCTAAGATTATTTAGCTTACAAATAAATATATTAAAGGAAACTAATTTATCTCTTGTTTTTGATATTAAAGTGTATATATTATAGAAATTGTATTCATTCATTTATAAAAGATATTAATAAATTAAATTAGGGAACAATAACGAGAGAATTTTCCACAAAACTGAGTTTATTTTAAATATTACTTAAAATGGTCATAATACGTAAGATAATTGTATAAACATTGATAACAAAAAATATATCAATCGGGAAAGTTGTATAAGAGAACCAAATTATAAATATGTTTTCCTTTGCTAAAAAAAACTAAATAAAAAGTCAAAAAACTAAAATTTTTTTACATGTTCCATTACAGTAGACTGCGGAGAATTAATAAAGTTAAAAGTGTCTGTACTTGTCATATTCTCTGAATCCTGAAAAGTAAATATAAAAATTCTAATTTAAAACTCAAAACCAAATTATTTCCCAAAAATTATCTTTGAAATGATGACAATCAAAAAGGTTGAATTAATCGTGGCTTCATAAACTACATGTGTTTCTGGTTTAAAAACTTTTATTTTAAATTCATCCTAAAACAATGTTTTAATGATACAGAATTGTAAACTTAAAACTGTTACAAGTTTGCCCATAATGAGACAAGATTTATGTATATAAAACTATTAACTCTACAAAATATAGACACAAAGAAAATGTTTCATTAACATTAAATTTCCACGTATATTTTTTTTGTTAAAATTACTAATAGTACAAGTGGTTCACAAAACAAAAGGAATAACGTAGATAAAGATTTTGGATTTCTTTAATTATTACACTACTAATAAGCAATAATCCTTTTGAAGTAATGAAAAATTCATACATTTTAGTCTTATTTAGAATGAACAATCTAATATTCCAAACGACATCAATATGGAATCTAAATATATATACTATTTTAAATAAAAGTAAAAAATAATGAAACATACTTTAATTGTTGCCAATTTATCAATGTCAAATATTAAGAACATAATTGTGATAGATTTCATACGTCAATATAAACTGGTGACTAAAAGTTTTCCATTAATAATACATATATCCAATGCACCTTATATTTTTAATTACTTTTTAATTACCACTATATTAATTAGACTTAAACACATGATATAACTACAATTGCTCACTGAATTTCAATTTCATGATTCCATAGAAAACACAAGTTTAAAAAACACTAGTTACAAGAAAAGTATTTTAAACAATTTGATACGAAATAAAAAGCATTCTAATATATGGGAATGATATACTTTAGTTACAACTAAATTTGTACTATGATTGAAGCCTGACATGAAATACAATTCACACATTTTTAGTCATTTTGGTCTTAACTACACTATTACTAAACTATTTATGGCTTAGCATGCTGTGAAAATTCATTGCTATTTCCTTAATTTCTTTCTTTCTTTATTGTTATTTGTAATATTTTGCGGAGTTTGCTCTTTATTTGCTAAAGAATATTGAGTTTGCTTAAAACCAAGTTTAAGCATATAAAAAATGTTGTCGATCGTCAGGCAATGAACCCGCATTATGTTACAGGGCAAATAGTATAGTTTAGTATTCTTATAGCTTATTACTTTCACCATTTAAGAATTCAGCTGCCATGTATTAAGCCAAAGTAACTAATAGCCTTATATTTATACCGCAGTGTAATATTACAGCTAAAGTTTCAATGAATCTCTTTCGAGACAGTCAAACATTTCTTTGGTTAAATAGTAATAATTTAAACTGTTAAAACAAATATAACCAAGGGTGTGTGAAAAACCATGTACATTAAACGAACTGACACACCGATTTTTAATTAAAGATGAATTTTTGAAATATATTGTAACATAGATATTATTAAAAAAAAAAATTGGTTCTAATGATTTCTGAACATTTCACTATTTGTGACTACGTTTCTTAATAAAGAATTTTTTTTTACTTTTACATACTAATTAAATAAATTACATGATATCTTTTACATCGAATATAAAAACATTTTCATTAATCCAGGTACTTTTCATATTAATTAATAATAATTAATTTAAGCCAATCCATGATCTTAATCTTGTTGTGTAAATGCCATCTATTTCTCTACTGTTATTTTAGTATTCATCATTTGATCTCGGTGGTTGCAGCAGTAGTTGTGTCGTTATCTTGAGATCTGTCCTCTGAAATCCGTTCCGCTGCAGCAGTCCCGTTGTATAAGGGATCGTCTACCCGCAACAGTATCCTGGCGTACCCCCTGGGTTCCTTAATACTCTTGTTGTATTTTACGTTCTTAGCCCAGACGCGGCATCGGATTATGTTTAAAGTGTTTACTGCAAACAATAAATTAGAAAGAGTCTTAGAAATGACCATTTTATTCTACTTCATAGACGTCTTTGGCTTGCATGCCATTCAAAGATTTTATCAATGACATACGTAACTAATCGTAAAGTCGTTAATATAGAAAATATTTCAGCTCAAACTTTCTTCTGATGATCTACTTCCAATGTAAAAAAAGTTACGCGGATTTGCACTATCCCTGACGATGTTTGTACAACATAAAGTAATTGGAAAAGCGTGTTAGGAATATGGAAGTTAATAACTTTAACTGACCTGGAGGTGTGACTTTAAGTGCGATGAGTGGTGGTGTGTACCCTTGCTGGTTGAGGTAAGGGTAGAACCTGCCCGCCAGCCCGCGACCCCACGGGTACTGCAGACGAGCTCCTGTGTCGTGCTCCAACCAACATGACACCCACAGCTGCTGACGCTGGAAATTAACACACAAACATTACTCGAGATATCTTACTTGTCTAAATACGATCAGGATGACAAATATTGTTAGTAATATAGGGTTCATAGTTTAGTTAAGAAAACTACTAATTTAGGATTGAAACATGATATAAAAAGGAGATTTCTTTAAAAATGTACGTGCTTTTCAAATGTGGACTATATTTTCTAAGCCATTAGTTTAAAATGTATATAAATGTTATACAATATGACACAATATTTAATATTTAAAACATTTAATAAGATTTAATATGAGTTAACACTGTCATGGTATTATGATTGAATTCATATTAATAATTCTCAATATATTTATTTATGTATCAGATGATCTATCTCACCTCAGCCTCCGGTAGCATCGTGATGTACTGAACTAGATCTGGGGACATGTCCTCAGGGAAATCATTCTCGTAGTACTGAGGCTTCCAACCGTAGATCTGGAACAGAAATAACATTATATTAATTAAAAATAACTACGAACTTAAATGAAAAATATATCGTTAAACTTGTATTCTATGATAATTTAAAAAGGCTTTACATTTGTGTATATTAAAAACAATATCGTAGATTGGGTATAAAATTAAAGAGCGAAACGGACACCATATAAAAGTAATGAGAAATTTTAAAACTATATATGTCGTTACTCATTAGAAACTTAAAGCTATAGTGTTGCCTCCTTACTTTATTCAACTTGATAAAGAGGCACGGTGAGTGCGGGAAGCCAAAATTATCTTCAGAAGTGCATTCCTTCTTTGAAGTTACCCACGATTCGTTTTTATACTCTGAAAGCAAACATTTTTAACATAATGTAGCATATACATATTGAACAAATGAATAAACTTTATATAAAACACAGAAACAAAACCTATACCAGAATAATGAAAAATTAAGTGGTTGGATAATAATCCGTTGGAAAAATCGCATTCATCAGAGATTAAGATACATAGCATTGAAACAAGAAAAACAATAAAAAAAACATAAAATTTAGACAACGTATTTAATACAAACATTATTTTGAGATTCAAAGCTACAGCTAAAATGAAAATTAAATAGCAATTCCTTATATGAGCGTGAGATCTTACGTTCAAGCAACTCAGCCAGCTCGCTGGTGTAGTATTCATATGCTGAGGAGTTCTGAGCGTCGTACTGGACCGTGATCTCGTCACGAGGACGGGGACGGTAGCTGACACCAGGGTTGGCACCTGAACAAATAAAACGTACCTTCATTAATAGGTCAAGTCGCAACCTATTATAGTATCAACGTAGACTTATCAATGAACTGAGAATGAAAATTAAGTATGATTATGAAACTTTTCGTAAGGCTACTAATGCTACAACCGCATGTGTGAGTGTGGGTATGTATAAATATTCATTTGAAAATATATTGGTGACAAAAATAAGCAACGGATCTATTTAAGACTTATGTGATATGAGAATGTATGGGCTTATTTGGATTTATGTCGTTTTAGAGAAATAGTACATTCAACGAGTAACAATACCCAAAGGGATTAATTAAAATTCATTTCAATACTTAACAATAATTTAAATGAAACTAACATTTTCGGATTACTTCTCGTATTTTATTATGTTTAAGCACTACATACTTCCGACGTATCGGTTACTTTTCAGCAACCGTGATCACGGGCAGACGAGATGTGAATACTTACTAATAATGTTACAAAATACACATACTTTCTAGTTTATATGAAATGTATGTACATGGATTACACAATTGTTTTATACGTGTATGTAGTGATGATAATATTAAACATGCTATTAAAATAGCTCGCACTAATTACATACATCCTCTAACCTTTGAATTATATTAACGTTATCATGCAAAAAGCATTTTTATGTTACGAGGTAAATAAATGTGATATTAAAGTTTGTTTAAATAAATTACTGATTTCAACCAAAATAATGTCTCTAAACCCTAAGAGAGTTACATAAAATACTTTGAAAGTCATCGTGGTATTCAGGAAGTGTGATTGTAACTAATAGGCTAAGTTTTAAAAGCGATATTTATTCAGCATATATTAATCATCATCATCCTATCAGAGTCCACTGATAAGCAAAGGCCTCTTCTCACATGGCTTCTCACAAGGCTTGAGTATTAATTACCAAGCTTGCTCAAGACGGGTTGGTGATTTCAAACTTATAATTTGAAATTATATGTCCAAGTTTCCTCACGATTTTTGCCTTTACCGTCTGTAAGTGGTGTCTAAATACTCTTAGAAAGTATATATGATTCGGAAAATCACATTGGTACCTGACAAGTTTCGAACCCGCGCCTTCATGGACAAGAGGCGGGCCTTTAACCACTAGGCCATCACGACTTTTCTTAATATATTAATCCAATTTGTTAATAAAGTTTATTTAAGACAAAAGGAATACATAATTCATCAACCAAAAGTAGTATTAATAAACCAAATTACATCTAAAAGCTAATACAGCCCTTTAACGTCCTCGGAGTAATATTACAGTGTGACGTCACATCTGCCGGAAATACGCGAGCAGAATTCCTCATTTATTAGTAAAGATTTGTAAATAACGTTGGTCGTTTCATAACTTTTCAAATTATCAAACAATCTATTATAGAGGACTAGGTTTTGGAATGTATGAGACTGACCAGTGGATTACTAATGAGAGAAAGGATTTATTACTACTTAGATACGTAAGCATATAGTAGTTTAGAACACACTACATACGCAGGAATGAAATTATCTCATTCATACTTCTTATTTTATAGTATTAAGTACATAGGAACGTTTCGTCTATATCTTAAATATGCAAAATTATGGTAAGTGTACGTCATTATGTTTTAACACAGTCTTTCATACAAAAAAAAATCTTTTTTCCTTTTAATAAGAAAACAATCGTTTTAATTCCATATTATCCACTATTTCCAACTAACAGACAAATTTTGAACAAAATTAACATCTCTTATATACGTATTAGTAGAATTGACGGATGAATTAGAAATACATATATACATATATATCGAATGAAAATATGAACTTTAACATTTTCAGTACTAAGATTACCGTCTTAACATTGATTAGATTAAAAAGAAAACTTTACTATCTTAGCGGAGATAAAAATATACATGATAATTGAATTTACCACGGATAGGAAACACAGTTTGTTAGGAGTGTTCCTACTATTATAAACAAACTCTTAAAATAACGAAACTATACATAAATATACACATAGAGTTGTTTTTTAAATATTACGAGTTAGTTGAGAAAGATAAATAATTTCTATAACAAGTTTCTATATCTGATATTAAACAACTGGTAGGTACGTGTTGTTGAGGTAATATTTATGAATAAATATTTTTATATTATCATCTAGGTTCATGAATAATATTGACTTTCATTAAGTCTATATGATCTTTATCTAAACCATCCTGTTTAACAAGCTTATATGAATACATAAACCGTACATAGAAATACTTTTCTAGATATATTTCTATGCTTAATTTCTAAAAAATATTCAATTTTTACAAATAATATTTAAAAATATTCTGTCTGTCTGTCTGCTGTTCAGTTTAATCCAAGACTACAAGATATTTAAAAAAAACTTCGTCACTTTATTTACATCAAAGCGATTGGTGACAAGTAGGATATAGAAATTACGCATAGTAAATAATGTGAATGAAACATACATATTTTAATTATATATAAATCATAGTGTTATGAGTTTGAACCTAAAATATTGTGACTGCTGATAAAGGATAGCATCACTAAAAGACATATGATTTTCGCGTGTAGGTACTCATTTAAATGAAACTATTTTGTATCTACATAACCTCTACGTGTCGACGAGTGTATGGTACTTTATACCGTCAGTCCATGATCATGGTTGATGCAAAGGAATCGAAACACCAGGATTATGTAATTATAAAATTATAAAAAATCGCGTACTATCCAAAAAACTTAGTCTCACTAACAAAAGACGGCAATGATTGTAATTTTGTTAAGTTATAAGTATCCCTTAAGCTCAGAATTTAATTACTTCTCAATCATATACAGTATAAACTCACCGATCAACGAACTCTCCAAGGTGTACATGGGCTTATCGTTGTCCAAGGTTGAGAACAAGCCCGCCATACAGATAGCGAAGAAGGCAGCCAGCGCCGCGTAGAACACCAGGTAGAAGGCGAACAACACACCTGTAACACACTATAGTATTAGTAAATATACAGGGTGACTGGTGAATTACTATCAATACTTAAGGACGTGATATTTGACGATCATATATGACAAAATAAAAATTAATATAACATAAATATTAATAAACTTCTAAGTAAAGTTAACCAAAAGTTATGTAATTAATTACGCATCGTATGAACACCCTAAAGATTAGGTATACACTCACACTCACACATACGCGAGCGGGGCGTGGTGTTGTATCAGCACGCCGCCGCACGCGTCCACACTTGGAACACTTGGAACGTGTCAACACTTTATTTATTTATACGGGAATTTTGTCAAAAATTAAGTGCCTATTTTTTTTACATAATTCGAATGAGAATCATGTACCGAGTATGCTCCTTAAATATTGATAGTAATTCACCAGTCACCCTGTATACATACATTAAAAAATCGTGGTGGTCTAGAAGTTAAAGGTCCGCCTCTCGTGCATGAGAGCGCGGGTTCGATACAACATTGGTAGTGGCAAATACCTATGTGATTTTTCCGAGTCATTCTTTCTAAGAGTATTTAAACACCACTGACTGATGAAGGAAACCATCGTGAGGAAATCAGGACTTATAATTTCAAATTATAAGTTTGAGATGACCAACCCGGCTTGAGCAAACATGGTGAGGCCTTTGCTCAGCAGTGGGCCCTGATAGGCTTATGACGGTTTTTATACATTAAGATTTCAATTATTGAAACCTTGGAATGACTTCACTACGCAAACACAGACAAAAAGGTGTTTTTCATTCCTACTTCCTTACTGTCATGAACTAATATTTATAAATGAAAAAATATTTGATTTTAGTTCAAGATATCACAGGTTCGAATTTTTCTCGTTTTGCCATTTCTTATTCCGTAATGGTCTAAAATTTTAAATAGTCAAATCTATTTCAATCGTTCGTAAAATATGAAATTGTAATTACAATTCTAGATGTGAGAAATATATACATTTCTAGATTTATATTGCAATTAAACTTAATGTGACGTCAAGTGACTAGCTATTGTTAGTTCACAATGATCAATTGTAGTTCTTTATTATTACAGCAACTAACTATCCTTTGAAATCTACCAGATTTAATTGATGTGAAATAGATTTTAAGAAGAACATTGCCAAATATTAATATATATAAAATCAAATTTCTAATGCTTAAGTAGTAAAAAAGTACAGTATCAATTTAATAAATTGTAATACTGTTATACAATGTAAAATATGAATACTATTCAGAATATGAATTACATGAAACGTTTTGTCAGAAAATCTTTCAGATATGTCAAAATAAACATAATATTCAAATATATAGGAAAATACAAAGAAATTTGAGGGTAGGAATTAATAAACTATTGTTTTAGAACAAAAGTAATCGAAATAAAAATTAATAGAAATCGAATTAAATATATTGATAGTTTTTTGTACATTCAGAATAGTTCATTTACATTGTTATTAGGATTAGGTTTTAAATAATTTAAGAAAATATGAAGATCAGGAAATATTTAATTATTTATAAATAACAAAAAAAAGTTACACATAGAAAATACACGTCACAAAAAGCTATAAGCACGGAATATGTTTGTAAACTTCAAGTTTGTAATACCAACTTGAATTAATCAGTAAATCATCTGATGTATAGAACACACAGACTGAATTGCGAAAGTGACTTATAGAACTATGACGTCAGCAGTCTAAAACTGTTTGGACGGAAATAACTCTCACAGTCACACGTATTGAATACTCGTCCTTAGGTAACGACTTACAAATATACCTATAGACTGTAGGAAATATAAACAAAAAAACAATTCATTACAGGAACAAAATGGAGAAGAGGGTTTTGGCAGAATCATAAACCTATTTTTTTGACATAGGACCAATCACTACTTTTATCTAAGACTCTTGGTTCCGAATTTATCTTTCTAGCTAGTTTTATAGTAAATTTTCAAGTAGATGCTGGATTCTCAAGATCTTTATTTTAATTATGAAAAGCGTAAAATACATTATAATGGTAACGACTAAGATCGTTACTGACGCTGTTCAATCTTGTTTCTGGCGCTCAAAGACAATAGAATATTACATGATTGAATAGAATCATTTATTATAATTATTACATACTATATGTTGGCTACAACATAATAAAATATATAACCATATACATTTTATGTTGTAGCAATTTTAATTGTTATTCTGAACGAAGAATATTGCTTAAAAAACATTTCCAGATAATAAAGATACTTACTTAAATATTTATTTGTTATGCAACGCAACTTTAGTTATTTCAGTTGAAATCTGATTATATTAAACATCGTTCTTTAAAATGAATAAATTACAAAGGAGTTCTAACCTTGAGACACAAAAGCGACACCAGATAAAGGCCTGGTGGGAACCGTTGCAGCTCTTCAATGGCCAAACCCCTGCAGCAATCACGATTGTTTACAAACAATTGAGGCCTTTTAAAAAAATCCTTTTCAAATAAAATCAAGGATATAAAATTGTTATAAACTTGATTGACTTCAAATGCAAATATATTAAATAAGTATGTTTTTACATATTATCATAGATATTGTTTAATAGTAACTTGTTTATAGAAAAAAAAATGCCGGTACTGTATAAATTTCTGAATATTTCCTCTTGTTCCGTTCATTGCCAAGTTTCCCATCATCTATTTAGTATTATCGTAATCCCTTGCCTGATGCTGGAGGGACCCCAGTTAGGGGATCATTATTGCGGTCAAGGGCATAAAAAGGTGTCCCTTCAACTAAACGGACCAAATAAACGAGTCTCACTTGATTGTTAATAGGATATATGAGATGCTGAGAGATACTTTGTTATTTGTATGTAGGAAAAAATAATTTATCAGTTTATGAGACTAAGGACTTTCCTTATTGGAAATGATTGTAAAATACTAAGTCTTTTCATGACACGTTCATACATCGTCCAAACAATTCTCATATAAAAAACAATGATTAAAAAGAATGGTCATAGCAACTTCTAAATATGTCTAAACAAATTCCAAAATGAGAAATAAAAAGCTTCAAAAGATATCTGTTTATATAATGGAACTGAAAGATTATACTGTGAAGTGACGTGACAAGAGCTTGAAGGAATAAAAACCAGTCTTCTTGAATACTCTCTCAAATAATGAGACTGGGAATAATGATGTTCTTTTTAATCGATCTCAATAGAAACCCTATATCTATGTATATAAAATTTCTAAACGCGTACGATTCTATGTCTTCGGTGTTTATAGAAAAACATATAATAAATGAAACTAATATTTTTCGGATAATACTACGCGTTTTTTATTATTTTAAACTACATACTCCTGACACTTCGATTACTTTACAGCTGTAATCACGGGCAGACGAGATGTGAATGAACAAATACTTAATATGCAAGCATGTATTTATTACATAATAACCTATGCATTTAAAATCATTGACTCTACCGATTTGTAGGTGAATGAGGTGAAAACGATTTACTTATCTCAAGTGCATGCCCAGTTTCACCTAGGTCAAATTTTAATTAAATATTGCATCAAAATAGACGCATTACGTAAGAAAAATACTATAAATGATAAAAAATATTTAGGCAAAGAAGAATAATATAAACTTGTTTATTTAAAGTATTTCATAATAAAAACATATATTTAATTATAACCTAATAATCATATATTACTTGTTTAGAACTATACAGAATAGTGTTTGATATTCAGAAACAAAACCACACATAATAATATTTAAATAAGCGCAAATATTAGCGAAAGAATTTATTTTGCGTGTAGTTTCAGTTTAAAATGTTTTAGCATCGCAACACAGTACAGTCTCATGTATGCTAATACACTCGGGTCCCTAAATTTGTCGTTCAACAAAAGACACATTGTGCTTTATGCTAATCGGCTCCAGATGTTTCGTAAAAATACATATGAGAAACTGTATGGAAGACAGAATGAAATAAACGTGTTAATTTTAGTTCATTGTAGTGACTAAAACTATTGTTAAAACCTAAGATCGTTAAGACTTAGGTATACCTCAATGATTGTATTATTGTATAAAGTTTTATAAACATAATTTAACCATTATATGTAGTTATGACATATAAAAACGATATGCTGTTGCGCATTTTAATGAACTTATTTTATGATTTCTACGTATTGAGTTATCCTCGTCATATAAAAAAGGGTTAAAAGTTGTCCTTGGTGCTTGAATGCAATATTTTCTACCGATAATAATTTTCCTTTCTAAGTTTCTATGACAGTTCGAGAATTTTTTGTAAGAGCTTAAAAATAACTGTTTTAAATTGCTATTACTCTTGCAATAACATTTGAAAATGACACCTCGAAATTTAAATTTTTGTTCCAATTTTGAATTTATATTGAAACGTTTACGTAGGTAACATAATATATACATTTATGATACCTAGGAATTCTAATGAACTGATAAAATATTTACATTTTTTATTTGTAACATAAATAAATAACAGCGCCGTGCACGTTCGGAAATGTTATTTATGTAAATAATTTCTGATCGCAAGTCACCTCGAACATGCATCTTAAAATAATATTGCATTTAATAAATCGTCTAAGCAAATATGAATGTTATTTTATCTTGATTTACTTAATATCTTGATTATTGTTAATAGACTTTGAAATAAAGAATTTTTATGTTAAATGTTCAGTATATACTTAGGTATCTGATTTCTATTAAATTTGGTGTTAAATGATATCCCGAAATTTTATTGTACTTTATACAAAATATTTTTCTGACTTCTAACTGATATGTATAATGTTTTTATTGAAAATTATATGATATTATATTAAATTATATTTTCTTGTATTAAGTGTCTTCGATTTTAAATTCTTACATGAATTTATGAAGACAAACGAAGCAAACATAAACTTAACAGCACAATAATGGAAATAGATATACGAACAAATATACAAAGAACTAGCTTCTGCCGCGACTCCGTCCACGTGGAATAGTGACTTCCGGCAGATTTTTGGTTCTTCCCACATAGTTCGAATCGAATGGTCGAGTTCCCGTAGAATTTTCAGGATAGAACCTATGTTTTTTTTATTCACAATGAAGTACTTTTAACCAACAACATATTTATTTGTTTATTTGAATAAAGATTAATATTTTTATGTTGATACAACTTAAACAAATTATTTCGACCAAATTAGGTACCATAAAAACGGTTTTTGTGAGTTAATCTTAAAAGATAGACATATACTGTCGCGGACTGTTTGTTAGATCATTAAAAGAGCTATTATTCTTTACTACATATTTTTTTTGTATCTTGAACCGTTTTCACGGCGCACGCAACGGAAGGCTTCAAACATGAAATAATTTCTCCCGTTTTTTACACATTTACCACTATATCTTTGCTCCTATTGGCCGTAGCATGATGTTATATAGCCCACAGCCTTCCTCGATAACTGGACTATCCAACAAAAAAGAATTATTCAATTCGAACCAGTAGTTTCGGAGATAAGCGCTTTCAAACAAACAAACAAACAAACAAACTCTTCAGCTTTATAATATTAGTATAGATTATACATAGTTCGTGGGTGTAAAATTACAATGAATACAATTGCACCTCCATAGATATGATATCATGTTAAATATGCATTTATAAATAAGCGAAAAACACTCATTTTGATTTATAATCAAATATTTTTACATTTTTTCCTTTTAAAAAAATGTCGGTTGCATAGCAATTACAGGTTTTCTAAAGCTTTGTATTCCCGTATAAGCATCAGACACTAATGTTTTTACCTCTTTGACTTGACAGATGAACAGAAGTGGTTTTAGAATAGTTCTCATTTTGACTTATAAACGTTTTACTTACTATGTATAAGTTAAAACTGCTTAGAATTCAGTATCCTTAGAACGAGCGTATAAGATATTTCAGATTGAAAAATTGAAGCCGCCCAAACTGTTCGTGTTTACGTAATACGATGATTACTACATAGTAAGGTGAGTGAGAGTATTGCAATATTTGGAAAGCAATTTCTTGTTCGGCAACAGAATAATTAGGTTGGATTGTCGATACCCGTCAAGGTCAGTAATAGATGTTGAATCACGTCCTAGCGACGGCTGGGTCAAGGATGTTTCTGTTAAAATTTATTAAAAGTAATTAATAACAAACGTCTGTTTACATACAGCAATCCTTTTATTGATCGTCATTTAGAATACGTTCGATGTTTCATTACTCGGTACTATTTCTTGTGACTAAGAAAATATATAGATTTTGAGTTAATTTTTCTCTTTGAATATAAATAACAATGCCGAGGCAACGATTTTACGTTATACTTTCTAGAAATAAGATTGTATGAATATGTTTTCGTTCAAGCAACTGAAATATATCAAAGTTATAATTTTTTTTGTTTTGTAATTAATTATAAAAAAGTAAGTTATTTTAAATAATATAATATGTGTAAGTAGAATAAACTCATGACATTTTATTTAAATAATATTTACATAATCTAGTCAGTCTTCTTTAATAAATTGGTTATATTTTGAATTTCAGTAAATATTTTTAGGTCAACAAATAAATTTTTGTTTTCATTTAAATTATTTTGTAATTTTAATTATTTTCTCACTTTAAATGTAACTCCAAAAATAACAATAAACCGCTTTTATTTTCTACTCATACTTTTTTAAAAAAAGCTCAGTTTATACTTGAAGACATTTTATTATTATTTTATAAGTGTGTGTATTTTCTGTGATGGTAACAGAGGCTCCTTGGCAGACAGCTGAATGTAACACTTTATTTTAATCGGATGTGTGCCAACGACAGACAGACAACAATTCAATGGGATATAAAATATTAATAGACGCGCCAACATAAACAATTTTATGGTGAACCGTTCGCATTACATATCGTAACCGAGTTACACTAACATATTTCACGTTGTTTACAACAGCTATAATGCATTTCTCTACGGTGATGACTGTCGTAGATATAGGAACAGTGAATACTTTTTGAAAACATTAATAAACTCACCCCATCGTTTCGGCGTCCGTCCTAAAAATGTTTTTTCGTCAGGATTGTATACAGCCCTAAGAATTCTTTCTCCTAAAGGCCGTGGCGCCGGCGGAGCCCGAGCCCATTCGGACTCCACACCGTTAGTTTTACTGGCCATCAATATTAAATCGTTCCCTCAAACCAATATTATTCCGCGTGTATATGACCGCGGTGGTCGGCTGTATGTACGCGACTGCGGCCTGCGGTCTGCGCACACGCACACACACGTGGGCCGCCTCAAATGACATGTGTCGGGGATTGAATACCATACGAAAACTGAACTTCAGGTAGAAATAACACAAACACGAATGAAAGAGAAACATAATAGATATTTAATGTTTATTAAGTAATTTTAATAGTAAAAGTTCATACTCATATTAATGGTTATAGAACAAAAATATTCTTTTTGACATTTCATTGTCTAAGTTACTTGTTATCGATAAGGCGCCGGTGAGTTTATTTACTGAAAACTGACTAATTCTCAGTTTATTGTCAGTAGTAGTCCATTTGTATTATAGGGAGATTTTTTTATTGAATTTCACTTTAATTATTAATTACAGCCATCGCCATTGTGTCGTTTGTTAATAAAACTCATAAATATGTATTTCTTAATCTCATTTAGGTGAAAGTAGTTCTTTTACAAAGAAATGTTATAGTAAGTTAATAATAAAACAAAATATTTATAAAACCCACTATTTATTATAAATTTCGACAGACGCGAGTCATGTTAAAGTACATTTGGACGGAGTCGAGTTACTCTTACAATACAAATATAACATAAAAAATACAACTAGCTGCTACAATACAATACATGGGTACTGGAATATGTAAAAAAAAAATAGAGATTTCATTGGATGAAAGAATAGAAAATTCATTGGTCATTAAATAATAATATTTTAAGAGAATCAGCGTTCCCAACACGAGTTTGCGATGTTTTACAACACAAACATACACAAACTTCCATTTTCCAGATTTTCATTCATATACCTCAAGGTACTATTTATGAAAACATTTGTGAAAACTGTCTCTTTAGTTTCACTATTAAAACAAATAGTAAGATACTGAAACATTGAAGACAATAAAGATAGAAAAAAGTATAAAAAAATGTATAAAAGAAAAAAAAATGATTTTTATGCACCAGGCAACACTTGGAATATTGAGAAATGAAAAAATATAAAAACATGATAAATAAAATATAAAAACTCAATTAATATAATAAATTATTTGTATAATTTTCAAGCTGTCAGCTAAGTCTTAAGATATAATATTGACATGTCACACTGCTTATATTACTTGGAATGAATCTTAAAGTATAACATAATCATTTAAACATACTAATATATATGTTCACTACAAAAATGTATATGAAATATGACATACATATTGTGATTTAAAACAATAAAAAAATATATGCAAAACTTATAAATAACAGTCTAACTGGGACGGAAAATACATTTAAATCTAACTCAAGTTAATACATCTTACGAGCCTGGTTCACTATGAACTTCAGGAATAAGAAATATTCACCCTCCACACTATCAGTTACTGGATATATATAAATATATGATATAATAAATGCTTCATGTCCTACAGTAAAATGTCAAAAAACACCTTAAACTATCATAAGACATAACTACATGGTAAAAACAGTTTTATGATCCACATATTAAAGTTCATTTGAGATTCTACATGTCTTCTCCGTCATATATATATTAGATTCTATATATAATGTTTGAATTCATACTATTTCATACAATCATGTAACATGTTATTTCTGTTCCCTGTAGTCTACTCGATCATCAGTTCAAAGTGAACAACTCCGAGTCGTTCCTTCCTGCTGTACTTGATGTTCTTGGCCCACGCTCGACACTCTATGTTGATGACTATTCCAGCTGAAAACATATTATATATGATATATAACACTCACTCATCTCATCAGCCTATCAGAGCCCACTGCTGAACAAAGGCCTCTTTCTCACATGGAGAAGGTTTGAGCATTAATCACCACACTTGCTCAAGACGGGTTGATGATTTCAAACTTATAATTGTAAAACTATAATTCCAAGTTTCCTCACAATGTTTTCCTTTACCATATGTCAGTGGTGTCTAAATACTCTTAGAATAATATATATAACTAAATATACTATATTTATGTATATGTATATAATCTATAAAGTTCAAAGTTTATTTAAACAGCTGTATGTGACTGATATGAGCCATATTAAATCAAATAATTATCTTTTTTTATTTTCAACAACGGCTTCATTCACACTGGAATCATGGAATATTTTACCAATGTCAACTTTTACTTTGTTAGATGAACAATTATCTCTACTGACTTAAATACAATGTTTGACACACTTCAGTACTGTAAGTTTGAAGTAAGTGTTTCTTAATATAGTCTGCATTAAATTTATTTGTCATTCTATACTAGTATACAGTTCAAACTACTAACTCCTGGGCTTCATGAGGTGAACAGCCACCAGTGGACTGAGGTACCCCTCAGCGTTGTTGTAAGGGTAGAAGTACCCTGGGAACCCCGCGTGAGGGATGTACCTCAGGGGGCCGATGTTCTCCCGGTCTGTTGGGGTCTCCCCCGCACATGACACCCACACCATATTGGCCTGAAGAATGATTTGTTATATAACTAAGATATTCCTTTAATAAACTCTTCTTCTTCTTCCTGGCAATTTCCCAGCACTAGCCAGGGTCTGCCCTCCTACATAAACGCCTCCACTTTGCACGGTCTTTGGCATTCTTTAATAAACTATTGTACAACAATTTGAGTAACATGGAAATTGTTTTATTTATGTTATGGCACTTTGTTTTTTTCGTCGCGTCCCGACACCGGTTATGTTATGGCACCTCTTTAGGCATCATAAGAAGTAATGTGTATTGTAGTTTTAGTGTTGCAATATTTTATATTCTACTAATCTTATAATTGTTAAATTTTGTGAGAATGTATATGAATGTTTGTATGTTTGTCTGTTTATACGCAAAAACACCTTACGAATTTTGATAAAACTTTATAGTTAAATAATTTAGGGACCATAATATTATTTTTTCTAGAATTCTGTGCAGTTCCTGCAAGATTGTATTGTTGGATTATTTATGAACTCAAGTGAAAACTATAGAATTTAAACTGTTACTGTAGCATTATTTTATCACAGTATATAAAAAATATCTGAACCTTATTGTGAAATCCAAATGGAAAAAATGTAATATATTATAATTCATACATAGTCTCTGTTATATTTGGTGATGTTCTTGATCTCTCCGACCAGTTGTTGCGGCATGTCTCCGGGGAGCGCGTCCGTGTCGTTGTAGTACTCGGGCCGCCAGCCGTAGATCCTGCAGAAAAATATACAAATATTAATAAGGTCGATAACACACATTCATCCAACCAACCAACAAAATCCCATCCATCAATCCATCCGCCAATCCAATATTCAACCAATCTATCTTCCAAAGTCTTCCAAACCTTTCCAAAAACTTTAGCAGTTCGGATTTATCTAAGCTGTCCTCTTAAACTTAAATATCTTCTAACGGATCTGTTAATTAGATTGTCTATACTTACATAAACCCATAGATAAAGAATAGTTTTAAACGAGCCTAGTTGTTATAACAGGATTGCTTATTATACTAAGTGTTACTATGTGAGTTATATATTTAAGCAAGCTGAGAGAAATTAGAATATCACCTACACTATACAGGGTGACTTTTGAATTACTATCGATACTTGAGGACGTGATATTTGACGATCATATATGACAAAATAAAAATTAATCTATACTAATATTATAAAGCTGAAGAGTTTGTTTGTTTGTTTGAAAGCGCTAATCTCCGAAACTACTGGTTCGATTTCAAATTCAATCAGTGCTTTCTCCATTCCCTAACATACAGAAACAACTTGAGGCAACTCACAATTAAACTTCTCCAGTCTTAAGTCACCAATTGAGCTATAGAGGGAGCTAGGGAGGTTAGATTCAATACTAAAATCAAAATTTATTCCAATGTTATCAAATAGAAGGAATAATTACAAATATACATAGTAATCCTATACATAATTCTTCAGATGATAATTAAATCTACGAGCATAAATCATATGCTAGGATCCACTATACATATATATTTATATAAATATACTATCCTAGATTTATTACATAAGATCATCTCAGATAACAATATTACTTGTTAGTTAGTCCAGTGAGAAGTTTTTCGTATGTATTTTATCAAACGATACTATTTGAAAATATATTTAATTGAAGGATTCAATTTTATTAAATTATAAACAAAAAGTCTACGCATTCTATGACATTTAACGAAAAATATATCTTTTAAGCGTAAAAGACTAAATCTTAGTTTGGAAAAGAGCTGATTCTCTTAAACCTCTGGAGCGATTAACCAACGTACTTACATAAGAACCCCGCTAGTAAAGTAGCTTTCAAATAAAAAAGCACCGCAATCATATGAGAGCTAATATGCCACAGACACACACGCAGAAATCGTGTTATGAACTTTGAATAGAGTATCTATACTAATATTATAAAGCTAAAGAGTTTGTTTGTTTGTTTGTTTGAAAGCGCTAATCTCCGAAACTACTGATTCGAATTGAATAATTCTTTTTGTGTTGGATAGTCCAGTTAGCGAGGAAGGCTGTGGACTATATAACATCACGCTACGACCAATAGGAGCAAAGATATAGTGGTAAATGTGTAAAAAACGGGAGAAATTATTTCATCTTTGAAGCCTTCCGTTGCGTGCGCCGTGAAAACGGTTCAAGATACACAAAAAATATGTATTAAAGAATAATAGCTCTTTTAATGATCTAAAAAACAGTCCGCGACAGTATATGTCTATCTTTTAAGATTAACTCACAAAAACCGTCTTTGTGGTACCTAATTTTGTCGAAATAATTTGTTTAAGTTGTATCAACATAATAATATTAATCTTGATTCAAATAAACAAATAAATATGTTGTTGGTTAAGAGAACTTCATTTTTAATAAAAAAAAACATAGGTTTTATCCTGAAAATTCTAAGGGATCTCGACCATTCCGAAAACCTCGCAAGAACGGGAACTATGTGGGAAGAACCAAAAATCTGTCAGAAGTCACTATTCCACGCGGACGAAGCCGCGGCAAAAGCTAGTATAACATAAATATTAATAAACTTCTAAGTAAAGTTAACCAAAAGTTATGTAATTAATTACGCATCGTGTGCACACCCTACAGATTAGGTATACACTCACACACACACACACATACGCGTGCGGCGGCGTAGTGTTGTATCAGCACGCCACCGCACGCGTCCACACTTGGAACACTTGAAGCGTGTCAACACTTTATTTATTTATACGGAAATTTTGTCAAAAATTAAGTGCCTATTTTTTTACGTAATTCGAATGAGAATCATGTACCGTTCATTCTCCTTAAATATTGATAGTAATTCACCAGTCATCCTGTATACACAATTAATTATAAACATATTAACTAGTTCATATTAATATGTAGAATCATTTTTCATGCATATCTCCATTCTTCACATTTTGAAAATCACAATACTTTTGTTTAAAAAAATTAATTGTACGTCGAGTTCCTCCGTGCGGAAGAAGTGAAACTTCGTAATGTTGGAATGAAAACAGGAAAAGTAGAAATTCATTTTTAATAAATTTTTAGTATTTCTTTAAGACACACATTATTAATATTACTTTCAAGGTACAATTATTTACCCGCATGCGTTCGAGGGCTACACATTCCCTCTCGCTGTCTCTTTTTATTCCCCTCTCCAGGATCGTAAAACGTTTAACGCAACCTTGTTGAAAGTTGTATAAGAAGTTTCACCTCAAATGATTGAAATATTTTAAAACGTTACTCTTATAATATAAATACAAACTTGTTGAGCTTCAAGAATATGCACGGCGATGATCTGTGGAAGGAGAAGTGGTTCTCGTCGATGCAGGGCTCCCAGCCGCGGATGTCCACGTCGCACACCTTGCCCGGCGGCGGAGGGTTGCGGAAGTCGCAGTTGAAGATGTTCTGACCCGCGCCCGCCGTCTGACCCTTCTTCTTGTACACTGGAAACATGCTCGTATGAACCACTTCTTATTACCGGGTGAAACTTGGTTTGGGGCGAAAGGTTATATTGGTTCTATAAGGTAAAAAGTAGTTTGGAAACTCGAGCGAAATCTTATATTGGATACATATAATGACTTTCTTCTTTTTAATTTAAATAAAGGAATAATTCACATGAAGGGACACTAAGCGTGTACTTGATAATAGTGCCTCTTACAATGAGTTTTTTTTTTACATTGTTAAATTTAATACAGATAGTCTCAATGTTTTCATTCTATTCTATTTTATTCTTTGAGTTATTGGTATTTTCTTATTGATAAAAATATAACTACATAATTATGTCAGGTACTACGAATTTTTAACTACATAATCCCGACACTTCGGTTCGTTTACAACAACCGAGATCAAGAGGACGAGATGTAAGGGAGCATCATGTAAAGATAAAATAATTAAAACGCGCAGTATTCGAATAATCTAGTTTCGCTTATTTCATTGCACTCAAAAATCTTCGACATAATTTCCTTACATTTCGTTTGTCGTGTGTTTTCATTTCATCTTCATTGTTTATATCAACACACGTTTGATGAAAAACGTAAATTGTGTGTGAAGTTTGAGGATACTAATTCCTTATAAGAATGTTACTACTAACTAGTTAACTGACAGTCCATGTATGTTAATGTCAATCAGATTTAAGTGATTATAGATTTTGATCACATGCGATAACAATTCGATACAATCAAATTAGTATCACTTGTATGTACTGATGTATGAAGCCTTAGGACATTTATTGAAGGTTTGATACACCAGAAGAAAAATATACGACGAGGTTACATTTTAAAACCCGAATCAAAATCAATTATAATTTTAACGTGGTTGTTTCTATATGTTTGTATATGTTCTATAGCTCTTAAAGAATGGACCGATTTCATTAGTTTCTTCAATTTGAAAGCCAGTATTTCTGTGATTCTTAAAAATGTTTTTATCTAATTCAAAACCATATTAGTCCAGCAGTTTACATGTATCAGCTGTTTTTAGTCACCGCTCATTCACTTTATATATTTAGAGTTATCCAAGTTCACACTACGCATCCTAAGTCACTAACCTGATAAGAATTCCTTAAGCTCGTCCTCCCAGTACTTGTAGCTCTCCTCTCCCGTGCCCTTGTACCAGATGAGGGTGCTCCGGACGTCAGGGGGCAGGGGGCGGAACCCCAGCCCCGGACTACTGCCGATGGAGCCCTGCTCCTGCTGCAGCCGCGGCACGCGAGGGTTGATGAAGTGCTGCAGGAAGGTCGCCAGGCACACCGCGAACAGGGCGATCAACACCGCGTAGAAGATCACGTAAAATAATAAGATTTTACCTGGAAATTATATAAGATAAGGGTAATGGTTTCTGATAACATTTCTATATTATATGCATTATGTAATAATGTTATTATTACAAAGGATAATTGTCGACCTTTCACAAAAAATGGAATGATAATAATCTATTACAAAGCTTTTAAAATTTTAACTAACCACAAAAAATATATGTCATAGAAGGTTTGCGTCTTTAATTGTGTTGAAGGCAAGCCCAGTAGGTTCATTTCAAATTTAGTTAGGTAGAGAGAGGAGCTTAAACTATAGAAGTGAGCGTTTAACGCGCGTTAGAGAGAGGTAAATCCTGAAACCTACACTTGGGTCGCAAGTCCCAGGCACTGTTGAAGCTCCTCTCACTACAACGATGGACCGAGCACTCGCACGATGAATACGTGGAATGATGAGAGGTGTCTTCTCATAGACATATAGAGTATATTAATTTATCTATTTATTAATATAGGCCGCAAGTTGCAACTCACTTTTATTATTTATGAACATGTGTATTTAACTGTATTTCTAGGTATTTTATGAACTTAAATATATTCAAGTTATTATGAACTATTATATTGTGTTCATACGAAATATTCTTTATCGATAATTTACTTGTACGTATCGAAGTGATCTCGTTTCATCTCAAGTTAATGATCTAATATTTCATTGGTCTTTAATCCAGCGTGTGTCGGAGGTCAATCAGTCTGTTGTCTGGTGAGTGTCACTTGCAGGTCTTCGCAGATTACAGCTCACCGATATCACGAACGTAAAGCTTCTATTGTATTAGATTTTAATTAAAACCTCAGCCTCTACTCCTCAGGCTTCGGAACGCGTTAATTGCTTTAAAACCAGTACGTACTTAATAAAGTTGAAGGATTTTTTTTATCCAATGATAGAACGAATATTTTTTTTTATTCGCGAGTCTTACTATGGGAATATTTTTTTAATGTGTTGCAAATTTCTTTCAAAGATAATATATATAACAAATATTAAATATAAAAATAATATTTCGGTTTGTCAATTTACTGTTAAGTAGATATGTGTTTCATTTTTACTCATGAGTATTTTCATACAGGTTGCAATTTTGGTATTATTTATTAATTTTCCAGTTTTAAGTGTAAAATGATGGAAATTTTATAAAATAAAAGGGAACAACAAGAAAGTATTTTTGTTTGATAAAATTTTTTACGAGCACCATATGAACGTGATAGTTCGGAAATGTAGTCTTCCAGCTGCATAACCAATTCGAACGTAAATGTATTTTTCATTCAATATTTTCTATATAGATTTTTATTCGCATATGAACTTAAACATAATTGTACGACTTTTATGACGTAAGTTTAACAGAATATTTTTCTTATTTGATTTATTCTATTCAAAGTTCGTAACACGATTTCTGCGCGTGTGTCTGTGGCATGTTAGCTCTCAAACCATCGCGGTTTTTTTTTATTGGATGCTATTTCGCTTGAGGGGTTCTTAGGTACGTTTGGTTAATAACTCCAGTGATTTAAGAGTATCCGGTAACGTATTTTTAGCCTATGATTACTCGATGTAGTCTTTTACGCTTTAAAGACATATTTTTAATGCGACGATTTTTTTTATATAATGTAATAAAATTGATTCCTCCAATTAAATATATTTTCAAATAGTATTGCTTGATAAAATACATAAGAAAAACTTCTCACTGGACTAACTAACAAGTAATATTGTTATCTGAGATGAGTTTATGTAACATATCTGGGGCAGTATATTTATATAATAATATGTATAGTGGATCCTAGCATGTGATTTATGCTCGTAGATTTAATTACCATCTGAAATATTATTTACATGATTACTAACTATTTTTGTGATTATACATTCTATTTGATAACATCGGAATAAATTTTGATTTCAGTATTGGATCTAACTTCCACCCCCTAGCTCCCTCTATAGCTCAATTGGTGAAGTTTAATTGTGAGTGGCCTCAAGTTGTTCTGTATTTTTGTGGAGGAAGAAAGCACTGAACGAACTTGAAATTGAATTAAATTGAATAATTATGAATCTTTTTTTATAAAGAGCATTTTTTCATCTTCCTGAATAAACCTGAAAAAACCCGAGAAAGTTTACAACGGTATTACAACCGTCTCTTAAACTCCTTGTTGAATTTATATCGACCTAGTTGAGTCACTAGCTAGCAAATAAACATTCTTCGTTGTCTACTTGAAGGGAGACGCGATTCATAGCGATTAGCGATCAATCCCCGGTCAACGTGCTGGTTGATCCTGACCTTGGTCTAATCCAAATTCATTCGGAGGTCGATTGAATATGATGAACTAACCTGAATATGTTAAATTTTTTGTTGCTCCTAGCAAATTTCAGTCGCTATGACGATGTCGTATGCAATAGTAGGTGACAAACATATACAGGGTGACTGGTGAATTACTATCAATATTTAAGAAGAATACTCGGTACATGATTCTCATTCGAATTGTGTAAAAAAATAGGCACTTAATTTTTGACAAAATTTCCGTATAAATAAATAAAGTGTTGACACGTTCCAAGTGTTCAAGTGTGGACGCGTGCGGCGGCGTGCTTATACAACACTACGTCACGACACGCGTATGTGTGAGTGTGTGTATACCTAATCTGTAGGGTGTTCACACGATGCGTAATTAATTACATAACTTTTGGTTAACTTTACTTAGAAGTTTATTAATATTTATGTTATATTAATTTTTATTTTGTCATATATGATCGTCAAATATCACGTCCTCAAGTATCGATAGTAATTCACCAGTCACCCTGTATAAAGATATTTCATCACCTTCTGTTTAACCATTCGATATTGAAGCAATCCAGTTCAGACAGTTTTAAGAGTATCAAATACATTATTATCCCTATTAATATTATAAATGCCAAAGTAACTCTGTCTGTCTGTCTGTGTTTCACGCCCAAACCACTGAACTGATTTTAATGATATTTGGTACAGAGATGGAGTTGACTTTGAGAAACAAAATAGGATAGTTTTTATCCCAGACTTTTGAAAGGTTCTCTTGGAAACGCTATATAACCGAACTCCACGCGGGCGAAGCTGCGGACGGAAAGCTAGTAGCCTATAAAGGCAAAACGCAAGAACAAATTATGTTGACTTTATACCAAATTTTGTTTCTAGGTATTTCAATTTCTTCCAGTCAAAATGATAAAATTGAATAACATATGAAAATTCTTTGGAATGTAAAAAAGGGATGTCCTACTGCCTCTAAAAGGTCACATTGAAGGTCACTCATTGCTAATACTTTCATTGAATGAATATTCCTTATTTTTAAGATGTTTCAATGGCATTTAATGATGTTTAGGCTGAACTTTGGAACATGTTCTGAATGATGTTTGTTATTATTAACAGGCCTTTAGGATCATCACTTAGTGGATTGAGTCTTGATACAAGAGAAACACATGTAATGGGCTATAAAATTTGCCAATTTCCGAGAAAATCTCTGGCTTAGAGGTGACATCCATACCATTGAAGTAATATTTATAATATATAATAAAAATATTTTATGTAAAAAAGTTAAATATATTTCAAAAAAATATAATTTTTAAGATAGAAATTTCTAAGGACACATGTAGTTGTCAACATATTATACATATAGCACTCTAGTATACATATACATATATATGTGTGAAGAAAAGAACTAAATAATGTACCATAACAATACAACACATGCCGCTGAGAATTAGGTGTATCTGATACTTATTGGATAGTAGTATAAATGAAAATATGAAAAATCATGAACTTACTAACTGAACAACTTGTTAAAAATATACTCTGAGCAATTTATTACTAGAAAATGTCTCATATAACAATTTCAAATCATCTAATTATTAGAAAATTAGTATTATAATGACTTAGCTAATAATTAATAATAATTTACTGAAACTTGAATATCTGAAATATACAAAAAAAATTGTTTTTCATGTCAAATTAAATTTGTTTGAATATAACTGAAATTGAACTTCACAAATAATTTATCCTGAAAACAATTCTTAAGATATAATGAACTAAATTCATTAAATATAAAAAATAAACAAAAGAAGGCTAATTAGAAAAGTTTTTCTGAGCTCTTAAACAGAAACTTTAAAAGGCGAATTAGAATTATATTAGAGTCAAACAAGTGTGAATTGAAGAGTAATAGCTTTGAGGTTTTTTTTACAGTGTCACATTTATTTGTTAAGATTAATTAATTAATTTTATAAACTTCATGAATCCTGGTTAGTATAGCCACGCCCTTAGCTTCGTAAGATACGCTTAAAAAACTTGTTGGAAAAAAAAAGTACCTAATTAAAGTACAATTTTTACTATGAAGTTGTGTCATATCAAATAATATAGAACAAAAAAAAGAAAGTTTAGTGACTAACCCCAACTCTCGGGCGTTCTTCCCAAGATAGCTCCAGTTTGTTCATTGTACAAAAAGTTACAAATAGTCTGCTTCGTGGTCCGTTTCCGAGGTTTTGTTTCAATTTCGAATTCTTCTAATTTACGATTTGGCATACTGGATTATTATTAATAAAAGTCTTTCAAAAATCCAAACAAACTATCGTAACAAAACGAAAACAGCCGGAACAACAAGTAAGAAGTAACAACCGCCAACCTCTGAGACAAACATAAAGTTTGAAATGCTATAGAATACAGATAAAAATGAACACATAGTTCACTTGACAGCTATAGATAAAATACGATTGACAGAAACCAATAAAAAATGTAAGAGTCCAAAATTAGTGAAAAGTTAAATTTATATATTGTACTATCGGTGGTTAGTATATTGTACTATACTAATTTTGAAGATCTTATCATCCACTCTGGATGATAAGATCTTCAAAATAATGATTAAAAGCAAAAACAACTACATATTTCTTTTAAATAGTGATACTTTGTACTCTAATATGAAAATGGTTCTTCTTTCTTTAAATGAATAGATCATTAAATAAAAAAAGTTACCATTCACCTGTATAAAAATATTAAAACCCCTTTGTAAGTTTGTATATACAAAACAAAATATGTATAATCATAAATTAAAACTATTCCAAATTTTTATTAGATATAAAAATTTATATCAAGATCTTATTTATATTCGTCACCACTTTTAAATTTCTTGTTGTATCCTTTATTTCTTTACTATTCAATAGTTTCTTTTCAGTGATTTCGTGTCTTTAATTTGAAGTATTACACTATGTAATCATTTTCACACTTAGTTCTATTTAATCATAAATAGCCAATAAATAGTTTTAGTGAAATAAATAAATTCTGTAGTGATTTTAAACATCATATTTTAATTGTGTAATATAAATTTTACAGGAAATAAATTATAGTATAACTAGACAATCTCATTTTTGTTTATATAATGATGCCTTATGTACATTCATGAAACGAAATATTTGTGTTTTCATAAATATAACTTAAGAACATACATTTAGATTTTCTATATATTTATTTTTATTCACATTGCTTTTAAAACGATAGCCAATAACTAGCAGTACAGTTCCTAAATGTCAATGCCTGTGACAGAAGTGACAATCGACATTAGTAAATTATTTGCTTTACAAGATTCTAAATCTTTTCAATAAAGTTTTTACTTTCACATTGTATTCGGGATATTTTTGAATACCAAACACGAAAATGGCATCAGTTTATAAGCTCATAATTATTGTTGGATTCATATCATTGTTTCATGCTGCCTTTTCAGCCGCTCAACGTCTGTATATTTCAACCTCAAATTATTAAATTTTAGCTAAATTATTGTGTGAAATAATTAAAAATTGTTTACAGATCGTTCATATCTGCGTATATCATCACTGGAGTTCACAACGTTGCCTTTAGATGTGAGTAATTCTAGTAATACGTGTTTAAAACAATCGTAGTATACTCTCTATTTTTCTTACATTAAATTGTCTTTCAGATCGTGATACAAGCAGTACTTAGTCTATTTGCTGTGATGTGGGGCGTACTGAATGTGTCCGGCCAGCTTCGTGAAATACCAGCTGCTGCTAAATTGAATCTGATTAAATGGGACAACCAGATGAATATAAGCTCGTTTTATAGTTTCAATCACAGGGGCAGGGGTTTAGCATACAACTATGGTGCAGATCCATGTAAAGATGTCATGGAAAATTTAGAATAAGGATATAAATGGTGTAGGTTATATTAATACATTATTAATTTATTGGTATTTGTTTCTTTTTGAATTATTACGTTCATTCATTCTTTTCATAGGCTTTAGCTGGTATTTATATGAGTAATACCTAGGGTTTTTGATGCTAGTTTAAATAATCTTATACATAGTAGGTATGTCTTACACTTTTTTCTTATTAATTCATGTTGAGAAAACATTCCTCCACAATAATCATTATTTAGTGAGGTCTACAAGTGTTTGAATAATACTTTATAAGCAGGTTTTGTAATGAAGCAAAGTTTTATTTTAATATTATTTATTCTTAACTAATACAAGTGAAAAACAATTGTGGGTCCAACAGTCACATACTGACACCTCTCTTAAGGAATCTGATAAAAAAATGAATTACTCATCGTAACTCACACAACATCAATAAACAAATGCATACAGATTGTAAAATATATTCACTAATTATTGAACTTGCTGTCACTTTTTGTATGTATTATAAAAATAATCTTTCATGTTCCAAGTGAGACTTAAAGCTAAACTGTGACAAATGTCACATATAATATGTTTTCTCATAGTCTGTACACAAGGTCCAATTGTTATCTTCCGCCGCGGCCTCCTCTGAAGCCACCACCTCTGCCTCCACGGCCACCACCACCACCACCACCGCTTCTGCCGAAACCTCCTCCGCCGCCTCTTCCGAAGCCTCCTCCCCTTCCTCCACCTCCCCGGCCGAAACCTCCGCCGCCACCTCGTCCAAAGCCACCACCTCCGCCTCTGCCGCCTCCACCTCTACCTCCCCGACCTCCACCACCTCGGCCACCGCCTCTCTTAGCTCCAGGAGGCTGAGGCAGGAACCTCTTCAACGGCAACAACTTCGCTGGGTCAATGAAAAATTGCTGCCCCTCCTTAAAACTCTTTGCCTTAATATTCTCTCCGAGCTTCACGGACACGTAGTAATCACGCAGGTTACCGAATATCTCGTCTATTTTACCAATCTGTTCCTTGTTTTCGAGAAAGATGGGTGCATTGAAGTATGGTACGTCTTCTATGTCTACTTTACACACGAGGTCGTCTTGGACTGTCCATCCGTAATGACCGAGTGGAATAACTGATTCTGGGGGACCTTGGTCCTGGTATGACCTGAAACCACCGCCGCCGCCGCCGCCGCGACCTCGTCCTCCGCCAAATCCGCGGCCACCGCCTCCACCTCCGCCTCGGCCACCGAATCCACCACGACCGCCGCCGCCTCCTCTTCCGCGGAAGGACATGTTATAGAAAAATTTAATTAATGTTATTTATAACCTCACTCCAACGTTGTGTTTTCACCACACGCTATATTGACATTTGTCATTACATAGTATGTGTACATCATTCAAAAATTGCGCTTAACAACCACAGATAATAAATGTGTATTACTCTTGGATTAGTCATACGATAAGAGATAGGATATCATATGAGGGATAAAGAATCTCAAAATATTTATTGAAAGAAAAGCAAAACTACTTCATTACACACTAATTGAACCAGTGTACATTTTATATATTGAAAATTTAACAAACATTGTTTTCAAGTGTAGAAGAATATTATTACATTTAAAATTCAAATATGAAATTCAGTATTATTTATTTGATTCTTAGCTTTTATTTATTTCTAATGATTTATTCAATTTCTTGAATATTTTATATCAGTTACTTTATTAGTTTAACTACTGTGACTTTACTCGTAGAGGTATACTTATTTTATGTATTCAAAAGTCATAATATCAAAAAGTGTAATAAAGTTATGTTTAACTAAACTTAAATAGATTCCAAGATAAATAAAAAGTTACAATTAGTTAGTTAGTTAATTTAAAAGTAATTGAGACAACAAGGACCTTATGAATTAAAACTCATTTTGCAAATATAATTACCGCAATATAATGAATAGTGTCTTTATTGCTTTAAATGGTCGCTTATAAAATATAAGTGACCATTTAAAACTTATAATTAATATTTTAAAAAAATTTATTATATTTTTTTCTCTAAACTTATAATTTTTCAATCCGAATTACCTGCTATTTCTTACAACAGTCAACACTCAACAGTCAGTTACGTCAAAGAGAATTTGTTTTCAAACTATCATGTTTATGAAACATTTCTTATTTAAATTAATTTATTTTACTCAACTGTGCGAGTTTGTTTAGTTTCTATTTAAAATTATAATTGTGACCAAGTTAAACTAGTTAAAATACCATAATGACTGAACAACTTGAAGAGGAACTAAAAGATTTGCGAGAAAAAAATAATGAATTGGTCAAGAAAGTTCAGTATTGGAAAATGACGGCGGCGCAGAAGGAGAACGAGAAATTAGATCTTATGAAAGAAATGAACGAACTTAGACTTAAATTAAGTGTAAGTATATAAGTCTTAAAAACGGCCATTATTAACACTTTTAGTTGCAAATTAGAAATAACAAATAAAAACTATTTTTACTCATATACCTGAAGCCATTTTTAAAAATTGTCTAGACAAAACATAGAACATGTCAAGCAGAGCTATACAAAGTTTTAAATATTTTAAATAATATTTGGTTGATGTATAGAACTGGAATTACAATTGTATTAACATATAATAATGAACTAAAATCTTTTTAAATTTAAGTAATTGACTAGAAACAATAGGGCTCTGAAATACACATGAGTGTAATAAAGTAAATCAGCATACAGGTTTTATGTATATATAAGTAAATAATTGTATTTATTTGTAAGTATATATATTTTTAAATTACTTTTATTTTGTGTAAGTGTGGCTCAACATATTAATTGTCTACAGAAATTAAATTGTTTCATCATGTGCTTATTGTGATTCTAGTGGGTTTGAATTTGGTTGTTTTATGAATTTGATGAAAATATATTTGTAAAATTTTTCTCTTAACATTGTATTTAACCTTAAAAATGTAGGTGAGTTCATTCATTGATTGTTTCCATGTTAAGAGTTTAGTTTCCTGTTCTGACCTTATAACTTGAAACTGGAGAAGGACATGTTAATGGAGAAATTAAAATCAGCTAAAATATCAAAAAAATACTTGAAATGTGACAATTGTGGTTGTATTATAATAATTTATAGATATAACAATTTAGTCCAAAAGTACTTTTTTATTACAATAGACATAAAACTCATATTCTGTAAGATTCACTCCTATACAATATTTCTTTACCAAACAGTTTCTTGAGCTATGTGAAAATATCTACTAAGTGGCAGAATTCATTTTTTCATATATATTTTATGGAAATATCTTCTACCTGCAGCAACAAATTATATTTAGAACCATCTTTTCGCTCAATGACTGGTCTATATAACACACACAAAAAGTATTGTTTAAAAACCGAAGAGCCTACCGTCTGCAGGTTTACATTTGAAAAAAGCATTTAACGAGAAAAAGTTGACAACTAAATTTGTCTCTTAAGTAACTAAATACCTACAAAATGTAAACATGACCATTTGTAACTTATAAAAAGGTAATGCATTAGAAACTATTTTACTATCTATTGATAGATATTGATATTGATCAAAATAAATAAAATCTTTTTTCAAACAGTTTTTTTCTTCTTGTGTAAAATTAGATTCTCGACATTTAGTAGGTATTGGTAATTCATCGACGATATGTATTTTACCACTTTGGTCAGATATAAAGAAACATGGTGGTTAAATATAAAGAAACCATAGAAAAAATTTGTCCATGATACAAAAAAATATATGTATTCATTGTAATTAATTCCAGCGTATTCGTAGCGGCGGTGCAGCTCATGCGCGTAAACTCGACGCGGCCTTACAGACGGCGAGTGAAGAAGTACTCTCCCACCTGGTACAAGCATCGAGTGCTGTGGCTCACATGCTGGAACTAAATAAGACATACATGCAAGACAGGCAGGAACTAGATCGAGCCCTGCCCCGGTGGAGCAGTCTGAGTAACACGCCGTCCTCGGAGAAAGTTAACAGGGTCCCTCCAATGATGATCGGTGGACGGCTCATACAACCTGTTGTGTCACTGAGTAGGACCTTACACTCAAATGTTACGGGTATGTTCGAGTATTACTTAATATCAATTAATGTGAATGAGATCCACAAATGATTCTTTGCATTCCAATGACTAAAACAGGGTTTCCCAATCTTGTTTTATCAGCTGCCACTTTGAGAATTATTTTTTACCACCTCCATAATTTCATCTACTAAAGTAACACTACTTCTGATCCAAACTAAATTACATAACAAATCACTCTCCAGACCTCTACACAAGGTCCTCATGTTATTCTGGGTCTCTTATCACCCTTTTATTCCTTCAGTGCCCACAAGGGGAGGTTATCGCACTCTTTTGGAAAGACTGGTTTGTTATAAACCAACTTGGAAAAGTGTTATGGCAATTTATTTTCTTTGTAGGTACATCAGCGAGGAGTACCAATCAACAGAATCACAATACATCAGAAAGGGCTGTGCCATTGCATATGTTACAAGGTAAACAAATATTATGTTACTAGCTGCGCCCCGCGGTGTTACCCGCGGATTTCCGGGGTTTCCGAAATTTCCGGGATTTCCGGGTTGTAAAGTAGCCTATGTGTTATTACTGGACGTAAGTTTCCTATATACAAAATTTTATCAAAATCTGTTCAGCCATTTGAGCGGGAAGAAGTAACAAACACACACACACTCACAAACTTTCGCAATTGTAATATTAGTGAGTAGGATGATATTTAAAATACAGTTGATTTTGGAGAAAATATAATAGGGCTCACAATTATAATTTATAACTAACTAGCTTTTGCCGCGACTTCGTCTGCGTGGAATAGTGACTTCCGGCAGATTTTTGGTTCTTCCCACATAGTTCCCGTTCTTGCGGGGTTTTCGGAATGGTCGAGTTTCCGTAGAATTTGCAGGATAAAACCTATGTTTTTTTAATTCACAATGAAGTACTCTTAACCAACAACATTTTATTTGTTTATTTGAATATAGATTAATAGTATTATGTTGATACAACTTAAACAAATTATTTTGACCAAATTAGGTACCGTAAAAACGGTTTTTGTGAGTTAATCTTAAAAGATAGACATATACCGTCGCGGACTGTTTTTTAGATCATTAAAAGAGCTATTATTCTTTAATACATATTTTTTGTGTATCTTGAACCGTTTTCACGGCGCACGCAACGGAAGGCTTCAATGATGAAATAATTTCTCCCGTTTTTTACACATTTACCACTATATCTTTGCTCCTATTGGTCGTAGCGTGATGTTATATAGCCCACAGCCTTCCTCGATAACTGGACTATCCAACACAAAAAGAATTATTCAATTCGAACCAGTAGTTTCGGAGATTAGCGCTTTCAAACAAACAAACAAACAAACAAACAAACAAACAAACAAACTCTTCAGCTTTATAATATTAGTATAGATAGAGAAAATTAAATGTTAATGTATATATGTATATATACAGGGTGACTGGTGAATTACTATCGATACTTGAGGACGTGATATTTGACGATCATATATGACAAAATAAAAATTAATCTCTCTCTCTCTCTCTCTCTTCCTTACTGCGTATCCCACATGGTGATGGGGTCAGTCTTCTGAGTCTTTTGCCTCCACTTCGCTCTGTCTCTGACGTCGTCTTCGGAAACATTGCATTGTCTCATGTCCGCCAGCAACACATTTGTCCAGGTGGTTTTGGGTCTTCCTCTAGATCTTTTTCCGGAGACAGACAAATTCAGCACTTTATTGCCGACGTAATCAGGTGGTCTTCTCTTTACATGTCCATACCACCTCATCCTGCTTTCTTGAAGTTTATCGGCGATGTCACGGACTCCCAGGCTACCTCGCACGTATTCGTTGCGGATCTTGTCCAGCCGTGTAACACCGCACATCCATCTGAGCATCTTCATTTCAGCTACTTGGATGGTATGGACATGCCCCTGTGTTAGAGCCCACGTTTCACTGCCGTACAGGAGTACCGGCCTTATCATTGTCTTGTAAACAAGGCCTTAAAGACGAACTGGCATCTTCTTGTCGCAAGTTACACCTGTAAGTTCTCGCCATTTTAGCCACGCAGCTGCGATGCGGTTCCGAATGTTGTGCTCTAGGTCTCCTGAGCTGTCCATCATGTTACCCAGGTATTTATATCGATCACACTTTGTAATTGATTGGCCATCAATGGTGATAGGTTGGTCATCAGATTGTGGATCATTCAATACCATGAATTGGGTTTTAGTAACATTCAACACCAAACCACCGGACTGCAGCTGATGTTTCCAAGCAGTGAGCGCTTCTTGTAGAAGAATCCGACTCTCGGCACAGATAGCAACGTCATCGGCATAGATAAATGTCCATGTTGCTTTAGCTTGAGCCTCTTCTGTAAGCGCATCCAACACTAAAGAGAATAAAAACGGGGCTTAGGACTGATCCTTGATGTACGCCCTCCGTGACGTAGATAGACTTTGTGTTTCCGACAACAGTACGTACTAGCGCTTTTACATCTTTGTACATGTCGGCTATGATGTTGATGTACCTTTCGGGAACATTTTTCTTCCGCAGACTCCACCAGATGGTTTCCCTGGGAACTCGATCAAAAGCCTTTTCCATGTCTAAGAACGCAACATACAGCGGTCGTTTATTGTCTCGGTGTTTTTCAGAAATCATACTGAGAGCGAACATAGGATCGGTGGTGGACATGCCTGGTACAAAGCCGTAGTGATTTTTTGAAAGCGAGCACTCAGATCTTAATCGGCTTTCTATGACTCTTTCGTATAGTTTTAACAAAATAAAAATTAATATAACATAAATATTAATAAACTTCTAAGTAAAGTTAACCAAAAGTTATGTAAATTATTAGGCATCGTGTGAACACCCTACAGATTAGGTATACACACACACACACACATACGCACGCGTCCACACTTGGAAAACTTGGAACGTGTCTACACTTTGTTTATTTATACGGAAATTTAGTCAAAAATTAAGTACCTATTTTTTACATAATTCGAATGAGAACCATGTACCGAGTATTCTCCTTAAATATTGATAGTAATTCACCAGTCACCCTGTATATATACATATATACAAATTATAAGTAGAGAATTATTAGATAGTATTTTAAAATTATTTGTAACTAGCTTTCCGCCCGCAGCTTCGCCGCGTGGAGTTCGGTTATATCGCGTTTCCAAGAGAACCTTTCAAAAGTCTGGGATAAAAACTATCCTATGTTCTTTCTCAAGGTCAACTCTATCTCTGTACCGAATTTCATTAAAATCAGTTCAGTGGTTTAGGCGTGAAAGCGTAGCAGACAGACAGACAGACAGACAGACAGAGTTACTTTCGCATTTATAATATTAGTAGGGATTTACAATGTCCATCTTAATCATTTTATTAAAAAACATTTTAATAGATAAATTGATAAATTCTTTACAAATTTTTGATATAGTATTTATGATTTAATCAGTGTAGACTGCCTAGAGTAAATATGTATATATTAATTTAAAAAAAAGAGCATTCCCTTACAAGTACAAAAACAAATCAGAATAAAAAATTATGGATGTTCAAGAAATTATACAATAAAATGTATCAAACTCCATAAATATAATGTCGTACAGTTCTCGTGTACATGTATGTTTATAAATGTATGTATATTGTATATTAATCGTTATTCCAGACGTGTACATCCCTCTCACACGGATCGACGCCGCGCTGCCCGCGACCAGCCCTCCGCATGAACAACAAGACCACGACATGCAGCTAGAAGGTATATGACACGCCACAATATAACACGCCACAACACAGTACCTTGCTCTGCCATAGTCTACCACTACATAGAAAAACGTTAAAGTTTATTAAAATTAACATATTATATTAAATACAAACCAGTGTATGTACATTCGACACGTGATAAATACATGTTATCTGACAGACAGCGACCGGATACTGGAGGAGGCGCAGGACATGTCCGACACCGAGGAGTTCAATGACACGTAAGAGATACATGAGATATATGTGATATATGAGATACATGAGATAAATGAGATGTATGAGATACATGAGATGTAACGGTTGTCATTACAGGCGGAGGCTGGAGGCTGTGGAGGAGGACGACGAGCCCGAGCAGCAGACGCCGCTCAGGTGACACACTATCTACTAATGATAATATATATTGTATATATTATATACTAGTTATCCGCCCGCAGCTTCGCCCCCGTGGAGTCCGGTTATATCGCGTTTCCAAGAGAACCTTTCAAAAGTCTGGGATAAAAACTATCCTATGTTCTTTCTCAAGGACAACTCTATGTCTGTACCAAATTTCATTAAAATCAGTGATTATTACTAGCTGACCCGGCAAACATTTTTTTGCCATATAATAAAATAGGGATTGGTGATAAAAAAGTAAAATTTGTGGGTTGTATGTACCTACTTTTTAATATCACATTATAAAAAAAAATAAAAACAAAAAATTTGGTCCAAAAATTTTAAAAAATGAGGGTGAACAACCCATGTCTTAGGGGTATGAAAAATAAATGTTGGCCAAATCTCAGACCTACTCAATATGCACACAAAATTTCATGAGTATCGGTCAAGCCGTTTCGGAGTAGTACAGCTAGTGAGAACCTGCGTCTGGCTGTGGTTGTACCAGCAGAAAATACTGGATGGATTTAGACAACCTTTTACAGTCAATTAGTTTCTTCTTCTACCTGCCAATTTCCCAGCTTTAGCCAGGGTCCGCCTTAAATGTTGTTTATAGTTTTGGCTAATTGGTTTTACGACCGGCCGCCTGCCTGACGTCAACACTCTTTGGGAATGCATTATTCAGTGATGTCTAAAAACTCGTAAAAAGTATATATGACTCGGAAAAATCACATTGGTACTTGCCAGGATCGAACCCGCGCCCTCATGCATGAGAGGCGGGCCTTTTAACCACTAGGCCACCACTGACTCAGTTAATTAGTTTAGACACAATAGATGTCGCTTTTAGTCGATGGTTACTATAATTATTATTTGGTCACCTACATTTCTTGTACAGCGAGTCCGAGGTCTATTTAGACAAAGTAAAGACTGAAATTAGTTTAACTTAATATATGTTAAAGTTAAACTCTATGTATTGTTTGATCTGCATTCAATCAGATGAGGATTAAATTTTTGTCATGTTCTGATGATGAAGGGAAAGCCACAATTTTTTGTTAAATATCTTTGTACAGATGTTTCATACACTTTATCTGATACTTTGCCAGTTTATTAATACATGAACTTGTGATAATATTTCCAGGAGCAGACAAGAAAATCCTTTGGAGGGTCCGAGCTGGCTCCTAGATGAACCTACGAGGAAGGTGAGGTTGCTGTAACACTTTTTGTATATACATATATGGGATTTATTACAAATTCGTTATGACGTCATCATCACCGACGTCACTAATGTCACTTCTTCTAGAACGTTCCAAAATATTTTAAAATGACACTTCAATTGTTCTAAATGTCCTTGTATTTCTCGAAGGTGCTTCATAATCACATAAACTGAACTCTGCCTTTCGTCCAGACGTCATATTTATACCAAGTTTCAAACATAGTTCTATTCTCCTTTTAAACAGTCTTTGATTTGGTTTTATTTTTAACAATAATCATTTATTTGTTTAATAATCATGAATACTAATAAGTTTTTAAGATAATGGATGACAGGCTCAAGTTATTTTCATGTCGCATCCGTTATTAATGTTGAAAACCAAAAGTATCAAAAAAATGTGTACCAAAAAGAATCCGAAATATTTTATACAATACTTTAATAAAATCTCATTTAGAATATCTAATACAAGTTTGGGGATCAGCTACTACTTCAAATCTAAATAGTTTACAAAAGAATACAAAATAAAATTATTAAAATTCTATATAAATATCACTTTCTTACTCCAACGGCACAACTTTATAATGAAACAAAATAAAGAATATATCACAATTATACACATACTACCTATACATGCATTTTAATCAAACAAATTACATCAGATTCCATTCAATCGGAGATAGTGATTTGTGAGAGACCGCATATTTCGAACTTAAGGAATAAATACAAACTTCAAATTGATCACGTGAGAACTAATCAGTGGCGGCTGTACCTTAAGTGCACTCGTGCGCTGAACCACCAATTCAAAAGATTTAGAAATTACAAAATATTACTTCATATTTTTTTAAATTACCATTTTAATATTTATTTTTTAAACATATAAAAACGTGTAATAAATTAAATTTCCTAATTATGGTCAAAAGTTTGAGCGCTTTACTAAACTCATCGTGCGCTGCGGCGAGTGCACGAGCACTGCTAATACATCTTGTATGAAATACTCTTTAATACGCCTGACGCGTGAAACAAAAGATAGTTCATAGAGATGTACCGAGTAATGAGTCGGTTCTCGAGCGCCGCACGAGCGGCCGAAAGTTACCGAGAGCACCCGATGTATGACGAATTGAGCCGGCCGGCAAGGGCGCGAAAGGATGGGTGCTATGATTGACATCTCGTTGTTTTGTAGCATTTTCTAATTTTAATATTTTAGTAGTGCACCACCGGTTCGATTACCCACCGGCCGCCACTGGAACTAATAATATGGTAAAAAAACAATTCTGTTTGAGGGAGTACAACTGTTCAATAAACTACCAGACGAAATAAAACTGTGATAGTATAGGGGTGTTTAAGGTTAAATAAAAAAAATATTTAATATCCTCGCTGTAGTAGTAAATGTAGCAAGTCTGTCATGTCCAACAGCCCGTTTGTTAAAATTGTTATCTTGCAAATATTCCTTGTTGTGAATGTAAAATTCTTATGAGAAATAAAGTTCTTTATACACAAAACTCCGATATACATATATATTAAAATACATTATTGTTGTCTACAGAGACGATCCAAAAGTCGGGTGAACTTGGAGCCCGACTCCACCACCGAAGTGGAAGACAACGACCCCTCTCCCGGAACTAACAGTACGCCCAAGCAGGTCAGTATACACTGGACATGTGTTCGATTATGTAATTGAACAGCTGACATTGTAAATACTTTGAGGTAATGTTAATGTATATTAATGTAAATATCTGACAGTCAGTCGCTAGAAGAGTAATACATATTAAAAAAACATACTATCCTTAGACAATTATAAATTTATCGATTGATTTTCTATATAAAGCAGAAAGAGGAATCTGAATAACTTTTTTTTTATATTATCTATGCCTCTTAAAGTATTCGATGACTATTTGATTCCTGCTTTATAATATATCTCTTCTAATAACCCGTTCATCTTTCAGTTGGGTCGTAGTGTGTGTGTGTTCACGCCGACCGTCCGCCGCCGGCGCCGCTCGCCTCCCTCCCCCGCCGCGCCCCGCTCCCCGCGCCCCTCCCGGCCATCCAACTGCAGGTGACCTGCGACTGTACTCACTCACTGGCTCACTCACTCACTCACTCATTCGCTCACTGGTTCAAATCCTACCACTAAAATTAGGAGCCACTTATTACAATACGGTGGTCACACGCGAACACACATGTAACCAGTGGCGGCTGGTGGGTTATCGAACTGGTGGTGCAATTTACTAAAATATTAAAATTAGAAAATGCAACAAAACAACAATTGACATAATATATGTTTATTTTTTATACATTAATTAATGCAACGACATTTTTCCGAAGCGAAATATTTATTCACATATTTATTAAAATCGGGTATTGTTTGTATATTTTTTTTATTCAATACTAAGCACAGAAAGTGCATTTAGCAAGTGCAAGGTATTTCGGAGAAAGGTTTTGATTCTTTTCAATTCCAATTCGTCATACATCGGGTGCTCTCGGTAATCTCGGTAATCGGTAATCGGTTGCTCGTGCGGCACTAGAGAACATTACTCGGTACATTTCTATGAACTATCTTTTGTTTCACGCGTCAGGTGTATTATGCGTATTTCATACAAAATGTATTAGCAGTCCTCGTGCACTCGCCGAACCGCACGATATTAGTTTAGTAAAGCGCTCAAACTTTTTGACCATAATTAGAAATTTCACTTTTTATACGTTTTTGTATGTTAAAAAAATAAATATTAAAATAGTAATTTAAAAATAAAGATGAAATAATATTTTGTAATTTTTAAATCTTTTTGAAGTGGTGGTTCAACGCACGAGTGCACTTAAGGTACAGCCGCCCCTGCATGTAATCATTGTCGTATCATCGTTAGAAAAATTTGCGGTTTGATTTTCACATTTAACAAATTGACTTTAGAATAACGTCATACCCTGGATATAAAAAGTGGACGTGAAATGTACGATGTATAATAGAAATAACTAAGATGTATTTAAGGAGTAACTTTAATTAATTAGGAATAACTTCAATTACTGTCTAAGATATATCGTTGTTCACCAATTACATAAACTGAAAAACGTGTTTAACTCAATGAAATGATTTATTACAGTAACGGCGGCCGCATCCTTAAAGTTTTAGTTTCGAAGATGTGTCTGGACGAAGACGACGGCAGCGGAGACGCCTCGCCACCGAAGAGACCCAACGTTGAGGACGCTCACAAGAAGAAGTCTCCCAAGAGAAAGAGTAACAACCACGGACTCGCTAGGGATGGATCACCAGCCAAGAATATGATGAGGATCGACGCTCCCAGCCCTAATGGATCGACTGACTCTAGAGTCATTGTACTGTTAGTACATACATTGTATATTAAACGATTATCCTTATATGTATATATAATTCTTCTGTGAGTGTGTATGTCACTGAACTTCTCTCAAACGACTGGACCGATTTTGATGAATTTTTTTTGTGTGTGTTGAAGGGGATCTGGGAATGGTTTAGATTCACAATTTTGTTCGCTGGACAATGTATTTTAATTAATTTTTAATTTATTAGTAGTTGTTGATACAAACGTTTTTTTTGACATTAGATTTAACAACTAACTAATATGTCAATCATTCTGTCGCACTTCAAAACACGGAGATTTTTGGCTTTAATAGGTAAACTCCAAAAATATAAATGAAAAAAACGTAACAGATATTTCTTGATTATAGGGCCATACGAAGTTCGCCGGGTCTTCTAGTACTTCTATAATTACGGTAAAAAATATTACTTATCATTACAGAGAGACGAAAACACACATTGGGGCTGCGAATGCGAACTCAACTGACGCAGATAATGGTAATCCAGATGAGAATATTGACACGAATCAAAATGTAAATGATGCTAACCAAAGTGAGAATCAACAGTCTGACATTAATCAGAACCGTGACACTGGTGTAAATCATCGTGACACTAACGTCAGTCAGCGTGACACGAACGTCAGTCAGCGTGACACTAACGTTAGTCAGCGTGACACTAGCGTCGGTCGGCGTGACACTAATGACAATCAGAGCCACTTGAGTCGTGACAGCCGTGATAGTGACAGCAGTGGTAGTGAGATGGCGGAGGGACGGACCAGGCGGGCGAGGAGGGCTGTGGTTTATAAGGAGAGGCCTCTCAACAGGTAACAGACACTATGAAATGTACTTTATATTTAATGGGCGGGATTTAAAAAATGACACATTTACGTACAAAGTACAACAGTTCAGCGGTATGGTCGTGACGAGACCAAAAAACAAATTGCAGATGATTCAACAACCTATCTTATCGATGAGGATCAATAATTTAATGCAGAAAGTGTTTTTCAAGTCCGTAACCAAAAATAAGATGAAAATAATCCAGGATGTTTAGTTGCCGATATTCGTCAAAGATGTTCGTTTACCATATCTGCTGACGATAAATCAATTTGTTAAATAAGAGCAAAATTTAGTTTTTGGCTACCTTTACGTTGTTTCTAAAAATGTCCGTAATTTAAGAAACTTGTTGTCTATGGTTATTAAAATAATTTATTTTTCCAGAAAACTACGGCGGTGATGAACACTACAGTGCCGGTTAGATGAATCATATAAAAATATTTTATCCTCGAAGATGTGGGTCGCCGTGTCCGCCGTGACGAGGTTTTGTAGAGTGTTACAGTTTGTTGTTAAGAAATATCAAGTAATATTGAAGACTGCAGCACATTGATTGACGCTACACTTGTTGCCTTCTGATCGTAGTTGTATAATAATTATAATTTTCTTCTGTTATTATATACGAAGTGACAATACAGGGAAAAATGTTAAATTACTGCCGCATGGAAAACCTTACGCCTTATATATATAATACATACTCCACGGCTGAGAATTGTGTTCAATAGTGTTACCCGACACGATACTCAAATAGTTAGTTAGACTGGAAATTATAAGTGATTTATAGAATGCCTTATACATGAAGAATAGATACAGTATTTATGATTATCAGTAAGAAAATACTGAGTTGTTGATTTAATCTCATATTATGCCTAAAAGTATCCGTGATTAACATTAAAATCTTTAATATAATGTTGCTGATTTAAAATATTAAATTACTTAATTATATATATATTGACATATTTATAATGAATTAATCCAGTTGTCAGTGTAACATGTGACACAAGGATTATCAAAGTGACATTGTCAACTTTACTGAAATATGTCACTAGTAACATCGATTTGTTATAGGAATTTGTTGCTGGTTCAATCAATAAATCATTTAAGGTCGTGTTGTGTTATTATTGATCTCCTTTGCTATTATTTTTATTTATAATTATTATAATATAAAATAAAGATAAAAAATACATTTTTTTTTTGCTTCGGTTTCATTAGCACTGGATTTGTGAAGTATTTTGCCAATGTCCATGTTTTTATTTGTTGGACGAATTATATTCTTGACGAAAAACAATTCGTATTAAAGTGATGGAGTGTTTTAATTTTAGACAGTTGTGACATTCAAAGAGGAGTTTAGTTGGTCCCAATGGGAAAAAAGGCTGTAGGGGAGACTGGGTAACAGTGAATCATATTTTTAAAGAAGTGTTACTCAGTAGTTTATGACAAAATGTTAAATGATACATCTTTGAAACTAAATGATAATGCAAATATCTAATCTCTAAAATAAGAGACATTTCATTGCCTGTGTTACGTATTTACAATGTATAGGCACTTTAAAAAAAAATAGAAATGATCCACTGTGGCCCGGGAACGGGTCACTGGATCACTGCACGGGTAACAGTGAATCGGCCCAGGCACACAGGATCAATTGCAAAGAAATATTAAAAAAACATCAATTTTCATATTATTATAATATTTCTACTTGTACTAAGTAGGTTCTAGACAGTCTTTTACGTCAAAATAATGACATGATGTTTTCTAAATTATCGAAGAACAAACTAACATTATAGCGATTGAAAGACGACCTAGCAACGGCTCTTATTTTTAGCCATCCGAAATAAGTTTAGTGGCCTAGTGGTCAAAAGGCCCGCCTCTCGTGCACGAGGGCGCGGGTTCGATCATGGCAAGGACTAATATGATTTTTCCGAGTCATATGTACTTTCTGAAGAAATTAAATTCTCCGAATTGCGATATATGCCTGATCCAGGATGACATACATCATTTTCTTGTGGAATGTGTTCGAAATGCTGCCAAAAGAAGAGAACTAATACATAGATTTAGCATTAATTTAAAGGATATAGGAATTTTTCAAAGTGTGTTATCCATGCCAAAGTCAGAGATAGCCAAAACTATTTATCAGTTTAAGTTAAAATAAGACATTGTTTGTAAATTTTAGAATTATTTTAGATACTTTAAGGCTTATATTTATTGTTAATGGTGGGATTTTTATTAAGGGAACGATGGGACTGACATTTAGCTTTGCTGCTAAAAAGTCCCAAAATAAAATCAGAAAAAAAATTTACTTTCTAAGAGTATTTAGACATCACTGACAGACGGTGAAGGAAAACATCGTGAGGAAACCTTGACTTATAATTTCCAATTATAAGTTTGAAATCGCCAACCCGTCTTGAGCGAGCGTGGTGATTAATGCTCAAATCTTCTCCATGTGAGAAAGAGGCCTTTACTTGGCAGTGGGCTCTGATAGGCTGATGACGATGTCGAAATAAATTTTAGAGCGTTACTTATCTGTTCTTCAGTATGAAGTCCGATAGTAGTCGTTCTTACTACATTACAAGACATTTTTACCTAAAACATAAAGTAAAATAAATCTTAGCTTGTTGAGTTACAATGGATGAACAGTTCACAGTGACCCAATACAGAATGGTTCACTGTGACCCATTGACCGTTATAGAAAAAGAATATAACCCAAAAAAAAAAAACTATCTATCTTAAGGACAAATAAATATGTATTACAACGGATGTAAAGTATGACAAGTATACGTCATTGCAAAAACATCTACATTACTTATTCAATTAGAAATTAAATAAATTTAGAAACCTCGTAAAGAAATAGTTTAGGTACTTATGTAGGGTCCAGAGTGAGGCAGGGCACGCTCCCGTTTCGGGGGCCCCGGCGACTAGTGCCTCGCGAACAGGTATAACCCAGCGGCGAATAAAGGTGTTTTTTGTGTGCGTGAGTGAAACATATACTATGTTATTGTACATTATCCACTGTGACCCGCGATTCACTGTGACCCAGTCTCCCCTAATGCCCGGAGGTGTTGACGTCTATCCTAAGATGCCACTAAGATCTCGAACCTTGGTTTAGATCATCGATAAAGGCATAGCTAGTACGATCCTAGAACTTCATTAGGAGAAATTATCTATTTTCGTTTCCCCTACTTTAAAAAGGTCCAGTAGATTTAATACGAAAAGAATTACTATAAATTTGTAAAAGACAGTCATTTTAAAATTGTAGTCTCATCACAATTGAAGGTTTAGGTGAAAGTTAGTGTTGGAGTCAAGAAAAAACATCTCAGATTTAAGAAGGCACAAGAGGTTGGAAAAGAAATAGTTATTACAGAAAGTATAGGGAATATGTGATCGGATTCAAACCAAGTCTTCTCGAAAAGAAAATTAGATATATAGTTAAAATTACGTAACCCAAAAATTACTTATGCAAATTCTGAAGGCGTTTGAGTTCGCTTAGTAATTTTTTTATTAATATCAGGATAGAACACGTCGGGGTAATCTACTGAGATGCAAAAGGAGAGATTGAGCAAGATTTTTTTTTGTCCATAAGGATAGATGTTTCCACTGCTAAAATAAAACGTATGGTTATAAACGTCATTCTTATGAGAATTGCTGTCGCAACATGTTGAAAAATTTTTGTTAAAATAAGCTCCAACCATTATTGTTTTGTTTAAAACATAGTGCATATCATCGCTACAAACATTTCAGACTCGTTTATATACCAACAGACAGCCAACAATTTTTATTTTTAACAGAACCATCAAAAGTTGTCTTTGAATCATTGTAAAGCGTGAAAGGGATGTCTTAAGAAAAAACAATTTCGTTTAAAATTTATTTGACTTAACATTAACAATAGCCATACATGAGCCGTTAGTACATTGAATAAGTAAATATTGTAACTTTAAATACTGGAATTCCACAACACAAAATAAAACTCTTATCATTATAGGCACATCAGAGTACATTCATATCCCTCACTTATTTATGAAAATATTAATATTACAAGTTTTTTTTGACATTTTATCTTTTTCTCACTGACAGTTCAATTGACAGAATAGTCTGAACTGTTTTTTACAGCCTTCGACCTGAAGGTAGTAGGACTTACATTTGGTGTTAGAGGGAATGATATAATAACTTTAAATTACAATAATTTAACCTTAATAATAAGTTTTATAACATTAAAAAATGTAAGAATATATATATTTTTTAATCCCATATTATGACAACTAATGTAATGTGACCATAGACACTAGCTAAATGTAACGTCGAACCATAGACAATGATTTATTTACTAATACAAATTATTGCCATGTATAATACAACGCTATGTAAGGTTGGATAAGATATAAGATTTATATTGTTTAAAATTGAATCAATTATTATTAAAACAGTAACAGGATATATATATATATATATATATATATATATATATATATATATATATATATATATATATATATATATATATATATATATATATCGTAGTATTTATTTATTTATTTCTCCGGGTGTCTTGTCGGGAGGGGCGGGCGCGGGCTCCGGTTCCGGCTTGAGAGTTATGGTTGCTGTCTTCTCTGAGTTATTCTAAAACATAAAATATATTATTAAAGTACGCTTCATTTGAAATGGGAAGATTTGAATATAGAACAAATTTGCATTTGAATAAAGAACAATTTGAATTTGAATATTGAACAATTTGAATTTGAATAAAGTACAATTTCAATTAGGAACAAATTTGAATAGATAATGTAAGGGTATAAAGATATATTCGTAGTTTCTGTAGCGTACCTTTTCTTCAGTAGTAGTGGTAGTAGTAGTGGTGTCTGTAGTGTCACCGGTGGTCGCGTGCTGGTGTCTCCTCCTCCTCTCCACGTGTCCGAAGCAGTGCTCACACTCGTCGTCGCTCTCCGAGTCGGACTCGTCCCAGCGGCGCGGCTTCTCGTAGATACAACAACCTATGATATGAAGTTAACATTAGGAAGGAATTCGACTAAGGAAGATTAAAACAGAATAATAATAATGACATGCCAAAATTTTTTTGTCATTTTTGGCGTTAGAACGATTATAGATTCCCAGTTTAATCTCTTATCTCAGCGGTCTAACCCCACATGTATTACTATAACCATTAAAATAGCATTATATTTTTCGGAAGTATTTTGGGTATTTAATTATTTTACTTTCAGTAATATAGTATATATAGTAATATAGTACTTTCAGATTTTGGACAGTCGAGCTTAAGAGGTCTCTTAATTACTCTCGTTTTCTTTCAAGTATCAACTATTTCTGACTTACTGCACGCCTTGCAAGCAAAATTTTTACTGTGTTTCGAGCTCTGGTAATATGGATACCGACATATGATTTATATATTTGATACTAGAAGACCCGGCGAACTTCGTTTCGCCCTATAATCAAGAAATATCTGTTACGTTTTTTTATTTATATTTTTGGAGTTTACCTATTAAAGCCATAAATCTCCGTGTTTTGAAGTGATTAGGAATGATTAATAGTTAATATGAGAGTTACACTGAGCTAGCAAAATAATAATTGTCAACGTTACTACTACACTTGATGCACAAACAATAACGATGGCCGACAACTGTGTAGGGAGTGAGAGAAGTCTAATTGTGTGAGAGAAACAGAAGACCGGCTTCGTTCTCATCCCTACTCCGTGCTGTTTACTGGGTCAGAAGTGACACCTGTAGATATCTGGCGGGGATAACTTATTAAATGACGATTGATCAGTTATCGACCGGAGATGAAAAATGATTAAATTACTAAAATAGCTATTAAAAAATAAGGGTTGATCGTAGAAGGGTGAAAATTTAGGATTGTATGTATTTTTGTACGTTGTATCATAAAAAAATAGTAATTAAAAATTTTGTCTAAAAAATAAAAAATAAAAATTTAGGGGTGGACTACCCCTAACATTTAGGGGGATGAAAAATAGATGTTGGCCGATTCTCATAGCTACCGAATAAGCACAAAAAATTTCATCAAAATCGGTCAGGTTGTTTCGGAGGAGTATGGGCACGAAAACTGTGACACGAGAATTTTATATATTAGATTAGAAGATGGGAATTCTAAGTGTTAGATACTTGCCTACCATCTTATCTCTTGAAATGAAGATGTTTTTTTTTCGTATACAATAATAAAACCGACAAACATAGTTTTATCTAAATATAGTCTAGCTAATAGCATAGGTCTGATCGATAGTTCATACATAATGCAAATCGACGATTATTACATAATATGTTAACAATATCTCAATATTTGATATAACTTGATAGTCATGTAATGTACATACACTTGGACTTCTTCTTGTTCATGTGTTCGTTGTCCACGGTGTCCTCGGTCCACACCACCTTCTTGGCGTTGGCGGCGCGCGAGGGCTTCAGAGTGATCACGGCCACACGCTCCACGGCCTCCTGGAACAAGACACGAATATTACATGTACATACGAAAGAACATAAAATTAGTATATATACAGTGGATTTCATTAATAACGACCTCGGTTGTAATGACCTTTCGGTTATAGCGACGTCGAACTTACGTCCCTAGAATTTGAAACATACTTTCGTATAAATCCATTCGGCAATAGCGACTCCGGATATAACGCCTAAGTCGGGTATAACGACTTGTTTTTATGAATTTTTTGGGACAGATTCCTAGAAATTCATTGCGGATATTGAGACGGAGTCGGCAAAGGCGCAAAGACTCATTCATCAACTTTAACTATTAAGCTTGTATTATGTAGGAATGTAAACAAAGGATAAGAATCTTTTGTTTACATTCGCAGATGGTCAAGTGATTTGTTTCTGTGTAGGATTACTTAGCACGTGCATGAAGTTAAAATTATGAATCAGTTACGTATCATTTTCCAGTGAGTAAACATCGTTTCTTAAACTTATGAACATGGCTCCTAGACATACATTTACTGTTAAAGAAAAAGTGGATATCATTTCGAGACTGGAAAACGATGAAAACAATGTTGATCTGTGTAAACAATTTGGGGTTTCTCATTCTACAATATCAACGATGTGGAAAAACCGCGCTAAAATTATGCAGTGTTTTGAATCAAAATCCCTGAAAATAAAGAAAAATCGTAATCCAACTCATCAAGATATTGAAAATGTACTTCTAGTGTGGTTTAAAGCACAGAGAAGCCAAAATGTACCTATAAGCGGTCCTCTTTTGCAAGAGAAAGCTAATCATTTTGCCAGACAGCTTGGGAAAACAGACTTTAAATGTTCAGAAAGCTGGATTTACAGATTTAGACAACGTCATGATATAGTGGTCGGTAAAGTTTGTGGAGAAGCCGCTAGTGTATCGCAAAACGACTGTGATAATTGGTTGAGAACAGTTTTACCAAAATTAACTGAAGGATATACCGACAGTCAAATATGGAACGCTGATGAGACAGGATTATTTTTTAAATTGACTCCCGATAGAACGCTAAAATTCAAAGGAGAAAAATGTACAGGAGGGAAACTATCAAAAGATAGAATAACGGTGCCTGTTGCTTCAAGTATGGAAGGTGAAAAACGTAAATTGCTGGTTATAGGTAAGGCGAAAAAACCAAGGTGTTTCAAGAATGTTAAAACTTTGCCAGTTGATTACGAAGCCAACAAAAAGGCGTGGATGACATCAGAAATTTTTGAAAAAGTTTTACGGAAATGGGACTCTGAGCTAAGAAGACACAATAAAAAAATCATCTTAATTATTGACAATTGTCCAGCTCACCCACACATTCAAAAATTGACTAACATAAAACTGGCATTTCTACCACCAAACACTACGTCAGTTATTCAACCTATCGATCAAGGTATTATTAAGACTCTTAAAAGCCATTGTCGAAAGCTTCTTGTCGAGAAAATGGTAAATGACAATGAAAACAGCTCAACTCCTTTTGCCGTCAATATTCTGGACGGCATTGAAATGTTAACAACAGCATGGGCACGAGTTACTGCAGATACAATAAAAAAATGTTTTTCACATGCTGGGTTTGGTAAATTTTCTACCATTAATACAAATGATGAAGATTCTGATGATGAAATGGATAACTTGCCATTGGCAAGATTATCATCAGCGGAACCAACAGTTACGGATTGGGAAACGTATGTGAATATTGATGATCAAGTTATCACTACTGATAACTTGACGGATAATGAAATTATTGATTCTGTACTTCAAACTCAAGAACAGGAGCATGAAGAAGAGGAGCATGAAGAAGAGGATTGCAATGTAAACAAGATTCCAACAATTAGAGATGCATTATGTGCTATTACTCGTACAACGCTCAAAAAGTACTGTTTATTTGGAGAAGCCAGTAATAATTTAGATGTAGAGGGAATTATGAAAATGGAATATACGTTACAGCGTGCACAAAAGTCTAAACTTAAGCAGTGCACTATAACTCGTTTTTTTAATAAAAGCCTTGTATAATATAAATAAGTGATAAATAAATAACTACGTACGTATATAAACATAATGTACGTGATTTTTTATTATTTCGGATATAGAGACCTCCGGATATAGCGACAACATTAAAGTGGTCCCTCCGCCGTCGTTATAACCGAAATCCACTGTATTTATAATATAAACGTCATCATCATCAGCCTATCAGAGCTCACTGCTGAGCAAAGGCCTCTTCTCACATGGAGAAGGTTTGAGTATTAATCACCACGCTTGCTCAAGACGGGTTGGTGATTTCAAATTTATATTCCTTAAATTAAAAGTCATGGGTTTCCTCACGATGTTTTCCTTCACCGTCTGTCAGTGGTGTCTTATTATTTTTAGAGAGTACATATGACTCGTATAAAAATCATATTCGTACTTGCCATGTTTCGAACCCATGCCCTCATTAATGAGAGGCGGGCCTTTTAACCACTAGGCCACCACGACTTTATATTATGAACATAGTAGTAAATAAACTTCTATGGATTCAATTTATATTTAGAAAGTGTGAAGGAATAACAATAGAAAATCGATTCGAACATAGACTTAGAAAAAATTGTGGTCAGAAAATTTAAACGGGTTATGTATGGGAGTATATAGAGGAATACCTCCGGACATTTTTATTTCAAGAGCAAACACTCGTATCTCCTTTTCGTTGACGTCCAGCTGCCTTTGGCGATAAGAATTTTAGGTGAACCGTCAACCGACATATACTTATTTACCTGTGTATATGACAGTAGCGGCCCGAAGGACTATAAAGTTTTAAACACGAGTAATAACGGCACCCAAAATAGGCTTAATGATTTATGTAAGTAAAGCATAATAAATTTTTCCCTACTATTAGGTAATCAATCTTAAACAGCTGTGAAATGTTCAAAATAAATATGGAAAGAATAAAAATTCGTTAAATAGAACAGTATGCAAGTAAATGTCACGTACATATTTAGCACATGACATACTTCAAATGAGGCGTTAAACAGATTGTTTACGCGCCAAATATTAAACAATGACGTAAACATGGAAAATGAATTTATTATAGAACAACAAATTGACATGTTTTTTATAATACAAACATTTCCATTTCTGATTTACAAATAAACATTGAAATATGTGACATTAAAAATACACATTACTTTTAATATACGATCTTCTTAGATTGTTTTTATGAAAAGAAAAACGTCATAAAAATTAATAATAATAAACGGTCCCTATGTAAATTACACTTAGTACAATCAGTCTTATTTGTAAAGCAATAAGTAATGTCATCGTCTTATAAAAGAACAAAGAGCTATTAAAACTGTATTGTACTGAATCAATTACTGTAGACTTGATCAATAAGGGGTATTGTAATTTGTATGCGAGTTCGTCTCTACTATCGTGTACTTTAATGTGAATTTAAAAAGACTTATTTTCTAAAAGATCATTCTATCAATGATTCAAATTCCTATGAGAATAATCAAGTTTTGTTAACGCTTCTTTTAAAGTAAACAAATCAATAAAATGTATAAATGTCAAACATAAGCCGCTCTGGCGTTGTAGAATGATTTTAATAGAAGTCATTTTGAAAACTGAAGAAAGATTTCATATTGACTGTAAGTTGTAACAAGTGGCGACCGATATGTGAATGAATAAATTATTGAATGAGATTGAGCGTATGAATGACGACTGTATAGAGGAAAGGGCGGCAAATAAATAATCATTTGGTATAAGTTGAAACATAAAAAATACAGTGAATTCAGCATATAACATTCAAATGAGATAGAAATTGAAAAATAAAAGTAATATTACAAATGATTCACAGGTTATTTAAGTTTCCATATTGTTGTTTTATTGAAACAAATGGTTACTTCTTTTATCTGATCTGCAATGTAGTTGAATATTATTTTGTTATAATACAAATATAATGTAAGACACAAACACAGTATAATGAAAACACTTTTAATGTTTATTCAAAACTATATAAAATATAAAATGATATGTTACATTGATTACACGTTTTATCTGAAATTATCTCTAAGAATACACAGTTCATTAATATTTATATAAAATAATTGTGACATCTCAAGTGTTGCCATGTCTCCTACTTAACAACTTTATTTAGCATCAATTCTTTAATTCTATCATCACTGTATCCTAAGAAATTTGATAAAATCGTTTGTGTGTGCTGTCCCAAGGTCGGCGGTGCAAATCTAACTGAATTACCACCCTCTGAGTAAACAGTAGGAGGTCCAACCGTTTTTATAGTCCCGGCCTTTACATGTTTTAATTCCTTCACCAATTCAATTTCTCTAACATGTTCATCATCGAAGACATCTTTCATATTGTTAACTGGTCCGTTTGGAAAACTCGCATTCCTGAAGATCTTAGTCCATTCCTTCCTCGTCTTAGTTATCATGACTTCACCTATAATCCTGACTATTTCGTCACGATGTTTTACTCTCGAAGCATTATCTTTGAATCTATCATCTATTATCAGGTCTTCTCTATTGATAAGTTTACAGAAATCTGCAAATTGTGCATTGGAACCGGTACCGATGACAATATCACCATCCATAGTTTTGAAAGCTTGGTACGGCACCAAGTTTGCATGAGCTGTACCCCACCTCTGTGCTTCGATACCGCAGTTTAAATAAATATTAGCAATATTTATCATGCTTGATATTTGTGTTGAAAACAGATTGCAGTCAATCTTCTGGCCGCGGCCGGTCTTATGTCTGTAATACAGGGCCGTCATGATTGCACCAAATGCATGAAGACCAGTAGTGACATCGGTGATAGCAACACCTGGCTTTACTGGGTTGCCGTCCTTCTCACCCGTTGAATTCAATAGACCGCCCATAGCTGCTGCAATAACATCATACCTGATACATAAATTAAATATAGGATAAAATATTTTGTTATTTAAATTCCAATAAAAGATATGACAACTAATATTTTGTTACCCAGGTTTATTTGCATAAGGTCCGGCCGGTCCGAAGCCTGTGATAGCGCAGTATATAATCTGTTTATTGATCTCTTTTAATTTCTCATAACCCACTTCCAACTTATCCAACTTCCCCGGTAAGAAATTTTCAACGACCACATCACATTTCTTTGCCAGATCATATATTATGTTTTTACCTGGAATAAATGTAATTCAAAGTATTTAAAATGAGACATATCAGTTTCTATATGATATCTGATTATAAATTAAACAAACATACCTTCTTGAGATTTTAAATTAATGCAAATACTCTTCTTGTTTCTGTTCACAGAGAGAAAGTAATATGAATCTGTGGAATCTTTAACAAATGGCGGTCCCCATTTCCTAGCTTCATCACCTTCAAGACTCTCAACTTTGATAACATTAGCCCCGAGGTCACCCAGGGTCATGGTGCAGAATGGACCGGCGATGACGCGAGATAAATCTAATACGTTCACATCGCTGAGCAAACCGTCGCATTTCGTCGAGAATAAAGCTTTAACTACGAACCGACTGGGAAAAATACACCTTACAGGCGTCTTTAACGTCTTCAAAGCAATCGCGACAGCCCTCATAATTAACAATAACGTAATAAACTCAGATACCGATTACTCACTTATAAGATATTTGCTTATGTATTACCGCATTTCAAACTGTTGATAAGGTTGTTTTTATAATAACTGTTAAACTACTTACCTCCTGTATTTGCGGGGGAACCGTTGTCACCGCCGTACTCGTCGTAGCCATTTCTTCGCTTCGTATAATTTTCTGTCGATCACCCATTAAATCACATTACTCTGTAATATTTTCACATTATCAACTTAGGTCACGTTTTTTCTTAGTTACCCTTTAATGTTGTCAATGTTTATCAAATGATTATATAGACAGAAAGCCGTATATCTACTAACTTTATAGCTCATCACATATACTTTCGAGAAATAAGCAAAACGTCAAAGTCTAAATGTCAATTTGACATAAGTAAATAACAACAGACTAAAAGTATATAGATATTCTCAATTTAAAGGACATTTTGAAAAATTAAAACGGAGGTACTTTGTATCAATTAAACTTCATTCTAACATTGTGGTGAACATTCAAACAACAAAATAGCATTCTAGGCAAGGAAATTAAATATGTAAGGTTAAAAATGTTATTATCTTTCTTTGCTGCACATATAGACCAGTGCCGATAGCTTTTAAAACATAATAAAATTATAGTAGGATGAAACCCATTAAAAAAGGAGGGGAATATTATAAAAATTAAAGGAAAAATAATTTACGGTCGATCTGAGGTCGGGAAGGGTATAGGGGTGGGTATTTAAGGTTAAAAAATGGTTCTTCTCGAATTTCCGGCAAAACTAAAATCCTAATGAAAAATGTTATATGGCATAGTTGTAGGTAATAAAAAGATCTAAAACTTTCGTACTTACATTTTTTTCATATATCCTCAAAATTTCAGTCAGTGGTGGCCTAGTGGTTAAGGGGTCCGCCTCTCGTTGCCGAGGGCGCGGGTTCAAACCTGGCAAGTACCAATGTGATTTTTCGGAGTCATATGTACTTTCTGAGAGTATTTAGACATCACTGACAAGGAAAACATCGTGAGGAAACCTGGACTTATAGTTTCACAATTATAAGTTTGAAATCACCAACCCGTCTTGAGCCAGCGTGGCGATTAATGCTCAATCCTTCCCCATGTGAGAAAGAGGCCTTGCTCAGCAGTGGACTCCGGATAGACTGATGACTCAAAATTTATGTGAAAAATTAAAAAAAACAAGTTTTTTGTTTTTTATTTTTAGCTCTTCCAAAAAACAATATTTTGTCTCGAAATTTGGTGAAAACTTACCTTTTGATATCTCAAATATACTGTAATTTATTTGATTAGAAATATTTATTTTTTCATCTTATTTTGAATAAACATCGAAAAATTAGTCTCATTTTCAGTCGAAAAATCTCCCGTCAAAATATGAGTTTTTTTCAAATATTTGTTATGTGTTCTGTTCGTAAAAATCTCTATTTTCAAATGGTGAAGAAAAAATAATAGTTTCTTTCTTGCAGTACCATTTTTGGTTAAAATATTTATGTCCCTTTCAGATAAAAGACACTGGAAATCGTTTTGAAAATGCTCTTTCTATTTTTTTTATAGTTTTAGTAGTTTAATGTAAATTTAATAAAAGAGGCATTTTCTGGAGATCTTCCAGAGTACACAACTATTAAAAATAAATTGAAAGAGCATTTTCAAAACGATGTTCAGTGTCATTTCATTAAAAGGGGCATGATTATTTTATCCATTAAGGGTTTTTGTTACCCATTATGGGTTTCATCCTACTATAATTTATTTTCACTTTTCATTAATTTTAAAGGCTTCTGCACTGGCCTAGTAATATTATTATTAAGCTATTTATGAATTTTAAACTTTTTCAAATTAAACAATTGGGTACTTATTCAAAAATACAGGACATGTTTTTCTCCTTTTATAAATTTTTAAAAACTGTATTCATTTTATTACTTCCTTCGACAGGAAATTAAACATTTTAAAAGCAAAAAAATATAACTAAATCCATTATACAGGGTGACTGGTGAATTACTATCAATATTTAAGGAGAATACTCGGTACATGATTCTCATTCGAATTATGTAAAAAAAAAATGGTACTTAATTTTTGACCAAATTTCCGTATAAATAAATAAAGTGTGGACACGTTCCAAGTGTTCCAAGTGTGGACGCGTCCGTCGGCGTGCTGATACGACACCACGCCGACGGACGCGCGTGTGTGTGTATACCTAATCTGTAGGGTGTTCACACGATGTGTAATTAATTACATAACTTTTGGTTAACTTTACTTAGAAGTTTATTAATATTTATGTTATATTAATTTTTATTTTGTCATATATGATCGTCAAATATCACGTCCTCAAGTATCGATAGTAATTCACCAGTTACCCTGTACATGTGATCGTAAGTAGAAATATTTAAAATTTATGTCATACATTTGGATTACATACTTTTAATTTTAGCTGTTTCATAGGCGACTTTGTACCAAGTTAAATAGAAATTTCTTATTATATTTTAATAGCTTAGAACGTGAGGTGTGTTGCCTATACACCGACGTCAATGTTGTAGAGGAAGCAAGTTTTGTAACTTGGATGTTAAAACAAGCCTAACTTGCATCTCTTTTCGGCAAATAATGCTGGGAAGTTGTGGCATACATAGAAGTATGAAAGTAATAGATATAATTTAAAAGCCATCGTATTGCAAAGAGTGGAAACCTAATAACAGTTATGTACTTTGTACCGCTTCATTAAGAGAAACATAATAGCAAGCGTCATAATAATTTGAAGAAAAAATCTCTCTCCGTTATCGATTCCTATTAAATGAAACGCATTTGTACTTACATGAACTAAAATAGTCTTGTCATAAATATTTTTACAAAGAAAAAATAATGTCATAACTTAAAATCATTTACTGAATATAGACCTGGAAACCTTGATACCAGTTATTAAAACCAGCCTCCATTCTATCTATCTGAAGATTCTTCACTTTAAATTGTAATGGCTCTGAGAGTAAAACTTAATATCTTAAACTCACTGACAGACTCATTAAGTTCAGATATATATGACAGCCAGTCTTCAGCTTTAATGGAGTCCGGGACGTTCGTTTCTTACAAAGACTGGATGGATAACTTAACATCCATCCCTGAGGCTTGCTGAAAGGACCTTCCTAGGCTTTTGGACATGGTGTTAATGGCTTAACGATACTCGAAAGGTATCTTGATAAACTTATGCCGATGTAGTAATACATATTTCATTTAAATATTTGTTTAAGTGATTCCTTCATAAGAAACTCCCAAACAATCCATCACTAAGGCCTAGCAATGCTTACGTCAAACTCTGTTGATTAATTACTAATTTTTCTTTAGAGAAAAAATCCTTTTTTTTTCAAAGGATTTTTTCGAATTATCCCTTACTGCTATAACCGCATTTTCCGTATAAATACTACATGGAGTTCCAGATCTTGTGTTGTCACAAACAGATGAGGGTTCAATGTATCTATATTTCCTAATTAAACTAGTATACAAACAGTTATGTTATTTATTTAAAGGAAATATATTAGAATATTCTAAATCACAGAAAAAGTCAGAGTTTTTTTCATGAAATTAAGTTAGCGAGAGATTTCGGGGGCGATTAAAATTTTGTTTTTATAAAACATGATTATGAAAAACTGCTTTAATTGAATAGAATTAGAATCGACTTGAACCATAATGGCCTCGTTAAACAACTATTAATGAAAAATGTTTCTAAAGACGATTTAATAACAAAATAAAAATAAATACTAAGCAAAGCTTGATTACCAAATGTTTTTTTTAATACAAATAAGTATTCGTTATCTATTACGCCACAATTCACAACACGTATATGACTGTAACAATATTTTTCTTGTTTGATAATTATTATAACATATGTATATTTATGTAAAGAAATTGAGACAGGAAAAATTGTATTCATCGTTCCTCAATACCTGAAGATACCTAGATATAATACAGATTGTTTAAAAATACTCAACCTTTTTTCTCCTATAGTTAAGCGGTTAAATTCAAAATGTAGCTGAGAGAATTATACGTCATAGCTTTTGACATACAAATATATTATATATCAAAGGTTTATGGAAGATAAAATGATGAAATATAAGTTTTTCTATGATATTTTTGTTTGGCCATTCATATTATTGATGTCTGGCTGTTTTTTTTTTATGAAATATTAAAAATAATAACCGTCTTTGACGACCGACGCTAACAGATATATGTAATTTGTATTAATTATTACTTTTAACTATAATAACAATAAAGTAGAATGCCCGGTCTCAAAATATTTAATAAAGATTATTCTTATATGCGTCGTCAGTCCAACCAGGTCTGAAATATAAAAATGCCTGAGGTATTATTGGAATAATTCCAGAGCTACAGAATACAGATAATGTACTTATGATTCAAAAATAAAATGAATATGGACTGAGTGCAATGGTCTGGGAACGATTAATGATCGGTCGTCTTGACGTCACGACGAACCTGAATATAATAAAAGTATTTGGTTTTTTTTTTTAATTTAATGTTTTTGCAACGCAATAGCGTATTGAGGGTAAGCCTCATATTTAAATAAATTATTTTGTTTATAAATTCAGATTTTTATGAATAGAATTTATATATTTAAATTATCTTTTAATAAATTTAAATTTAGGTTACTAGATTATAATTATGGAATCATTTGTATTGACATCTGGAGAAAGCTATATGTCATTTTTTTTAATTCTGACATTTGGGTTACTGGTTATTTTTAACAATTTGTTTTCCTCTATCTAGACGTTTTCTCTGTTAGGAAGCCTGTAGGTACCTACTGCCGGTGAAAACTAAATTAAACATTTGTAATAAAATCCGCTCAGGTTCAATAGCATTATGGATAGTTTTTTCTTAATGTTTATGGGTAGGATAAAGGTAGGCATAGGCCAGCGTCGTCACTGTAATAATACTGATACAAAGAGTACCTTACTCTACACAAAGCGTAGTTGTAAAGAATGTAATATATGTAGTAATACCCCGCTTAACGCGACCCCGTTATGCGCGGTTTCACTATAACGCGATTTTCAAAAATTTATTTAGGTTGGGACATTGCAGAGTATAGACAATAATGATGACCGTGTCTTGAACGTGTGTCAAATGATTAAAAACAGTGTTTGGTGTTACGAACGTATTTTACAAGAACGGAAACAAAACGCTACTCAAAAGACAATACATGTATTTTTTCGTAAAAAATAGGAGTATCTATGTATTGTATAGTGTTCTTAGAATTAAAGTGATTGATTAAAATGATTTTTATATTTATGTATTAAATTTTGACTGTGTTTAATCATAAACCTCGATATACGCCAATTTCAGTTAACGCGATTTTCTCCGGAACGTATCCCTCGCGTAAAGCGGGGTATTACTGTATATATAAATATATTTTTATAAGCAACATTACACAATGGTTGATTGGTTATTGAGTCTGTGGTTGTCAAGTACGTGGGCTATTATCGCATCTACGCCTGATGCATTATAGTTATGACCTGATAAATCAAAATATCTTTTAAATAATATTCTAAGCTAGATGACATGCGATGTCATCAGTGTAGTTCTTATGATAGATAAATTTTAATTTGATTAAATAATAATAGATTTAAGGCAATTGCTGTCCATATTAACGCTATGTGCCATTAACGCTATGCGGGTGGGATATAACAACGCATTTCGATTACTGTTTGGACTACCACGATACTGTTAACTGTAGCGCATCAGAAATTAAGAAAGTAAGAATTGCGAGCACCTGGAAGAGATATACTCAAAATAATAATTCATTAGTTAAGGCATGCTCGAGCATTAATGTAGGATATTTTTTAGAGCATTGGTCCAAAATACACACACATTATTAAGGGGTATGCCAATGGTTATTGTGCGGTCAAGCTTGTGCTCATAATATTAATTTAAGGTCTTTGTTTTAGCTTTTATGTTCTTATTTTTCGATTGGGAGTGTAGTAAAGTCATTAAACAATAAGTGTTTGTAAAATTGAAATATTGTTCTGGAAATAAAGTGATTTTATTTATTATATTGGACGTCAGTAACGAGAAGTCTATCAATAACGATATGGGACATTATGTTTACACGAAGTTTTGTTCTGTCACAAGACTGATGACATACAGGCGTTGTGAAACGTGGGTTTTGTAGTCTGACGTTGTAAGGCGAGAGATTTATTAATGGGTAAAAATTCATAGAAGTACGTGTATAGTATGAAATACATTCACTATTTGAATATTTCAAAATTCACCCTGAACTTAGTTATAATGAATTGAATGAATTGATGTTTTTACCAATGACACAGCGCAAATATCACCCAATATATATTAGAGCATCTCGGTATTCGAGTCTCGATTATTAAAGTGAGTTTATTTACAGTTTATTTACTTATGGTTTAAATAAATATTTGATACTATATACTCATTTGAGTAGCATTAAAGCTAATAATCTAAAGTTAAGCTATTTAGTGAAACTTTCAATAAATAAACGGAGAAAAATATGCAAATAAAAATAATTGCTGGATGCTGGTACATGTAAGAATTATCGGAAGTGTATATATTGGTACACGCAGAAAAAGACATGGTCCAAAACTAGGCTTGTTAGATGTCAAAAAAGTTTTTCCGATACTAAATTAATAATCATACATTTTATTCATAAATCGTAAAATAATTTTATTTGAATTCACTTTGATCTTTAACGACAGGATTTGTAATAAAATTTACTACATAAGATAATATATAATAATAAAACTTACATTGTGTTTGAACATAATCATACATTTTAAATTATATTCATATTCATAGTAAGGTTCGCAATAGATTTTTTAGAAACCTACATACATAAATAATATATAAGAATAATAATATTATATACGTACTAGCTAAAACGGCAAAAGTTGTTTTGCAAAAATTTAGCGTTAGGTATTGATATTGAAAAATACATTATTTTTTTAATAACAAATTATAAAAAAATAAAAACTAATAATTTCGTCCAAAAATTAAGGGTTAATAACCCTTATCACTTAGGGGTATGAAAATTAGATAGTAGCCGATTCTCAAACATATCTTCTCAATTCTCTGCTCTCTCAAAAAGCTGTTTCAGAGTACGGTAACTAACATTATGCCATCAAAATTTTATATATTATATATAATAGATATACACAAACGGAGCCATGTTAAAGAAAAGGTAGAAATAGCACCAAACGATCATAAACAGACATTTTTTTAATTCATTCCACAAATATTACTTATATGTAATATCATCACATTTATCTATAAAATCAGTGATCTTTCACGATTCAAAAGTCATAAAACTAAACATAGTTTAACTATCCAACTTAAAATATCGACAACAAATTAATTTATGCATTTTATGGATCGTTAAAATTAATATGCTCAATATAAAGAGTGATAATTACAATCTCTTATACATTAAGATGTTAAAAAAAGGTTTGGTTTGTACGTGATCCAGTTGAAGACGTTGGAAATAGATCGTTCTGTTTATTGATAACAGTTACATCTGGATGTACTCATTGTTTCAAAGCTCCAGCACGTACGGCGGGTATAACGAGATTATCATTCTCCAGAAATGAAATCACAGGGGCGGAATCAGACGTTCGTTATAAGTACTGGAGAATTTATATATTTGATTGTGATATAATAACATATGAACCGAATATGTTACGTAATGACAAATTAAATAGAGATTTGATTTGATTTGACTGATAAATTATTTTATGAAAGAAAGGGCGTAAATTAAGCATAGAAAGGAAAAAAATTAAATTGGTCATATGAATGTTTTTGCTGTCATATTGATTTTTCCAACGTGTATACTAAAAGTAAGTTCTTAAATCTTGTCTTTCGTGTGAATAACAATAAATATTAAAATGTAAACCAAACAAACGGAAGGCATTGACTCGTCGACGACAAATACTGTGAAAAACAACGAATATAAATTGAGACGTCCCCACAGATGGCACCATGACATGCAATTAATCTCGATGCCAAAAGCTCAAAATATATGTCTTAAATTTCTTTTTAAATAGTAAAAAATGTTTGTGGTTCTTTGTCATTTGTTTAGTTGTGTTAGAAACGCGATCGCCGCAGGTCACATCGGGTCCCAGCCAGCAGATATAAACACCAACCATGATCTCCAGTTCTGAAGGCACCAACTTGGTGGCGACCTACATGATACTGCTCACGCTACTGATATCATTGTGGCTTCTCTACTCAGCTTTCTAAATGTCGGTATGTAATGCTTTCTCTCTACGTATTTTTTTATTTAACAGGAAAAAAGCATTTTACTTCAAGCTAGCACAAGAAAAACTAGTACCATCTTTATGTAGTTGTCATTTACGTAAGAAAGAATTTAAGACTGCATCATTTTTACGTAGGCGGGTCATTTTGTTGTCTTTGATGTTAGAAATGATGAGGCGATGCAAAAAAAATCAAAGAAAACGATGAAACTAAAAACTGAGATCGAATTAATCAACGTTCTTTCGTGAATAATAGATGCTTTTAAAAAGATTTCATAGGTTCAAAAAGTTTAAAGATGGTATGAATTTTAGTATCTAAGTTAAATAATAAACTAATCAATATCATAGTTACTAATAAATCATGTAATTCGTTTAACATCCTTGCCCCGAGTCCGTCCCTGGTGCGTCAGTGGCTGGTGGCGGGCTAGGATCCGTCGGTCAGTCCTCAGGCCGCCACCATGCCGATCAACGCGGAGACGGTCAACCTCGCCGCGACCTACATGATCCTCGTCATCCTCCTCTTCTTCCTCTGGCTGCTCTACTCCGCGGTCTTTTAGTGCTGAAGTGAGTGGTGTCACCGTCAGTGCAAGCTTATCTTTTTTATATTGGGTCCAAACTGCCTTTATTTATGTCCATATTAATCTGCAACCCTTTCAAGGTGGATGTTCTTCATCTAAGCTCGTCACTGAACCTTCACCCAGCCTCCTGTCTCCAGATCGTGTTCGTTCAGTTTGTTGTCGTTGTTATCACCGTCCTTCCATGTCGCGACAGTTCTATAATTACATATATATTTATAAATTCGTATTCGTCGTGAGATAGGGGCGTGGTGGCGCTCGGGACAGTTTCTTGTCGCCAGTTTTCTGGAGCCGCTTGTCCAGTGAGCGCGTCCGAGATGCCGAACCACGAGACCACTAGTCTCATCGCCACTTACCTCATCCTGGTGCTGCTCCTCGCCAGTCTCTGGCTGCTCTACTCCGGAATGTTCTGAGGCGCTACTGTTCAAGGTCCCATAATATTTCGTCATATTAACCATTAATCTACGACTCCATTACCATTACCCTATTTTACTAATGATAGTTTAACACACCTGATGATTGATTCTAAATATGTCAAATAAATCTACATGTCCCCATTCTTCATAGTCATTCGTTTTCATCCCAAACGCTTCGTCGAACATTTGTCAGCGACCGACTCGTCAACTATTCGGTATCTTCAATGATGGCCATATATTTTGTTACTAACATTTTTCCCTTAAGATGGTTATTAAAAGAAATAAAACAAAAAAAAATAAGTTCATATCTTAAGACCATAATTCTAAGAGGTAATTAAGTATTTATATGACGTCTGTTTTTTTTAACTAACACATTTTTATCTACTTGCATAAATACATTTTTTGTTGTAATCTTTATAATCATATTCCATTTTAAATTTAATTTCAGAATTGCGTTAAATATTTACAGTTTAACAATTTCAGTTTCACGCCAAATCTGTTTACACCTAAAATGTATTAACGCCGTGTTTTTTTTTCATTCCAAATCTATCATTTCCATGTAACGTCGACTATCATTGAAGAGGACACTGAATATAAGTCAGAATCTCCGCAACTATAAATGATCACGTTTGCTTCTCAAAGCACATGTCTAAAATTACTCGCCGAATTGCATTACAAACTTAAAAAATACCTGTATAGCTTTTATATAATTTTTCACGAGCAAAATACATAACAATTTTTCTATTATTATTTTAATAAAACAATAACTCACTCCTTTGAAGGATTAGGTCGTTTTCTATTATTTAAGAGAGAGAAAAAAATGTTTCTTTTTTAGAACTTTTTTACTAATCATTCAGTTTTCATGTTTTTGTCTTCACTACGGAACGTATATCGGTAGAAAATTATGTTATACTCTTTATTAATCAATGCCATTGATTAGAAATACGCTAACGGTTCATCTGTCTCTAGTCACTACGCTGCTATAATTAAAATTTCCTTTGTAGTTTCTCGTTCCTGACCTTTATCTCGTCTCCGCTGAAGTAAAAATAAACAAATAACGAAGTTCAAAGCAACTTGGACTTATTCGTTGATATATTTCACATGTTGTAGTTCGTTTAATGTCTCGGCCAAAACTAAAAAATACTAAATACATTTTTCTCTGCAATCAATCATCCGTCATTTTTTCCACATATTGACGAGTGTCCGTCTACATACGAGCTGGGAAACAAAATATTTTTCGCTTCAAATTTACAACATGACTAATTCTGACAGACATTTTAAATTATACGTATAATTGATTGTTAAAAGAAGCACCTTCATATGATTATCTTCTGGTTGCACAATTTTATTTTCGAGATATTTTTATTTCGATTTTATGAAAAAAGCACTTGTTCGTCATAAACAATTTGCTGTTGACGTAGGAGTTGTATATTTTTGTGAAGGCGTCATATTTCAACAATTCTGTGGTCTGTCCACGCAAATAGTTGCAGATATTTATAAACGAAATCCTCGGCGACATCTGGAGCTTTCCTTTTTATTTGATATTTTATTTCACAAAATTCAAAGTTGTTTATATTCAGGCGTAACTTTGAATTTATTATTTCTATGTCACTTTAAAAATAAACAGTGACATCAGTGACTTCGTGAAATCAATAATTTGACTAAAACGTTTTCAATTCAACATGTTATTTGTATAAATATTAATTTTATTATAAATATTATTGATGTCAGCGTTAATAATATTATTATTTCTTTTTCAGATGTTCCCAAAACAATACATCAAAAGAGACCAATGACATTTAGCAAAATGGCGGAAAGAAAAACGCTATAAAATTAAATAATTATAGAAACCGTAATTTTAGTATTTAAGCTATTTTAAGAAATGTCGTTATACACCCAAGCATTTATAAAAACCTTCGGATTATCCGGTGTAAGCTCAATGCAAATACAAATATTTAGGGCGTCGTGGAATAAACCAACAAAGTCAGTGCCGGGCATTCCAAATGTAACTAAAAAAAGTTTAAAGACAACAATTTCTCGTCAACATGACAGCCGTACGTAGGTTATTGTGTGCTATTCATCTTTGAATGTTATCGTTATGAACTAAGTGAAATTTGTAATAAACTTGTTTTTATTGAACATTTTCTTTTGTTTCACAAAATCCCCCATTGATTATAATTTAAACAAAAGAGCTTTTCAGATTAGATTAATTGAACGTTACCCAAATAACGAAAGATGAATGCCCGCAATAAATAAGAGGCTATAAAAATACATGGAAGTCTTCAAGTACATTCCACGCGGGCATCAGTTTGATATATAATGTACTTAATACTTTATAGAAATTAAAAGCGAAAATAGCCCGAATAAAACTGGACTCTGGTCAGATGGTATGGTATGGTTAACGGTAAACCGAAATAGATTTGTTTGGAACCTTGCCAATAAGTAATTCACATCTGTATGCAGGAGGCCAGTCCTCAATGAACACAGGTCACAGTGATACAATACTTTCACGCAGCTCGTTCCAAAACAATTAGTCACTGTATAATTGTTCGCCTACTATTATTAATGGACGTAAATTTGAACCATCAGTTATTTAGTTGTAATCTTGTTGCATTAAGAGATTTATGGTGTCAAACATTTATTTATTAATAGTATTAGTAAATAAAGAGGTCAATTTTCATTACGTCTCTTCTGACTTTTGAATTTGTCGACGCTTTCCTGAGAGGATGTTGATTCTTTGATGTTGAGAGGCGTGTCGCTGTCGAAGGTTTTTGAATTACGTTCATCAATACTCTGGTCCCTGATCGGTTTGAGTTCACGTGTTTCTGTGGACGGTGAAGCACCTTCCTTCTCTTGATACCACACATGAGGCTTCCTCCTCTTCAAGCCGGATGTACCAGCTAAGTCTGTTTTATAACTTTCTTTCGGATCCATAGAGTTTGAGCCGTGTTTGGATTCAATATAATCTTCAACGCTCTTGAAATCGTCTTGATATGTCTTTTCTTCTTTTTTGGTCACATCCTCTGCGCTTCCCTCTGCTTTCGTTTCGTCATATAGTATTGTATCTTTTTCAACCTCAAGATTGATCGCGTTGTCGTCGTCTAAAGAGCGACTTCGTATGTTCGTGGGCCATTCGATGTCAAGTTCTTCAAAGTCTGCTTCTTGCATCGCTTTTCCTTGACCAATATCAGAATGTATGATGGGTGGTGTGTCGACTCTTAGGGATTTGTCATAACTTGGTTGTAGTTTAATTTTGAAGCTTTTGTCACTGTGATCATCACCTTGGTTGACCGGAGGAGAAGGTGGAGGAGCGTCGGAATCATCCGATTTGTAAATCGTACTTTTACTTAGAGGGAAATGTGCCAGTAAATATTTTAAATCATTAAGATGTAAACTTAAAATTTGTGATTTCATAACCGTTTTATATGATTTAGTATAAGGTAAGTCCTGCTCCAGACCCTGCAACTGAGATGAAAAATACATGTACAGACATATATACAACTGTATTATTTTACTTTTATATGTGAAACATATGAATACCTCTCCAAAACAATCTCCAGGGTGATAAGATTTAACAATATTAGAAGTTTTTGAAGTTTCTAACACCTTCCCCAAATGAACGAAGTACATGGAATTTGTAATTTCGTCTTCCTTTACAACGTACATATCTAAAATATTAAAAATATAATTTTATTCCCATTAAAATCGCTTTAAGTTTAAGTTAGTACATTTCATACCTTCGTTGTAACTATACAATTGCAAAAAACCAACGAGCTGACGTAGGAACGCCGGTTCACAAGCTTTAAATACATCCTTCTGTAAATTCAAATCATTATTGAAACAATATAGCAAATAAAAATATGACGAATATTAAATTTAATGTATAAATGAACCTCAGTCAAGTGTTTTAAATAAGCAGCGCCCATGACTTGCAGCTTCAGACAGTCGGGAGCCGTCTTCAACAAGTACGGGATCTGCAGACCTCGTGACTCACGCCACAAGTGAAGACAGTACTTGTTTACTATTGCCACAAGATTCTTCGATACGCGATTGTTTTTAAGAAACTCCTACAAGCATAACATTGTTCTACAGATTTAATTTCACAAAACTTGCTGGTCTATCTTGTCTTAAACAAAACAAAAATATATTTTTGACATATTTTCAAAACAAACACGTTCTCTTTAGCCAATCGTAAAATTTTGTAAGCAGCTTTTTTAATTTTTGCTACATATCTCTACACTCTATTCCGAATCTAATGAAACCTCAGTCATATTTATCGAAGACAGAATTTTATTTTAAAACTATTTTACTACTAGGTACTTACTACTATCAGAATTGTATTTTAAAACTATTTTCAGTTTCCATGGACATTGTCATGAATTTTCATATAAAAGTATGAATACATCTATTGTTCCTTTGGGCTAATAAGATATCGAATAAAACGAAACTACGAAACTAATAATACTACATGTTGAAGTTACATTTATTCGACGTTTAGTAAACCTTCAGTGATGACGTATTTTTTGAACTTAAGTAAACTAATATTGTGAGTGTGCGTCAAACTTGCGAATTTCTCTGTAATTCTATTAGAGTTACCGCTGAAATACCATAGTAATTTCCGTTTTACAATATAGTTTGGTTTAGGTATTGTTATAATATATACAGTTAATATTTAGATACAAAATATTTCCTTTTCAAATGTTATGTCACCATAATAGAATTTATTACTCATCAATTTATTTTCGTCGAAATGCTATGTCACCCACGCTCATTATTATCAGCAAAGTAAAGCTAACTATTGTCATAAAAGACGACAGTTATAAAATATTCAAAACAAGAAAATGAACTCCTTTTTCCTATTAATAATAAGAAGTTTTCTCAATTGTTTCATATAACGTAGTCATATTTTAAATGAAACTAATATTTTTGGATGCACTACGCGATATTACTTTTGATAAAAACTACATATTCCCGACATTTCGATTGCTGTTAAGTATATATTAGTTTCATTTAAATGAATACTCGCGAAAATCTTAGATCTTAATGTAGTCATATTTTCTTTGTTTTTTAAGCGACCTCCATTTTTCTTGTTTGATCTATTTCATACGAGTTTAGTTATTATTCTATGAAGAAATTAATGTTTACATGATGATGACGTCATACAGCTCAATCTTAAAGATTCAGAGATAAAGATTGTGCCAATTCGTGATTAGTTTTTATTTATCTTTGGTCTATTTATATACTATTAATAAAATTAGTATATTTACTTACTAAATGTGAAGCTTCAAACAAAATAATATGTTCAAAATAAACCTTAGACTATTAATATTCATGAGCAATCATAAAGCGGATATCTGGTAATGAAAACTATTAAACTCTGTATAATAATCAAAACAAGTGATTCATAAAAGATTAATGTAAACACTTCAATTTTATTGTACAACCGAATGGCGTGTTTGAAGATTTGACAGGAGATGAAATAATATATACACAAAATTACATACTCTTTCCTGTATGTTTTTTATTAACATATCAATTATTTAAGACATCTCTACTAATATTATAAATGCGAAAGTAACTCTGTCTGTCCGTCTGTTACGCTTTCACGCCTAAACCACTGAACTGATTTTAATGAAATTTGGTACAGAGATAGAGTTGACCTTGAGAAGGAACATACATAGGATAGTTTTTATCCCAGACTTCTGAAAGGTTCTCTTGGAAACGCGATACATCCGAACTCCACGCGGGCGAAGCTGCGGTCGGAAAGCTAGTATGATGTAATGAAAAATGAATGATCATACATTTAGTTAACCACATACCTGCAGTTGTAAGTAATTGGCGTAAAAGTTAAAGGATCTGTAAGAATTGTACTGGATTATGTTAGAGAGTTCCCCGACGTACACCATACACATCATGGTGGAAATGATTTGGAAACCCGACACAAAGAGCACCTGGCAATAATAATTACGTTTATTGAAAATGATTTTCGAGACTTTCTGATGTACTGTGTATGTAATTTAAGTTATGTTTGTGAAATTATAATAGAATAAATACGGTTCTTTCTTTTTACATCGAATGCCAAAAGTCAGTCATATGTTTTACAAACTATTATCTCTTTATATTAATTACTATTAAAACAAAACAATTTCAAGACGATTTAAAAATTATTCCAGAGACCAAAAAAGTGTTTATGTTCTTATGAAAATTAGCACTCCGCATTACATAAATGAGTACATAAACAAAATACGATTTCTTTGAGAGTTTGGTATAAATTATTTCGTGTGTATGTTATAGATAATACCTCAGACTGTTTCTTCGGCAGTATATCTCCAACACCGGTTTGTGTGAAGGTTGTCAATATAAAATAAAGTGAACAGATGTAGTTGTTGTTACACCACGACACACCATCCTCTAAATCACGAGAAACAGATTGATATATACTTATTTTTACCATCTAACATCTACACTAAAACATTTCGCTAACCGCCATAGCTCCATGAGGATTTCGCAGCGGCGTTTTCTTCAAGGGTTCCGATGAAGAACCAAAGACTGACCGAGCCGTGGATGAAGACGGTGAACCAGATCAGGACGCTGACCGTCGTCGATAAGGTCAGGTTACCAGATATACGCTCATGGTGATGGTTCAGACATTTATATAGAGTTACCTTAAAACAATTCCTCCAACATTGGCCAAAAAAAACATCTCAAAAATACTTCAGAATACATCGGATACACGTAATACATTCAGAACATTAATATAAGATAACAGGAAACTGAAATAACAAGCACTTACGATCCGAAATAATCTGTTCAAACGCAGCCAAGAAAAGACCATCCCGCGATTGTTTTTGCACAACAAACACAGGAGTTCTATTGGCACGAACGATATTAAATCATATTTGAATTCTTGTTTGAAATAACTGAAAATACATCGACTATTATAAGAAAGGCGGGAGTTTTATAGTCAGTATCGTTTATTACATATTTTTCTATCAGACCTACATATATTTGTGATTCATGTTTTTATGTTATCGAAAAATTTTACGTATTTTTTTGTTTAAGAAAACTTACTAGGACGCAAATTCTTTGAACAAAAGACTATTCTTTTTATACATGATATTATATTAGTATGAATCCAGTAGTCTAGACTTAGTTTACATTAAAATTTTACTCGCATTCTCAATAATTTGGTACTTGTACCAAAAGTGAAAAACATTTTAAATCAGTAAATCAAAATTATAAAGACATACAAACAATCCTCAAGAACTCCTTAAAAATATATATTGATTCTGATTTATCCAAAACTATAGGAAATTCTGCAATTATCTCAAACATGATGATGTAATGCATGTCTTAATTGTTCAAATACACCTATATTTCCTAAATAATAAGAGACAAATGAAGAACTATTATCAGTACTCACAGAAGTCGTACTTTCATGAAAGTCCTCACCGCCACGTCATCAACGTCGATCATTTGCGGTATGAAGTACTGTAACACGAACTTCCACATGAAACAGAAGTCCAACAGGTACAAGGCCATGATGAGCAAGGGTCTGTTGTCTTGGAAGCCGGCGTTGTAAATGTCAGCGTAGATGCACGCCAGGGAGATGATGATGAGGTACATCCTGGCTATGGACTGCCTGACGTGGAGGAAACTGAAGTATCTCCTTTGGCTGGTCGGCACGGAGGAGGTAGCGAGACTTAAGTTAGCTTTTGTTCTCGGTATGATAGTTTCAACGCCGACAATGTAGCTCTATTGAACAAAGATTCCTTCTATATACGGCATTATTATTACCATCATCCCTACTAATATTATAAATGCGAAAGTAACTCTGTCTGTCTGTCTGTCTGTCTGTCTGCTACGCTTTCACGCCTAAACCACTGAACTGATTTTAATGAAATTCGGTACAGAGATAGAGTTGACCTTGAGAAAGAACATAGGATAGTTTTTATCCCAGACTTTTGAAAGGTTCTCTTGGAAACGCGATATAACCGAACTCCACGCGGCGAAGCTGCGGGCGGAAAGCTAGTACTTAATATATGATTTATGATGAGGAGCCTAAAAGGGTTTTAACGCCTGCGTACAAGTACATGAGACTGTCAATGACAAATTCAATTCATTACTAATATTATAAATGAGATAGTAACTCTGTCTGTCTGTCTGTTACACTTTCACGCCTAAACCATTGAACTGATTTTAAGGAAATTAGGTACTGAGACAGAGTTGACCTTGAGAAAGAACGTAGAATAGTTTTGATTCCAGACTTTTGAAAGGTTCTCTTGAAAAAGCGATATAACCGAACTCCACGCAAGCGAAGCTGCGGGCTGAAAGCTAGTATATATTATAGACACATTGTTTTCAGTAAAATATATATTGTATAGTGCACCTCATTATTCGGTCGATACATTTCCAGCAGTTCATCTACAGTGGGAAAATCGGCGATGATGCTGAAGAAGGTCTGCGCGTTGATATGAAGCAGACGGACGTCCTCGTGAGACTTCACGATGTCCGGACACCGGAACGTGTTGCGAGAGGTTAGGTTACCGAACATACTGTCACAAACAACAACTTTTTGATATGAAGAGTATCAATTATCAAACAAATAATTCCAATAGCTCATGTTTACTTTATAAAGATCTATTTTTGCATGTCATAATCATACTTAAATTGGCTTTTCTATGTATATGTATAAATAACTTAAACTTTTGCCAAGGAAATAGTAGTTAGAACAAATTAACATCGCCAAATAACCATCTACCGACCTGCCCTTTTCCAGTGTAACGCTCGTTTCAGTCTTGTGTTCTTCAAGGTCTACAGAGCCGAGGTCAACGAAGAAAATATCCGAAATAACGTCCTCCTTTTCAATTATTGTTGTATTTTTTAGAAAGTATGTAGTTCTGACAGCGCGACCAATAAGACGTAGGAGGGACACGTCACATTTATTCAAAATAGGGCACTGTAAGTTAATTAGTTTATATAACATTTGTTATTCTATTAATAATACTAAAATGACTGTTACGTATAAGAACCATTGTAAATGTTTGTCCGTAGATCTGCAGAATGGTGTCAGTTCTTAACGTAATCTGTTGACACATCTTGAGAACGTTTCGGTAATCGATACCTCCCATACGCTCCCAGTTGTATTGATAGTGCGCTAGAACTTGTCTGGAGCATACAAGTCACTCATTAGTATTGAAATATTTGGGGTTATATTAAATACAATCTAAAGTAAATTACTTTTGTAGATTAGAATCCAGTTTCTCTCTTCTCATGAAAGCCGATAAATCAATCATATTCTCTTGAAACGCTGCAAGATCTTTATTAACGTTCGCCCTTATGCTTATAATTCTGACAGAGAAGTACGTCGTTATAAGTGCTCCTAAAAAATATATAAAATATATATACCTAGCTATAATTGCATGTATTAAAAGTATTGTCAGTATACCGATCATCATCCCGGCTATGAGGACCCTTATGATATTGAAGTTGGTAGGTTTAAAGTTGCTGTAGCCCGTGGTAGTGGTTTCGTACACCACCCAGAAGTACGAACCCAGGTGCAAGTTCCATGGTGACTCAGTTACATTAAATCGATCTTTAAATTTATGTATTATTAATAACAATTATCACTAAAGCATTTTCATTGAGATCAGTAAGAAATAAAATTTACATGCTGTTCTAAATAAGTGTAACCACGAACCCCCCGGATCGGGTAAAGGAATTATGAACCATTCGTTCGTCTCCACTGTGTAGTAAATATTGACGGAGGAGTATACAAGGAAGCTGGTGAGCACGTTGAGCAAGGCCAGGAATAACGGAAGGGATTTAATTCTGTTACAAACATCATTAAGAATTAGTAGTCTTTGAAACTTTTTATACTTATCTTTATTTATATAAAAAAATATATATCATATTTGTAATCTCCGTTCCTACACTATATTTTCACTACAATCTTTGTTAGCAGTCAATAGTCTGCTTTCACTTCATGGAGTGGAATACATATGAAGCAGTAGTTATAAGTATATTTTTATTTAATGTTCAAATATATTTATATAAAAAATTTGCTATAAAACAGTCCATACTAATTCTCGACTTGATTTTTTAACAACGGAATTATTTAAAGTAACATAACTATAAAAAGATTATGTTTCCACAATGATAACAATTTTTGGACTACGCAATTTAAAGATTAACAGATCAAAAGAAAAGCATTAGGCTGGATTAAAACATGAAGGATCGAAGAATAACATATACCATAAGTAATACAGAAAACCCATCGTTCAGATATCATTGTAATCAAGTAAAGTTCAATTTGCAACCTTTATCATCGAATACTGTACGAACACTAAGAGTATATCTCTTCGTATAAAGGAGGCAAGCCCGAGCTGTGCAGCCGGCGTGCGGTACAGCTGCAGCAGACGGTTCAACATCAGGAACTGCCTAGTGGGAGTCTCGCGGTATCTGTTCTCTAAAATTAGGAAAGAAAGTTTTAACAAACATTTATAGGACATGGTAAACGAGCTCGTAAAAAGAACTTACGATAGGACTGCTTCCACGAAGACTCGAGCCTTTCTAAAGGCAGGCACCCAAAGAGGTCAATGAAAAACGCTCCTTTAACATAGTGAGCAGCGGTGCTGGACGGGTGGTATATTAATATCCCGTCGTCATTATAATAACCAACGAGCATTCTCTGTAAACTGGAAACGAATTTAACATATAGTGACTTATGAGAAAACGATTAAACTGAATCACCTCAATAATGTCACTTACATATCAAAGTATGCAGACAAATCAAGAAGCCAGGCGACTAAATTAAGCCAAGGAAACTGGAGCACGAGGTAGGTGTATGGAGGAAACACGAGCGCGGAGAGAAGGGCAGAGGTCGCTCGGATCCACTCGTAACGAACGAGATAACGACCATCGGGACGGAGAGTGAAACGAGGGAAGATGTACCTACGACGAGATAAACACGATCAGGGAGATATTGACTACAAGTACTTGTAAACTAAATGAAACTAATATTTTCGGATTTGACTTCGCGTTTTAATTTTGATTACAAACTACATACTCCCGACGTTTCGGCTACTTTTCAGCAACCGTGATCACGGGCAGACGAGATGTGATCACGGTTGCTGAAATATTAGTTTCATTTAAATGAGTACTCGCGAAAATCTTAGATCTCATTACTTGTAAACTAGTTATCACGGTACAGATTTCGGTTTCAGGTAGCAGCTTAAGTAACTTTTTTTACCCTGCACGGAAAAATCCTTTGAGATTTCGTACCTAAGGAATGAAAGTAATCCCAATCTGTCGAATGGATGTAGAAAAGCGTAGTCTTTCTCGTACTTTCTTGGCAAACGGAATCTTTCCATATTCGGAGGAGGATCTGGAGGTCGGTAGGACGTGAAGGGTGCGCGACGGATTTGAAGACGATGGTATTCCTAAGGACATGATACAGTTTTATATACTGTTGATACAGTTTTTATAGACAGCTGAACTATTGCTTTTTATGTACATTATTTTACAAATACATCGATCTTTATAGTATGGACAGAATAATTCAGTGAAAAAATGAATATCTTAATAGGTATGTATAATTATTTTTTTTGTGAACAGTCAATTATCAGATAATATTAACCGGTCGCTCCTTTGAGAAGTCTATAGCATCTCTTATTTGCGGTACTTCTATGGCGTTGATCAAATGTTTCCGTGATATTTTAAACATTTCCACGTTTGTCACAGCACGCACAGTATAAAATGCCGGAATTCCTAAGAGAAAGACAAATTACCTTTCACAAAACGCAGTAGGTATATATACTAACTACATCAATCGATTACTGTTTAATGATTTAAATGATCAAATAAGTCAGTGGTGGCCTAGTGGTTAAAAAAACCCGGCTCTCATGCATGACGACGCGGGTTCGATCCTGGCCCTGGCAAGTACCAACGTGATTTTTCCGAGTCATATGTACTTTCTGAGAGTATTTAGACATTAGTGATTAATGAATGTATTCATTCCAAAGAGGGTTGATGTCAGGCTGGCGGCCGGTCGTAAAAACAATTAGCCAAAACTATTAACAAACATGTAAGGCAGACCCTGGCTAAAGCTGGGAAATTGCCAGGTAGAAGAAGATTTAAATGATCAAACGTATCCTTACTTAGTAGACATTCAAGCACTCCGAAGTGGCATCTGGCACCGAGTTCTGCAACGACTCCTTTAGTATCAGGACTCAAAATCTGTATCAAAGAAATGTGCCTTAAAATCTTTATATATGAAAGAAAGTTATGTTAGTTACAAGATTTATAACTGAATAGAGGCTGGACAGGTTTAGCTTAAAATTGGTGGAGAAATAGTTTAGAATAAGGGAAACTACACATGTAATTTTTCATCCGATTAGAAAAGAACAAAGAAATAGTTGTTCAAATCCGAAATCTTTTTTGGTGCTCCATACTGTTTTGAAGGCAGAATATAGTTCGCCCTGTCAGCTATACATTTCTTATTCTCAAATTAACGCAGACAAGGTCGGGGTCAAAGCTAATTATATATAAAAATGACGTTTTAATTCTGTGAGAGTAATATATACTGTACATACCTCACATATCCCTCTCGTGATAACATATATCTCGTTACACATGTCCCCCGTGTTCAGTAATATTTCATTAGGGGCTGTACAGAACAGTCTCGCTTTAGAAGATATTGTCTTCAAGTCTTCTTTATGAAGCCACTACGAGTACATACATTATATACAAAAAGCTTGTTAATATTAATCATCAGTCAGCCTTATTTTATCTTCTTCGTTAGTACTAAATACGTTTCCAGAACACAAACTATTCACTGTCAAAAATGAAGTTGTTAACGACACTTGTTTTAAGGTGAGTGAATTAATACGATTTTTTAAATACGATATTTATTAAAAAAAACATTCAAAATATACTTTTTCTAAATATTTTGTTACAATATTCCATATATTTGATAAACATTAGTTTTCTTATAATCAATATTTATTGAAGTATAATTATTATCATTAAGTCAGTTTCATACTAGGTGCGTCTATCGTGTATACTAAACACATTGTATTAATATAATATAAATATGTGAACTCGATTTGATTTGCTGAAAGTAAACATTGATTTTTAATATAAATAATTTAAATTAAAAATATCTTTGACTATATAAAATACGGTATTTGCTAAGATAAATTATAAGTGTTTTTTGAAACTTAGTTATAATAATTATGGTAATTTCTTTATGTGATATAGAAAATATCCCCTTATAAAAGTATTCAGTTCACTGAGTTATTCAACAAAATCAGTTTTTTAGTTACCTTCATGAACGGCAAACTCAGTACATACTTGCTCCTCTGTCTTGAAACTATGTCTTGATACACGTGCGGCGGCAGATCGTAGAATATTGAGCTCTCGTTATTCGTAATTGAATACGCCTTCACAAGAATTTCATATTATAAAGGTGTTTGAATTAAAAATCAATATCTATTTGGATATCTCATACCTTGTCCGTGAACCAACACAGCTGTAAGTACTCGACGAATCTTTGTCTTAACACTGGGTCGATATCTTTTCTCAGAAGGAACTTTGTAACCATTTCTATGGATGCGTCATAATCCTCTCTAAAATGTTAAATATATTATGTCCTCCATATTTTTGCTGTTGTCCTTCTATAGTTTTTTTAAATAAGTAAAGTTTTTACTAACCTCAAAGCAGATGTGACCATTATTGTAGCGGAGTAGACAGCTTCAATAAATATGTACAAGATGACACAAATTTCTAATACTATAAGCGTATAAAGGACGTGTCTCCAGTTATCGATTCCCCAGGTCTCCATATGAGCTAGAAAACAATGCTTTTACAAACTCTAAAACTAAACTCAATTGTAATTTAAAACAGATTAATGTCAAGATCTATTTATCTCTCCACACAAACTCCTCGTACCAGTAAAAGTTATTACAGATATGGCCCAATAGAGTCCAAACGTCAACCGGTGGGGCACAGTTTCTGTATCAAGCGGCTGTTTCTCCCAGTATGGACTATGTGTGAAATTCGTCACTAAACAATATCCAAACCTAAAATGTTATGTCACTTTATAAAGAAGTATTATCTATATAAATCATACACAAAGAACCTACTGGAAGCACATAAATCCTTGTTGAAGAGCAGCAAGCAGATAACAGGCGGAAAGCAACAACAACGCGTAAGAACAGAATCTAACAATGTTGCTGTGATACACACATTCTTCCTCAACAATTTTCAGCACACGAAACACCTAGAAATAAAGATAATGACTGAAATAATTTTAAAATCAGACTTATTATAAAATTTATTTAAATCATATGAGTTCTTGCGATGTTTAAAACATTCGGCAATATTAATAATAAACAGGTTCTTATTGTTAACTTTTATCTTTAGTGATTATTTGCTATATATTACTGTCAACGCCTATTTTGCTCCTGTAGGACCTTAGAATATTTAAAAACCTTCGGTAATCTGAGTAGTTTGTTGAGACCAGCGAAGTGTCCATCACCAACAAACTCCAAGAGCGGCAACGTCGCGATGACATCCAGAACGAACAACTTGCTCTGCGCTTGTTGAGAGGAGGTCTGCGCTAGAGTTATTGGAACACCTACACATTGAAATAATAACACTTTATATATTTTTTACATGCCATAGTTCATGTTTTTTTGGTTAAAACGTCTCTTTTTGATTCCCAAAGAGGGTTGACGTCAGGCAGGCGGCCGGTCGTAAAACAATTAGCCAAAACTATCTACAACAAGTTCTGTGGAAGAGAAAAACATGCTATGCCGACCGTACATACAGTGGGACCAGGGCAGGAAAAAGAGAGACGAAATAGATTTAAAAAAAAAATCAGACCTTTCTTCGTTGTAATTCGTAAACAAAATCAAAAATAAATGTAAATCACCATCTTCAACATTGGCGCCAGTAGACAGGTGCACCACCAAATCCAGAATGTAGATGAAGGTCACCACGTAGTCATAGAATCTAAACTCGATCGGAACAGTTTTTTTGTAAACTAAGAAATACGGATGAGTCTGGAAATATAACAAGTTTGACATGAAAATAAGATACTGATAAAAAAAAAATAGGAAGTATAGCTTTAGTTGATTTCTTAGATTTTAGTGTATAGTCAATAATGACACAAATTACTGGCATAACATGATTCAAGTTAAGACGTGCAACAAAACTGACAATTTTCTATCAACAATGTACCTAATCTTTATCAGAAAAAAATTCTTAAAACTTGTAACCAAATTATTTCAAAGTAATTTCTTTTCTATATAACTTCACATTCACATTCTTTTCTGGAGTTATTAATGTCACTACGACAAAGAGGTTCTACATCCCTAGCAGGTACATGAGTGGAGTATAAGATAGTAATCACTAACGATGCAGACGGTGATGATGACCGTGGTGACGAACACGTTCCAGGCCACTTGGAGTGACGAGCGAGGCTGGAGGATGCAGGGGAACGTGGGCCGGAGACATATGGCGTCCGCCTCGTCTGTCAGGGACGCGTCAGCTCGCTACGGAGTATATGTTATGGGACAAGTGATTAAAGCGGACAGTATGAATAATGCCCAGTCATATTGGAACGAGTGATTGAGTTCAAAGTAGAACATTTATCACATTTCCCGGGTAATATGGCTAATGACCGATTTATAACTTGTACATACATATTGTTCAGATTAAAAACAATTAATTAGACAGTGTGAATAATTTAGCATATACTATAAGGAAATATTATTAGTTAATGCGATCAATAAGAGAATAATTATTTAAATGATTTCAGACGCATGAAAAATCTGTCCTATCAGTTTGTTGGTTATTGAAAATAGATGTCCAGAAGAAGAAATTGCTTCCCTTCTTCATACAACCGCGTCTGTGAGTTAATTTCCCATACACTTACATTCCTCATAACATAACAACCCGCTATTTCTATCATAACATCAGTTTCAGCCAGGAGCAGGTTACCAGCGGCGTCTCTCGATTCTTTCAAATCCATCAGGTTCCGTTTGAAGTGTAAAATACTACTTTTATGTCTGAAAACAATTGTTCCTATATATCAAAATAACGATTAAACTTGCCCGATACTGAAGAGCTCTAAACTTACTTTACTTCTCCACGATCTCGCATATAGAAATGTCTCTTAACTTTTTCAAAATGTTCCTAAAAACAAAGATAAACAAGGCTTATGGTACAATTTGCAACAGCAACAGCAATGATAAGGCTAGAGAGATTTACACATTTTCGATAATTACATTGACAAAAAATGATTCTCATTTATAACCTGTCGAAATATGTTTAAGACTCAACAAATAAATTCTAACATAATGTACTAACATTGAACGCATTCAATATCTTGTTCCCCTGTCCGCTCCTCCGTCCGTATTTAAGGACGGTCCTCCATATCTGCGCGGCGTCTAGGACATGCGCGGTACAGAAGGTAGCTGCGCGTATCTGAACGTGCGCGCGCCCACAGCACGCCGGCACGCCCGCGCACGACGAAACTGCCGTGCCACGAATCATACGCAACACGGCTGTAGTGTCGTCTTCGGCAGTCAGCATCTAATCACCACATCTTAATACAATACACTGACCACGATTTTGTTTGTGACTCAATGTAGGTATTATGTAGCTTTCCGCCCGCAGCTTCGCTTATATGGAGTTCGGTTATATCGCGTTTCCAAGAGAACCTTTCAAAAGTCTGGGATAAAAACTATCCTACGTTCTTTCTCAAGGTCAAGTCCATCTCTGTACCAAATTTCATTAAAATCAGTTCAGTGGTTTAGGCGTGAAAGCGTAACAGACAGACAGAAGCCAGAGTTACTTTCGAATTTATATGTAATATTAGTAGGGCTTCACATTTACCTAATGTCACAATATAGGTGATTTTTTTCATACTCTACATACTATCTCTATACCATTGTTATATGACTTAATTTTTGGTTGAGTGAAATCCTCTAAGTGACACAGTTGCGAAAACAGAGCTTTACCAAAAAAAATCCAAAGTAATGACGGTATTTTTACAAATCTAGCCATTAGTAAGCATCTATTTATTTATCTTCATTTACAAATTTATAAAATCAACCTACTTCTATATCTCCGTAAGTAATATATATAATCGAAGACTTTCTGTTATTCCGTCTTATGATCTGATCTCCAGGGATGTAGTGTATCGTCTCCGTCTTCTTCGCGAGCTCCGAAAGGAACTGATAGGAAAGGTCTCGAAGAATACGGCACTGTGGACATATGAACTAAGAACTTCTGGTGGAATTGAAGGAAAATATTTAAAAAAAATATATAGATTTTACAAACAGATGATGTTAATCACAGTTAAATTGACATTGAGATGTTAAAACTGCATATTTTTTACCATCTAATACTATTATACCTTTTGCGTCGCCTTAAAATATATATCGGTGTAAATAGTGGATGTCAAGGAAGGCGGAAAAATCGGCATCAGCTCCGCAGTAGACACGGCCTTCTGTTTGTGCCAGTACATCTTGTAAAATGTCTCAACTTTCTCTCGCAAGTTTGGAGGGATAGTGGGCTCTTGCTGAAACAAAATAAATCCTGAATAATATTATCGATTTAATTAAAACTCTCATTTATAACTTACTAGCTTTTCGCCCGCAGCTTCACCCGCGTGGAGTTCGGTTATATCGCGTTTCCAAGAGAACATTTCAAAAATCTGGGATAAAAACTATCCTATGTTCTTTCTCAAGGTCAACTCTATCTCTGTATCAAATTTCATTAAAATCAGTTCAGTGGTTTAGGCGTGAAAGCGTAACAGATAAAGTTACTTTTTTTTAATATTAGTAGGGATGACCACTGAAAGACTAAATATGTATTAACCATTTCCTTCATGATGAGCCTGTATCGGCTGCGGAACTTCTCCTCCGGCCTCATGTAGATGCTGATGACGAGAGACAGGGACGCGACCGCAGCCCCCGTCACCATCAGACACCCTACTATCATCACTGATAAGAAAGCAATGCGTTCCAGATCATTCCGCGGCGGTACTGACGGACTGGTACAAAACACATTATTATAAGTACAAAGAAATGAATTTATATTAGTTTTAAAATAATAAAAACAATTTCTTACCCAATCGGTATAAACATCTTGTTGATAATGTAGTAAGTACTGAGGAAACGACTGGGCAACTGGCTTGTCAACTTCGGTGCGTGTTGTATTGGTATATTGTACCTTGTTTTACCGAGTCGAAAATTATTATCGCTTTCCAACTGATAAAAAATAGCGTTTTTTAAAGATATTATTTATTCATAATTATTTCAAATCATTCATTTATATTTTATTTAGATTTCGCACCGACTTTTATTTCTTTTGACGTACAAAGAATAACTATTGTGACTGTAATATGTGACGCCCCATTTTAAAATGTTTACAACCATATATATACAGATTTTTATATAATAAACCGATTTAAGTAACTGTACTGACATTTGTGAAGATAGAGTACAAATTAATAATAATAAAATTACTTCTAATGCATGGAGTTTTAAAAATACGCGTTGGATTTATCATTCAAAAGAATTAAACGCCTTTGTTTAAACAGTTTCATCACACGTTAATCGTAAAAATATAATTGACTTACTGCATCAAAATGTAGCCAAATAAGAACCCAAGATACTCGCAATATCATAAAAAAGTAAGTGTACTTGAGTGTGGTCGCTACAATGCTGCCTTTGAGATTATGATCACTTAAAGCCCCTGGTGAGAGAAGTCGTTTACTTACACTAGCATATTAGTACAACAAAATATTTTAAAACATATTATCACTCACATAGGAATCTAAGTGGACGATGTAATCTCACGTAATAGCAAACAAGCTTATACAGAAATAAGTTCTCAACTCTTAGAAAGTAAGGAGAAAATGTCATGACATCAACCAGAAACGAAACTGAAAATATTATAAAGCACATTAAATTATAACTTTATCTATTTTATTGTCACTGAAGATGAATATTTAGAGTAAAATACGTGTACTAACTGGCTGTGCATAGACCTAAATCGGAGGTATGTAGATTGGCCAGGGAATTGTAAGCTAGACTCAAGACATGTACGGCATAGAATACATTATACACAACTTCAAACAACTCTGATAAAGCGCTTTTAAACTCGATGGACACCACGACTATGGCTGCCAGGGCTAAGACACATAGTACGGCGTTCCACATAACGTTGTCTTGAAGGGAGAACAGGGATTTGTTGAAACAATCAATTGAATAATAGAAGCCATACTCATCCTGAAAGATTTTACAATTACTACAAATATGGCAATATTAAACAACATTAGATTAAGGGCAATATTAAACAATATCATGATTTTGATAAATAGTCCTTTTGGTTGGACAAACATTCGAATGGTTACATACTTTAATATCATTTTTAATCAATGTCTGTGCTTAGAACATTGAATTTACCTCTTCTTGCTCACGATGTTGGTTCTCAATATCTACACTCATCTGAGCGGAGGTCGTATCCTTAAGCATGCTTCTCCTTGAAGTGTCTGCCATTATGGCTTGTGTATCTTTTTGAATGCTATTTATTCATTCGCACCTTTCGTATCTTAACAACACAGTTTACAAATAATACGAAAAATAACTTATCATCCGAGAACAATCGTTTTTTTAAATCTTACGGATGTACTGTCATTCTGTAAAGAGGTAACGATTTTCTTATGAGTAAAGTAAGTCTCCTTTAATATTCCTCATAACTTTTTCATTATATATAAATATTATTATTTTGTCATAACTTGAATTAGATTCGGATTTTTTTTTAACTTAAGTGATGATTTTCTTAATAATTTAAACAGTCGGTCAGTCACATCCAAAATGACTCGCCACTAAACTCATTTAATCTGATGGACTCTTGAACGCTGTTTGCTAAGGGCAGGTCAGTTTCATACAACAACCAGGCTTTTTTTCTAAACGAGGAAAAGCCTCGCGAGGAGGATTGTGTCAGTTTTTCTATAGAAGTACGGGAAGTGCCTTTATAGCTACTTTTGATTACACTACGGATCTTTTAATGCTAATAAAAATACTATATTGTAACTTTGGCCACCATCTTGAAAACACATTTTTGAACGATATCTCAAAAATTACGTCACAGGTTATTGAGATTGTTAAAAATAAAGCAAAATAAAATGAAATCAATAGGATTAAAAAAAACATACATATTAAAGTTCATTTTGTTTATATTCTCCCTTATATAATATCACAATATGGTAACAACAACTAAAATATGGCAAACTTAATGAACACTTAACATTACTGAGTCCTAACCATTTAATATCAAAACCATACTTAATATAAAAAAATCACCTAAAAAAATTGTTATCATACATTAGTTGGTAATTATTTCAAGTCATCGCTTTGACGACAATACATGAACTTGGCCATTTAATGTAAAATTAAGTGGCTACTATTTAGTTGGTATTCTATGAATGCAAGGTCAACCAACAAAAGGGGTAAAAGTTTTAAAATATCCTAACATAATAACTATTGCATTCTTTTATATATACCAACAAACACACAAGTTACAATTGTCGCAGTAACCCTTAATTACTATTAATAGTTTAATCTTGAACATTGTTCAATATAATATTAATTTGAACTATATCTGTCACGGTCATTGACCCTTGACCGCTCGCATGTGTTCCTCTCTGAACTCTCTGTTCATCTGAGCGCCGACCTTTATCCGGAGCCATTCCGGGGCTAGCTTGATGAAGAAACTCTGAAACAATAGAATATATTAAAATTAGTCAAGTTTTCGAGAAATATAGACGAAATACACAGAAGAATAGCAACAACGTGGACGAAGTACTGGGCACAGAAGGAGATTCTCGAGTAACAACTACTAGTTAAGATGAAAAAGATAATTTTAGACACTACAATATTGCCATATACAGGGCAACCTATAGGAGCTGTTTATATATAAATCTTCGAGACAAAATATTTAACACAATATAAAATATAAATTTAGGTGGGCAGGTCATGTCGCGAGATATGGTGACAGTCGATGGTCAACCCACAACCCCCTTCTTACCTGAACGCCATGCAACCAGTATCCAGACGTAGTGTTGACCCTTCCAAGCGTACGGACGGCGTGTCTGGCGTAGGTCTTCGCGTCTGGTACTAATAGGTTGCCAGCGAGGAGTGTGGGAGAGAAGGTGTTCATCTTAGTGGACACGAAGAGAGGCGACACGTGCTGCACCGTCACTGTTGGAGACACCTCCGCACGGAGAGCCAGCGTCAGGCTGCGTATGTATGACTGGAAACACACATGGAGTAGAATAACTTGGCCCATACGAGTAGAATGATGAGAAATACGTACATCTATTACTACCAATTAGATTTATAATATTTAAGTCAAATTAGATTTTTTGCATAAACATAGTCTTCATTCATACTGATTTTGAGACCTTCATGATCCATTTTGCATAAGTAAAAATAGTAACTCCGTATTTTTATTATAGGTACATGGTAGGTAGTAGAGTCTGTTTCTGATCATTTACTACAGGTCAAACATGGGCTGGCTAGATTGGGGAAGTACCACACTCTCTTAGAAAATCAGCGTGAAGTAGTCTTTAATGGCTGCATTTAGTTCGATAAGTGTGAGTACCAGTTACCCTTTTCCTTTTCCCGTTCTTTCCTAACACTCTCCTTTTCCCTCATTTTCCCACTTTTTCCTCCTCATCTTCCCTAATCAAGGGCAATACAACTACAAAACTTAATTGCGGATATCTACGGGCGAGGGTACTACCTTAATCAGGTTAGCCGTCTGTTTTGTCACCCCCATTACCATAAAAAATATAGTCAGTAGTATTGATCCTAGTATAGTACCTTAGTGGCAGCGTACACAGCCATGAGCGGTAAAGGCTGTAGCTCGGAGCCCGAAGACACGTTGACGACGGCCCCCCGCCCGCGAGACATCATCCCGGGCAGCACGAGGCGCGTGAGTGTAGTGACAGCCACCACGTTCACACTGATCATCTCCCAGGCTTTACTGACGGGCAGCTCTACCAGCGGCATCGGATACTCGTACTGAACACCCACGTTGTTCACTGAATGGACATACAGATATATTACTTGTGGTTAAACAACTTTATTTCTCATAAAGAACATACAATGTTCACTTGAATGAGATGTATTACATAATTCAATTAAAACAACAATTCAGTACAGTAGCAACGAACCATACAACTCAAGAGCGGTTAATCCAAGTGCTCCCTACAATAACTTCATTAATAAATTCTTAATAAATCACAGGGGTTATGTATTTATGTCATATTTTCAAACGATAAACTATAAAACGATAGAACGGAAAGAGAATTTTGTTTATCATGGTGATATAGAATCTATCGAAATTCCTGTTTAGCAAGAAATAATCTCACCAAAAACATGCCTGTTAAAAAGGGGGCCAAGTTCCAATCGGCTAATTGTTTGCCTAAAAAAGGGGTGAAATCCAATCTAATGCCAAGTTTAGATGCACTTTGAAATCGATCATAATCATCTTCATCAACAGCATGATCCACTGGTAAACATTTGCCATTCCCAAGACTCGCCACCACACCCAGTCCTCTGCCTTCCACATCCAGCCACTACCCGCCACCTTATTCACGTCAACGGTCCATCTGACCGAAATACACTTTACCATACACCCAACTTAAAATATGGTATAGTTGTGAAAATACGTAGGTGCTTGGTTAAAAAATATCTAAAATTATAATACTTCTCAATTTGAACTTGGCAGGTTTTTGTGCTGTACGTAACACTTAATTAATTGTATCATTAATTTATTATTTAGTTATATAATTATTTATATTTATATAATTTAAATATTATATAATTTAAATATTATATAATTTAAATAATTAAATTAACCTGCCAAGTTCAAATTTAGAAGTATTATAATTTTAGATATTTTTAACCAAGCACCTACGTATTTTCACAACTATACCATATTTTAAGTTGGGTGTATGGTAAAGTGTATTTCGGTCAGATGGACCGTTGACGTGAATAAGGTGGCGGGTAGTGGCTGGATGTGGAAGGCAGAGGACTGGGTGTGGTGGCGAGTCTTGGGAATGGCAAATGTTTACCAGTGGATCATGCTGTTGATGAAGATGATTATGATCGATTTCAAAGTGCATCTAAACTTGGCATTAGATTGGATTTCACCCCTTTTTTAGGCAAACAATTAGCCGATTGGAACTTGGCCCCCTTTTTAACAGGCATGTTTTTGGTGAGATTTCAATACTTTTTTTCAAGAAATCGTACATACAATCGTACTATACAGCCGTACAATGCATACCTTACAGCATGAAACATACAGCTACCATCTGATGGCATAGGAATTACCCTATGTGGTATATCTCCGCCAACCACCGAAAGATGTACAATTTCCATCGTTGGTAAATGAATAGTAGAAAAGAAATAGAGTGAATTTGTGCTTTTAACACGCACAAGTAATCAATCAATAAGCAATATCAAAATTAATCCTTTAGCAAGTCAAATCAGTGATCCATTTAATCGTAATCGTAACCATATATAAGATATCAAGACATAAGTGTAGAAAGAAATGACCATCGATTCCTTATCGACTTTCATTCATATATACTGCAGACAAAACAATATCGCGATTCAATTATACCGCTAGTGCCATCTATCGAAAGTAATTTATAACAATAGAAATCTGATTTTTTAGGTAAGCAATATTTAATTAAGTTATACAGTGTGCATTATGTGTACATGACAATATTTTATATCCCTTATATATATATCAGTTCTTAAGAAGCGCCCCACACTTTTTTCACAATAATATTAATTTAAAAATAAATTAACAAACAATAAATGGTATTTTTGTGAAAAAAAGCGTGATGAGCTTCATATATCACTTCTTGAGAAGCGCCCCACGCTTTTTTTTCAATAATACCATTTATTGTTTATTTTAAACAATTTAAATTAAATTGATTTCCAAGGTTGTAAAGGTTAAATTAGTTTCCACGCGGTTTCTTTCATCATTGGAGCGTGTTTTTTAGTTTTTTTTAAACTATATTTATTTTTTATTTTTTAGTTTCATTTATCACCGATTGATAGATGTACTCATATTATTAATTATTCATATTTCATTATTATGTATTTTATTATGCTGAGCTGAGCGCCTATATAAAGGTTTTGATTACCTGTCAGTGAGTCAGTGCCAAAATTAGCTATTTTCACAGGGTCATATTTCAGGATCTACTGAAGCTTTATCTATGAAATTTGGCATACTGCTTTAGGACTAGTATATGATTACGTAGGTACAATTTTATCTCTGTACTTGCAATAGACACTGAGCTACAGGGGGTCAAAAGTGGGTCGAATTTATTAAAAATTCGATATTTAGAATTGAGGCAACTCACGCTAGACCGATTTCTTAAATTTCTTAATTTTTTTTTTTAATCTACATATAACACACAACCTGTGTACCAAATTTCATAATGCTAAAACAATGGGAAGTGGCCTAGAGGTTTTGATTACCTGTCAGTGAGTCAGTGCCAAAATTAGCTATTTTCACAGGGTCATATTTCAGGATCTACTGAAGCTTTATCTATGAAATTTGGCATACTGCTTTAGTACTAATATATGATTACGTAGGTAAAATTTTATCTGTGTACTTGCAATAGGCACTGAGCTACAGGGTGGTCAAAAGTGGGTCGAAACGGTTCGTGTAAATATAGTGCACGGCATGCGCCGGCCTGTGGAACTTGGCCGGCGCACTACCGTGCGCTTAGATGTAGCAACCTTATTATTAAATAGTAGAGAGGAATAATTAAGTTATGTTGTTAAAGGTATGAAATGGAAAAGAATGGGCGGAACAAGAAGGGAAAAGAGAACAATAGAAGAATATGCCGATTTCATCTTCTTTCAAAAATCTGGATCAAGTGGAAGAGTCGGATATTTAACAAATAATACTTGGAAAATAATATTAGAGTTAGGAAATAGTTCCTATATTAGTTCGCGACATTGGAATTACAAATATGTGAAAAATCCCTAGGGTCCTTTCAAATATATGCTGCGTAAATATGCAGAAAGGAAGCATTAGCTAATTTAAAATCTGCTTTATACTTCGAGCACAAGAAGTTTCTTTCTTTCTTTCTTCTTTCATTCCATAATTCTTTCAAATCTAATAAAATAACTAGTTCATCATTGGAGCGTGTTTTTTAGTTTTTTTTAAACTATATTTATTTTTTATTTTTTAGTTTCATTTATCACCGATTGATAGATGTACTCATATTATTAATTATTCATATTTCATTATTATGTATTTTATTATGCTGAGCTGAGCGCCTATATAAAGGTTTTGATTACCTGTCAGTGAGTCAGTGCCAAAATTAGCTATTTTCACAGGGTCATATTTCAGGATCTACTGAAGCTTTATCTATGAAATTTGGCATACTGCTTTAGGACTAGTATATGATTACGTAGGTACAATTTTATCTCTGTACTTGCAATAGACACTGAGCTACAGGGGGTCAAAAGTGGGTCGAATTTATTAAAAATTCGATATTTAGAATTGAGGCAACTCACGCTAGACCGATTTCTTAAATTTCTTAATTTTTTGTTAATCTACATATAACACACAACCTGTGTACCAAATTTCATAATGCTAAAACAATGGGAAGTGGCCTAGAGGTTTTGATTACCTGTCAGTGAGTCAGTGCCAAAATTAGCTATTTTCACAGGGTCATATTTCAGGATCTACTGAAGCTTTATCTATGAAATTTGGCATACTGCTTTAGTACTAATATATGATTACGTAGGTAAAATTTTATCTGTGTACTTGCAATAGGCACTGAGCTACAGGGTGGTCAAAAGTGGGTCGAAACGGTTCGTGTAAATATAGTGCACGGCATGCGCCGGCCTGTGGAACTTGGCCGGCGCACTACCGTGCGCTTAGATGTAGCAACCTTATTATTAAATAGTAGAGAGGAATAATTAAGTTATGTTGTTAAAGGTATGAAATGGAAAAGAATGGGCGGAACAAGAAGGGAAAAGAGAACAATAGAAGAATATGCCGATTTCATCTTCTTTCAAAAATCTGGATCAAGTGGAAGAGTCGGATATTTAACAAATAATACTTGGAAAATAATATTAGAGTTAGGAAATAGTTCCTATATTAGTTCGCGACATTGGAATTACAAATATGTGAAAAATCCCTAGGGTCCTTTCAAATATATGCTGCGTAAATATGCAGAAAGGAAGCATTAGCTAATTTAAAATCTGCTTTATACTTCGAGCACAAGAAGTTTCTTTCTTTCTTTCTTCTTTCATTCCATAATTCTTTCAAATCTAATAAAATAACTAGTTAGTTATTTTATTAGATTTTAATTTAAAGATTTAATGCTTCCACATTGGAAGAGATTCTAATATGGAATGAAAGAAGATAGGACAAGACAAGGATATAGTTGAATGACGGTCTTGATTTCACATTTATTAGAACCTGATTGTTCATGGAAACCGCGACACAGATACTCTAGGCTTCAAGGGTATACTACATTATTTATATTAATACAATATTAATATCATTCTAAGTTTAACTTTATTAAATATTTAAATTTGCGCTTTTTCTTCAAACTTATGTTTTTCTGTATAAATAATTATATCATTAATTTTTAAATTCATATAAATGGGTAAAATTTATGTTCGCAGGCTTATATCTATATATATAAAAGAAAGTCGTGTTAGTGACTGCACTTATAACTCAAGAATGGCTGAACCGATTTAGCTGAAAATTGGCAGGGAGGTAGTTTAGAGCCAGGAAATTGCAATAGGATACTTTTTATCATGTTCGACAGCATTCCCGTGGGACTTGACATGAATCGTCCGTCACTATAAACGTGGAATAACGAAACACAATTGACAGCTATGCAATTGACGTATAATGACAATTAGATATTTGTAAGAGATCTACTACATATATAAAAATAAGTCCGGTTTTCTATCCTGACGCTGTAACTTGGAAAGGTCTCGAGCTCCGTGAGGTTTATAACAAAAAATTTCAACAGAAAAGCGGGAAAATCTTTTTTTACATACAGCGCCATCACACACAACACACAACACATGTACTACAAATCAATATTTTAAGTAAATGGTGCCGGTGCTTGATACATTGGTTGACAGCTACTCATTGTTCTCTACTCAGTTAATTTCATGTGACAAACCGGTATTGTGTTTGTAGTTTGAAATCTTAAAACCATTTAGTATTTGCGGGATAAATTTAGAAAACATTGTTTTTCACATGGGCGTTATATTTTGCGTGTTCACGAGTTTGGAAACCATCCGCTTTATTTGTGTTAAAGTTAGACCAAAAAACAAAAAATGTGGTTTACAAAGGAGCACTTCAATGAAACGGATAATTTGCGGACACGTATAACGCTTCGATTCGGTATCTACTTTGGATTCACTTTCATTTACTTAGAGAAGTTCAAGTAAATAACACTTCATTTTTGTAATCGAAATGAATTAATTACAGTTGTGAAATGAAATAAAAATTTTCCTTTTCAAATATAAAACAAAAATAAAACTTCATCTTTTAATCACCAAACGAAATGTTATATAAAAGCCTTCTGGTGGCGAAACGGAGTTCGCCAGGTTTACTAGTAAATTAATAGACATTAGTTTATCTTTTGATATATAATGACAAATAGTTGACAAATTACGGCATATTGTTTAATGTACAATACACGAACCATGCTTAGCAGTAAAGAAACGAAACCGCTCTTATGGAAACCGTGACTAACAAAACCGTTTTATTCTGGTTTTTCTTAAAGATCATAGAAATGATCACAGCCACATATAGTTGAAGGTTCAACATACCCAAGATACCCAGCGGCACGTCTTTGAGTCCATTCTCAATGTTCTGATAAATCTCAGTTCCTTTGCTGAAATCTGCTACGATGATTTTGGTTTTCACTCCGTGCAGCTTCTCTGGAAAAACAAAAACAAAGTTTGATTAAAAACCACAAAAACTACAAGATTAGAACTTTTTTTATCAAAGCTTTTTAGAACCTTGTATTATTAAAGAAATAGAAGATAATATTCTTATAGACTACAAATGAATATTTTACAAAATCCATTGCTTCAAGATTTTTTTGGGCTTCAATTTATTTAATGTCGCTCTATAGAATAATTAATGTATCTTTACTAACACCTATAATAAAGCCAATGAAAGATTTTCACATGTATGTACACATTTAAATGAAACGAAATTTTTTCAAGTATGTTTCAGTTCCTTTACACCTATCACGGGTAGACCAGATGAAACCTTAATTCAACGGGATTAACCAAAACGTCGGGATTATGGAGATACAAAATAGTAAATCATTGTATCCGAAAAACTTGTTCTGTGTGTTTAAAATTAACAACAAACTTTTAAGCCTTCTTTAACATTTGATCAGAAATTAAAAGTGGCGAATTTTTTAATTGCATCCTTTTAGTTTAACAACGTGTAGAAGTGCTATGATTTATAAACGATTTTAAGTGTAACATTGTAAAGGATACCGATTATAACATTGTAATATGTTGTTACGATAGATTTTTATCTCTCCTAACAATGTTCCTTATTTTACGCGGACAATGAACCAAATTAGTCAGGACTTCAAGAAATACTGACGAGGTTTTATAGCTTATACTATAAAATGAACGTGTTACATACCAAAGAAAATAGGCTTGAATTACTATTTAGTTTGTATTTCAATAATTATTAATCTTAGAATAAATATCATCAAATCATTTGAATAGTATGTTATTAGTAAAACGATTTACAAGGTGTTAATCCTGAAATTTGTTCAGATAATTCATCTACATATACATATAGCGACCTAACTTATTTTCCATATGTAATTCCCGTATAATTTCAGTACATTAATAATATATATGTAAGTTACCGATCTCCCTGGAGACGTTTCTCAGCTTGTCCTCATTGCGACTGATGAGCACCACGTTCATCCCGAGTCGAGCCAGCTCTAGAGCATACTCCTTACCGATGCCATCAGTGGAACCGGTCACCGCTGGAAATTAATAACATATTTACTAATAAAACAAAAATAAAATATATTTTCCCTTAATAAGATGTAATACTTTTTGAATTACTACGCGTTATTTCAAACCTTTTATTTACCTTGTTGAGTATTCTACCACTATTTTTAATATCTTTTCTAAGGTGTTATTTTGATACATGCTGGTATGATGTCATGATAAAATATAGTGTAGTAGTAATCCGAAAATATTAGTTTCATTTATATAACATTGGTATAAATCTCTCAAACACGAATCTCTCGAACACGAATCTCGAACACGATCTGGCTCGACCGGGAAAAAAAAGGTCCTCAAATTCTATTTCAAAAAAAAATCAAAGTTCAATCAAATTATAATTCTTTATACAATGAAAAGACTTAGCAGATTTTGATATTATATTCAAAATATATGACGTCTATTAAATCTTCTATATATATAAAAATGGATTGCTGTTCCTTAGTCTCGCTAAAACTCGAGAACAGCTGAACGGATTTATCTTATCTTAGTCTTGAAATGTTCGTGGAGGTTCAGGGAAGGTTTAAAAGGTGAGAAAAATTGGAATAATTGCCGGGCAAACCCTAAAAACAGCCCTTTTCTATTTCCCATACAAACGTTTTTTTGACATTAGATTTGGCAACTAACTAATATGTCAATCATTCTGTTTGATTGAAACAGGAAAAACCTGATTATTTATGGCCTCTAAGACGGAATAGAGTTCGCCTGGTCAGCTACACCTACATATATTACTCTTGACCAAACTAACGCGGACGAAGTCGCGGGCAAAAACTAGTGTGTAATATAATTATTACGTATTTTTTTTAATGTCATAACATTCAACTTATTGCGCTAATTTTAACAATGTTACTTCAACTATGAGAATAAGACGGATGTGTTAAAGTGTTTATGTAAATATTTATTGTTTGTATAAAATTTTAATGTTCTTTTTACTTTAAACAAGTTTTACATTTTGCCTCGTAAATATTCCAAGCTGTTAATATGATGCTAAAAAATTCCATATATTTTTGTAACAAAAAACTATACTCCCGACGTTTCGGCTATATTTTAGCGAGCGTGATTACAGGCAAAAATCTCGTCTGAACACGATTACTGGAAAGTAGCCGAACCGTCGGGAGTATGTAGTTTTCTTTTACATAAATAAAGCAAGCGTAGTATATCCAAAAAAATCCATATATGTACACCTAATACAAATGTCCATCGGTTCTATACTAATAAATATACATTGACATAATAATATCCTAACATTATGTTGTAATATAAATACTCAGAGTACAAATTACTTTGCCCTTAATTTTCATAGTATTTAATTTGTTTATACAAACACGTATAACCGCATTACGTAATGAAATTTTAGAGTGGCCATTTCTATAGATGCTATCATATACCAATGACCTATTCAAATACCCGTGACTGTAAATGCTCTCACTAGACAAACATAATATGTTCCGTAATAAAAAATTATCGCAATCTTCAATATTAATAACCGCCATACAATTTTAATTTTACATATTAATTCAATTTCATCAAAGATTGTAATCGGAAACATATTACACACCACGAATCTAAGAATTTTATTTTATTTACCACATTATGCTATTATAGAGTAATTAATTCTTAGTAGATATAATATTTTTTGTCATACATATATTATAATAATGAGTTATATAGGAAATTATAAAACATTTCCTTTTCCTTCTCACGTCTTAATTACGAAACTTTATGAGAATGTATGTGTTTATCACTCTTAGATGCGGCAACCGCTCAATAATATAATATGTATAATTTGTGGTGAAAGTCGCGATATAACAGTTGTATTGCTTGTGAAGTCACGATAGATGTTGCTGGCTTGTATACATTATTTTAACACACTATACATCTCTCGCTGTGCTCAATACAAAATGCAGATGGATGCAGACAAAGCCGTGCTCATATAATAGTCAATGGTAATTGAAGGAAACGTTATTAATTATATAGTATCACATATAATATAAATATTTTTATGCTATTTCGTGTAGTCATGATAATTTTTTTCTATTTATCAAATAACAATATGGTTCGACAGTTTGACTAGATATACCGTATTTCTAAAATAATTGTTTTTATATTGTGTTAACTTTTACAGATATTTCCCATAGAGATACAATAAATTTATTTAATAGAAAAATATATACTAAAACATTAGCAGTATACGATGAAAATATTTCTTAGCTGATTATTAAATATGTATGACAGAAAAAGGTCGCAAGTCCCAAGCACTATTAAAGCTCCTCTCCCTACAACGATGGACCAGGCACCCGCATGGTGAATACATGGAACGCCGAGAGGTTTCATCTCTATGAAATATGTCCAATCATTCTATTTTTTGTACTAACTAGATATTTCTTGACCATCATTCCACCTGACAATGATGGTGATCAATCCATAAATAGTAAACGCACTATCACAATAAAAACCTATTCACTCTAGCCTCGAAGACCTGCAATTGCTAGTGAGCAAGATCATATATACTGGCTTTTTTATTCTCATGCTGTACATGCGAATAAATAGAGGAAGAGGCTTTCCTTTTGGTTCGGATGTAAAAAAACCTACAAGGAAAGGATTGTGACTATTTTTAATTAACTCCTTTGAGAAGAAAACCTCGTTTAATGAAAAATCAAATATATGTATATGCCGTTTTATAAGAAGCATATTTATAATGTTTAAAAGTCATCCACGAATACCAATTAACAACATTATGCATACTAATGCAACAACACTGATCATTATAAGGGTCAACGACTAAATCGAAAAACAAGAAATTATAATTTATTAACATAATTCCGAAATAAATTTTATATCTTGTACAAATAATCTTTTATTTCAAAATATGATAAATCACTATCAGTTGTATTTGGTGTTGGTATGGAGTTTTTATTTTCAAGTCGGACCCGCACTTTTTTCTTTTATAACAAACTAGATTTTGCTCGCGGCTTTGTCCGCGTTAATTTCTGATTTAGTAATATATTTATAGCTGACTGGGCAAACTATATGCATGTTATAGATAGTAAAGAAGATGTAAATAACTAGATATTGGAATTTATTTTCTGTTTCAATTGAACAGAATTAAATATCCTATGTCCGCCACCTTGTTCTAAGCTATCTCCCCAACAATTGTCAACCATAGTTCATATCCCTTTACCTGTTTTTAAGTTTTAAATGGTGTAACTAACACAACTTTCTTTTATGTTTGTCAACTAGAAGATCTTCCAATCCATGTATCAATATTAATTTATTATCAGATTTAATAATGCCTATCTTTTTCATTCAGATTCATTTCTAATATATATTTTAAAGCAGTAGAATTCTAATTAGTATCAAAGTATAACTTCATACAATATTAGATTGTAATGCCCTAATAATAATGTCGATTTTTGTATTCTTTATAAATTATAATTATTTAATCTTCATATATATAATTCTTCTGTGAGTGTGTATGTCACTGAACTTCTCTCAAACGACTGGATCGATAATGATAAAATTTTTTGTGTATGTTCAAGGGGATCTGGGAATGGTTTAGATTCACAATGTTGTCCGCTGGATAATGTTTTTTTAATTATTTTTTAATTTATAAGTAGTTGCTGATACAAACGTTTTTTTTTTACATTAGATTTGACAACTAACTAATATGTCAATCATTCTGTCGCACTTCAAAACACGGAGATTTATGGCTTTAATAGGTAAACTCCAAAAATATAAATAAAAAAACGTAACAGATATTTCTTGATTATAGGGCGAAACGAAGTTCGCCTGGTCTTGTAGTCGTTATATAACACATAATGTAATATTGTTTTGCGAACAATTCACATAAAATTCATAATTATTTCTATGAATAATTCAATAGTATTGCGTAACGAAAAAATATAAATGTTTTTTTATTGTAAATACGACTAAATCAACAACATTAAATTGTGTTTAATTAGTGAACAAAGAAACAAAAAATACATAATCTCAATACATTAATCTTCATGGGTTTTAATTTAATAATTATTCTACTAAAAAAAAATTAATATTCATTTAAATGAAACTAATATTTTTCGGATATACTACGCGGTTTATTTTTGTGAAAAAAGTATATACTCCCGACGTTTCGGTTACTTTTCAGCAACCGTGATCACGGGCAGACGAGATGTGAATGTCTGTCAGTTGGTCTTGTTATTTATCATCTACCGCCATCGATTTATTAACTACTCCTACCTCCTACTTGTCACTTGAGTGAGACACTTATAGAGTAATCACAGGCTAAAAAACCTTACATCACTTTGGGACAGAACTCTATTTTAATACCTAAAATGTTGGACGGATAATAATAAATGTAGTTAAGAACAAACAACACAAACAAACTGACGTTCAAACGAAAACTCTCATCGAAATCGGTCGAGCCGTTCAAGACTTACGATGACACAGACAGACACACGCATAAAAGCTAACATCCAAACTTATAACAATAATTTTGGTCTGTTGGTGTAACTAACAGACCGGCATATGACATTCATTACCTTCCATGGTCTAGACGGACTTCGCCACGGCCTATTTTGTGGTCAGCTTTTAATTTGATCAACTATAACTTCGTAAAAAACGTATATTTTACTAATGTAATTTACTATCACATAGATATATCATAGAAGAATAAAATTACTTGCATAGGTCCTCCAAATAACTGAGATTTCAACACAAATACCTTTTTTTTACCAACGTGGTGCACTCCCGATTCAAGCGCTTTAGCGTACTGAAATAACAACCGCGTTTTTTTCCGTTCATACTACGTATAGCGATATCTTTGTAAATTAATATGAACTTAAATGGATATATTAGTAGTTATTCGTGTTAGACAATGTTACTCTCCAGACGATCTTACCCGAACTGATCCTACATATTATTCGTAAATTTTCAGTCAGCTAACTTTGAATTTAAGAATTGAACTGTAAATACTTAATTG